GGGTCAGCCGATCAAGCTCGACACGTGGATCGTAGACCTCCGTCGTCACCTCACTGGGCAGCGGCAGGACGGCCACTCCTTGGCTGTCCACCTTGATGGTACGCTTCCCTGTCCTGACCCCCCCGCTGCGCTGCCCGCTGACCCCACGTCTGCTAATCGTGAGTCCGCTGCTGCTGCTGCCCTTGCCCGTTTGGTCTGGTTGTCGCGTGACGCTGTTGCACAGCTTGCCATCAGTCATGCCCTTCCCCTGTCTGAGCGTCCCCGCTTTCGGTCGATCAGGACTGCACAGGAGTCTCTAGATGTTGTTATTGCGCGCTATTCCACCCCGTCCTCTACCTCCGTCGGTCGCCTGAACCTGCCCCTGCATTTTCCTGACCTCGCGTCTTTCCCCACTGTCGCTGACCTCGCCGTCCACTTGCGCACGCTAGACTCGACCTGGCGCTCTGCCTGCACTGAGGCCCAGCTCTGCTTGTTCAATCCCCCCCTCTGCGCTACCCTCTACCCGCTTGCCACCCGCCTCCCTGACCGCCTTGCTACTGCCCGCAATCGCTTTCTTAGTCTCCACCTCGCTGACCTCACCCTCACTGACTTTGTCGACACCCTGTCTGCCATAGAGCCCGCCAGCGCTCTATCGCCCAGTCTAGCGGTACTGTGCTGGTCTCTATCTTTCAGGGCTGTGCGCCCGCTCAGTGCACTTTCTCTGACGGCTCTACTGCAGTGGCCGAGACAGCGGCTGCAGTGCAGGTTCGCCCGGGAAAGGGCCGCCGCCCCAAGGCTGGGCGCGGCGGTGGTGGGGGTGGAGGAGGTGGTGGATCCGGGTCGTCCGCTAGAGGTGCTGACGAGGGCGCTTGGCCTAGCACCGCCGAGCAGCTGTCTCACAAGGAGCAGAACATTCCTTATTCCTACTACCGCTTTCCCCACCGTAGTCCCTCGGTTACTCCCCCCTTATTCCTGGTTCCCCCTCTCCTGGTCGCCCCTGCCTCCCCCCCCCTCCCCGCCCTGCCCAGTCTGGTGTGTCTCACGTCACCTCCCTCCTGTCGATTGTCCGGTTGAGGAGTCTGCTGACTCTAGTGGCCGTGCGACGCGGTCATTGCTGCCTCCGCCGTCGCAGCCGCAGCCGCCGTCGCAGCCACCGCCACCGCCGCAGCCGCCGTCGCAGACGCAGCCGTCATCGCAGCCGCTGCAAAAGCAGCCGTCGTCGCAGCCGCTGCAACAGCAGCCGCCACAGCAGCAGTTTGTGCCTTCTGGAGGTGCTGGCATTTAGGAGGGTGCTAGTCCCGGGGTGCCTGTCGTGGCCTGTCCCGGCGGGCCTCGGGTGGTGCCAGTGTTGAGAGAGCTTCTGGCTCCGGGGGTGTTCCGTCTGGGGGTGCTAGAGTAGCTGGTGGTCCAGGTGTCGGCGTCGTGCAGCCGCCGCAGGAGCAGTCGCCACCGGTGTCCGCCCTCCGCCTGCTCGACCTTCCCTCCCCTGACCGCTGTCAGCCCCTCTCCTACCGTCTCCTCCTCTTCCTGTCTACGGCCCTGTCTTCCCTCCTCCGGACTCGTCTCCAGCTCGTCTTCCCTCTCGTTCCCCTCCTATTACTCCTCCTCTGTTTCCTGGCCCGATGCCTCCGTCCCACGTCTGGTCTCATGCTCGTCCTGTCTCTCCTGTTCCTTGTTCTCACCCTATGTTGCTTCGTTCCCACGTGCCTCGTCCTCCCCTCCTGCCGTCGCCTCCTCCGTCCTCACTTGTTGTCGCCCCTCCCCCTCTGTCTGACTACCTTCGTGCCACTCATCCTCTTGTTATTCGAGTCCTTGCCTCCCTCGTTACCGGCCCGTCTGTTCCTGTTTCGCATCTTGATGCTCTTGTCGCTGCTGTCGCTCACTTCGCCACTATCGCCGCCTTGACTACGCCACTTCTCTGGTCTCTGACCCTGCCTGTCCTCCATCAGTCGGGGGTGCTCCTACCCTTAGCAGTGACGTCTTGGAGGACCGGCAGTACGAGCTTCCATTCTTGTCCGAGGATGCTCCCCATCTCTGCTCCATGCTGCTAGTCCCTGAGGGTGACCCAGATGCCTTCGACATCCCGACCCCTCACACCTACGTTGAGTCTACCTCGGGACCCTGGGCCTCTCATTAGATAGCTGCCATGGAGCAGGAGATGGCATCTTGAAGATCACCCAGCACCTACGTCGACACAGTTTCCCCACCCGGGGTGAACGTAGTCGATGGCCGCTGGCTCTTCAAGGTGAAGCGCCCCCCTGGAGAGCCGCCTCTGTTCAAGGCACGCTACGTGGCTAGAGGCTTCGGTCCGCGTGAGGGGGTGGACTTCTTTCAGACCTTCGCGCCGACCCCGAAGTTGACTACTCTTCGGGCACTACTACACGTAGCAGCACAGCGTGAATACGAGCTACACTCCCTCGACTTCTCCACACCTTTTCTTCAGGGCAGCCTACATGAGCAGGTCTACCTGCGCCGTCCACAAGGCTTTACTGGCACCTTCCCTCCTGGGAACCAGTGGCTCCTACGGTTCCTAGTCTACGGCTTGCGATAGGCGCCCCGTGAGTGGCACGACACGCTGCGTGCTACCCTAGCTGGCCTGGAGTTCTTCCCGTCCTCTGTCGACCCTTCGTTCTTCGTTCGTACTGGCTAGACCCCGTTCTACATCCTTGTTTACGTAGTTGGCCTGGTCTTCGCTACTGCAGACAGGGACGCGCTGGTTTTCGTGAAGGCAGAGCTGCTGAAGAGACACACCTGCACTGACCTAGGAGAACTGCGCCACTACCTTGGCCGTCAGATCTCCAGGGACAGAGCAGCGCGCACCATCACTCTCTCGCAGTCACACTTGGTGCGCCAGGTCCTTCAGCGGTTCGGTCTTCAGTTCTCCTCTGCACAGCCCATACCTCTGCCAATAGACCGCAGGCTCTCAGCTCCTGTTCCTGAGGAGTCATTAGAGCCTAGTGGTCCGTGCGTAGAGCTGGTGGGTTGCCTCATGTACCTGATGACTTGCACTCGCTCAGATCTCGCATACCCTCTCAGCATCCTGGCTCGTTTTGTGGCCACAGGCAAACACTGACCACAGCACTGGTCTGCCGCTAAGAGGGTTTTGCGTTATCTTGCAAGTACACCGGGCATAGAGCTAATGCTGGGAGGACGCAGGCCAGTGGTCCTTACTGGGCACACAGACGCTTCTTGGGCAGACGACGCAGAGACGCTCAGGTCCTCCCAAGGCTACTGCTTTAGCCTTGGTTCAGGTGCTGTCTCGTGGAGAGCTACCCGCTCCTCGTCTGTTGCCGAGTACAGCCCTGCTAAATTACTGTATATATTGTGTTATATAATTGGGAGGCTTGGTAGGTTATCGAACTCTACTGTAGAGGGTACAATCTACTCCTTGTATCCCTCTCTCTTTCTAGTTGAGCTCTCTTTTTCTCTCGTCAACTCTCTCTCCTAGTTCCTAGCTAAAACCTCACGTCACTTTCATGGCGTCCTAGACTTCCTATTTTAACATGGTAACAGAGCTGGTTCCTATCTCCGGGCCTGCTCCCCACGCTTCCACCGCGCATACTCGTTCGTCCTTCGTCCCTCCCAGGCCGCCGTCGCGGCCATGCGGAGAAACCGTTGTTGCATCGCGGTGCTGCCGTTGCAGCCCCGATGCGTGGCGTCGACGCCACACTGCTGCGACGGCGTCGTGCTGCCGTCGCAGCATCGACGTCCCGCCGTGGCATTGACGTCGCACTGTGGCGGCGTCGTAATGCTGCGGTGGAGGCGTCGTCGGGCTGCAGCTGGCTGCGCCACGCCTGTGGCGCCACTAGACCTTCCGCCCGCACGCCTGCTGCGAGCGTGATCCTGGATCACGCACTGCCCCCCCCCTCCCCTCCCTCCTTCCCTTGCATCCCCTCCTCCTCGCCACAGCCGACGCCTGACTCGTCAGGTCTCCACCGCCGTGGAGCTTGGACACGCCGCCGAAAGGGTGGGGGCCGCTGCCGTCGCCGCTGTTGTCGAAGCCACTGTTGTCGCCGCTGCTGTTGCCGCTGGCCGTTGCCGCCGCACGCCGCCGTCGCCGCCGCTGTCGTCACTGCCGTGGCTGTTGCCGTAGCCATCTCACAGGCCGTGGGATTGGCCCCACTGGAGTACTCGTGGCTGCTGCTTGGAATGGGGGTGCTAGGTTAGGGGGTGTGGGTGTGTGTGGGGTCTTCTAATACCAAGCCTAGGTGGTGTGTTAAATTATATATTGTGTTATATAATTGGTAGGCTTGGTAGGTTATCGAACTCTACTCTAGAGGATACAATCCCCTCCTTGTATCCCTCTCTCTTTCTAGTCGAGCTCTCTTTTTCTCTCGTCAACTCTCTCTCCTAGTTCCTAGCTAAAACCTCACGTCACTTTCATGGCGTCCTAGACTTCATATTTTAACATAGCCTACATAAACATAGAACTAAATATGTTGACACACCCCTTAGGCTTAGTAGGTGCTACTCACAGAGGCAAGAGACCAGGGCAGCATTACTAGTCTGTCCACTGGTTTGAGTAGCAAGAAAAAGTTTGAGCAGACCACAAGCCCAACACCCCCAAGCCCTAACACCCCCATACCCAGCAGCAGCTTTGGGAGTCTACAGCGGGTCGGCCCTTCGGCATGTGAGACGACGACGTCAGCGGCGGGGGTAGCGGCAGCGGCGGCGGCGGCGGCGGCGGAGCTTGCAGAACATGCGGCAGCGGCGGCAGGTGGTACGTCGAAGCTGCCACGGCAGCACGACGAAGCTGCCATGGTAGCGCGTCGACGCCATAGCAGTGCGTCGAGGCCGCCATGGCAGCACGACGAGGCCGCCATGGCAGCGCGTCGAGGCTGCCACGGCAACGCATCGAGGCTGCCATAGCAGCACGACGAGGCCGCCACGGCGCCGCGATCGTGAGAGGAGGGGAGGGAGTACGCTGCGGAAGCGTGAGGAGAATGCCCAACAGGATCAACCTGCTTGAAGCCATGTGATGAGGGGTTTTAGCTAGGTAGGAGAAAAGTACCGAGAGAAAAAAAGAGGTCGACTAGAAGAGAGAGAGGTACAAGAAGTGGGTTGTCCTCTCTACGGATCCAGTCAGAGTAATGGACATGCCTAGCCTACATATACATGTATATAAATTTATATGTTGACAAATTACACCCGGACAAGCGGACGATACCTAGTACAATACCTACCCTAAGATTTGTTCTTACCGGTACTGCCCTTCCTCCAAGGTTTCAAACCTTCTGGCTTATCCGCATGCCCTAGTCCCCTCTCCTCATCCCCCTTCCCCTTCTCCTCATGCTTCTTCCCTCTCCCTTCATGTCCCTTCCCTTTGCTCTCATCACGTCCCTTCCCTCCTGTCAACAGAGCAAGCACTTTCCTCTTCTGCACTCTAGCCAATGAACCCCCTTTATCACCGTCTTTCCGAGTCACATTACCAGCACTAATGCACCCCGGCGAGCCCTGTAGAAGAGAAGAAACTTCGGCAAACGAGTGTGATTGTACAGAGGGTGACGAAAAGGGGGTAGAATGCGAGTGTGCTCGTACCGAGGGTGCGGAATCGGGGGTAGTATGAGAGTGAGAGTGTGTGGAGGGAGAGGAGTAGGAGTGGGACGTGGGCAGTCTGGGTCCCCTGGGGGGGCGGTAGTCCATGAGGGTGGAAGAGAGGGGAGGAACTCGAGGCCTTGTGGTCCTGCTGATGCTGCCAGTGGCTGTTGAAGTGCCGCTGATGCTGCTGACACTGCTGACGCTGCTGATGCTGCTGATGCTGTTGCTGCCAGTAGCACTGCCAGCACTGATGCTTCTTGGAAGGACCCCAGAACCACCACTACTGCCACCTCCACCTTTGTCACGCCTTCTGTCACCTTCAATACAATCACGACCTGTAGTGTCTTCCTCAATCTCACAGGTGCTGCATGCTCGTGCACCCAAGGCCTTCCCACCACAGCCAGCTATAGGTACAGTTGTTTGATTGCTGCAATTTCCCTCATCACCAGCAGCCAGCAGCAGCAGCAGCAGTGCCAGCGACACTCCCGCTCGCAACGCTGTCACACCCCGCTGTGCAGAAGCTATCATCGGATTCAGTTGCACTGGCTATGCTCTCCTCTGCACCCACACTGAGACTCCTCTGGAGCCCACACCCGGTGCCTTCAGCACTGGTGTGGATACAAGCTGAAACCGCAGAGGGAGTGGCAGCGGCAGCAGCAGCAGCAGCAGAGGGCCCTTCAGCCAAATCACCTTCCCCATCCATGAGATCATTCCCAGCCATACAGCCTCGCACAGCCGTGCCCCCCTCTCCATCCACACAAGCATCGGAGCGCACTGACCCACCACTCCTGCCACTGCTGCTACCGCCGTCCCCATCACTTGCTGCAATGAGCCCCTGGCTGCTGAGCTGCTTCAGGTGCTGCCCGTGAGGCGCCTCAAAAGCATCACCCATGCCCTCCGTGCCCCCCCCTCCTGCAACGCCCCCTGGCTGCTGAGCCGGTTCAGCTGCTGCTGCTGGTGACGCACATCAAGAGAGCAATCCGTGCCCTCGCCACCTGCAATGCACCCCCGGCCTGCCCCCTGGCTCAAGTCACCACTGTCCGGCCTCGCATCACCCGCAATGCGCCCCTGGCTACAAAGCCGACTCACATCCTGCTGCTGAGGCGCAAAGACAGGCCCGTCCATGTCCTCGTCGCCTGCAATGCGCACCTGGCTCCTCAGCCGCCTCACATCCTGCTGCTGTTGAGGTGTGTCAAGAGGGCCATCCGTGCCCCTGTCGCCTGTAATGAGCCTCTGAGGCGGGGTGTCAAGAGCGCCATCCATTTCCTCGTCGCCTGCAATGAGCCCCTGGCTGCTGAGCCGCCTCAGGTGCTCCTGAAGCTCTATCAGGCGTCTAGTTGCTGCATCTATTTTACTCAGCCTGTCTGGACTTTCACCTGACTTGCCACCTGGGCTCGTACCGGACCTGCTGCCGGACCTGCTGCCGGGCCTGCTGAGGTTCCTGAGCACTGCAGCGAACCTCGGGCTGAGACACGAGGGGCTAGGCGGGGAAGCAGCAGCAGCAGCAGCAGCTGGTGCGGTAATACCAGGTTGGGCACTACTGGCATTAGATGAACTGGAGAGAGACGCAGTGCTGCTAGCTGCAGCAGCAGCTGCAACAGCAGCAGCAGGAGTACCACCACCACCAGTCGCAATCGCACCAGTCGCAGCAGCACCAGTCGCAATCGCACCAGTCGCAGCAGCACCACTGGCAGTGACACCATTTTCACTCCGTTTTCCCTTCCCCCTGAACCCTAGACACTGGGTCAAAGGATTCTGACCACTCGAGTTGTTCTGTGGAGCAGAAAGGTGCTCCAAGGGTGTTGAAAAAGGGGCATGGTCTAATGATGCAGGAAACATGAAGTTACTGCTGTTATCAGGGCTTCCTGTAACATGGTTACCACCTTCGCCAGGGCTGCTCGCCAACTGGTTACTGCTGTTACAAGAGCTGCTGTGCAGCAGGCTCCGGAAAGACCCATCAAAGGACGAGTCCTCCTCAGTCCTGAATATCCCGCTGTCTCTTAACTGAGCGCCGGTGCTTAGCTGAGAGCTGTTTAGGGCTCCAAAAGGGACTGAGAGGGAGAAACCATCCGCCAGGTCGAGAATGGGAACAGGAAGCATGAACTGGCTGCTGCCTTGTGAGCCTGCATCCTCCTCCCCATAATCCTCCTCATCGTCCTCCTCTTCCTCTTCCTCTTCCTCTTCCTCTTCCTCTTGCTCTATATCATCATCGTCCTCAATTGGTTCCTCCCCCTCCCCCTCCCCCAACCCCCCCCCCTCCTCCCATTCATTCTCTTCCTGGCACTCTTCCCTATCCTCCATCCCTAAACCGAAATCAGCAGCAGCAGCAATGCCACCATCACAAGCAGGAGCATCTCCCTCAGTAGCTTTTGCAGCACCAACTGCAAGCACTGCATGCTTATCCTGATCTCCGTTGCTCTCACCCCTCCCCTTCCCCGTCCCCTTGTCCTCCCCCTCCCCCTTCCCCTTCCCCTTCCCCTCCCCTCCCCTTCCCCTTCCCCTCCCCCTTCCCCTCCCCCTTCCCCTTCCCCTCCCCCTTCCCCTTCCCCTCCCCCTTCCCCTTCCCCTTCCTCTTCCCCTCCTCCTAAAACCCCCTCCCAGGCACGAAATGGGAAACCCCGACCCTCCCCCTTGAGAGCTGCTGATTCTGCTGCCGATACTCACACTCCTCTCGTCGTACTCGTTAAGAGCATCCCCAAGAGCGTCATAAGCTGCAGGAGAGACCATCCATCCAGAAGGCGTTAGAGAAGCAGAAATGCTGCTATCTCCATACTGTTCCCTTAAACTTGCTTCTACAGCAGCAGCGGCAGCAGCAGCAGCAGCGGCAGCAGTAGCAGCAGCGGCGGCGGCGGCTGTAGCCTCGCCTGTAGTCCCACCTGCCTCTCCTCCTAGTCCTGCTCCTAGGTTCTTTACCCGATCCCCTCCGGCGTTCCAGCCTGCTCTTTCAAAGAAGCCAGCACTGATGCCGTCACCCCAGCTCCTGCTTCCTTCCTCACGCACACCAAAGTCAAACGACCCCTGCCTACCACTACCCTCTCCAACCGCTCTCTCTCCAACCCCTCGCTCTCCCACTCCCCCAAACGCGTCCCCAGCTGAGGGCTTGCAACATGGTCGTTCTGGCTCCAGTCCATGTGTCCTTCCAGCCGCATTTCAACACCCCCCCCCGGTTCGGTTCAGGACTTATCCAATTCCCTCTCCTATCAGCAATCCTCATCGCCTCCTCTAGTGCAGAATCGAGGTCCATCGTAGCCGGTGCTGCCCCCATGCGAGGCGCAGCTACACCCTGCCCTGTTGTCTTCTTCCCCCTCTGAGCCATGCTCTTCTGAGGCGCCTCAAGACGGCTCTCCCCCCCCTCTGTCCTGTCAGCCACTTGCATAGCCGCCTCCAATGCGGACTCCAGGTCCATAGTAGGCACCGGCCGCCGAGGGGCATCTGTGTGCTGCTCGGCCTTCCCCCTCTGAGCCATGCTGCTCTTCTGAGGCGCCTCAAGGCCGCTCTCCTCCCCCTCTGCGCTGTCAGCCACTTGCATAGCCGCCTCCAGTGCTGACTCAAGGTCCATAGTAGGCACCGCCCACATGCGCGGGGCCTGCCCGGTCTTTCGCCTCACGATCATTCCTGGCCCCACCCCTCCCTCCGCCACCACCTTGGCTGGCATGCGGATCATCCCACCTCCAGCCCTCCCTCCCTCTCCCCCTCCGCCTCTCCCTTCCCCTTCCCCCCTTTCAGCACTCTCTAGCCGGAACCTGGGGCGTTTCCAGCGCCCCGTTGCCTCTCCCATCTTCGTCCCCTCCTGCCCCGCCGCTGCCCGTTTCGTCAGGGTGAATTACCCTGGAATCCGAGTCAAAGCACCCTATGGCTGCTTCCACCTTCGCTGCTACTGCCAGAATCTCCTCCTCCGAGCAGAGAGACGACTCTGCAGGAAACCCAACGGTTGACCCCGGGGAAGGAGCTGCTTGCACGCCTTCCCCTTCCGCCCCTTCCCCTTCCGCCCATTGCCCTTGCGCCAATTCCCCTTGCTCACATTCCCCTTGCACCCATTCCCCTTGCGCCCCTTCCCCTTGATCCCATTCCCCTTCCGCCCCTTCCCCTTGACCCCATTCCCCTTCCGCCCCTTGCCCTTGCCCTGCTCTACCCCATGGCACGGCCTGCACTGCGTGCACAGCTGCTCTCATGGCTGCTTGCATGGGGGCCGGCTTCTGAGTCGACTCAAAAGTCACTTCTTCCCCTTCCGCCCCTTCCCCTTCCGCCCCTCGCCCTGCCCTCCCCCATGGCACAGCCTGCACAGCACGTACCGCTGCTCTCATGGCTGCTTGCATGTGCGCCGGCTTCACTCTGATGCTGTACACCCGCTTCATGGGGGTACTTGGCACGTCTACCCTGGATTTCGTGGGGGTACTTGGCACGTTACCTGCTGGTACAGGACTTGCCGCGAAGTTCAGAGTTGGGATGGCTGCAACAGCAGCAGCAACAGCAGCACCGCCACCACCACCACCACCACCACCAGCAGTACCAGCAGCAGCAGCAACAGCAGCACCGCCACCACCACCACCACCACCACCACCAGCAGTACCAGCAGCAGCAGCAGGGTGTTGCTTCTTGAGTGCTATGAGCTCTTCGACGTGGCTGCTGAATCGATGGAACGCAGCTTCGATCCTGTCTAAAGTCACTGTCACCTCCTCCTCCCCTCCTTCCCCTCCCTCTCCTCCTCCTCCCTTTCCCTCTCCTCCTCCTCCCTCCCGTCCACCTCCCTTAACTTCGCTTCTTCTGCCCGAGCCAACGTTATTGCTGAATCCTTTAAAAGCCGCTTCGATACTTTCCAGAGTCATTGCCACCTCCTCCCCTCCCTGTCCTTCCTCCCCTCGCTCCCCTCCCTCCCGCTCCTCTCCTCCCTCCTCTCCACATCCTTTAAATTCGCTTCTTCTGCTCGAACCAACACTGCTGCTGAATTCGTTGAAAGCAGCTTCTATCCTGTCTAGAGTCATTGCCACCTCCTCTCCTCCCTCTCCCCCCTCTCCTCCCTCCGCTCTCTCCCCTCCCTCTCCTCCCTCCCATCCCTCTCCTCCCTCTTCTCCCACCTCTCCGCCTCCCATTTGATCCCCTCCCCTACCCGAGTCAACAAGACTGCTGAATCGACTGAAAGCAGCTTCAATCCTCTCCAGAGTCATTGCCACCTCCCCTGCTACCCCTTCTCCCTTTCCCCCCACTACCCCCTTCCCCACCCTCCCCTCACCCTCTCCTCCCTCTTCGTTTCCTTCGTCTTCCCCCGCCTCTCCATCTTCCTTGCCGACTTTATCTCCTGGTGCTTCGTCTCCCTCCTCTTCACCCTTCGGTGAATCACAAGTCAAACCAAGAGGCTCTGCCTCCTGCCCCTCATTACCACCTGCAATGGCTCCTGGCGTTGGGAAGTCTCCCTGCTCCGGCTGCTGCTGCTGCTGCTGCTGCGGTTGCTGCTGCTCCTGCTGCTCCGGCTGCTGCTGCTGCGCCTCTGAGTCAGCAAGTGCCTGAGAGGACAGTAGCGCTTGCTGGTGCTGTGCCTGACCCTCTAGCTCAAACTCTAGCTGTCTCTGTACCTGGCTTTGTAACTGACTCCGTAACTGACTCCGTAGCTGATAATGCAACTGACTGTGTAACTGATTCTGTAACTGACTGTGTACGTCCCTGTGTAACTGATTCTGTAACTGAATCTGTAACAACTGCTCTGACGCCCCATGCTGTGACCCGATCCCTTCCATCCTCCTACAGTCACTTGCGCTACTGTCACAAGTGCTGTTCCCTACACAACTGCTGCTGCTGCTGCTGGCGTTAACCCCTGGGCCAATCCTAGCCATCTTGCCATCCCTTTCGATCTTATCCTCACCCACCCACCGCCCAGCGTATCCAGCTCGGATTTCCGCCAGCCTGGCAGCCAGCTCAGCATCTCTCTCAACGGATGCGCGAGACGGTAGGCCACACGTGGCACGCCACCTGGCAGCAGAGGCTGGACGGCAGGGGACGGACAGACGGCGCGGCTGAGCTGGCGCTGACTCAAAAGCAGGGAAGTGAGCTGGAGCTGACTCAGCGGCATCTGGTTGAGCTGGAGATGCTGACTCGGCAGCAAGTAGCTGAAGGGAGCCGGCTGCTGTTGCCATTTCTGCAGCAATTTTTGCTGCTATTGCTGCTGCAGCCGCTGTAGAATCAAATGACGCCGACGCTGCTGAAGCACCAAACGACGCTGAGGTTGCTGAAGCACCAAACGACGCCGACGTGTCCAGCGCCTTGGAATCTCCCGAGGCTGCTTCTCCCCTGTTGGCCAGCACGGCCAGCAAGGCTGGGGGAAGCGTCGCTGACGCCAGCAAGCTCCCAGAGAGCGACTCTGCAGACGCGTCCGTGCGAGGAAGGGAGTCCGTTGCTGTGCTGTACGAGAGGGATGGCGATGGCTCAGAGTGTGCGAGTGCCTTGGTACTGCTCTGACCCCCAACCTCAGCGAGTGCCTTGGTACTGCTCTGACCCCCAACCTCAGCGAGTGCCTTGGTACTGCTCTGACCCCCAACCTCAGCGAGTGCCTTGGTACTGCTCTGACCCCCAACCTCAGCGAGTGCCTTGGTACTGCTCTGACCCCCAACCTCAGCGAGTGCCTTGGTACTGCTCTGACCCCCAACCTCAGCGAGTGCCTTGGTAATGCTCGTAGAACGATCCTCACCCTGAGCTGGATGACCCCCATCATCACCATGACCCCCATCATCACCATGACCCCCATCATCCCCATGACCCCCATCATCACCATGACCCCCATCATCACCATCCACCCCGGCATCACCATCAACTGCAACAGCACCATCCTCGCTATCATCATACCTGCTATCGTTACAACGCCGCCTCCCATCAACACCAGCCTCCTCCGAAACCTTTCTGCTACCCCCCTCGCCAACCATTTCCCCAATCCCCCTCCCAGCTTCCTCTAAAACTTTTCTTCCACCCCGCTGACTTGCCACTTCCCCAGGCAGCTCCCCACCAGCCTTGCCAACAGCTCTTCCCGCTTCCGCTATTCCCCCGCATTGGAATCCTGCAACCGCCCAGCCTCCCCTGAGACCTCCTTTCCATCCCGCTGGCTTGCCACGTCCCCTGCCCCTTCCCCACCCGGCTCCCCACCAGCCTTGCCAACAGCCCTGCCTACTTCCGCTACTCCCGCAGCATTGGAAACTTGCATCCGCTCGATACTGTCACCCCCCTCAGTACTGGCTCTGCCACTCGAATTGCCCAATATCAAATCAGAGCCGTTCCTCTCCCTCTCCTTCACCCTCCTGATCGCGTTTATGTGCATCTGATTCCGCCTCCCCAATTGCCTGAATTTATCCGTGAACCCCACCTGCCCCTCACCCTCCGAACCTGCTCCGCCCTTCCCCACCATATCGAACGACAGGCCGTAGTCACTGTAGCTCGCCATGTCTACAGACCCATCCCCTGATTCACAAACCCCCTCTAATCCTGTGTCTGCGCCGCTTTCCCCTGCCTCCCGCTCCTCGTTAAAATCTCCTTCGCTACTTTCACTGTGCCTGCGGCTCACAACTTCGGGGTTACTATTCTCCGCTATAGAGTCGAGCAGTTGACCTTCTAACGAGGTGGACCGGCTCCTCTCCTTCTCCTTCACCCTCCTTATCGCGTTTATGTGCATCTGATTCCGCTTCCCCACTTGCCTGAACCTTTCCGTGAAACTTCCCTGCTCCTCGCCACTTGCTCCGGCCTTCCCTACCATATCAAACGAAATGCCGAAATCACTGTAGCTCGCCATATCTACACTGCCATCTTCACTACCACACAATACATCGTCGCCATCGTCATAAAAGGGGTTATTCATACCCGTTGCAAGGGCACTCGATGGAGGCAGACTGCCGGAAATCTCGATAGCAGCACTTTCAAGATCCGAGATCCGAGTCAGGCGGTTGCGTAAGTCGCAAGAATCCCCTCTCTCCTGCCAGCTCTCGGCTTCCGTTACTCTACTAAGCGCGCGAGTTAAGTTCATAAGCCTCGGCATCACATCATCGTCCTCGCTATAAGCTGACGCGTGCAAAGACGACGCTGATTCGAGAGGTTCGTCGTCGCCTGCCTTTCCGTTTCCCCTCGCGCTTCCGGGTTTCATTCCCGGAAGGAAGAACATCCCGCCTTTGCCGTTGGTTACCACGTCGACGGTTCGCCGGATCCATTTCGCGCCTTTCTTCCCGCCTCGCAGGCTTATTCGCTTCAGGCGGTGAAGCGAGAGAGCCTGCTTCGACGGACCAGCGGAATCCGCAGAACCAGCGGAACCAACGGCCCGAAAATTCGGGTTCAGGGAACCCTCACACTCTGGATGTAGATCTTGAAACCCTGTTGGTGAACCCGGTAACCATGGCGACCCAGAAAATCCGGGTTCGTCAATTTGCTGCGGTTCGTAGACGGAATCTTCTGGTAAGGCGTCGAGCTGAGAGGAGTGTTCGGCTGTGTCGACTATGGCTTCCTCTACCGATTGGTACTTAGAATCGTAAAGGAGCACGTACGCATCTCCGCAGTCGACGAGAACCAGCGAGTCTTCTTCCGTCGCCATATGTGCCTACTAATGTCTACTAATGTCGAGAACAAAGATGAGTCGAACTAAGAGACCGCCGGACTAAGAGACGGCTACGCAGAACAGGAAATGCGTGGATTCTCGTTGGCGGCTTCTAACAACGTATCCGCAACTCTAGAACTCATCGCGAACAATTGGCTGTGTTGAGATGCTAGGACCTAGAACTTCAACCAAGTCGAACAAATCACAGATATTGCCAACCCTGAAAGCTTCCGAATGAAGAAAACACTGACTACATGCCGAACGAATCCACGCCGGGATGCAGTTGACATAGGTTTGTGTGAGGCGTTGACAACTTAGGTGTATGTGGGAAGTTAGAGGGATGATGGATGGCGGAAACGCGGAGAGGGGCGAGGTATGGCGGAAACGCGGAGAGGGGCGAGGTATGGCGGAAACGCGGAGAGGGGCGAAGTATGGCGGAAACGCGGAGAGGGTCTGTCTGATGAAAAACAGGAAAAACGGGAATACGGTCCACGGCATGTCATGGTGGGGGAAAGCGCATGGGGGGAAGGGTATGGCGGAGCCGAGGTCTTGGAGGGGGGGCGTGGCGGAGGTCATGTCATCAAGAGCGGAAGTTGTAACAAGAATGGGTGCTCCCAAGAATGCCCCGCGGCGGAATAGGAGCTGATGCGGGGGCGAGGCGCAGTGCAAGCGGACGTGGATTTGGATTGAAAGCCACACGGCAGAGAGGCGGAAGCGCTGTTTCGATTGGCTGAGAAACTCTGACCGGCCACTGGCCACACCATTGGTGCGCGACCGCGTGGCTTGTCGGTGCAGCGAAGAACAACTCTGGCGGGGGAAGGCCGGTTAGGGGCTTGTCGGGGAGCCGGGGTTGGGGGGGCTTTTGCCAGCGTGGACTGATGCAGGACTCCCCAAGCCGAGATGTCGGCATTCAGGCGCGTTGGCAACGACTTTCGTGGATGCCCCAGCGCCACCAGCAGGAAACTCTCGTCCGAAATGTTGAACAGAGCGAAATTGTTACACTTTTTCCCTTTTATTGTCTCACCCGGAACAGTCAAAATTTTACTCTCACCTACCAGGTTCTCAGCATGACTCGCGTTGACACTGAACCTGATTGGCTGCAGTCTGAACGATAACGAACTACCAAGTTGTATTTCGAGAATTGCGAGTTTCTGAGCTGGGACGTCGCGCAGGCAACTAATCCAGTGCATGAGCGAGATTTTGTAACCAAGTGTCATTTCTTACTGTGGGATTTCCCCTTCAAAGTCCCGTTTGCTCGTGTTTTACAATTTCCTGCTTACAGGACTAATCCGCGTTTAAAAATTGTAAAACTAAATAGGATAACAGGTTTACAAAGAGGTGCGTTTGCATTGGTGGGCCTTGCGCCGATTCCAAACTGTAAGCGCGCGATCCTTATCGAGGACAGAAAATATCGAGGCCGCGAAATTTGAAGCGTCAAAGCCTCTCCAGTTTCGGTTTCCCGCCAAAACCCCCTCCTGCCACCACGTTTCTCTCGGGAGTTTTTGGAGACTTCCAAGTGGCTGCATTCTTCCTTGCACTGGCTGTTTTTCCAGCAATGGAGGCAGCACTTGTGTAAAGGGGTGAACAGGAAGAATGCAACCACTTGTGAGGCAGCACACAGATAGTCACGGGCTTTGTCTTAGTCACAAGCTTCCGTCGCGAGACTTTAAAGCCCGCCCGGCAGGTTGCATATTTGTTCGGTTTAGGTAGGTGGGGCGGCAGAACTTGATTGGACGACGAAGGATTATGGAAACGATATAATCCCGCAGCACTAATCAGCAATCCCGTGGCGGGGTTCCAGGCTCTGAGAGTCTTACATACAAACGATATTTTCTCGTCTTCAGTTCGGTCAGCGCAGTACATACAAGCGTACCGCATAGTGACATCCCGGAGCCCGTGATTGCCGACCCTAGTTTCCAACCTCCCCCCTCCCCCCCGTAGATCAGCTTCGCATCCTGCTTTGTGCTACGCATAAGTCTGATATCGGAACCGTTTAGTCCTTTTAGGCGTCACTGTAGCTCTGACCAATGGATTTCAACGTAACCTCGAGAAAACGAGCAGCACCGTCGGCGGCGCAGGGTCCCGGCGCGATCGGCGCCGACGGTCGCAGCGTAGGAGCTTCAGGATGGAAAGCCGCCGCAGGAAGCGGCGGGGTTTCCGGCTGCCAGCTGTCGATGTACGACGAGCCGCCGGTGGGGGAGGAAGTAGCCATGGAGCAATTCGAGGAGTTCGCTCTGGATCGACTCCGGGGTGAGTTGCCTGTTTTTGCCTGGGCTTGGTATCCAGTGCTGAGACTCTCTATGTACGACGACCCGCCGGTGACTTGCGAGTCGACTCAACAGTCGCCTTTTTATAGAGGGCTTAGAATCTAGTTTTGAGGCTGTCGATGTACGACGAGTCGCCGGTGGGGTAGGAGGTAGCCATTGAGCGACTCGAGGAGCTTGCTCTAGACTGGCTGCGGGGAGAGCTGGCACGTTTTCTTAATTTCGTGGTATCTAATTTCAATGCGAGCCGCCGGTGGGGGAGGAGGTAGCGATGGAGCAAGTCGAGGAGTTCGCGCTGGACCGGCTCCGGGGTGAGCTGGCACGTTTACGTGTAGTGTACAATCGAACGGCCGAAAGGATGGTCCTAGGTTCATCGCGTAGCGCTGATCTACGGTTCATGGTGCAGTCAGGCCTTGAAACCAGCAGCATACGCTGGCCTTAATTATGTCGCTGCTGGCAGGCGAGCATGTTTTAGATTCGACCTTGCGAGGTCATGTCGTAGCGTAGAAGCTCGGGTGTTCCGGTCCATGTGGATGCGGCCTCTTGAGTCGGCGTATAACGCGGTTTTGGGGTAGATTCGATGGTCTGGCCTTAGTTCTAGATTCTACCTTGCGAGGTCGTGTCGTAGCGTGTATTCTTTAGCGGGTGTTCCTTCCCTGTCGACGAGCGTAACACGGATTAGCTCTCCCTCTTCATACGAGATGCTTTCATCATGAAAGTGATGTGCGTTGTGCTCAAAGCGACTGTCGATGCCTCGTCAGCCAACTTATAATGCGGCTTTTTATGCGATCCTTAGACTTCATTGTGCGATGTCCTCAAGGCGATATGTCTCGTCTTGAGACGTATAACGCGGTTTTGGAGTCGGTTCTCGTTTGCGTGTTCGCAGTGCTCAAGGCGATCGACAATGCCTTGTCTTGAGTCGGCGTATACTTTATGCTGCTTTCGTTTCCGTTTGCGCAGTGCTCAAGGCGATCGACGATGCCAAGGCGCGCGGAACAAAGCCGGACGAACTCGACAGCATGGTACGAGCGGGGTACTTCTGACGAAATGGCGTTGATAGACTGGCATTGACAGACTGGCGTTGATAGACTGGCGTTGATAGACTGGCTTTGACGGACTGGCATTGATAGACTGGCAACAACGTTTAGACACGGTAGGAACGTACCTTTTTCTGGCATTCAAGAAGAGATGGTGGCAGAACCGTTGCGCTTTGCGGATTTGCAGGTGTCTGACATTTGGCGGAGGCACATGCGAGCTGGATGCTCACTGGCCGACGCTCGTCGCAAGGACGTCATTTCGCACTACATCCTGCGACTCGCCTACTGTCGCACGTGAGTTTTAAGGCAAATGTTCAGTCGACTCAGAAGCGCATCCTGCGACTCGCCTACTGTCGCACGTACAGTCTAATTTTCTGCACAAGGGCCTCCCTTTTCTCACTGCGTGTTTGTCCTCGTTACTGAACGATCTGCTGTTGTTGGATTTCGCGATTCAGGGAGGAGCTGCGGCGATGGCTGCTGGCGCAAGAGTCAGCTCTGTTCCGCCACCGATTTCGAGCAGAGGCGCCCGAAAACCAAGTAAGGGTCGAGGCAGTCGGGTGTGAATTGTGAATTCAGTGTCAGATGAGTTAATCCAAACAACCAGGATAGGGGTCTAGATAGTCAGACTCGCGGTTGAGGAGTTAAGGGCGCAATACCGTTGCGACCCGAACAACTTCTTTTCTTCTAGATTACACCATTTCATGGATCCCATTCAGACCCCCTCTGCTTTGTTTTTTTTGTTGTTTTCGCCTATTGCCGTACAGAGGTGGTTCTTGGAGAGCAATGGCCTTCCCTATCGTGCTATAGGCGCATCAGAGATGACAGTAAGTGGTGCTTCTAAGCACTTTCACAATTCTTCACCATGAAGTGCCATAGTTGGCACCTGTGCTGTAATTCTCTCCCTTGCTTCTGTTCTTGCACTATGTACCACCAGTGCCATTCTATCCGTTGAAACCTCGCTGAATACACAAGAGACCAGGGCCTCCACGTCACTTGCACACGGCAGCTCCTCGTTTCTCGTCCTCTCACCCGCTCGCCCTCCCTCCCTACCTCCCAATCGTCCTGGCCTCTTCTCGTCCCTCCTTTCCTCTGCCTCTTCTCGTCCCGCCTATCCTGGCCTCTTCTCGTCCCTCCTTTCCTCTGCCTCTTCTCGTCCCGCCTATCCTGGCCTCTTCTCGTCCCTCCTTTCCTCTTCCTCTTCTCCGCCTTTCCAGGCAGTATGAGAGAACCTCACTGATACTGCCAGGTCACTGAACCAGCCGGTACCTAAGACTCTTCCCTCTCCACCTCCCTATGGTCCTCGCCCCTTCCTCTCCTCTCCTCTCCTCTCCTCTCCTCTTCTCTCCTCTCCTCTCCTCTCCTCTCCTTCCCTCGTGCAGGCAGTACGAGAGAAGCTCACCCAAGTGGCCAGGTCACTCAACCAGCCTGTTCCAAGTGGTAATTGCTTTTCTCGCTCTACCACGACAGTCCAGCCGCACTCTCTTATTCTTATTGCGTCTACCTATATCTCCCTTTCATTGCACCTTCTTGAGACCCGAAACTTAACGTTTACTCGGATCTTCCCTACTCCGCCCGAACCTATATCCATGACCTTTTCAACCAATTTGCCATGGATAACACTGCGCCAGTCGACAGCATATTCTACAAGGTGAGCTCGTCGAAACAGTTGGTGGTAATGTCGTCAATAACAGGTGTAATAACAATGCTACCATAGCAGTTCAGGGTCACATGCATGCTGGTAGGAACCTTTTTCTGACTCCGTGCTTCACCTGTCTCCACTGCAGGTTCCATTTGAGGAGGTTCCTGATCTGGTGGGCTCTCGCAGGGTGTATCTGGAGAAGGGCTTTGCCTTTGTGCCTAGAGACCAGGTACGCCCTACACTTTTTCCTGAGCCGGTATGGCATGTCACTTGATCTACTGGCTCCTCTCCTCCGGTTCTCGATGCCCTTCCCTTACTCCCGTTGCTGCTGATTGTTCCCCTCAGTGCTGAATGCCCATTCCCCTCAGTGCTGAATGCCCCTCCCCCTCAGTGCTGAATGCCCCTCCCCCTCAGTGCTGAATGCCCGTTCCCCCTTACCTGATTTTCTGACTCCGAACTGGTCCTGTTTCCCCCTGTTTCCCCCTGTTTCCCCCTGTTTCCCCCTGTTTCCCCCTGATTCCCCCTGTTTCCCCCTGTACCCCCCTGTTTCCCCCTGTACCCCCCTGTTTCCCCCTGTTCCCCCCTGTTTCCCCCTGTACCCCCTGCTTCCCCCTGTTTCCCCCTGTTTCCCCCTGTTTCCCCCTGTTTCCCCCTGTTTCCCCCTGTTTCCACCGTTTTCTTCTGTTTTCCCTTTTTTTCCATCTCCGGTCGGACGCTGCGGGGTCAGCTAGCAGCCATAGTGGTGGGTCAGTTCCGATCCAAGCTATCCAAGGCACTGGTGGCTACCAACAGGTGAGCACAAGGCTTATCACGGGGAGGTGTTATCCATTGGCGTATAGCAGGCCAGTCAGTCAGCTGGCAGCCAAGGTAGTGGGCCAGTTCCGATCCAAGCTGTCCAAAACAGTAGTTGCCACCAACAGGTGAGCACAAGGTTTATCGGGGGGAGGTGTTATCCGTGAGTCGGTCAGCTGGCAGCCATAGTGGTGGGTCAGTTCCGATCCAAGCTGTCCAGGGCACTAGTGCCCACTAACAGGTGAGTGCAGGGATTCTGCGTTGAGTGAGTAAAAATCTCCTGTCTTCTTGCTCTCCTTGGAACTTCTGATATTTCCATGATGTGGATATATGTATGCATACATGTATACACACATATATAAAAAAACAATCTCGTTGATATTTCCCATTTCGTTGCCTGTTTCCCAGGAAGTGGCTTGCTCACATACAGGAAGATGAGAAAGAGCGGTTGACACCGGTATGTGCTCGTTATTGGAAACAACCATCCCCAGTGGCCCGGCTTGCTCTCATTATTAAGAGCGGTTGCCTTTCCCTTAGTAGCCCCCCACTGTAGCCTGCCCCATTAACTTCACAGCCAACGATTCTTTTTATTACCCATTTTATCCCAAGCAGGTGATTGAGGCACTCAGCACACGCTATCTGGGTCCAGACTTCTCCCAGGTAATTCTGCCTTCCACACCTTCTGAGTTAACCACTTTTCAGGACTCCGTTTCTTGAACCAATCTGCTGTTTGAACGAGGCACTCAGCTCACGCTATCTGTGCCCCAGCCTTTCCCAGGTAATATTGCTTACCAGTACCACCCGAATCATGCTGCTTCTAAATACCAGGGAATGTTCACGCCGCTGTTCACTTTCTCCCCCCCTCCCACCTTCATCTCCCCCCTTTCCCCCCTCCCCCCTTCCCTGCACTGCCCTGCCAGCCTGGCGAGACTGCTGAGGTGTCGCTCCGTGATTTGGACGTTGTTGCGCGGCAGTCCTTCCCCCTCTGCATGCGCCATCTCTTCTTCAAGGTAGCTGCTTTTGAGTCTCTTCTTCAAGGTAGCTGCTTTTGAGTCTCTTCTTCAAAAGCATCTCTTCTTCAAGGTAGCTGTTCTTCGCTCTGCCTGCTGTTCAAGAGCACCTCGTGTCTGTAGGCATGCAAAGATATGTGCATTACGTTCACCTATCGCACCACCTCTTCCCCACGTTACTCGTGCATTATTCAAGACGTCTGTGCGGCATGCCTAGAAAGGTGCGGAAGTAGTGGTTACCTCACACCTCTAGGCATCATGCCTCACCTCGACGTGTGAGATGTGAGGTACCACTACTTCCTCGCACGTCGTTATGCGTTCCCTCTGCATGTGCCACCTTATCCTCAAGCTACACAACTGTTTAGGTGATACCATGCCCATGTTCACGTTATTACAATGCCTGCTTCAATCTGTGCTATGCCCACCTTCCAAGCATCAAGCCCCATGGCCTATGACCTATGTTAAAGGCCCAAGCCCAGTGTTCTTGCCCCACATCCGACGCCCAGCCAACCTACCTATTCCACCCAAAGCTGAAGCCAACCCATTCAAGAGCTCACACCCCCATGTCTCACCCTCCTGATGCTCCCAGTTGAGAGAGGAACATCACCTGCGCCACGGCGGGAGAATGCAGCTCGGGCTCTTTCTGAAGGTACATATTTTCAAGGCTTGTGCAAGAGTATTTGCAAACCAACCAGGTTCCTCTATGCCCCTTCCTCAATGCTTTATAAAGCCTGCATTCTATGCACTCTTGTTCAGCCTGCCAATGACTGGGGCGCCCCACCTTCGCAATATATGATATCCCTTCTACAATCCCTTTGTCATTCCTTGGTATTCCTCCTCGCTTTTACCTCCCTGCAGGGAATAGGGCTGCGATTAGAGGTTTGCGCTCACCTTTTGGCGCTCTGAGTTCAGCCGTTGCCCCTCCTTCCCTTCACTCCCTCCCTTCACTTCCCTCCACTCCTCGCCCCTCTATGCAGGGCATCGGGCTGCGATTAGAGGATGCTCTCACCTTCTGGCGCTCCGAGTTTTCTAAAAAGGTACGTCTAGGTTAGGGAAGCAGGTGCAGGGTTGTCGAGGCGCATGAACCACAAGCTTTTGAGACGCATATGCTAGTTAGCTCTCCTCTTCTCCATGCCAATAACGGATGGGAATGGAGGGACTCAACAAGGAGTAGAGGAGAGCTAAGAGCATTCCATCCAGCACCTACAGCAAGGAGGGCAAGCGCGCGGACTACGCTCCATCTGTATGAATACACTACTTCTCACTTTCTTTCCTTAATAATATTTTCTTTTGCAGGTGGGAGTGGAACGATTTGACAAGGAGTATGCGTACTCCATCCGGCATAACTACGGCAAGGAGGGCAAGCGCACGGACTACACCCCTTTTTCCTGCGTGAAGGTCATCATGGGCACTCCAGGAGTGGGGGACCACCATGGGTGCCCCTTCAAACACTTCAGGTGTGTGTCATACATGTGGCAAGGAGGGCAAGCGCACCGACTACGCCCCGTTTTCCAGCGTCAAAGTCATCATGGGCACTCCAGGGGTGGGGGACCAGCTGCCCGTTCAAACACTTCAGTTATTTACTATCTCGTGCTGCTAATCCAGTGCAGTCTCTCGAGGTGACTGAGTCGACTCAAAAGTTATCTCTGTGCTGCTAATCCGATGCTGTCTCTTGCAATGAGCGTGCCTCACCTTTGGCTGTTCGTGAGCTCTTTGTGGGTCTCCCATGGGTAGATCAACACTTGTTCTCTGACCCTTCCACCTGCTCCATGCAGCGAGGAGAACTTGAGGGCTGCCGTTTCTCGCATGGGGGTGTCGTCCGGAGCGGCAATGGATGAGATCATGCAAAAGACACGTCAGCAACATTACCAGGTAGGCTGATGCACCTGTAATCTCGCTCATGTAACCGCAAAAAGCTGACATCAACACCTCAATATGGCTCATCTTGGCATTTACAATGCTCATGGAACAAAGAGGTCACATGCATTTATAAGCTTGTGTTTTTGGGATCCTTCTTCACTTGTGATTATTTTTCTTGCACATATGATTTTCTCATGGCAGATTTCCTGTGCCTTGACGTTTGAGGCGTCCCAAGGAGCACCATGCCCCTCAGGGATTACACATCCGAACCAGTACTTCATGCTCAGCAGACAAATTATCGACGTAAGTTGAAGATCTTGCCTGCTTGCTCTTAATATTTTTGCCTTTTTATTCAGCTATATGATCCGCTGATCCTTGTGACGATATGGATGTGATTCCAGGGACGAACGCAGCCATCTGGCCCACAAGGACAGCAGCAAAGGCAACCAGAAGCACGTGACAATCGGCCAAGTGAAAGGCCTGGTGTTGCTAGTAACAATGGTGATGAACGAGAAGGGACCACGGGCCATACTTCAACGCAAGCTGGCAGAGGGGACGCGAGACCACAGCTAGTTATTGGAGAGATGGATGTACACACGTGAAGGTAGGACCAGTTTGGGTTGCTAATGAAGGTTCTGAAATACAATGTGAAGTCAATTTAGAAGCGTATACAAGAGCTGCCTCAGGTTACAGCGAGTTTCTCTATCACTGCCATCAGATCGCGTTCTGAAGTTCAAACTTCGGTTGTCGGTCGGCCCAAATTCAGAACGCGATCTCAGGCTCGAGGTTTGACCTCGAGCTAATCCGAACCGACACCAAGCCGACGTGCACCTGCTCGCTCGGCAATGTACCATCGCCGATCACTTTCGCGAGTGCAGCAGGGTGCGGTGTGGTCGGTCAAATTCTCCCATTCGATGATAACAATTCGGTTTCAGTCAGACATTGGGATCTCCGTTTTCTGTGCGTCTGTCAGCTCACCACTTGGAGTTCAGGAATTGAGATCTCTGTTTTCTGGTGGCTTGATGTAGCCATTTCTACCACAGCCCTCTCACTTCACAACAACTTACTCAAGCCTCACTCTGGTTCTGCAGGCAGATCGGCACTAGTGATCCTCTAAGACGGGACGGACAGCCGGAACTTGCTCCCGCTTAGCTGGATTTTCACGTTACTTGGCGAGATACCGGAAATTCCTATCGTTGAATTTATTGACAGTTTGTTAACAGTTTGCTGAGGCCGTCTGACGTTATCTGCGCTGACGCGGCTCGTCATCATGGGGAAGGCGGAGGTTATTTCGAACGTCTTGCTAGCTGGTAGGACTTTGTCAACTGCCTGCCGATTCTCGTCGCGTTCCTGCATCTTTACATGAGTCCGTTTAAAGGTCTAACTCCGTACTCACCTGGACCTGGATCTGAATGTGCCAATCCTTCCTGCTATCCAGTACTTGCATGAGTTCAGAAACAGAAACTCCTTCGGGGCTCTATATGCGAGTATCTATCATTCTTTCGATTCCTTACGACGAAGCTTTGCGTGACTAGACTGAACAGCCGATCGATTCCAAGTTGAACGGCAGATCAGTCATGGCTGTGCTTTGCTTCTTCTTCTTTCCTTGTCTTGTTTTTTTTTCCGTCCATTTTGACCCACGTCAGGACTGTCCGTGGCTCCTGTCTTCGTGAACGATGTTTGAGTCGATCCAAAAATCACCGGATTGCCTTTTGTTCTTTCTAAGACTCCAATCTGACTCCAATCTGACCCACATCAGGACTATCCGTGGCTCCTCTCTTTGTGAACATCAACCCCAATTTCAATGTCGTCGCGATGGCTTCGCTAACCGTTTTCGCCGGTTGTTATCGCTCCGTCAAGCCGTCCGCGCCAGCTGTGAGTGAATTCAGAGTGGTTTTCACTCACTTCGCAGTGTTTCTTCTTCTTCTTCTTCCCGTTCTCTTTTATCTGACCCCTACCCTTCCCTCTCCTCTCGGGTTTTCCCCCATTTCCACTTAATCAACTTTTGGTCCATTTCCCTCCAGTCAAATTTTCTTTGTCTCCTCCCTCCCCCCCCACCCCCCCCCCCCCGCCCCCCACCCCACACCTCCCTTTTTCCCTCCATCCGTTCAGGAGACCATGTCCAAGGAGCACGTCATGCGGTTTCCCAGCATAGGCAGCGCCGTGCTCTTCTCCCTCTCGCCAAACTATGTTTCGACTCATCACTCTACTCCTCCCCCCCACCCCCCGTGCCCCCCCTCGCCCCCCCCTTCCCCCGGTTCGCATCTGTTCAGGAGACCATGTCCAAGGAGCACGCCATGCGGTTCCCCATCATAGGCAGCGCCGTGCTCTACTCCCCCTCGTCAATCTCTGCGTCGACTCGCTGTGTACCCTCCACCCCTCCCCCCCTCCCCCCACTCCCCTCCCCCCGTCCCCCCAGGAGACGATGTCCAAGGAGCACGCCATGCGGTTCCCCATCATAGGCAGTGCTGTGCTCTTCTCGCTCTTCCTACTCTTCAAGTTCCTCCCAAAGGACCTCGTCAACATGGTGCTCAGCGCCTACTTCGTCTTCCTGGGCGTCATGGCTATTGGGTAAGCCAGGCATGCTGTTTGTGCCATCTGGCATGTGAGAAGTTGAAACAACAAATAAGTTCCTCAAGTTCCTCCCTAAGGACCTCGTCAACATGGTGCTCAGCGCCTACTTCGTCTTCCTGGGCGTCATGGCTATTGGGTAAGCCAGGCATGCTGTTTGTGCCATCTGGCATGTGAGAAGTTGAAACAACAAATAAGTTCCTCAAGTTCCTCCCTAAGGACCTCGTCAACATGGTGCTCAGCGCCTACTTCGTCTTCCTGGGCGTCATGGCTATTGGGTAAGCCAGGCATGCTGTTTGTGCCATCTGGCATGTGAGAAGTTGAAACAACAAATAAGTTCCTCAAGTTCCTCCCTAAGGACCTCGTCAACATGGTGCTCAGCGCCTACTTCGTCTTCCTGGGCGTCATGGCTATTGGGTAAGCCAGGCATGCTGTTTGTGCCATCTGGCATGTGAGAAGTTGAAACAACAAATAAGTTCCTCAAGTTCCTCCCTAAGGACCTCGTCAACATGGTGCTCAGCGCCTACTCCAACTTCCTGGGCGTCATGGCCCTCGGGTGAGCCAGGCACGCTGAATGGATCCAAGAGTGACTGGCATGTGAGAGGTGACTTCTGTGCTGACTCAAAACACACTTTTGAGAATTCTTAGAATCACTCCACTCTGGTGACTCAAAACACGCTTCGCTACTCAAGTTCCTCCCAAATGACCTCTCAACATGGTGCTCCGCACCTACTCCGCCTTCCTCGGAGGCGTGGCTATCGGGTGGGTGGGTTGGTGTGTAATGAGTCGACTCAAAAATCGGGTATCGGGTGGGTGGGTTGGTGTGTAATGAGTCGACTCAAAAATCGGGTATCGGGTGGGTGGGTTGGTGTGTAATGAGTCGACTCAAAAATCGGGTATCGGGTGGGTGGGTTGGTGTGTAATGAGTTGACTAAAAAATCGACTCATTACACTCGGAGGTGTGGCTATCGGGTGGGTGGGTTGGACCTCATGCTTTCAGTGGACTGCCAAGTCATGATGGTAGAGTGCGTTGCGAGGCAGCGGTTCTGAGTTTGAGCTCGAGCTTAAGTGAATGAACAGAGGGTTTGATTAAAACCAGGATGAACTAGTTTCGGCTGTAAAAAGCCTTCATCAGCATCTGAGGCGTGGCTATCGGGTGGGTGGGTTGGACCTCATGCTTTCAGTGGACTGCCAAGTCTTTTGAGTGGCACTTAGGTTGGCTGGAAAGGGGCCAACAGTGTCGGGAACAGAGTTGTACAGCTGGCCAACTTCAGCACACCCTTTCTATTGTCAGATTCACTTCCTTCCTTCCACGTGTTCCCCTCAACTCATCTTGTTGCGTTCTTGCCTTGCTCCCCTATTGGCCTGCTGGCACCCGCCTCCCCCGTTCTCCTCTTGTTGCATTCTTGACTTTCTGCGGTCTTGCCTTGTTGCCTTGCTCCCCCTGCTGGCACCCGCTCGCCTCCCCTGTTCTCCTCTTCGCAGGGCCACAATTCTTCCTCTTGTGTCGCGATTTGTGCCGGCCAAGTGGAATGAGGATATTTTCTACTGGAAGGCGCCGTATTTTAAAGGTATGCTTTGTGGATGAATAGTTTAGTTTTGAGACGTCTCAAAGTGGAATGAGGGTATTTTCTACTGGAAAGCGCCATATTTTAAAGGCATGCTTCACGTTCACCCGCTTCGAAGCTTGTTCACAGTCATCCACCGACATCTCCCGTTGCTGATTTGACTGCACTGCTGGTTGTGCTGTGCTCGTTGCAACGTGACAAGCATTGCTGATTTTACTTCTGTTCGGTGCTCGGGAATTTCACTCTGTCCCCTTCTGCGTTCCTCCCCTCTCTCCCCCCCCTTCTCTCCCACTCACGCACCCTCAGCTCCCAGACTTCGAGATCGAGCTGAGCTGACAATGGATCACGCGGTGGCGGGCATTCTTAACCCACCCCGCCACACTCACTCACTCACTCTCCGCGATCACATAACTCTTTACCTCACTCACTCGCCCTCTGCTCCCAGACTTCGAGATCGAGCTGACCATGGCTCAGGCGGTGGCGGGCATTCCCAGCGCGGCGTTCTGTGTGTGGTACGTGACGCGCAAGCACTGGTTCGCCAACAACGCGCTCGGCCTCGCCTTCTCCCTGCAGGGCATCGAAATGCTCTCCCTGGGGTCCTTCAAGATCGGAGCCATCCTGCTGGTGAGTCGGGCTGCTGGGTCAATGGCTGAAGCCTGGTTGCCGCGTCTGTGCAAGCCCCCCTGTTCCTAGGTCCTTCTCGCTGCAGGGCATTGCAATGCTCTCCCTCGGCTCCATCAAGATCGGAGCCATCCTGCTGGTGAGTGGGGTTACGGTGTCCATCCTTTTCGCTCTCATCCCCTCCCCTCTACACTCCCTCTATTTCCCCCCTCTTTCTTTCCCCCACTTTCCTTCCCCCTTTTTCTTCCCCCCTCTCTCTTTCCCTATCTTCCGCCAGACTGGCCTCTCCTTCTATGTCACCCTCTAGGTCGTCGTCCACACCTGTGTGATGGCCCATGCTGCCAAAATGCCCAAACAGCTCTTGATCTGAAGTGCCTCTTTTCCCCCCATCCCGCCCCCTCTTTGATTCGAGACAGGTTTTAGTCCCTAACCTATCCTGTTTCCTCTTTCCAACGTGTCCTCCTCCTCCTCTTCTTTCCAATGCCCCCCCCTCCCCCTCCCCCCCCCTTTCTTCCCCCGGATTGGTCTCTTCTCTTCGTCTACGACATCTTGTGAGTCTTCTTCACCCCGGTTACATTCCCTCTTTCCAATGTGGCTGTTCTCTTCTCTTCCCCCCCCCCCTCCCCCCCCCCCACCAAACCCCCCTTTCTTCCCCCAGACGGGTCTCTTCTTCTACGACATCTTCTGGGTCTTCTTCACCCCGGTTATGGTCTCTGTGGCCAAGTCATTTGACGCGCCCATTAAGGTAGGCAAAAGTAAACAGCACAATAGTTTTAGGCTTTGCAGAGCGAGCTTCTTTGACAGGCACAGTTCGTTTGAGCTGCTCGAGAGAATACTCCCCTCCCTCATTTCTGTCGTTCTTTTGCCCTTTTTGCCCGAGTTCCTTAAAGCGCTCCTGTTTTCCTCAAAACATACTATTTTTGAGGCGCCTCAAAAACGAGTTCCTTAAAGCGCTCCTGTTTTCCTCAAAACATACTATTTTTGAGGCGCCTCAAAAATGAGTTCCTTAAAGCGCTCCTGTTTTCCTCAAAGCATACTCCCCTTTCCCCAAAACTCGGCAGCTGCTGTTCCCAACTGGTGACCTCGCCAGGCCTTTCTCCCTGCTGGGACTTGGCGACATTGTCATCCCTGGTATGTTGCTCCTGCTCCTGCTGTCAGCTGTTTCCTTGGTGTCATTCCTGTTGTGGTATGTTACTCCTGCTCCTGCTGTCTGGTGTTCCCTCGGTGTCATTCCAGGTATGTTTTTCCTTCTCCTGTCTTCTGCTCTGCTGTCCCCTTGGTTGGTGTCGTTCATGGTATGTTTCTCCTGCAGCTGAGATCAGCTGTCTCCTTGGTGTCACCTGCCGCTGCTCCTGCTCCACCCTGCAGGCATCTTTGTGTCCCTCGCTCTCTGAGGGTTTTTTTTTAGTCGACTCGAAGGGTTTCACAGCGTTACATTGTCAGACTTCGCACCTCCCTTTGTCACCTGCCCCTTCTCCTGCTCCTGCTCCTGCTCCATCCTGCAGGCATCTTTGTGGCCCTCGCTCTGAGGTTCGATGTCTCCCGGGGAACTGGTCCGCGTTACTTCATCTCCACCTTTGCTGGTTACGTTACTGGGATCGTTACCACCATTTTCGTTATGAACTACTTCCAAGCTGCTCAGGTATGTATGTAAGCGACCGCTTATCGGCGTAAAAAAGGCTGGAGGTTTGCGCACAGCATGCAAAAACAAAGGCTGCATTGGGTTGGGTTCTATATTCTGTCTCAATGGTTTCTTGTGGGTGGATGCTCTCTGCGTGTGCAGCCTGCGCTGCTCTACATTGTTCCCGGAGTTATGGGTTTTCTATTCGTCCACTGCGCAATTCGAGGAGAACTCAAGGAGGTATGAGTTTTGTCCTTGTTTGCCGCATTTCTTTCTACTCCATTTCTTTACTGGTGATGTGATGTCTAACAACCTTTTTTGTTTGTTATCTGAACAGCTATTGGCTTATGAAGAGTCTGGGGATGGTGATCAGGATGGTGAGGTCACTGAAAAGGAGGGCGAGAAGTCGTCAAGCACACCAGCTGCTTCCACGGAAAAGGCTGGGAAAGCTGATTGATTCTTCACTATTGTATTGGTTGTTTACAAATAATATAATAAGCATCCTTGATTTACGAAAGTATCTTCAGCTGTCTTTGATGATTAATCATTCCACATAATGAGTTGTGTACCAGGTTATGCGAAATATTTACCAGACGACATGCAAATATCGAGGGTCTTCAGCAGGGCGCCTGGGATAGTTCGATTGTAGTGGTCGTCGCGACCTTCTAGAAGGGAACTGACCTCGTTCGTGACCTAGTTTTAGGGAACTGGTCGATTTTTATGGTGGGAGCGGCAATTTGTTCCGAGTCGTTGCCGATCTAGAAGAGCGGCGTTCCCTCGTCCGTTATCTGCTTGGTCTACTATTCCCTGTTGCAGGCAAGCGGCGCGAGCACGGCCTGTCAGCGAACGATCCTGTTTTCAATACGGGTATAATCAACGGTCGATTTTGAGAGTCGCCTACTTCCGTTCTTTCGCGATGGACGCGATAAGGAAGCAGCTGGACGCGCTGATGGGGGCCAACAGGAACGGCGACGTCGAGGAGACGAACAAGAATTACTACGACCGGGACGTCTGCCGCGCCTTCCTGTGCGGACTGTGTCCGCACGATCTGTTCACTTTAACGGTACATCTTCCGCCATCCCCTCACCTCCACGCTCTCTTTTGTTAAGGATTTTCATGCTGAATGTCCATTTTACAGTAATTTATGTTAAGAAAGTACCTGCTTTTTTTTTTCCTGGTTTTGGTTTTCCCTCTTACCGTCTCCCCCATCTCATCCTCTTTACCGTTTCACGTTCCTGTTTATTCCGCCTTATCTGACAGAAAATGGATCTCGGGCCGTGCTCCAGGGAGCATTCACTCCGCTTGCGCAAGGAGTAAGCGTTTTACGTTTTGTTTTTTTCTCTAAGATAACTGGAAGCAATTCTTGTCAGTAGAAGATCGCGAGACATAGCTGGTGCTCTTACGTGGCTAATTAGCTTGTCCTGGTAAAACATCTGTGAGCCGCTGGTCTTATCAGCTCCCTCGTTTTTTGCTACTATCGTGTACAGGTACCAGGAGGTAAAGGCGAAGGGTTTGGTGGACTACGAGAGGGAGCTGGAGAGCATTATATAGAAGCTGGTCGTGATCGATATCGCTGTGCTCCGTTATAAACCCGATCGTTTTGTGCTCTTTCTGCAATTTTGGCGTACAGATACGAGTAGGCGAAGGCGAAAGGCTTAGTGGATTACGAGAGGGAGTTGGAAGGGCATCTTGGAGAAGCTGATCGTGATCCTATTCTGTGTGCCTTTATCGCGTACAGGTACGAGGAGGCGAAGGCGAAAGGCTTAGCGGACTACGAGAGGGAGTTAGAGAGCATCTTGGAGAAGCTGATTGTGGAGTGCGACCGCAAGATCCAACGGTCGTTCAAGCGCCTGGAGGACGAGGAGGGTGCTGCAGCGCTGAACGCCGTTAAAGTGTCGGAGGTTACGGAGGTGAGCTAGCGCTCGTATCGAGAGAGAATAGGAGAATTGGCAAGCGGCTGTAAGAGAAACGTGCGGCGGTGAACGCTGTTGAAGTTTTATGATGTCGTAATTTCTATCCAGTTTTTGAGTTGTGAAGCTTTTGGGGTGATTTTTTTTCATTCTCTGGCTTCCGTCCTGCTCTTTCTGAGTACGGAATGTGCTTCATAATGTCTCCTATCACCTGGCTGTGCTCTTCTCCTGAAAAGTCGTCTCCTGAAAGTCTTCTCCTGGATACTGTTATTTTTGCTTTTTTATTCACACTACAGTCGCCAGAGTCGGTTGAGCTGACCAAGAAGATCTATCAGAAGATGGCCGAGGTCGATCAGCTGGGTGAGCATGTGAAAATTAATGCCAAAATACGTTTTTTATTATAATCATATGGCAAAAAAATTGGGATTTTATTTTCCTGGTTCCGGGTTGACTAGCCGCCTTACCTTTGGCTCAACTCAACCACGTGCTGTTGTGCATTGGTTGGTTGTTCTGCCTGGCGTTTATCCTTTTGAGTCGACTCAAAAGCGTGCTGTTGTGCACTGGTTGGTTGTGCTGCGTGGCGTTTCTTTTCTGCAGAGATGGAGAACAGGATGGACGACAAGATCCGGGCCACGGAGGAACTGGAGAAGCTCAAGCAGGAGCGAGCGGACAAGCAGGTGAGAGAGCAACACTTCAAGCTGTGCATAAAATGAGTTACCATCGTCTTCTGAGTCGACTCAAAAGTCAACACTTCAAGCTGTGCACAAAATGAGTTACCATCGTCTTCTGAGTCGACTCAAAAGTCAACACTTCAAGCTGTGCATAAAATGAGTTACCATCGTCTTCCCGTCCATCGATCCAGTACGAAATGGATGACAGGCTCAAGCAGGAATTAGCGGACAAGCTTGTTAGTAGAAATACAGTGCATTGTGTCTGTGCTGTATTGACTGTTCATGAGTCGCCTCAAAGGCGAGCTGAAGCAAGAGCTATCGGGAAAGAAGGTGAGTGCTTTCAACAAGGATCGCCTGTCGAGCCCTGCTGCTCCCAGCGGCACACTTGTGCTCTGCATACCTCCCATACACCCCGTGCTCCACTCCTCTGTCGATTCTTTCCCACTAGTGCGCCGTCCAGGACAGGCTGGATTGCTCAATCCATTTTGGACGCGCTCAACAAGGACCGCCTGTCCGGCCCGCATGCTCCCGGTGTTCTGTGTCACCCCCCCTATCCTCAACTGCTCTCTCCACCCTCCCCTGTCTGTCATTTCCTGCGTAACCTTTCCCCTCAGGCTCAAATTATCCTGGATGCGTTCAACAAGGATTGCCTGTCCGGCCCTCCTGCTCCTGGTGCCCAGCGTTCGCCCCCATCCATCCTCAACTACTTTCTCCACTCTCCGCCTCTGTCTGTCATTTCCTGCGTCACCTTTCCCCTCAGTCGCAATCCATCCTGGACGCGCTCAACAAGGATCGCCTGTCCGGCCTGCCTACCCGACGTGCGGTGTTTCCCTCCCCCCCGCCCCCCATCCTCAACTACTCTCTCCACTCCCCTCTGTCTGTCATTTCCTGCGTCACTTTTCCTCTCAGGCCCAATCCATCCTGGACGCGCTCAACAAGGATCGCCTGTCTGGCCCGCCTGCTCCCGCTGGCCCGGTGTCACCCCCCCCCCCCCCCTCCCCTTTTCCTCAACCACCCTCTCCACTCTCCTCTGGCTGTCGTTTTCCCTCTCTTATCCTTTTCCCTCAGGCCCAATCCATCCTGGACGCGTTTAACAAGGATCGCCTGTCCGGCCCGCCTGCTCCCAGTGGCCCGGCGTCAGCCCCTCCCCTTCTGAATCAGCCCGACAGCAAGACGCAGGAGATGATCAAAGAGAAGCTCAGGCGCGCGGAACAGCTAGGTGAGGAGTGGTTGAGTGTGGTTAAGAGAGGGTTGGGAAGGTTAGGGCCAGTGTCAGCCCCCTCCCCCACGCCTTTCCTCCTCAAGCCGGACAGCAAACCGCAGGTGGTGATAAAATTGAAGCCCGGACGCGCGGAGCAGGTAGGTGAGGAGTGTGCTACTGTGCTCTCCCAGTCAGGTTAAGAGAGAAGGGGGGAAAGTGTAGGACGGTAGGAAAGTTAGGGCATGTGTCAGCTCCCCCCGTTCTCAACCAGGCTGACAGCTAGAGGCGCTGGAGATTATTAAAGAGAAGCTCAGGCGGGCGGAGCAGCTCGGTGAGCTGTGTGGAAATATGTTGAGTTTGAAGGTTGGGACTGTTAGGGCCGGTGTCAGGCTCCCCCCATTCTGAGCCAGCCCGACAGCAGGACGCAGGAGATGATCAAAGAGAAGCTCAGGCGCGCGGAACAGTAGGTGAGGAGTGGTTGAGTGTGATTAAGAGAGGGTTGGGAAGGTTTCAGCCCCCCCCCCCCCCCCCTGCTTCTGAGCCAGCCGGACAGCAAGAGGCAGGAGATGATCAAAGAGAAGCTCAGGCGGGCAGAGCAGCTAGGTGAGCTCTGCGGTACTAGTGTGATTTAAAAAGAGGGGTGGGGTGGTAGGTTAGGGCTGGCAGCAGGCTGCATTCTGAGCAAGTTTGGATGGCAGAAGTTTGGGAAGTTTTAGAACGCACTCCCCTCACCCCCTCCCCTCCCTGCCCCCCTCCGTCCCTCTCTTATTGCAGGAGAAGAGCGGCGGGTGGACCGTGGACGAAGCTTCATCCCCCTAACCGTCTCTTTCCTCTCCCCTTCCCATCCCCTCCCTTCTCTCTCCCCTCCCTTCTCTCTCCCCTCCCTTCTCTCTCCCCTCCTGCGTCCCTTTCTCGTTCAGGCGAGGAGGGGCGGGTGGACGAGGCTCAGAAGCTCATGGAGGAGGCGGATGCGCTCAAGAAGGTGAGATGACTGGGTGGATGGGTGGATGGGTGGATGGGGTCCGCCCTTTCTCTTTGTTAATAAAGGCCAGGAGAGGAGGGGCGGGTGGACGAAGCTCAGAAGCTCATGGAGGAGGCGGATGCGCTCAAGAAGGTGAGATGGGAATGGAGGTGCGTCAGACTAGAGGGCAATGGGGAACGGAGGGGAATGTTGTTGATGCTGCTGACTAGGGGGGGAGCTGCTTAGTGTTCTAAATGCAGTAGAGGAGAGGAGGGGCGGGTGGACGAGGCCCAGAAGCTCATGGAGGAGGCGGATGCGCTGAAGAAGGTGAGTCCTTCGTATGGGGATGTCCTGTCCTATGTAGACCTGGCTGGCTGGGCTGCTGAAGTCGATTCGGTGTTGTCAGCTTCCAGTCATGGGTGTCCGTTTGGACCTCCAGTCATTGCACAATTTGTTCATCTTTCTCTGTTTTACTCCTGTGTCGATTCTGTTTTTTTTGTTGGTTTTTTACCAGCTCGCCATGGCTCCCAAGCCAGATCCGATAGCAAGCCTCGGCTTTCAAATCGTGAGTCGTCTCTCCCTTCCCGCCTCATTTGTCCTTCACTATTTCCCCTCCCCCTCCCCCCCACCCCCCCCCCCCGCCCTCCTCCTCTCTCTCTCTCTCTCCATCCACCCGTAGTTTCATTTAGGGAGCATAAAATTTTGCTGTTGATTCCAAAGCATAGTTGCTGGGAGCATGCTATTTATGCAGTAAGGACCTGGACGTTCCGTACCTTCTCTTACTCTCCATCTCTTCGCCTGCTCGTTCTGTTTGGCATTTCAGGCGGATCAGAAGCTCCGGGTGTGCGAAATCTGTGGGGCTTTCCTCAGTATCTTTGTCTCCCTGCACTCCTCCCCGCGTCGTCCTCTCCCCCTGCTCCCCTCCTTCCTCTGTGCTGTCTTCTTCTCCTCACCTCCTCTGTCTGCAGGCGGATCAGAAGCTCCGGGTGTGCGACATCTGTGGGGCTTTCCTCAGTATCTTCGACAGGTGCGTCTGGAGTCTACTCAATAGTCAGTGTGTGGCATATGACATGTTAGGCTTGACACTCCCTTTCTTCGGGCATGCCACTTTTTGCGCTTCCTGTAGACCTCTTTTCCGACCCAACCAGGCGATGCACGCACACATGCTTGCACAAACAGCGATAGGCGGTTGGTTGGCTGATCATTTTGGGGGGAAGCGCACACTCTAAGAAATTGCTCTTTCGTTTGTCTTTTTCGCGTTTTTCCTTTCCTAATTGTCTCCTAATTGTCTCCTAATTGTCTCTCCCGCATCAGCCTAGGCTTCGCGTTTTCCCCCTGATTTGCGGCTGCACACATCTGTACATGCACAAACAGCGACAGGCGGTTGGCTGACCACTTTGGGAAAGTGCACACCCACCCAACCTCCCACCCACCCATCCACCCTCCCACCCATTCTCCCTAATCCCCCCTCGTCTTCCCCCCCACCCACTCTCCTCCCTGCACAAACAGCGACAGACGGTTGGCTGACCACTTTGGGGGGAAGCTGCACCTGGGGTACCTTTTCATCCGCGACAAGATCAACGACATCCGGGTGAGTGCCAATGAGATCTGGGTGCGTCTCCTGCTAAGGTTCTTAGGGTCTTCTGGTGATTCTGAGGTTTCTTTGTGTGATTCGGGCGACCTTTTGAGAGGTGTAGGAGGGGTTCGCTTTGGGGGCAAGCTGTATTTGGGATAACTCTTCATCTGCGACAAAATTAACGTCCGTCATTCTTATTATGTTTTCCTTCTGGTCGCGACGCCTGCCTTCTGATTGCTTGCAGGAGAGGAGGAAGAAGAAGGAAGAGCTGCGGTGAGTGAGCATGCACATAGCTGGGCCTGGCTGTGAATCTTACATTTGTGCTCATGTTAAGTTATATTCCTTTCCTTTCTCCTAATCTTGCTCTTTCGCATCCTCATTCTGATTCTCCTTATCATTCTCATCCTCTCTCTCTCCTCTTGCTCTTTCTCATGCTCTTTTTCTCTCTTGCTCTCTTTCTCATATTCTCGTGCTTCCGCGCTCCCTCCCACTTTCGTTCTCACAGTCCCAGATCAGAAGAGCGCGAGGAGCGGACTGACGATGGAGACAGGGACAGGGAGAGGGACAGGGACCGGAACGATCAGACTCTTTCTCGATCTTTCTCCCCTGCTGTTTCTCTTGCTCATGCTCGTTCCCCCCACAGGCCCAGATCCGAGGAGCGCAAGGAGCGGACTGACGACCGAGACAAGGACAGAGAGAGGGACAGGGTGAAGGAGCGAGACCGAGACAGGGACAGGGATGGGAACAATGATGCGCTTGTTTAATCTCTTTCTCATTCTTTCTCTCATGCTGTTTCTCTTGCTCATGCTCGTTCCCCCCACAGGCCCAGATCCGAGGAGCGCAAGGAGCGGACTGACGACCGAGACAAGGACAGGGAGAGGGATAGGGTGAAGGAGAAGGACCGAGATCGGGACCGGGATAGGGATAGGGATAGGGATAGGGATCGGGATCGGGATCGGGATCGGGACAGGGATAGGGATAGGGACAGGTACAAGGAGAGAGAGAGGGACAGGGATAGAGACAGAGAGGGCGATCGTAGCCGTGACAGGGAGAGGGATCGGGATCGGGACGACGAGTGGGCACGAGGCAGGGACCGGGACCGGCGGGGCCGCGAGTACGACCGAGACCGGAGGCACAGGTGAGGGATCTTCCATGGGGCATGTGCGACAGGTAGGATGTGTGCAAGAGGTGGGATGGGGTGTGTGCACGGGGTGCGAGGATGATGACTAGGCCAGGGACATAGACAGGGACAGGCGGGGCCGCGACTACGACGGAGACTCGAGGCACAGGTGAGAAGATGGACTTTGGTCTGTGCTTAGGAGGTGGGAGGTTGAGTCTGGGAGGTTGAGCCTGGGATAGTATGCGCTTGGCCGGCTTTCACAGGTGAGGTTATTTGGCCGGGAGGCATTACTCTTCAGAAGTTTTGCTCCCTTTGTTTCCCCCCCATCCTTCAACCCCCCTTTTTGCCAATCAAATCTCCCTCAATCTTCTTTTCAGGACTTGCTCTGGATCCATATGAAAACCGTTTGTGAGCATTATTTAGGCGTCTCAGGAATCTTACCCCCTTTCCCCCCATCTTCCCCTTACCCCCCCCCTCCCGCAACCCCCCTTTTCCTCCTCCCTCGTCTTCATGGCAGGTCTCGCTCGCGATCCCGCTCGCGTGAGCGGTACTCGAGGCGCTCCGACCGCTACTGATGCCTTTTCAGTCCCCCAAGTCCTGAGCCGCGTCAAATTTATCCCAGCCACTGTGAACCATGCAGTACTCCTTGCTTTGCTTCAGTCAGCCAAGCGTAGCATGGAGCAGCTTCCCGTTGCCGCAGTGCAGTGCAGTGCAGTGCAGTGCAGTGCGGTGCAGTGCGGTGCAGTGCATACCAGACTGGACTCTGCTGCTGCTGCGTGTGGCTGCTTGTGATTTGCTGGTGGTGAGGTGACTCTCCTCTGCTGTTCTGCATGATTCTCGATTGAGATTGTTGCTGCCTTACAGGGGAGATGCTGACATGTAGGGACTTAAGGTAAAGCACTTGAGGTGTCTGAGTCTGAGTCTGACCCATGTATGCTGCATATGGTACATGTAGAGGCTTCACTAGATAGGCACTCACTTGTCATATTTTAACCCATTGCCGTTTGCTTAGCTAAACAACTGACACTCTTTTCTCGGAGCTAAGGGGGATTTTAGCGCCCAAGAGAATGGATTAATGACTACGGGCGAACTAGTGGCAAGGGACAACCTAGCAGTGAACACCAAAGCCACTCAGAGAAGCACAGCAAACGTAGCAGCTGCCAGCACGAGGTTTCTGAAAAGCACCCTAGAAGCCAGCATACGCTCGGGTCGTTTAGGCGATAGGGGGGAGGGGAGGGGAACGCAGCTGTGGCATGGTAGAGGGAAGGAGCACTGGACATGCTTTCGAATCAGAGAAGCATGGCAAATGCACATGCAGCCGACACAAGCACGTTGACAAGCACCCTTGAAGCCACCATACACGGAGCTCGTTTAGGCGGCGGAGAAGAGGGGGACAAGTTCGACGCAGGGGAGGGTGGCACGCTCAGTGCAGGGGAGGGGGGCACGCTCGGTTGAGGGGAAGGAGTAGGCCCACTGCCTCCCGCACTTTGCTGAGCCGGACAGGTGGGATCTGCAATGGTTCGGCCCACGAACGGCCCGTATTCTGGGTTCATCGAGACGTTGAGGTTTTCTAAGGGGCAGTCAGGGGTGGCGGGGAGCGGGTCGCAGCAGACGTTGATCTTGGGGATCTGCTTCGGGCCGTTGTAGCACTTGTCGGTTCCTTCGTTGGTCTGAGGAATCAAGGGGTGGGGAGAGGACAGGAAAGCGGGCGGGGGAAGACGAGTCAGAAGACGTGTAATGCAGAGGAAAGAAGGGTGGGGACTGGACAGGAAAGTGGGCAGGGGAACTGGAGTGACCTGCACTCACCGCAGTGACCTGCACTCACCGCAGTGACCTGCACTCACCGCAGTGACCTGCACTCACCGCAGTGACCTGCACTCACCGCAGTGACCTGCACTCACCGCAGTGACCTGCACGGGTTTGAGAAGTCCCACGTCTGAACTCACCGGAATGACCTGCACTCACCGGAATGACCTGCACGTTGTATTTGAGCTTGTCAAATGCCTGGGCCACCCGCCCGAACATGAGTGTCATGAGCTTCTCAGCCGTGCTGAAATACATCGAGATGGCTCCCTGAAACCCGGGCACTGCGGAAGAGCCGGGATTGGATAAAAGACAGGAATCAAGACAAGGATGTTACAGAGGGAGTGGAGGGGGTGGGGTTTCGGGAAGGGGGGAAGGGGGGGGAAGAGGTTGGGAAAGGGGGGAAAGGAAGGGAGGAGCCATAGGCATGGAGTGAGGGAGAGGGTATGGTGGGAGGCAGACAAGTTGAGACAGTCGTTACAGGGTTACAAGGTAACTTACAGAGCAGGTCCTTGCATGCGTTGTACAGCTTGTGCTCTGAGTCGACTCAAAGTGGTTACAGGGTTACATGGTAACTTACAGGGAAGGTCCTTGCATGTGTCGTACAGGGAAGATTTGTGTGTGTTTTGTGGTAACTTACTACAGGGCAGGGTTACATGGTAACTTACAGGGCTACAGGGCAGGGTTACAGGGTAACTTACAGGGCAGGTCCTTGCATGTGTCGTACAGCTTCTGGGCGAAAGCTGAGCAGACGCGCATAAGCCCGACTTCCCCGGGCGGCAGCTCCAAATAATTCCCAGAATCTGAAAACAGCTCAAACAACAGACGGCAGAAAATAGCTCAAACCCCGAATTTTGAGTCGGCTCAAAGTCACCTCCCTACAAATACTTGCCAGAATCTGGCAACACAGTTAAAGTGAAAAGGCCAGACGCGGAAGATGCTGATGAATGAAAATGAAGATGGTAAAGTGAAAGGTTTTAGATAAGAAGCTATCGCTGTTTCTGAAACGTGTGACTAGTATACTAACATGGCAAGTTCGCTCTTACGAGGGTTGTCCCTAGTCCCCACTCACCTGGGTTGGAGCTAGTGGCGCAGACCATCTGCTCGAAAAGGTCCTGACACTCCCTGAAACCGACAAACGACGCGCAGAGCTGCATGCACGCAACGAGCGGGTCACAGTAAGAATGGAATGTGAAATGCAGACATTTTAAATCCTCTGATTCCTGGCATACATTTCCACATTCTCTGGCATTTCCACATTCCTTGACATTTCCGAATTCCCCAGCGCACATTCGCCGACATTTCGGGAGTCCTGGATCATCCAGACGAAACATCTTGGAAATAACTATTGAGGCGCCTCAAAAGTCGCCTCATAACCTCCAATAAATATGCCGTGCTCGTAGATGAAGCTTCGTGGAAATCAGGCGAATTTTTTACCCCGAAGCAAGCACAAATCGCACAGTTAGCGGGTCAGAGTATGGGCTACCTGCGAGTCTTTGTTGGACAGGAATTTCGAGAGGCGAGGATCGATTATAGAGATGAGCTTTGAAACGTTAGCGCTCACTTCCATCAGCGCGTATCGCCTATCGCAGCAGTCTGTACAGCATGTCATTTCAGCGGCGTCGGGGCATCGAGTGACGGTCGAGTTGGGTTTCGTGGGAGGAAGGCCGGTGAAAGGACATGGCGGGTAATTTTGAGCAACGCTAACTGTTGCGAGTAGAGCTATGGCGAGGAACCAAGCCGCACGCTTTAGTTTCGTCATAATGTTTCACCCACAATGCAACCTAGTAGCCTGGACATAGTAACGTGCTTTGGTTTGGAGGCAGCCAGCAAGCTGGTCGCCCCAACCGTTTGGAGGCAGGCAGTTACGACCACCTGCAAGTTACGTCGTGTCATCCACCAGTGTTATAACTTGTCAGCTCACTGTACACAGAACTGCTGGCCTCACCAGGTTCCACATGCGCACCAGAGCACTTCACCGTACTATAAATAGTTCACATCTTTTTGAAGCGTCCTAAACCTCGGTAGAACTCTCTAAAAGTGTGAGAGAACTCGAGCCTGCATCACTTCATTTTTGGAGAGAGGGAGAGCGTGGGGGTGGGAGGATTTCGGGACAGTTGGTCTGATTTCGGGACAACCGGTCTGGTTTCGGAACAATCTTCTGGTTCGGAAGGAATTTCTCCCACTGCTCGCAACAGTTTCGCCGTTTCCAGCGTCAATAAATAAGGGATTGGGGTGGCAGGTCCGCTTTTAGTAGGGTGCTAGGTGGTTTGGGTTATGACAGAACGTTTCAAGGCGGTAATAATGACTGGTTAAGACCAATTTTACACAAGGGCGTGTCCCCAAAAAAACGTCACCCGTTTTTGACACGCGGGGCCGTTTGACCATACGCAATGTGTCGATTTTGAAACAGATCCCGCTTTGGGAACAGGTCCGAAATGAAGGGTGCAGTTCGGGAGGACAGCACCGAGACCAGCACATATGGAGTACGACGAATAGAGGCGGTACGCAAGGGGCAAATTGGATAGGGTTTTTAGTTGTTACGTTACTGTTACTAGGACTCTGTACAATGTAGTCACGGTTAGTGCACCCGGAGGAGGGTTTTGTCCCGTTATGAGCTCTAAGGGGCAGTTTAGCATTCATTCTAGTTATTGCGCTTCGGATTGGAGCACTTGGCACAATTTCATTGGGTGTTACGTGTACATATCGGGTTGCAAATTCGCCCACACCTCTGCTGACCGTGAGTCCGCTGCAGCTGCTGCCCTTGCCCGTGCTGTCTGGTTGTCGCGTGACGCTGTCGCACAGCTTGCGATTAGTCATGCCCTTCCCCTGTCCGAACGCCCCCGCTTTAGGTCCGTCAGGACTGCGCAGGAGTTCCTAGAGGCTGTTGTTGCGCGCAGTCGGTGAGCAAGAAGGTTAGCCAGCGGAGCTTATGTGCTGCTATGGCACCTGCGTAGATCTCAGCCTCACAGCTAGACTGGGCAACAGACGAGGAACGAGTGGACCTCCACGAGATGGCACCTGCACCAAGGCTAAAGGAGTAGCCCTGTGAGGACCTGAGAGTCTCGACGTCCTCTGCCCAAAAGCGTATGTGTGCCCGGTAAAGACCACTGGTCTCCGTCCTCCTCGCACTAGCCCCATGCCCGATGTACTCGCTAGATAGCGCAAAACCCTCTTAGCTGCCGACCAGTGCTGTGGTCGGTGTCTGCCTGGGGCCACAAAGCGAGCCAGGATGCTGAGAGGGTATGCGAGATCTGGACGAGTGCTGGTACATGAGGCAACCCACCAGCTCTGCGTATGGACCACTAGGCTCTACAGCCTCCTCAGGGATTGGGGCAGAGAGTCTGTGGTCTACTGACAAAGGGGTGGGCTGTGTGGAAGAGAACTGAAGGCCGAACCTCTGAAGGACCTGGCACAACAAGTGTGACTGTGAGAGAGTGAAGGTGTGCGCTGCTCTGTCCCTGGAGATCTGCAAGCCAAGGTAGCGGCGGAGCTCTCCTAGGTCAGTGCAGATGTGTCTCCTCAGCAGCTCGGCCTTCACGGCGGCCAGTGCGTCTCTGTCTGCAGTAGCAAAGACCAGATCGTCTACATAGACAAGGATGTAGAACGGAGTCAGGCCGGAACAGACAAAGAGCGAGGGGTCTGCAAACGAAGGGAAGAACTGCAAGTCAGCAAGTATAGCACGCAGCGTGTCGAGCCACTCATGGGGCGCCTTTCGCAAGTCGTAAACGGGGCGCCGAAGGAGCCACTTGGTGCCAGGGGGAAAGGTACCTGAGAAGCCCTGGGGGCGGCGCATATAGACCTGCTCGTGTAGACTGCTCTGGAGGAAAGCTGTGAAGAAGTCGAGGGAGTGCAGCTCGTAGTCACGCTGTGCTGCTACGTGTAGCAGCGCCCGAAGAGTGGTCATCTTCGGGGTCGGGGCGAAGGTATGAAAGAAGTCCACCCCCTCACGCTGACTGAAGCCTCGAGCGACGTAGCGCGCCTTGAAGACAGGCGGCTCTCCAGGAGGGCGCTTCACCTTGAAGAGCCACCGGCCATCGACTACGTTCACCCCAGGTGGGGGAACTGCGTCGACGAAGGTACCGATGGATCTCCAAGATGCCATCTCCTGCTCCATGGCAGCTATCCACTGAGAGGCCTAGGGTCCCGAGGTGACCTCAGCGTAGGTGCGAGGGGTCGGGATGTCGATGGCGTCTGGGTCACCCTTAGGGACTAGTAGCATGGAACAGAGATGGGGAGCGGCCTCAGACAGGAAAGCGAGCTCGAACTGCCTGTCCTCTAGGACGTCACTGCCAAGAGCAGCCACACCCCCGACGCTCAGAGGGCAGGCAGGGTCAGAGACCAGAGTGGTGGCGTAGTCCAGGCGGCGGGTAGCGACGAAGTCAGTGGCAGCAGCGACAAGAGCCGACATACTCGAGACAGGAACGGGCGGGTCTGTAACGAGAGAGGCAAGGAGACGAGGAACAAGGGGACACGCAGCACGGAAGAAGTCTGAGAACGGATGCGGGGCCATAGCAAGCGATGACGGAGGAGGAGACGGGAGGAGAGGAGGAGCACGAGACGCGTGAGAGCAAAGCAACAGAGGGTGAGAACGTGGAACAGGGGAGGTAGGACGAGCACGAGACGGACGACGAGACCAGATGTGAGACAGAGGAGTCGGGTCAGGAGAGAGGGGAGGAGACATGGAGGAGAACGGGGAGAGAAACGCGCTGGAGAGGAGTCCGGGGGAGGAAACACGGGGCCGTGGACCGGCAGAGGAGGAGGCGGCGGCAGCGGGGGAGGCAGCGACGGGCGATCAGGGGAAGGGAGACCGAGGAGGCGAAGAGCGGACACCAGCGGCGACAGCTGCGACTGCTGCCCGACTCCAATACCAGAACCTCCAGCGACAACACGGCTCCCTCTGAGAAGCCCCGTGCCAGCACCCCCAGAGCCTGCTCCAGAACCAGCTCCAGCCCGATCCCCAGCACCCCCAGAATGCACGAACCCCAGCGGCGGTGACGACAGCGGCTGCGGCTGCGGCGGCAGCGGCGGCAGCGGCGGAGGCGGCTACGGCGGGGACAGCAGCGGCAGCGACAGGGGAGGCGAGACCGAGGCACGGACAGGCAGGGGAAGAGACTCCGCCGAGCCGCGAGAGTCAGCAGACTCCTCAGCAGGGACAACCGAAGGGAGGGGGGTGACGTGAGACACACCAGACGGGGCAGGGTGGGGAGGGGGGTGGACAGGGTCGACCGGGGGAGGGGGGAGCACGAGGAGCTGGGGGGGAGTGACCGGGGGACGACGGTGGGGAAAGCGGTGGTAGAAGGAGACGGACTCGTCAAAGGTGAAGTCACGAGAGCGAAAGAACCGGTGAGAAGGCGGGTGGTAGAACTGCCAGTCCGACGAGTCGAGGGGGAAACCTAGGAAGACACAGGGGACAGTGCGGGCAATGAGCTTGTCCGTGCCAGAGACACGAACGTGTGCAAGGCAGCCCCAGACGTGGAACGCAGATGCATCACCAGGGGACCCGGTCCAGAGGAGGGTCGGCGAAACCTGCGACCGCTGAGGGTGTGGCCAAAGGTTAAGTTGGTGAGCGGCGTAGCGAACGGAGAATGGCCATAGAAAATGGGTTGCACCGGCATGGATCATGGAGGTACGAGCCACCTCCATGACCAAACCGATGCGTCGCTCAGGGTGAACGTCTGGGTGATGCCCTCCGCATGACAGAAGCGACCAAGGCAGCCAGAGGCAAACTCGTCACCACGGTCGGAGTGAAGACGCAAGACAGGGAGACCTCGGTGAACACGCGCAGAGACAAGCCACGGGAGAAGAGACATCAGGCACGTCGACCTTCTGCTCCAGGGGAAAGACAGTGGTGTAGTCGTCAACAAGCACTAGGAAGTAGCACTCGCGACACGGCCCATGGACGGGGGTGGGGTCCCAGGCGTCCATGTGCAGGGTCTGCAGCGGTACAGAGGTAGAGGGGAAGGAGGAGGAGTGAGGGCCACGGCGGAGCCGGCCCTCGACACAGGGCGTGCACAGAGGCGCGGGTGAGGAGGGGAGTGCAAGGAATGACTCAGAGAGGCCTAGGACAAGACGGTGCTGGGACATGTGACGGAGACGGGTGAGGACGGGGTGACCTAGACGGTGGTGCCACAGAAGTGACGGGAGAGTAAGCGACCGACACTAGCACGCCGCAGCAACCTAGGAAGACGCAGGTACCTGGGGAGGCGTCCCAACTGGGGGGAAGCGGTGTCCAGAGTGAACAGGCCAGACACCGGGTCCCGGGGGAACGTGGTGAGGTGGGCACCAGTGGCGGCCTCAGTACAGACAGCGTACCGCTCGTGCCCAGGGAACGTAGTGGTGACGCCAAGGTCCTGGAGGCAGCCGACACCAACTAGGTTCCTAGAGAAGGAGGGGATGTGCAGGCCTGTAAGGGAGCCTGAGGGAACCGTCGGACAGGGGAGAGTAGTGGAGCTACGGGCAACTACAGGACCGGAGGAAGGGTCTGGAAGAGCAACTGCAGCAGGAGCGGCAAGCGGCATAAGCGTCGTGGAGTCGCGAAAGAAACACCGGGAAGCGCCGGAGTCCACGGTGAAGGAGAGCGCAGCAGCGGCGACAGAGGTCGGAGGAGCGAGGGAGGACCCTAGGCTAAACAAGGCAGGGGATCCTACACCTGACGCAGTAGGGGAGCCTGAACTTGGCACACTAGGCACACCTACGCTAGGCAACATAGGGTAATAGGAACCAGTCACACTAGAGTCATCAACATACAGTACATACAAAGCCGAGTTAATTGCATCCATGCCCATATCAAAGATCTTAACACCACGACGGAGCAGACTGTGCCAGTCGGGGAGGTCCGGTGATGGGCCGAAACGAAGACGGAACTGGTCGTCCAGGCGATGAAAGCAACGAGTGGGGGTATGGCCGATCTTACCGCACACGAGGCCGCGGCGAGGACCGGTCTGGAGCTGGTACTGGCAGCGCCCGTCACTCTGACCACCAACCGACTGCATGCCGCGCGAGCGACCACTGCAACCACCATCACCTCCAGCTCCAGGCCACCCGGGCGGGAGACGGCCGACCCTCCGCTGCTGCTGCTACTGCGCCTGCTGCTGTTGCTGCTGGTCTAGCTGCGGAGCCTGCTGCTGCTGCTAGGGCTGCTGCTCCGGGGCACCACCCCCTCCTCCGCTACCTCCGCCGCTCCCAGCCTTGGGACGCCGACCCTTACCCGGACGAAACTGCACTACGGCGGCTGTCTCCACAGCCGGAGCTGTCTCAGCAACCGCAGCAGAACCGTCGGAGTAAGAGCACTGAGCAGGGGCACGGCCCTGAAAGATAGAGACTGGCACAGTACCGCTAGACTGGGCGATAGAGTGCTGACGGGTCTCTATGGCAGACAGGGTGTCGACAAAGTCAGTGAGGGTGAGGTTAGCGGGGTGGAGACTAAGGAAGTGATCGCGGGCGGTGGCAAGGCGGTCAGGGAGGCGGGTGGCAAGCAGGTAGAGGGTAGAGCAGATGGGGGGCTGAAACACACGAAGCTGAGCCTCAGTGCAGGCAGCGCGCCAGGTCGTGTCTAGCGTGCGCAGGTGGGCGGTTAGGTCAGCGACAGTGGGGAAAGACACAAGGTCAGGAAAGAGCATGGGCAGGATCAGGCGACCTACAGAGGTAGAGGGCGGGGTGGAATAGCGCGCAACAACAGCCTCTAGGAACTCCTGCGCAGTCCTGACGGACCCAAAGCGGGGGCGTTCGGACAGGGGAAGGGCATGACTAATCGCAAGCTGTGCGACAGCGTCACGCGACAACCAGACAGCACAGGCAAGGGCAGCAGCTGCAGCGGACTCACGGTCAGCAGAGGTGGGGTCAGCGGGGAGGGCAGCAGGGGGGTCCAAGCAGGGGAACGTATCGTCGATGTGGACGGCCAGAGAGTGGTCGTCCTGCCGCTGACCAGTCAGGTGTCGCTGGAGGTCGACGAGCCACGAGTCGAACTCAATCGGCTGCCCCTCAGCATCAAAACGCAGGACAGAGTCCGCCATCATGGTTGCAACAGTAGGAGAAAGACAGTACTGGGCAGGAGAGCGCGACGGAAAGCGGTGATGTGCGGTGCAGTGCGGTACTGTGTGGTAGAGGGAGGTGCAGTACGGTAGGGTGCAGTGCAGGGCGGTGGAGTGCGGTGCAGAGCGGTGCAGTGCGGTGCCGTACGGTGCAGTGCGGTGCAGAGCGGTGCCGGGCGGTGCAGCGGAGCCGAGGACGGCGGCGAGGCGTTTAGAAGACGGGGCCGCGGGCGGCAAGGGGCCGACAAAGAGGCGGGGCCGGCTGGGAGGGGGGGCCGCGGGGCCGCTAGGGACGGGGCCGCTAGGGACGGGGCCGCGGGGCCGCTAGGTAACGGGGCCGCGGGGCCGCTAGGTGATGGGGCCGCGGGGCCGCTAAGGGACGGGGCCACTGGGTCGCTAGGGACGGGGCCGCGGGGCCGCTAGGGGACGGGGCCGCTAGGTCCTAGGGCAGAAGCGCTAGGGGGTGGGGGGGGGGACCTACCTACTCATGATACCATGTTTAAGTGAAAGAATGTCTAGAACAAGGCATACAAGGGAATATAACCTAATGGGTTGTACTCCCTAAGGCACAACCCTATATAGTCTACAAAAACATACAATATATGTGTGACACCATTACCAAGAACAAGTGAATGGTAGCAACTTTAGAGGGCTTCAAAACGCAGGCCTTAGATGATGTAATCAATTAGCAATTGAAACGCAGGGGCAAATCAAAGAAGCAAGAAAAACGCAGCACTCCCTAGCGCAAGCACGTTGAACACCACCCTCCAAGCCAGCACACGCTCAGCTGGTTTCGGCGGGGGGGGAGAGGCAGACGAACTCGTTTCCGCCAGAGGAACAGATCCGCTGCCTTGTGCAGCAGGGCAGGTGGGGTCAGCTATGGTTCGGCCCACGAAGGGCCCGTAAGCCGGGTTCATGGTGACGTTGAGTTTCTCCAGCGGGCAGTCAGGGGTGGCGGGCAGCGGGTCGCAGCAGACGTTGGTCGTTGGGATCTGCTTTGGGCCGTTGTAGCACTTGTCAGTTCCTCCGTTGGTCTAGAAATGCGGGAGTGGCGAGAACAGGGGAGTAGTGTGGGAGCTTACAATGATGTAAGTCAGGGTTCAAAAACGATCTCCAGGATTACAGCATGGGTTGTTTTGATGGACCAAAACTTTTGCTGCACTTAGCGTTTCTTATGTAGTCGTATTGTGCTTACCAGAGTGATCAGCACAATCTAGGCATAGCCTAGATTAACCTGCAAATAAATAGCGCAATCCGAGACCAGTGCGGAGTGCGGAGAGCTTACTGGCGTGACTTGCACCGTGTAGTTAATCGCGTCGAAGGCTTGGCCGACCCTCCCGAACAGGGTCGTCATTAGCTTTTCTCCCGAGTTGAAATACGTCGAAATGGGTCCTTGAAAACCGGGTACTGTGGGACTCAGACATAAAGAATAAACGGGATGTACAGGGGATGCCTGACATTGGAACACCCTGTTGGCGAATCGCATGGCATGGAGTGGGACGGGAATATCAGGCGTGGGGGGACCAATTCGGACTGACTCGGGCGGGGCATTTTGTGGCATCTTCTGTGGTAGGGGGGGTGGCACGAAACAGACTTCAGTGATATTCAAACATATTTAGAGGGCGTCGGGTGGCAAATTCGAGCTCCAAGGGAAGCGATGGTTACAAAGTTACATCACTTACGCGGCAGATCCTTGCACTTGTCGTACACCGTCTGGGCGTAACTAGAGCAAACGCGCATCACTCCCACTTTCCCCGGTGGCAGCTCCAAATACTTCCCGGAATCTGAAAACAGTTCAAAATTCAGACGGGGAAAACGTGGAGGGACGTAAGCAAGATAGCGAAGCTTATAGCTAATTATTATTATTATTATTGTTAATGGTAGGAAGGTTGGTTGGATAGGAGAACGGGATAGGTTGTCGAGTAGTTCTCCTAGAAAACTCTCAACCAAATGTAGGAAGCTCGAGGCAATTTTGAGACATTTGGTACGCGGGTTTTAAAAAGAAAGAAACAAAAAAAAACGAACCAAGGATTTGTGCGAGGTATACTTACAAAGCTAATTTCTCGCTCACCTGGGTTGCATCCGGTGGCGCCGATCATCTGCTCGAGAAAGTCTTCACACTTGAAGACATTGGCATTGTCACTCGCTTTTGACACTAGCTTTTGACACTAGCGTTTCCAGCAAGAGGCTCTCACCTGGGTTGCAGCCAGTGGCGCAGATCATCTGCTCTAGAAGGTCCTGACAGTCCCTGAAGCCGACGAACGACGAGCAGAGCTGCATGCACGCAACAAACAGGCCACAGGAATCGCACACGCTTGAACACGCCACATTTCAGGGAACAAGCGTTCAGACTAATTTGCTAGACAAGGCCCTCGCTTCCCTGAAGCTGACGCATCTCGTATACTCCATCCACTATACCATGCTCGTAGACGACGCATAGAGATCGAGAGAGATTAGTTATCCGGAGTGCATACAATCTTCACAGTGAAATATTTTTTAGAGTTCTCAAGAAGACATTCTTCACGGTTAGCCGGTCATTTCTCGGCTTACCTGGGTGTCTTTGCCGGAAAGCAAATTCGTAAGGCGAGAATCGACTGTGGAGATAAGCGTAGTCACGTTGGCGCTAACTTCGGCGAGCGCGTATCGCTTATCGGAGCAGTCTTTACAGCATGTCATTTCAGCAGCGTCGGGACATCGCGTGACCTTCCATGAGGTTTTCGTGGGAGGGAGGCCGGTGAAAGGACATAGAGGGTACTTCTGAGCAAGGGTGACTGTTGCGAGTAAAGCTATGGCGAGGAACCAAGCGGCGAGCTTTAGTTTCGTCATGGTGACACGGCTCTGAGAAGTCCAGGAAATAACACCTGGCTTGAAGCAGTCAAGCTTCTTTGACTGGGATGAAGGATTTGCTACTCGGAGTGGTCAGACTACGTAATGATCTTGAAGGCTGAACCTAGATTACTCCCAGTATGCAGCCTGGCCTAAAGGTGAGCTGGAGAAGTAGGGGTGATGGAAGAAGCAAGTGCTTTGGATTGATCAGCACATCCCTAGGCTCTTGGCAGAACCTTTGGCGGTGGAGAGGCGTCGTCCCTTGTGGGAGGGTGATGGGACAGACTCGAGGCGGTTCAGGAATGCAGAAGCTCCCACCAAAACGGTCCATTCGGCTTGAAAATGTTCCTGCCGACTTCTATTCCCGGTCAAGTAAGCCTGAAAATGTTCCTGCCCAGTTTCCAGCACGGTTCTTGGTGAAACGTTTCAATGCCTGGCCCATTCAAGTGCCCGAGATGTTCAACAGGACGGGGGATTTCGGTGGCAGACCGCCGCAGCCGTTTGCTGCCCACGGCAATCAGCGGGGACGGGGAACCTCCCTGTCGCGCTTCGTGTGTACTCGATAACGAGCCTTGCGAGATCCAGCTGAATCATATTGCGGAAATCCCGAATTTCATATTTTGCACTCGGTTTCTCGAATTCCCTTTCGTCCCCCAAAAATTCCCTTCCAAACTTAGGTGTCAGAAACACCCAAGCCGCGCCTCAATTCGCCCAGGCAGCAACATTGCGAGTGAATCTCACGAATCCCGTCCCGCAGCAAAACTCGGAATGTCGTCGTAGGGTGTGAATTCAATCGCGTGACGCGCCTTATCCCTCGGAATGTTATCACTTTCTCCACGCAATCTGCGATCTAAAGGTATTCGTAAGTTCTTGAATAGAAATCAAGAGTATTTGTAAACCTTTAATTCTTAAACCAGCTGGGACCCGCATCTGCTTCGGGATGTGTGTAAACCCTGAACTCGGAGCTCTTTTTGGAGTTTAGGGCTGATTTCTCCCTTAGGGCTCGTCTCCAGAGAGAGCCCTGTCGAAAATATCGTGTCAACCGAACCACGTGACAACAATTCCAGGGTACCTGACGACCTCAGTTTGGCGACAGAGAGTCGTGAGGATGTTCTCCCGCCAAAACAAGGCCATTCAACGACTAGTTACACAGTTTCCCCCCGGCTACTCTGGCCCAACCAACACTGCTGTTCATCGGACAACACTTACACCTACGCGCTGCCCGACGTCAAAGTTTGTGCTGACGTGGTCAGTTCCGTCGTCAGCCAATCGGGTTACGTAAGGAGTTTGTGCTGGGCGATCTTTGGAAGACACGCTCTTGGGAAATTCTAACCCGGAACTACAGTACACCAGGCCCGTGACACGCTAATGCGTGATACCGTGTCAGCCAGAGACGAGCTCTTAATCACATACGCCCCCCCAGAGATTTATATTTGTTTTCTACTGCCCGAAACCTCTCAGGTTGGGAAAAACGTTTGCAGTTAGGAGATTACCATAAGAAGAGAAATATTTGAATTTATATATAATGGCACGTAGCTCTTATAAACCTCTGATTGTAGGGAAATAGCAATAACATTCTGAGGGGCTAGGCACGTCACGCGATTGAAATCAAGCCCTGCGACGATATTCCAATTTTTGCTGCGGGACGGGACTCGCGAGATTCTCTCCAATCTTGCACACCAGAGATTTCGCCCTGCGCGGTTCGGTTTCCGAAGCCGATTCCGCCGCGATTGTCGCCCCCACCACAACCTGACCCCCGAAACGCAAGCGGAGCCGAGAAATTGGAGATTTCGGTTTTGGTCCTTCCCTCTCCTTCCTTCCCTCCCTTTCCTTCCCTCTCTCCCCTTGCCGTCTCTTCCCTTGCTCACTTCGGCTGGAATATCGTTTCCCTCGTCATCGTCGCTTGATTCTTGCCGCTCAGAAAGCAACCCTTTGCTCAGAACCTCAGTTCGCAGCTGGATTCTGGCCGTTTTATTCCGCCGGAGCCTTACGAAACCTCCCGCTGTTGGGTTTATCCAGAAGCGCTTCGCGGGAGCTGAGCGGGAGCCATAGATTGAGAACTCGTCGTAGTTGATTGGTAGGAGCCCCAGCGAGTCAGATAGCGATCAGACGAATCCCATTGAGAAATCTGTCCATTGATTGAGCTTTCGCGTGGCCCTCGGTTGGTATCTCCGTCGACAGTAGCTTTTTTCCTCTCAGCCGCTCGCAACTTCCCGCTGGCTAAGTAACTCTCTCAGCTAACAGATTCTAGAACATGGCGAAGTTACCACTGCCTGCCGCCCTCACCAGGCAGTACACCAGCAGCTCGCTGACGTCACTTCCTACGTCACTTTCCCTCTTCACCCCTGTCCTCCTCCTCCTCTCCTCCCTCATCCTCTTAGCGCCCGCCTCAGCTCAAGACGTCCCGATTTATCCACTATGCCCCTACACCAAGCGGCCGCCCTCTAGGTCCAACTTAACGTTCACGCGGTGCGTCGGTGCGACTAAGTACACGTGCTGCCCGGACTGCTACGACATGAAACTCGCGCTACTGGCCGTCAGCGCAAAGGGCTCCGGAATCCTCAACCAGATCTCCGCCGGGCTTGGCGGCGTGCTCGCCGGAAAAGATATCCAGGTGAGTGGTTTTATAGCGCGGTGTGGTGAGTTTCAAAAGGGATCAGCATCGGTACACGTGCTGCCCCGACTGCTACGCCACAATCTTGCTTTTTAACTGTACACGTGTACAAGTCCGACGTAGGCCCCTCGAAAGACGCTACGACATGGCTTCAAGACGTCTCAAAACCAGTGTTCGATACACGTCCTGGCCGGCCTTCCCACTGTAGCCGTTACCCCCTCGGCCTTCCCGTACTTCCCCCTCCCCCCCCCCCCCCCTCTCTCCCCCTCTCCTCCCCCCGACTCTGCTCGACCTTCGCCTGTAGCTCCGCGCGCCAGTTGCACCTCATCTCCCCCGCTACCTTTCACTTTCCCCCTGGTCTCTCCCTTCTCCCTGCACATCCCGCCCCTCGCCCCCACCCGGCAGCTCTGCTCCATCTTCGCCAGTAACTCAGCCTGTCAGCTGCACCTCGAGCAAGTCGTCTGCGCCAATGGTTGCGACCCAGGTGCGACTGTGTGCGACCCAGGTGGGACTGTGTGCGACCTAGGTGCGACTGTGTGCGATCCAGGTGCGACTGTGTGCGATCAGGGCGTCACTTGTGTGCAATAAACAGGCAGACCGGGTCACGTGAATCCGAGCGAAAATTCGTCGGTGGAACTATGCTCTAATTTTCTTCCTGTTCTTCCTGCCCTTTCGGTCGTTTGTTAACCCATGCAGTGGTGTATTTTCTCTCATTTTCAGAAAAAAAATTCCTCACCTGCCCGTCCTTTCCTGCCTGTACTTTCCTTGCAGAGTCTGGAAACTACCTGGAAATTGTGAACAACAACACCAAGGGTATTCTCTCCGTGTGCTCTGACTACTCCTCTGTCGTCTACGGAAGCTGCAAGGACCTTCCACGTGAGCTTCTATACCCCTCTCAACCTCTCTGCACTCCTGCAGTAGAGAGCTTGTCACGTGCAGGCTGCTTGGTGCTGGACTCCCGGAAATACTTACTCTACCCCTCTCCACGTGGGAACCCCATAGTGCAAAGCCAATGGGCTTTGGAACCATGGCGCATTTCTTCCCCATGAAAGAACTCTTCACGAAAGAACTCTTGGTGCTGTCATTGTTTTTATATGCCTCAATCAACCTTCCTTCCCTCCTCTCCCTCCTCTCCCTCCTCACACACCCCCCTTTGTGCAACCGCCAGTCCCCGGCTTTGGAACCATGGCGGATTTCTTCCCCACTAAAGAGCTCTTCATGACCAAGCTGTTCGGTGCTGTCATTGGGCTCATCGGCAAACTCAACTACACTGTCAAAGTCAAAGCGGTAAGCAAGTTATAGCGTTGTTATACCAGTAAGTAAGTTATAGCAATGTTATAGCAGTAAGGTCTTTCATTCCTGTGTTGCCAACATATGAACCACCCCAAGCTGTCTGGTGCTGTCATTGGGAGGAACATCCCCGCCAAGAGCTGAGTGCCCAGTATCGAATCGCCCATTGAATTCTCAACCCCCGTCCCCCCCTCTTTATACAGGGTACAGAGGCGTGCTATAACGGGCCCAAGGCCCTCCCAGCAAAAACCCTCTGCTGCGACCCGCTCAAAGTCCCCAAAACCTGCCCCCGGGGCACCGTGAGCTTCAAGGAGAACCCCGAGTTCCGCCCCTTTGTGGGGCGGCACGTCGACAGCAAGAGCTGCAGCATCAACCCGTCGCTCGCCATGCTGGGACTCCCCGAAGATGGGGTTGCTACTACAGGGAAGAAGAGCGCGGGGGATGGGTTTGGGGGGCGGGGGTTGATGGGGGGTTGGTTTGGGGTCGTGGTGGGCTGGTTGGGAGCGTGGGTGCTGCTGTGGGGGGGATTGTGAGGCTGATGAGACTCGATCAGCCGGGCATTGATATGCTAACATATATTGGGAGAGGGGTTAGCAAGGCGCCCAGTTTTCGTACACTAGAACACTACACTGGCTGCTGTATAGGGCAGTACGGGTATATTGCAGGGGCTTTATGCCAGGCATAATCAGCATCAATGTTGTTGACAGGTGGTACCAAGCCAATATACTGATTGCCTGTTCAGAGAGATCGCTCAGGTGGTATGACTGGTGTCCAATGAGCCCTTGTCATACAGTATTCAGGAACGGAGTATTGTATGATAATCAGTGCCAGTACATTGCAGGGGCTATAGGCCAGGCATAACCAGCAGCAACGGGTGTTGAGACTTGGGACCAATATACACTGATTGACTGTTCAGAGAGATTCCCCAGGCAGAATGGCTCGTGCCCAATGGGTCATTGTCATATTCAGGAACGAAGTATGGTTTACCGTAATCTCTCGGTTCCTGCATCTATGAATCTGCCTGCCAGGTACTACCTGAATAATGCCCGCCAAGCATTTCGCTGCACCAACCAATTCTTATCTACCATGAACAAGCTAGGTACCAAAACAACGCGTGTATTCCCATGCCATATCCCCCCCCTCCCCCTCCTGTTCCAAACCAGAAAGACATGCTGCAATCATCTAAGAGCTCGCATGAGCATACATCTCTATTGCTTTCTCCAACGCCCCCTCCTCTGCCTCCCTCAGCTGCCCAGCCAGCTGCCAATCGCTCCTGTTACCAGCAAAGCGTCAACTGAAAGACCAACCCTAAGAGCTCGCTTGTGCGCACATCTCCAATGCCTTTTTCAAAGCCCCTTCCTCCGCTTCCCTCAGCTGCCGAACCAGCTGCTGCTCCTTCTCACACCCCTTGCTCCCCGCCGAACGTGCCTCCAAGCCTCCACCCAAGCCTAAACCAGCAGGCATGGCTGCCTTGGACCCAGCAGCCTTATCATCCCCTGCTGCAGCCCCTGCCTGGAGCTCCTGAAGCTTCTGCTGGCAGATGCTGCTGAGAAGGTCGGCTTGAGCCTTTGATAGAGTCACATCCGCACTGCTTGCCGGCTTGCTGGTGGTCTCCGCACGACCGTTTGCAGTTGCTGGTTGGAAGTCTGCTGGGAGGGGAGAGGAGGAAAGTTTATTCAGTCAACTCTCAAGTATATCGCATTCGCAGTGCCTGCCGGCTTGCTGGTGGGGTCAGCATGGCCGTTTGCTGCTGCTGCTGGTTCGAGTCTGCTGGAGAGGAGAGGGGGGGAAGGGGGGATGCACACGAGATAGAGAGAGCAGGAATGATTGGGGGATCAGACCCAAAGGCCATAGACCCAGCAGCCTTATCATCCCCTGCTGCCGCCCCTGCTTGGAGCTCTTGAAGCTTCTGCTGGCAGATGCTGCTGAGAAATTCGGCTTGAGAATTCAATAGAGTCACATCCGCACTGCCTGCTGGCCTGCTGGTGGGATCAGCATGGCCGTTTGCAGTTGCTCCTGGTTGAGAGTCTGTCAGGGGAAGGGGGAAAAAAAGGGGGGGGGGGGGGGGGGGGGGTTGGGTTTGAAAGATGGTGGAAAGGTGGTGGATATCGGAGAGAGAGAGAGAAGGACGGGACTGCAGGCCGGCTTGCTGCTGGGTAGCAGCTGGTGGTGGTTGAGGGTCTGCTGGGAGACGAGGAGAGGAGAATTCCTACCATGACCCTCAGTCAACCAATACAGTGCTGCCATGCCCCTCCGGCAGTTCAGCCGTCTCCTTGGCCCGGGCAGCAATGGCCCTGGCAGCCGTGATCAGTGAATGAGAAAGAAAGTAACCTCTTCCCCCCCCCTTCCCCTCCCCCCCACCCTCCCTCCCACTCTCCCCCCCATCCTTCCCCCCACCCTCCCCCCCACTCTCCCCCCCGCTCTCCCCCCCACACTCCCCCCCGCTCTCCCCCCCTCTCCCCCCCAAACACTCACCTTTATCCTTGGTGCTGCCATGTGCCTCTAGCAGTTCAGCCGTCTCCTTGGCCCGGGCAGCAATGGCCCCCTCACGTCCTCTGTGATCTGCCCCTCGTCCGTTGTGGTCGCCACTCCGAGTCTTGACCAGAGATAAGAAAGTAGGTAACCTCTCCCCCCCCCCCCTCCCAAATCCCCTCCCCCAAACACTCACCTTTATCCTTGCCATGTGCCTCTAGCAGTTCAGCCGTCTCCTTGGCCCGGGCCGCAATGGCTCCCCTCAGGTCCTCGGTGATCTGCCCCTCGTCACTTGTGGTCGCCACTCGCAGCCACGTGGCCAGCTCTGGTGAGGGCTTGCCGCTCCAGTACAGGTCCAGATGGGTGGAGGGCGGTAGCTCCAGCCACTTGAGCAGTGCGAGCTGGGTGGACGAGAGGAGGGGGATGCAGGGGGGTGAGGGTGGGGTGTGTGAGGGGGTGAAGTGACTGTATGTGAGGGGGTGAAGTGACTGTATGTGAGGGGGATGAAGTGACTGTGTGTGAGGGAGTGAGGCATGTAGCCGAGGACGTCTGGGAAGGAGTGTATTAAAGGTGTATTTAGCAGCTACAAATAACAGACACCTGTGAGCTTTTGTGCCTCCCCTCTCGACGTCCTAACAACTGCCAAACCTTCTACCCTTCCAGCCTAACAACTGCCATACCTTCTACCCTTCCAGCCTAACAACTGCCATACCTTCTACCCTTCCAGCCTAACAACTGCCATACCTTTTTATTGTAGAGTGGGTCGGAGGGGGGAAGCTCCAAGGGAATGCTGATGGTGGGAAGGGATACGACGGGCAGGCAGGCACAGGTGGAGCAGGCCCATGTGGAGCATGCAGGAGTGGGGCAGGGAGGCACATAAGAGGAGGGTACAGGTGGGGCAAGCAACATGTGGAGCAGGCACGAGTAGGGCAGGCACTTATTATGAGGAGGGTACAGGTGGGTGAGCGGGGGTGGAGGGGGAGACGGGAGCAAAGAGAGGGGGAGAGCACAAGTAGAGAAGCATGGTGGTGTTGATGAGTCGACTCAAACATGTGGAGTGGCGAGCAGCGTGGATCGTGGGACAGCCCAGCACAGCCCAAGGGTCTCACCGGAAGCGGTCTCTCTCATTGGACCCAGGGATGAAGCCTGAGTAGAGCAGCATGATGGTGTTGGGGCGATAGCCATACGACAGATACACCTGATGGGTGGGGCGGATTGAGGGGTAATGATGTTACACTTGCCTCAAAACAACCCGTGGGCCATAAACCCCAAAGACCCACCAACCACTAATCCCCAAAACGCTTGCATTCAGACCCACCTGAAATTTACCCTGTAAAATCAACACCCTGTAAACGGACACCCACCAACCATTAACCCCAAACCCTTTAACAGTCACACCCACCTGCTCTCCAGCCTTGAAGCTGCGCTTGGCAGAGACCTCCATCACGTTGCTGTCAGTGCCAAACGTACTCGTTATAGGACCCTCCTGTACAAGCACGCACCAGGCAGGAACACGTAATGATTGAACACGTTAATAACAGGGCTGCAAGCCATCAGTTGGCAAAAAGACCATTCTACAAGGTTCTCCTACCTTGCACACATTCACCTCATGGTTGAACATGTCTAAAAAGGACATACTGATGGTTTAACATGTTTATAACGAACATACCTCGTGGTTGAACATGTCTATAACGGGGACGAGCGCCATCACTTGACGAACAGGCGCAGCAGCAGCAGCTGCTGCAGCTGACGTGCTGGCAGCGTCAGCAGCAGGAGCAGCACTGGTATCAGCAGCACCACCAGCAGCATCAGCAGCAGTGGTATCATCACCAGAAGCAGCGGCAGCAGCAGCAGCGGCAGAAGCGGATTCAGCAGCAGCAATAGCAGCGGCAGTGGCAGCAGCTTCAGCAGGGGTGCCTGCGACGCCAGCAGCAGCAGCGCTGGGGTTCTTGCTCACTGCTGCTTCCAGCGCTTCTGCTGACACCGGCACCTGCGTCTGCCTCATCATCACCATCTGTCAGTAGTGCAACAGGGAGGGGAAAATAAAGGGGAGATGGGAGAAAGAAAAGGAGGCGATTTGACAGCAACTGACGAGCCAAAACAAAAGCCGTGCCATGCTGATGAAAGAATCTAAACACTCACCGAAACGGCTCATCTGATCTCGGCCGATCAGAACCATTCCCCAGAGGTAGTCTCAAGGGGGGCCGTGATGACTCCCAGCTGCCGCAGCACCGTGGTAATACTCAATATATGCGGTCCGCATCCCACTCCCAACACCCACAGAGACAGCCCATGCCATCCCATCTGATACGCATTGAAACAGCCCATCCCATCCCATCTGACACTCACCGAAACGGCCCATCTGAACTCGGCCCAGCAGAACCACTCCCTGGTCGCGGTCTTGAGGGGGGCCGAAATGACCCCCAGCTGCCGCAGCACCGTGCGCATGTGGCAGTACTGCTTGGCCACCGTGCGCAGCATGCGGTGGTACTCGGGCAGAGCCTGGTGGGATGGAAGGGGTGAATAGAACACGCAGCACAGTTAACGTCTGAGTCAACGCGACACCGTGCGCATGCAAGCACATCTCTAGTGGCAGTGCTGCTTGGGATATAGTGCGCAGCATGCGGTTTATCCTAAACCCCGAACCCTGACACCGCCAGAGCCTCACAGTACTGCAAGCAACCTGTAGAATGACTAGCACGACCAGACCTGCAACTGTTGGGTATCCCTCCTCATAAAAGATTTTTGTGATGTGAAAGTTTAGATGGCACGAAAATGGGTATCCATGGCATACAATACGGGATTTGGCCACATAACTGATGAAATTGCATGGCAACTAAGGGGGCTTTGTGGCATACCGTGGTTCCTTGCAGGAGCGAGGCGGTCTCGAGACTGTGTTGCCATGGGGGGGGGTGGCCACGTAGCAGATACAGGTAAAATGCAGGGAGAAAAGAAGGGGAAGATAGGAGACAAAGGTGGAGCAGGGGAGGAGGGAGAGAGGGAGGAAGAGAACAAGGCCTTACAGCAAAAAGCTACAGATTTGTATTCCAGGACAAGAAAGCTAGTGGTGAAGCCACCTCAAGGCATCTCAGCTGACCTGAAAGGTATCTGAACCTATCTGAAAGCATCTCAACTCAACCGACCTGAAATCAACTCAACCCACCTGAAAGGATCTCATCCCACCTGAAAGCATCTCGACCCACCTGAAAGCATCTCAACCGACCTGACGCATCTCAGCTGACCTGAAAGGTATCTGAACCTGTCTGAAAGCATCTCAACCCAACCGACCTGAAAGCCACTCAACCCACCTGAAAGGATCTCATCCCACCTGAAAGCATCTCGACCCACCTGAAAGCATCTCGACCCGCCTGAAAGCATCTCGACCCACCTGAAAGCATCTCAACCGACCTGACGCATCTCAGCTGACCTGAAGGCGAGAGGCAGGATGATGTCGTCAGGAGAGGCGTCCTGGTTGAACTCGGAGAGGCAGTGCTGGCCTGGCAGCGACTTGATGTACCCCAACCACCTGGAGGGGGCGACTGCCGGGCGATGCTGGTAGGAAGGCGGAGGAAGTGAGGGAAAGGGACGTTGGGGAAGAGAGGGCGTTTGATCTCTGAAAGGCAATGCTGGCCGGGCAGACTTGATGTACCCCGCCCACTTGGAATGGGCGGCTGCTGGGCGATGCTGCGGCAAAGTAAGGCACTGGGAGACGAGGGTTTGATGTGAGACAAGTGAGGAGAAGGATCCCATTCGGGTTTGATGAGGGTTTGGATCCTTATGTAGGCGTGTTGGTTACCATCTGAGAGGGAGTGCAAGACTTTGTCTTCGCGAAGACCAGGTGCACAGCAAGGATGAGGGACAGTACAGCCCTGAGTCTCCTTAGAATCAAGAAACCCTAACCCACTTAAACACAACAACCCCACGGACGAACTGACCTTTTCAAAGAGCAGGTGCATGGCGAGGATCAGCGAGGGCACGGCCCTGAACCAGGCATCCGTGGAGTGAATCAAACCCACGTCCTTCTGCTCGGGTGAGTGGGGAGAAAGGAAGGAACAACTCAAAGAAGGGAAGAACAAGACCAAAGAGTGCGGTCGGAGAACGAAGGAAAGACAGGGAGCACGAGGCGGCGCAACGGAGCTGGCTAGTGTCTACCTGGCAGTTGGCAGAGATGTTATTTTTGAAACGCCTTCAAAACAGACTCTGACATCACAGTTGGCGGTGATTTTTGGAATACCAGGCACTCACGGTTTGGACGGCAGTGAGGTGAGTCATCATGAGTTCGGACGGCAGCGAGGCAACGAGATCGCCCTCGTTAAAGTCACGCGTCGCCACCACTCCAGGCCCCTCGGGCAGACTCCCGTCGAATTTGATCCCGTCAATCTGACACGTCAGATAGGCATGGTCTCGTTAGTGTCACTGCATACGCCATGTGGCTTTGGAAGCCTCGAAACACGTCAATCAGAACATACATCTTAGACGAAACGTGTCAGACGTAACGTGACCAGCAACAACCCCTGGTTGCTTGTTTTACACAAGCATAAATCTCGACTGCTTTCATGGTTTGAGCCGAATCAAATATTTCCCACGTGCATTAGCGCCAGAAACGGGACTGATTTTTTAAGTGCCCAGCTCGCGCTGTTATGTGTAAGAACTTAGAGCTCACATTCACGTTGTTTTGATCGCCACATAGATAGACCCACCACGAGCAATTTGAGCCCACCTTCACGTTGTTAGGGTCGATCCACTCCTGCAGGTACTGCATGCGAGTAGCTGCATCAACCGGCGCTGCTTTTTAAGTGCCTAAGAAACAGTCTCGTGCTGTCATGTGTAAGACCCCCAGGAGCTCACCTTGACGTTGTTCTGGTCGAACCACTCCTGCAGGAACTGCATGCGAGTAGCGGCATCGACCGGTGCTGCCGTGGAAAGGCGCCCCTTCTCGTGCTTCTGGATCTGAAAGGGTGAGTACGTAGCATAAGGGAGGGGCACATAGTCCCAGCAGCGCAAAAAGGATAGAAGACAGAAACGTCAGATCTCGAGACTGCATTCCCGCTAAGCTGGTGGTCTAACGTGTCATAGTACCCTGCTTGGCTGCATGCGTCCTGTTATTGAAACTCGGAGCTCGAAAGCTCGGGTGTTCGATGGCAGTTAGAGAGAAAGGGTGGAGGCATCTGATATCACAAGAGCTTACGTGCGACAGAACTAACCTCCTTTCGCAACCATGCGAGTGGGCTTCTCCTCGCTTTCATATAGGTACATCGCCTCCCTTGCATAACTGCGACAGAATCTTGTGGATGGCGGTGATGCTGTCCATGTGTTGTCCATGTCCATGAGCTCGTGGTACTCGATGGGCTTTCCCCAGCCGCTGACGAAGGTCCATAACCCCTTTCCAATATACACGCACGTGGACTTACCTGCGACAGGATCCTGTGAATGGCCGTGATACTATCCATGTGCTCGGCCGAGGAGAGCTTGTGGTACTCGATGGGCTTCTCCACGCGATTGAAGAGGTCCGTGGCCAAGCCATCCAGAAGCGCTGCTCATTATCATAACGAATCAGTGTACAACGCGCGTACAAGGAAGTGCACAGGTCATCAGCAGGATTCTCCACGCGCTTAAACAGGTCCATGACCATGCCATCCAAAAACACTGCTCATCCACGCGAGAGTTTGCAGACCGAGCAACTGGACGCCACAAGAGAGCGTTTTCCCCGTCCATTCCCTTTCGAATAGCTTAAATATAAAACGTCGCAGTGACGTTTTCCCGTGTTGTTGGTGATCCTCCTAGAGAAGCTAAAACAATAACGTGTCACACAAAGGTCAAAATAAGTCGAGGGTTCAGGCTGACGCGTCCCTACTACAGGAACTTGGCGACTGAGCTCTCACCCGTCTTTTCCTTCTTCTTATCGGTGGATTTCGACATTGTGCCTCAGCTACTTCACGTCGAAGCGACGCGAGGAGAAAAATACGAAGGAACGAAACGCGGGCTTCAAACCACCAGCCTAACAGGCTGTATTAAGCTCTGGCTACTTTTTTCAAGTGGTCCAGATTAGGAGCCACGGATCAGACTCGCCTTAGGAAATGATGATTGTACCGTATGGCAAATGGACCAGGCCAGACCAGTCACCAGAGAATCCCTAGGGGAGTGATAAGATGATGCACCAGGGTGATGATGAGGTAGCCAGAGAGCAGGGAGGGGGGACCAGCAGCAGCAGCAGCAGCAGGGGAGCATGGGGGGGTGCTCAGCTCATTGCTCAAATTGCTGCTCCTCGAAATTGCCGAGCCGATCAGGGCGGCGCAATGCGTCGCAGTCAGATTCCCAAGGAGCGCGAAGTGAATTCGTGTGGATAAACCAGCACCCAATCGCGAGCTGAAGAGCTGACGCGCTGGCACAGTGAATTTCCTGACGTGTCGTGCGAAGGGGTGGGCTGTCCTACGTGGCGTGAGGCTCGACGAATGGCAGTTGAGTGGTGTGATTCGATCACTTCTGCTGTCAGCGAGGAATGCGACTCCACAATTCTGCTCCATGATGGAAACTAGGCATTCAGCCTTGGGTGCAATAAATATGAAACTGTACATAATTTCCTCATAGGAAGCACAAGAAGCATACTACAACAAACCACACACCCATGTAGGCTGCCTTAATTCAAAGTACCTGCACTAAAGGAGAAGTGGTGATGTAACCCCAAAATCGCCTTGATATTTTGAAATGGAATATTTTTATGCCGCTTCCGAACTCAGCATCAGACTTCGAGATTAACCTTGGTCAATAAACCTGCACTAGGAAGGCAATAAAAGAAAGAAGACACCAGCACAGGACAGGAGCATGTAATTTTAAGAAGCAATTTTAGAATCAAGCAATAATAGCAGCCCCTTACTTCACCTGGTTATCAGGCTCCAGTAGTCTTTAAAAGGAGATGCGATTGCTGCTCGAACCACTGCTGCTGCTGTCGTTGCTCCCTAGCTTTTACCACTCGCTCCCTCACCTCCCACCCTTACTAGCCGCTTCAGCCTAGCAGCCTCCTCAACCTTCATTGCACACCACTCGTCCCACACCCCCTCCCACAGCCGCCAGGCCCGCTCACTGGACTCTAACCCCTCGCTCACGAGGTGCCATGCCACGTTGATCTGCCTCCTCTCTGAAGCTTGCAGGTCCGCAACGCCTCTTTTGCGCTTTTCCCCGAACCCAGGGGATGCAGCCAGAGGTGTGTCTGTGATGGGTGTGCCGGCGATAGCCGAGCATGTGATGGATGTGGGTGTGGTTTTCGTTGTGCTCGCTGGTTTTGCAGCAGGAGAGGCTTTGTATCGCGACTTCACATGGAGCCCGTCGGACAAACAAGTGAGGCTCAGAGCTGACGCTACCCGATCCAGCTTCTGTACCGCAATCAAAGTTGCCTCCTCTGTAGAATCTGCCCTGTAAAACTCGACAGCATCCATGAGTCTCTTCATCCGCCTCATCCTCTTGTCAATCGCCTCTGGCATTTTCTCGGCGAGCCAAGAAACCCCCTTGATGAATCCGCTCTCAGAGCACCTGATGCACAGCGTCAACCCTTTAACAAGGACGCTAGGGCTGCTCCAGTACCGCCAGGCGATCTCAATGCTTTCGGCGTCGTGCCAGGGTTTCACCACCTGGGTGTAATACGCCCGAGCCTGTTTCTGCTCAGCCGTTTCTCGGCTTCAACTAAACCTGACCCCCCCCCCCCCCCACCAATTACCGTTGACCCTCCCCCATCGATCAGAACCAAGTCCCTTCCACAGGTCACAGCTGACGCTACCCCATTAACTAACGCCGGCTTTCCCGGAACAGGTGAGGGTGCTGTCGTCGCCAGCGCGTTAGGGCGGGTGCTACTGTGTCCAACGGGTGAGGTAATCGCTCGTAAGGCAGTCGCCCTTAAACTAGTCGCTCTTAAAACCGCCGCTTCTAGCTCTGCAATCCGCACATCCCGCTCCTCTAACTGGTGCCTAAAGCGACAGTTTTCCTGTTTGCAGTGAGCGATTTCTTGCTCGAGCTGAGCTTTTTCGACCTTGAGCTTCTTATTCTTGGTCGTTAATGTCTGCAGCTGCACCGACAGATCGCACGCCGTTTCTCGCGTGGCGTTGATGATTTCTTGCAGGCCTGCCACGTGGCTGTCCAACCGAGATAGCAATTCCTGCGACGGAAGACCTCGTTCCACGTCAGACCATGGCTCGATTTCTGGAAATGGGAACTCAGATTTTCGGTACTCACCGACATAGCGTCTCGTCTACTGAGCTTGACAGCCTAACAAAATCGTCCAACTGATTGCGAGTACGTAAACAGCACATGCGACTGAAGAAAATAATAAATATTTAGGCTGGCCACTCAAAAAAGTCAGGAAGGGGAGAAGTACATGCCCCTTGGAATTGATGAAACATGGAAGAAGCCTCACGCTTTAAGGGTAACTTACCCCGAATGCTTCCTCATCCAGGGCCATATGTGAGAAATATAATAATATTTTCCGGTAGAGAACGAACAGGCATCCTCTTTCCGAACCCCAATTGTTGCGTGGTTGTGAATCGAAGAGCAGTGCTGGTTCCGAAAACTACAGGTGGGGTGGAGATGGCAAAACTTTCTGCGCCGAGTAGCCCTCACAGGGTGACCTTCCGTCCGTCCCGAGGTTCCCTCCCTCGGCCTCTCCGAGCCGAACGTCAGTTTTGGTGGGAGTAGAATGACGAGCCAGACGAACAGAGTTCGAAATTTTGTATTGCAACTTGGCATGAATGATCATGTGAACAATGTGCCGATGATCTAAGTCCCCTAGAGAGCGACCTGAATGCCGAGTCCAGCTCAGGTGCAGTAGACGCTGCTGATCCATAGCAGATGCGAATATCGACGAGCTCTCGATCTCACACGCCGATGGAATTATTATTCGTTAACTGAAGTAAATAATGCGATTTTGAAGGCCCTCTTCAAAATATCCCGGGGATACGGATAGTATTCCGTTGGGAGCGTTGGAAGAAAGGACAGCGCAGCTAGCGGAGCCCGTCGCTGGTACTAGAATTCGACTGGTTACCACAGCATCACGTGTAACCATGCCATTGGTTACAGCATCGCGTGTAACGATGCCGCACCTTTCCATGCCACCCGCAGCACTGCCGTTATTCGAAGCAGCTTCAAACGAAGCACAAGGCGAAATCGCTCCGGTACGGGAGCGGAGCAGCATAACGACAACAGCAGCAGCAGCAGCAGAAGATACAGCAGTTACAGCAGCCGAATCTCCAGCAGCAGCACCAAGAGTAGCAGCAGAAATGGCAGGAGCAGCAGAAATAGGGGGGCCTCCATCCCCTACCAAACGAGTTCCCGCCTTTTCCTGTCCCCAAGATCCTTCCCCAGAGCAGATCATTCTGCTTCTACAGAATCAGCTTATAGCGGAGCGGACCTCCTTCGAAAAACGCCTGGCGAAAGTCGCGCAGGAAGCGGAGGAAACCCTAAACGCGCAGCAGCGATTCTGGGCGGCGCAAGTGGCACGCTTAGAGGCGCAAGTGGCGGAAACCGGGCGGCAGATGGCGCAGATGCGGGCGGAAAGGAGGGCGGCGGAGAGGGAGGCGGAGAGAGAGGCGGAGCGGAGGGGGAGGGAGGTGCGGAGGCTTGAAGAGAAGGTGGAGAGCGGGGAGAGAGAGAGGCGGGCCCTGGTGGGGGAGGTGGAACTGGTGAAGGCGCAACTGAGGGAGGTGAGACTGCTGGCGGGGGGAGAGAGAGGGGCGGTGAGAGTACCAACTGGGGGTGAGAGAGGGGAGATGGGGGAAGAGGGAGGAGAGGTGGAGAGAGGAGGGGAGAGAGGCAGGGATGGAGGAAGGGAGAGAGGAGAAGGGGAGGCGATAGCAGCATTAGCTGCGGAGGGGTCGGAAGGAAGAGAGCTGGTGCCGTTGAGGGGAGAAGAAGACGCGGGGGCAGTAGTTGGCACAGGGGAAAGTAGGGTGGCGGATGGCGAGAAAAAGAGCGCGCCCCAAGCTTTTGGTGCAAGGGAGAATAGCCAGCCGAGTTCTTCCAGCGGCCCCTGCAACCACACCCGTGACAGCAGCAGCAGCAGCAGCAGCAGCAGCAGCAGCAGCAGCGGGGGCGGACACTTGTCTGGGCTTCCTGACTCGCGGCACAGCAAGGAAGAGAAATCGGTGGTCTGCGGGCTTGACAGCCACCCCCGCCCCCATCAAGTTTCGCCTGCCAGCAGGTCGCCCATCAAGGTGGAGCAGGCTATCCCGGATATCCCTCAGAGTAAAGCTGAGAGGCTGCGGGCACATTTAGCAGCACTGGCTGAGGAGAGGGAGGCTGCAGTGAGGGAGTGTGGGGCAGCGGAGGCAGCCGTGGCAGGGCTGTCCTGCCAGCTGGCGGTACAGCTGGCGGGCCTGGATAGGCTGACGAGATCGCTGGCGCGGGTTGGGGAGTGGGGGGATATGCGGATGGGCGCAGGATTTGATATGCGGGTGGCAAGGGGGATCGGGAAAGAATGTTGGGGGGAGAGTGAGGGGGGGGGAGAAGGACATGGGGAGCAGCAGCAGCAGCAGCAGCAGTCACAACAGCAGGTGTCTTGTGATGAAATGCAAGAGTCATGCCAGTTGCTCGTGACTCAAGCAGATGCTGAGGCAGAACAAGGCGATCGATCAGCTGCTGGCAATGCATCTGATAACGAGAGGGCCCTTCCAGGAGTGCCTGCAGAAAAACCACCTGAAAAAACGCCTGAAGGATCGTCTGACGAAGGGGCATCACTGTGGGCGGGCCGTGTGAGCGTGCACAGGCTGACAGCTTGGCACCATGGGAGGGATGCATGTGCGCTGAGAGACATGGCCCTCAGAGGCTCAACCGCTGTCTCTCAGTCACAAAATGTTGGCAGGCCTGCCAAGCGCCGTGTGACAGACGAGTATGACGCGACGGAGGCGTGTGAGCCGAGGGAAATGGCTCTTAGAGGCTCAACCGCTGTCTCTCAGTCACAGAATCTTGTGAGAACCACAAGTCAACTCGCTGGTTGCCGTGTGAGAGACGAGTACGACGCGACGGATGCGTGTGAGCTGAGGGAAACGGCCCTCGGAGGCTCAACCGCTGTCTCTCAGTCACAGGCACAGTCACAGAGCCAGCCGAGTGAGTGCAGCAGGCACCATGGCAGGGATGCATGTGCGCTCAAGGAAGTGGCTCTTAGAGGCTCAACCGCTGCCTGTCAGTCACAGTCACAGGCACAGAGACAGCTGAGGGATGTCAGCAGCAGATGGAACTTAGGAGAGAAAGCGTGGCTGGCACGGGGAGGCATAGCCAATCTAGCAGAGCGTGGTACTGTTTCAGGTGATACAGCTGGTACTGTTTCAGGTGATACTGCTGGCACTGTTTCAGGTGATACAGCTGGCACTGTTTCAGGTGATACAGCTGGCACTGTTTCAGGTGATACAGCTGGCACTGTTTCAAGTGATACTGCTGGCACTGTTTCAGGTGATACTGCTGGCATTGTTTCAGGTGATACTGCTGGTACTGTTTCAGGTGATACTGCTGGTACTGTTTCAGGTGATACTGCTGGTACTGTTTCAGGTGATACAGCTGGTACTGTTTCAGGTGATACTGCTGGCACTGCTTCGAGCGACGCAGCTTCTAGGAAACCTGCGCCAGGTTCTCCTTCCATAGATCCTCCCTTTCAAACCAGAGAGCTTCTGTGCTCTGCTTCTAGTGGCGCAGATTTACTAGCAGTCAGCCCTCCTCCTACTGTTCTGCCCACCGATTCACCACAGCCGCTGACAGTCAACCCCCCACCTAAGGTCAACCTTGGAGGCGCAAACGCACTGACAGTCAACCCTTATCCTAGAGTCTTGCCAACCAACGCACCTCAGTCGCTGACTGTCTCCCTGTCTCCCGGCATCTCCTCCGTCCCCCCCCCTCTCCCATCCCCCCTCCCTCCTCCACCCCTCCTCCCCCTCCACCCATCCTCTCTCTCCCACCCCCACCGCCACATCCCCCACTCCTCCCATTTCGCCCTCCTCTCTCTCCCCTACCTCCCTCTCCCCCACCTCTCTCTCCCCTCGCACCCCGCCCTCTGAAGCCTCTAGCGCCTCCCCGTCTCTCTTCCACAGCACCTCCCCTCTCCCCCCACCCCCAGCTCCCCTATTCCCAGCCCCCACCACCCCCTCCGCATTCCTCTCCCAGCTCTTTGCCTATGGGCCCATCCGCACCCTTCCCCACCACTCCCTGCCGCAGCCTCCCACCCTTTCCACCGCTTCTGACCCCCCTGCACCGCTCTCCGCCTTTAACCCCCCTCTTCCTCATCCACCTACTCTCCGCCGCCTTCGGTCTGCTGGTCTTCCGGTTCAAGCCAAAGTTAGCCGACAGGGAGCTTGGGGGGCGCAAGAGAGAGAGCAGGGAGAGAGAAGGCAGGGGGGCGGAGGGAGGAGTGGAGCAGACGAGTCTGGACGGCTGGATGCTGCTGCACGTGCTTCTGCTTCTGCATCTGTGCCTGCACCTTCGTCGAGAACTTCAACAGGAGCAGTAGCAACAGGAGCAGTAGCAACAGGAGCAGTAGCAACAGGAGCAGTAGCAACAGGAGCAGCTCCTGAATTCCCCATGAGACTGGGTCAAGGCGTGACTTCTGAGTCGACTCAAAAGTCAACAGCAACAGCTCCCGAGGTTCCTGAGAGGCTAAGTCCAGGCGTGGCTGATGAGAGGAGAGCAGCAGTGCAAGAGTCGGCTTTTGACGCGCCGCAAAAAGGGCCTGAGAGGCTAAGTCCAGGCGTGGCTGAGGAGAGGAGAGCAGCAGTGCAGGAGGCACGAGCTATCCTACACGCATTGAGGGCAAAATGGTCCAATCCCAGCCTTGCTGCCCGCCCTGCTCCTTCTGCTGTTGCTTCTCCTTCTCCTTCTCCCACCACCACTGCTGCTGCTGCTGCTGCTTCTTCTGCTTCGTCTCCCGCGTTTCCTCCTCTTACTACTGCTGCTCCACCTGCGCATGCTCCTGCATCTGCTTCAGCTGCTGCTGTTGCCATGCTACACACATCGTCACCGGCTGCCTCTAAGCCTCCCTCCCTCCGAAGTGGCTCTTTCACGAAGTCCGCTCTTAACGAAGGGCAAATAGCACCAGGGGGACAGCAGGTGCCAGCACTAATAGTGGAGAAGCCTTTGGTGAAGCATGAGGGGCAGCGGGGAGGACAGACTCAGCTTCTGGTGAAGCATGAGGGGCAGCGGGGAGTGCAGGCGAGTGCGCCACTTGGAATGGGGGGAATCATGAGAGCTGCACAGCTGGAGGTCTCTGATTGGCTGTCTGAGCTGGCAGAGGGCTCCCTGTCGGATGGAGAGGAGTGTCTGCTTTAAGTTGTGAAAGTTTGAGGCATGCGATGGTACGAGGCAATCCGACATGTTGAATCTGGTACTGGTAGTATCATTGTTGCTTCGCCATGTGCACCTTGCGAGGCTAATGACACAGTTGTGAGTCGGCAAGAAAACACGGATCATAACACACCAGAAAAAAGCTGCTTTCTGCTAAGAGGAAGGGAGGGGGGGGGGGGGGGTGGGGGGGTTGTCATGATAGTAGCACATTGAGAAAGCTTGCTTTCTTCTTGTGCAATTGGCATCGTTCTCATTTCACTGGGAATCAAGTACAAAGAGTTCCCAATATCTCAGTACATCAACCTAGATCACTGCACTAGGAAGGCTAGGTCTGCACTACTGGCGATCCACGGAGTCGAGCATGGTGTTGGGGACGTGTGGGCGAAGTAGGTAGATGCGATGGGTTGGGTGGGCGGGAATTGAACTTGAGCTGCGAAAAATGAAAAACGTGGGTGGAAGAATGACCTCCAACCAACCCCCTTTTGTAGTTGGAGAAGGGCGAATAGCGCGCTTAGATGATGCCAAACATTGCGTTACAAGCAGCTTCACATTCACAATACACAATTTAAAAAGCGTAAACGCTTAAAAATTTTTTTATTTTTTTTTTCATTTTGTGCAACCAACCATCCTAGTACACATAAGTAGCATTGCAAACCAACAGCCTCTAGATAAGAACCTGGGATCAGCACAAGCAAGGGATATGCGAGCTAGGTAGGTGTCACCAACCAATTAGGTGTGCTGGGCTGGGTTAGGTGGTTTGGGGTTTGGATCAAGAATGGAGTTGAGATGGCTACTGCTGCTGCGGCTGCTGCAGGGTGAAGAAGAGGACCGGTTAGTGCGGCATTAGCCTCGTTGAGTGGGCAGGTGGATGGAAGGTGTGGGTTAGAATAGGACGTCAAGACTTGGACTTTGCAGGGATTTTGAGGCTATTTCGGGGGCTTACCATAGATTGCTTCTGGCGGCTAGAAAGGTGAGTTCCGGCGAGGGGAGGAGAGGGAGCCGGGAGGTCCAAAGAACTCTCTTGACCCGCTAGCACTGGCGCTCGCACTGGCGCTCGCACTGGCACTAATGCTTGCACTGGCGCTGATGCTTGTGCCAGTGCTGCCGGCCGCACTGGTGTTGCTGCTGGATCGCGACATCTGCTTGCGCTTCTCCTCTGTGCGGTGAGGAGGAGGGGGGAGGGGGGGGGGGGGGAGGAAGAGAAGAGGGGGGGTGTTGCGAGGCGTTTTTTAGTCGAGTCAAAAGTCATCTCGCCCGCTCTGGTGTTGCTGCTGGATCGCGACATCTGCTTGCGCTTCTCCTCTGTGCGTGGTGCAGGGGGAATGGGGGGTGGGAAGGCATGCACATGCATGTTGAGGGACAAACACCATCTTTCGAGTTGGAAGGCATGCACAGGCCTGCACGAGAAAGGCTAAAAACTCGTCTACTCCCACCTCCACTCCCACCAGCTAGACCTGAAGAACCGAATACGAATTCGAGTTCGAGTTCCACATTCGAATAATTGTCGAATATCACGATACAAATTATTTGTTCGAGTTGTGCTTGGAATTCGAATACGAATTCGAGTCGAATAGAGTCGAGTCCGAGTCGAATACGAATGCACTCGAGTTTTGGGCATATGAGCGTTTACAAGCTTTGTGAAGTTACCCTTGGAGTTTGTTGTCAGTTTTTTGGGCGTTGCCGTGCTTGCAGGTTTGCACAAGAAATTGGAGGGGTTGTACAAGTGGCAAGTGAAGCTTTTTAGCAGCATTGCGTAGCATCGAAAGCATTAGGACCTTTGATGCTAGGCAATTAATGCTAGTAGGAGCCAGGTATGTCCAAACTCGAGTACTAAAACGAGTACTCGAGTTATGGCTGGGCGAATACGAATTCGAGTCGAATATTGGAAGTCGAGTTTTGGCGAGTTTGAACAGCCACATAGACTCGATTTGTATTTGAAATTCGTCCGAATTCGAATACAAATTCGAATATAGTCTACTCGTTTTCAGGTCTACCACCAGCTCCTGCTGTAGCGCCAGCTCCTGCTGTAGCTCTGCCTCCCACTGCTGCCGCTTGGGATCAGCAGTACATACAGAGCTGCCTGCCCTCAAAAACCCGTGCCCCACACCCCAGCCCTCGCCCTCACCCTCAGCCTAACCCTTACCCCAACCCTAACCCTTATCCGAGCCCACCTCTCTGCAGTGCCAGCTCCTGCTGTAGCTCCGCCTCCCACTGCTGCCAAAATGTATAAGGCATCTGTATACCCACCTCTATCCCCACCTCCGAGCCCACCTCTCTGCAGCGCCAGCTCCTGCTGCAGCTCCGCCTCCCACTGCTGCCGCTTGAGATCCCCCGAGTCGCCAACAAAGCTGCAGGTGACGGCAGTCAGCACATGACAGCAGTGGGCCAGAGGACAGAGAAGGGTTGAGTCAGGGGCATGTTATTTTTTAGGCGCCTCAAAACAGGAGTCTATTTTTGAGGCGCCTCAAAACAGGGGTCTATTTTTGAGGCGCCTCAAAACAGGGGTCTATTTTTGAGGCGCCTCAAAACAGGAGTCTATTTTTGAGGCGCCTCAAAACAGGAGTCTATTTTTGAGGCGCCTCAAAACAGGAGTCTATTTTTGAGGCGCCTCAAAACAGGAGTCTATATTTGAGGCGCCTCAAAACAGGAGTCTATTTTTGAGGCGCCTCAAAACAGGAGTCTATTTTTGAGGCGCCTCAAATATAGACTCACCAGGGTTGAGTCAGGGGCATGTTAGCAAGCGGTCGGAAAAGCAGACAGGAAACCTACAACCATCATTAAACCACCAGTGCTCACCTGTCAGTGCTATCATGCAGCAGCGCCAAGACATTGCCTCCAGAGGGGTACATTCCGCCCCCCACTCCACTCGCAAAGAGGCTACCCCCTGATCCACTCCTTTGCACAGGTATCCCTCCCCCACCACTCAGCACCCTCCCCCCTCCTCCTACCCCTCCTAGTCCTCCTCCTATCCCTCCCCCTACCCCAACAGATACCCTGCTTCCCCCCATGCTTGCCCCTCCCCCCCTGTGTAACGCCCCACTCCCCTGTCTCACAATCCTCCCCTCCTGCCCGAAACTCTCAAAGCTGCCCGCGTGCTGCCGCCCGGAAAAGTCGCCTTCACTGCTGTTCACCCAGCTGCCCGACTTGCTACTGACAATCCCGGGCGGGCGAGGCGAAAGAGTAGGTGCCCGCCCAGTCCCCCCTTCCCCTCCCCTGCCCCCACTCCCAGCCCCCCGTACTGCTGCTTCTCCCGGTTTCCCTGCTAGCGAGCCTTCAAAGCTCTGGTAGGATGGTGACGTGACTGGCCCAGGGTTGGAGATAGCTGATTGGCTGATGGAGTGCGTGATCCGGGAAGGGAGGTGGTGGGATCTGCGGGCAGTGGAGGAGGAGGATGAGGGGGAGGCGGAGCGGCGGGAGGGGGAGGGGAGGGAGGGGGAAGGGAGGGAGACAGAGGGGCTCTGAGTGGCAGTGGAGGGGGAGGAGAAAGCCACTGCTGGTGCTGCAGCTGCTGGAGCCACTGCTGGCGCCGCTGCTGCTGCTGCTGCTGCTGGTGCTTGTGGCTGCAGGCGGGCTGAAGGGGACAGGTCCCGGGGAAGAGCAAAGCTCTCTTTGAGTATTCTCTTTCGCCGGGCAGGAGACGACTCCCGATGGCGGCGTGGAGAGGGAGTCAGCCCGGCCGGCCGGCTACTTACAGGTGCTTGTCCCTGCCCCTGCCCCTGCCCCTGACCTGGGATGGTCTGTCCTACCCCTGTCCCTACCCCTGTCTGCTTTTGGTTGGATGGAGAAGCCACCCTGCGTGTACCGTCCCCTACACGTGCTGCTTGCTTCTCTACCTGAGCCCCATTTGCCTCCTCTCTTTCCTCAAACGGACCACATGAGGGCTCCGCTTCTGCACTAGAACCGGCCAACCCTGAAGCGCCATGTGGCATGTCGGAGGCCTGTCTGGGTGCCTCTGTTTCGGCCATCAGAGGCGTCTGCAGCTGCTGCAGCCCCTCCGCCTTCTCCTGCAGGAAATCTCTTATCCTCTCCTCCGAAATGGCGTTACTGTTGCTCACACCACCTCTCACAAACTGCTGCTGCTGCTGCTGCTGGTGCTGCTGCTGGTGCTGCTGGGGCAGTGCCCCTGTGCCTACCTCCCCCCACACCGAATCCCCCACCTCCATCCCTGTCCACACAGGCACCCCTGCCAGCGACACCTCACTGCTCTCCCTCCCCCCAATACACCCCCACTCTCCCGCACACCCCCCTCCTCTCTCCCTCACTCTCCCTCGTCCTCACCTCGCAAGTCCCATCCCCATCCTCTTCCACGCCATGCAGACCCCCCAGTCCTACCCCCTGCCCATGCGACATTGCTAGGGATAAGTCCAGCTGGGGGAGAGATGGCCTGAGCCCCTCAGGCGGTCTCAGCCCCCCAGCTGACTTCAGGGCCCGAGTCATCCTCACGCCTTCCTCGTCCTTTGACCCCTCGACCAGCAGCATATGCTGCCCTTCCCTCCGTTGCTGCCCTTCCTTCCGTTCCTGCCCGCCCCCGCTGCCCCGGCTGACCATAACCGCCACACGGTCATCCCCATCCCTCTCCTGCCCCTCCCTACCTCCACCAGACATGCCTCCCTCCCATGCGTCCTCCCTCCCCCGCCCCTCCACTTCCCCATCGCCCTTGCCCTTTCCCGCTCCCTCCATCTCTCCCCCCTCCCTCACCACTCTCCCCTCTCCCCCCACTCCCACCACCCCACTGCTTGTGCCGCCCACAGAATCACTGTTCAGATCGTCGTGGGACCCGCTATCCGCCCTCACGTTCTCCCTAAGAGGTCCTGTAACCTCGTCTTCAGTGCAGGCAGTTGAGACGCCCCCCCCGCTGTGCCCACATGCTGCTGTCACGTACGAGCCTAGCGGGTCGTTGTGAGAGGGCTCCTCCATGGGGTTGAAGTCGCTCTGAGGGGGGAGAGGGTGGGGGCAGAGAAGAGAGTAAAAATTCGCTGCCACGCGCTCTACCCTGCTGTGCCCGCATGCTGCTGTCATGTACGAGCATAGCGGGTCGTTGTGAGAGGGCTCTTCCATGGGGTTGAAATCGCTCTGAGGGGAGGGAGAGGGTGGGGGCGGAGGAGGGAGCATAAATGTGCTGCCTTCTACCCGGCTGTGCCCGCACGCTGCTGTCACGTTTGAGCCCAGGAAGTCGTTGTGAGACGGCTCTTCCATGGGGTTGAAGTCGCTCTGAGAGGGGGGAGAGGGTGCCAATGTGGGGGGGGGGGTTGTTTCCAAGAGGTTAAAGCCAATCTGAGAGCGTGGTGGGGGTACAAGACGTGCGGCTGAGGGATACAGATGAGATGAGAGAGCACTCCCTTAACTTGCCACATAGCACATTACTCACTCGAAAGGAGAGATCAGAAAGCTCGGAGAAGGTTCCTGGCTGCCATCCCGTGCTAGTCACTGACATCAGGTGAGCCCTTGACATACGCAGCCCACCGTCTCCCTTCCCCTGTTCGTCCTGCCTCTGCCCCTGCTTTTCCTGCCCCGGCCCTGGTCCCTTTGATCTGGACAGCAACGGGTTTGGCTCCCCAGCCTCTATCGGGTGGGTAAGGGGAGTGAGAGGAGTGAGCTTATGGGAGAAGGCAGCAGACGAATCAGGCGAGTCACTTTCTAAAGGCTGGGCTGGAGCGTTATCGTGAGTTAGGTGCGAGACATGGGTGCTGTAGGGTGTTAGGCGCGAGGTGGGGGTGGTTGGGTGAGCTAGGCGTGATGTGGGGGTGTCAGCACCAGCAGGCGGGGGGCTGCTAGGAGCGTGCTGGCGATTGTGAGTAGATGCGAGGGAGGGGCAGGCTTGAGGGTCAGTGGTTGAGGCAGGTACCTGAAAGGGTGGGTGGGTGGAAGAGAGGTGCAGAGAGAAGACGCTGAGGTGGATGCGGCAGGGATAGAAATGCCTGGCTGGGTGGTATGCCAGCGGTCCTCCAGGTCAGTGGTTGAGGCCGGTACCTGAAAGGGTTGGGGGGATTTAAGGGAGGGGCAGAGAGGAAACACAGGGGTCGATGCGTGTCTCGTTTTAAGGCGCCTCGAAACAAAACACGGTCGATGCAACAAGACAGGGGTCAATGCGACAAGGACAGGGGTCGATGCAACTAGGACAGGGGTCAATGCGACAACGGCAGGGGTCGATGCAACAAGGACAAGGGTCGATGCGACAAGGATAAGGGTCGATGCGACAAGGATAAGAAGTGGATCTGTGGCAAATGCAACAGCTGCCATTCCAGGAGCCAGGTATTAGACGCCACTAGTGCCCCAGAAAACGAACAGGTAAACGAGGGCCGGGACCGGGACTGACCTCTCTTGAGTCACCGAGACACGATTTTGCAACTGTTGGTGTGACTGCTGAGTTGCCTCAAAACGCACCGTGGTTTGACACGAGGGACAACACTGACACTGACACTGACACCGACACTGAAAATGACACTGACACCGACACTTACCTCTCCTAAGTCACTGAGGGACATTTCAGCGGCAGTCAGTGTGGCAGCAGCAGCAGCAGCAGCAGCTGGTCCCTGCGACCTCCCACGAGCAGTGGGAGAGAGTTGGGCGCCTGCAGTTGTAGATGCCTGCGCTCCTGCTTTTGTAGGCGTCACTGCTGCTACTGCTGCTGCTGCTGCTGCTGCCCCAGTTGCTGCTGTTGCAGTTACCGCTGCTGCTTCTGCTGCTGCTGTGGTAGCAGTGGTGGTGGTGGAGCGAGGGGGTGTGGTCAGTCCATCAGCCCCTGGGGAGGGCATGTCTGTCAGAAAGGGGTGCTGCGTCAGGATGGGGGGTAGCAGAGGGAGGAGGAAGAGAAGGATGAGAGGGGCAAGAGAAGGATGAGAGGGGCAAGAGAAGGATGAGAGGGGCAAGAGAAGGACGAGAGGGGCAAGAGAAGGATGAGAGGGGCAAGAGAAGGATGAGAGGGGCAAGAGAAGGATGAGAGGGGCAAGAGAAGGATGAGAGGGGCAAGAGAAGGACGGGAGGAAACGAAGGGTGTGTGGCCAAATTGTCATCACTAGGGGAGGGCGTGACTGTCAGAAAAGGGTGCTGAAATAGTCAAGAGAGGTAAGTTAGAGAGCATCAGGCCAACATGGGGTTGACTGGACAGGGAGGGGATGAAGGGGCATCGAGAATGGTGACCTGAAAGCTGGCAAAAAAGTATTCAGTTGCGAAATGAGATTGACGCGCAAAAGGTAACCAAGGGAGAGGAATACCTAAGCATGCCAGGCACAGGTACTGGCCGAAAGGCTTACCTTGAGTAGCTCAGCTGCACTTGGGCGCTTGTTGGGGTCACTGGATATAGGTGATGTGATAAAGTCGCACACACAAACACACACATGACATGTCAGGCATACAACCACACAAACCACAATGCGAAGGGGAAGAAGAGGGCGGATGCTAAGCAAGATGCGGCAAATGAGGCGGGTGCAGAGAGGGCATGGTTATGGGGGAAAAGCCCCCAAACGGCCCAAGCGGTGCAAAAGCATGTGTGCTAGGCTCACCGGTGGAAGCAGAGGAGCAGAAAGTCCTTGGCCTCTGGGGAAAGGTGGCATGGAATCTGGGGGCAGGCCTTTCATTGCTTGCGCTATGCTGGGACGGGATGACTGATGCAAGGCTACCGGTGTGCAAAACGGTTGTGCTAGGCTCACCGGTGGAAACACAGCAGCAGAAAGTCCTTGGCCTCTGGGGAGAGGTGTTCTGGAATGAGGGGCGGGCCCTTGGACTGCGCTATGTGGAACAGGGCCGACACCTGGAGAGGGCGGGGGAGTGGCCAGGGATAAGATGCGAGGGAAGGATGGGTAGCGCGTTCCGGGGGATTGAATCGGCCTGAATTCTGGAAAGAGGGTCGGCCCCCTACTCTGTGCTATGTGGAACAGTGCTGACATCTGCAGAGGGAGAGTGACCAGGGATACATGCTAGGAAGGAAGGATGGGTAACGCGTTCAGGGGGTTTGAAGTGGCCTGGAATGAGGGGGCGGGCCCCTGGACCGGGCTATGTGGAACAGGGCTGACACCTGCAGAGGGCGGGGGAGAGGCATACAAGCATAGGGGGGATGAGACAAAGGACACTGGAGAGAAGGTTGAGAGGCTTGGGAGGTCAGGGAAGGATCAAGGGACCTGAGGAAGCAGAGAATACCCCTCATTCCGCCACACCCCAAAACCTTCCCTGTGGCAACAGAACAGAGCATACCTGCGAGAGGTGTTTTTGAGAATTGCAGGGTGTTTTTGAGAATTCTCAAAAACACCCTGAAAAAACATTCCGCCACACCCCACACCCTTCCCTGTGGGAACAGAACAGAGCATACCTGCTTTTGAGGCGTCTATTTTTGAGGCGCCTCAAAAATAGACCCCTGTGGGAAGAGAACGGAACAGAACAGAGCATACCTGCGAGAGGAATTCGCTCCAGGGCGGCTTGCCTGTTGCCATCTCAATGACAGTGCACGCCACGCTCCAGATGTCCGCCGGCCTGCCAAGAGATAGGGGCCAGGGGGGCGGGGGGGTGCTTCAAGGCTCCTCACAGCAAGACCCAATGAATGACCGTCCACGCCACATTCCAGATGCCATCCGGCCTGCAGAGAGAGAGACAGAGAGAGGAGGGGTTGGGGGGGGTGTTTTAACACTCCTCGAAACAAGACTCCATGATTGTGCACGCCACACTCCAAAGGTTAGTGGCCGTGCAGAGCGAGGGCAAGAAAGGGGGTGCGGTGCGGGGGGGTTGCCTGTTGCGCTCGTGAGAGCAAGAATCAATGACTATGACAGTGCACGCCTCACTCCAGGTTTCCGCGTTCCTACAGAGAACACACACCCACAGGGCCACAGAGCACGCCCCTACCGTGGCCCGTCTGCTTGATCACTTCCGGCGCCATCCAGTAGCGCGTGCCCTACATGGACCTGTACCCGCTCATCGTCGCCAGATGTGAGATGTCTAAGAGGTGCAAAGTCACAAACACACACCCACCCACCTGCCATGGCCCGTCTGCTCGATCACTTCCGGCGCCATCCAGTAGGGCGTGCCCTTCTTGGACTTGTACCCGCTCATCGTCGCCAGATGTGAGATGTCTAAGAGGTGCAAAGTCACAAACACACACCCACCCACCTGCCATGGCCCGTCTGCTTGATCACTTCCGGCGCCATCCAGTAGGGCGTGCCCTTCTTGGACTTGTACCCGCTCATCGTCGCCAGATGTGAGATGTCTAAGAGGTGCAAAGTCACAAACACACACCCACCCACCTGCCATGGCCCGTCTGCTCGATCACTTCCGGCGCCATCCAGTAGGGCGTGCCCTTCTTGGACTTGTACCCGCTCATCGTCGCCAGATGTGAGATGTCTAAGAGGTGCAAAGTCACAAACACACACCCACCCACCTGCCATGGCCCGTCTGCTTGATCACTTCCGGCGCCATCCAGTAGGGCGTGCCCTTCTTGGACTTGTACCCGCTCATCGTCGCCAGATGTGAGATGTCTAAGTGATACCAAGTCACAAACACACACCCACCCACCTGCCATGGCCCGTCTGCTTTATCACTTCCGGCGCCATCCAGTAGGGCGTGCCCTTCATGGACTTGTACCCGCTCATCGTCGCCAGATCCGCCAGCTTCCTCGACGCGCCGAAATCAGCCAGCTTGATGCACCCCTTGTTGTCCACCAGGATGTTGGCGCCCTGCGGGGGAGAGGGGGGTTACAGGGTTACAGGATGAGCATGGAGAGTGGGAGTCAATGGCCAAAGTCTGCCAGCTTGATGCACCCCTTGTTGTCCACCAGGATGTTGGCGCCCTGCGGGCAGGGGGGAACGTGAAGAACAAACATGAGGGGGGGTCCGTCCATGACAAAAAATGGGCCTTCCGAAATCCGCCAGCTTGATGCACCCCGTGTTGTCCACCAGGATGTTGGCGCCCTGCGAGGCGTAGACGTGGACAGTAGAAGCACAGAGGAGAAAGTGCAGCACAGTAAGACGTAGTGCAACGGATGCAACTATTAGCACTTTGATGTGGCGGAGCATGATGTGATTGTAGTGAAGGTAACCCAGGCCTGGTTTGAGCCGCCTCAGAGCATTGAGTGCCTGGCTATCGGGAATCTCTCACCTTGATGTCGCGGTGCATGATGTGATTGTAGTGAAGGTAGCTGAGGCCTGTCATGAGCTGCCGCGTGTACATCCGGATCACCTGCCAGAGACAGTACAAGCGCCAAATAAGAAGAAACATAGTCATAGAAAGCGAGAGGCAGCTCGATGCTTTGATTTCGATTGTGAGCCGAGGGTTCAAATCCTGGAGTGCGAGAAAAGCCAAGAGAAGGCCTGTTGTTCCAGCTGCCAGGCCTGTCTCACCTTTTCCGTGAAGCAGCCAAACTTGTCGAGCAGGGAGGCACTGAAAACGTTAGCAGACAGCCACTGCTGCGGATTTCGCCACACCTTCTCTGAGACGCATCCAAACTTGTCAAGCAGAGAGGCAATGGATGGACCCTCCCGGGACAAACTCTCCTCTTCCCTTGCCGTGGCTAGATAGTGCTGCGTTGAGACACCCATGCGCTAAGGCCAACTTAGCTGCCACCGCCTCACCTTCTCTGTGAAGCATCCAAACTTGTTGAGCAGTGCGCCGATGGACATCTCCGGGACACACTCTCCTCTTCCCTTGCCGTGCCTTCCCTTGCCAGAGTCTACCGGGACAAACCCATGTGTTGAGAGTCCCACTGCTGCCACCGCCTCACCTTCTCCGTGAAGCACCCAAACTTGTTGAGCAGCGAGGCAATGGACCCTCCAGGAACGAACTCGAGGAAGATGTTGAGCGCCTCCTCCTCCCTTGCCGTGCCCAGATAGCGCTGCGATATATGTGAGAGCAGATAATAGAGGAACATCCAGAGCAAGCAGCGGGAGCAGGAGCAATGAGAAGAGAAGTATGCATGCTAGAAGATGTTGAGCGCTTCCCCTTCCCTTGTCGTGCCCGGATAGGGCTGCGATATGCATGCGAGCAGATGAAGCAGGAACAGCCAGGACAAGCAGCAGGAGCAATGAGAAATATGTTTGCTGGAAAATGTTTAGCGCCTCCTCTCCTCTGCCTTTGCTGTGCCTAGACAGCGCTATTCCTCAGTCCTGCGACTTCTGTTCTGTAAGGTGCCTCGACATACTCCTACAGGCTGCCGACGTACCACAATGTTGGGGTGCGCCTTACCACAATGCTGGGGTGCGCCTTACCACAATGCTGGGTGCGCCTTACCACAATGCTGGGGTGCGCCTTACCACAATGCTGGGGTGCGCCTTACCACAATGCTGGGGTGCGCCTTACCACAATGCTGGGGTGCGCCTTACCACAATGCTGGGGTGCGCCTTACCACAATGCTGGGGTGCGCCTTACCACAATGTTGGGTGCGCCTTACCACAATGTTGGGGTGCGCCTTACCACAATGTTGGGGTGCGCCTTACCACAATGTTGGGGTGCGCCTTACCACAATGTTGGGGTGCGCCTTACCACAATGTGGGGTGCGCCTTACCACAATGCTGGGGTGCGCCTTACCACAATGCTGGGGTGCGCCTTACCACAATGCTGGGGTGCGCCTTACCACAATGCTGGGGTGCGCCTTACCACAATGCTGGGGTGCGCCTTACCACAATGTTGGGTGCGCCTTACCACAATGTTGGGGTGCGCCTTACCACAATGTTGGGGTGCGCCTTACCACAATGCTGGGGTGCGCCTTACCACAATGTGGGGTGCGCCTTACCACAATGCTGGGGTGCGCCTTACCACAATGCTGGGGTGCGCCTTACCACAATGTTGGGGTGCGCCTTACCACAATGCTGGGGTGCGCCTTACCACAATGCTGGGGTGCGCCTTACCACAATGCTGGGGTGCGCCTTACCACAATGCTGGGGTGCGCCTTACCACAATGCTGGGGTGCGCCTTACCACAATGCTGGGGTGCGCCTTACCACAATGCTGGGGTGCGCCTTACCACAATGCTGGGGTGCGCCTTACCACAATGCTGGGGTGCGCCTTACCACAATGTTGGGGTGCGCCTTACCACAATGTTGGGGTGCGCCTTACCACAATGTTGGGGTGCGCCTTACCACAATGTTGGGGTGCGCCTTACCACAATGCTGGGGTGCGCCTTACCACAATGCTGGGGTGCGCCTTACCACAATGCTGGGGTGCGCCTTACCACAATGCTGGGGTGCGCCTTACCACAATGCTGGGGTGCGCCTTACCACATGTGGGTGCGCCTTACACAATGTGGGGTGCGCCTTACCACAATGCTGGGGTGCGCCTTACCACAATGCTGGGTGCGCCTTACCACAATGTGGGGTGCGCCTTACCACAATGTTGGGGTGCGCCTTACCACAATGTTGGGGTGCGCCTTACCACAATGTTGGGGTGCGCCTTACCACAATGCTTGGGGTGCGCCTTACCACAATGCTGGGGTGCGCCTTAACACAATGCTGGGGTGCGCCTTACCACAATGCTGGGGGTGCGCCTTACCACAATGCTGGGGTGCGCCTTACCACAATGTTGGGGTTGCGCCTTACCACAATGTTGGGGTGCGCCTTAACCACAATGTTGGGTGCGCCTTACCACAATGTTGGGGTGCGCCTTACCACAATGTGGGGTGCGCCTTACCACAATGCTGGGGTGCGCCTTACCACAATGCTGGGGTGCGCCTTACCACAATGCTGGGGTGCGCCTTACCACAAATGCTGGGGTGCGCCTTACCACAATGTTGGGGTGCGCCTTACCACAATGTTGGGGTGCGCCTTACCACAATGTTGGGGTGCGCCTTACCACAATGTTGGGGTGCGCCTTACCACAATGCTGGGTGCGCCTTACCACAATGCTGGGGTGCGCCCTTACCACAATGCTGGGGTGCGCCTTACCACAATGCTGGGGTGCGCCTTACCACAATGTTGGGGTGCGCCTTACCACAATGCTGGGGTGCGCCTTACCACAATGCTGGGGTGCGCCTTACCACAATGCTGGGGTGCGCCTTACCACAATGCTGGGGTGCGCCTTACCACAATGCTGGGGTGCGCCTTACCACAATGTTGGGGGTGCGCCTTACCACAATGCTGGGGTGCGCCTTACCACAATGTTGGGGGTGCGCCTTACCACAATGTTGGGGTGCGCCTTACCACAATGTTGGGGTGCGCCTTACCACAATGTTGGGGTGCGCCTTACCACAATGCTGGGGTTGCGCCTTACCACAATGCTGGGGTGCGCCTTACCACAATGCTGGGGTGCGCCTTACCACAATGCTGGGGTGCGCCTTACCACAATGCTTGGGGTGCGCCTTACCACAATGTTGGGGGTGCGCCTTACCACAATGTTGGGGTGCGCCTTACCACAATGTTGGGGTGCGCCTTACCACAATGTTGGGGTGCGCCTTACCACAATGTTGGGGTGCGCCTTACCACAATGTTGGGGTGCGCCTTACCACAATGCTGGGGTGCGCCTTACCACAATGTTGGGGTGCGCCTTACCACAATGCTGGGGTGCGCCTTACCACAATGCTGGGGTGCGCCTTACCACAATGCTGGGGTGCGCCTTACCACAATGTTGGGGTGCGCCTTACCACAATGTTGGGGTGCGCCTTACCACAATGTTGGGTGCGCCTTACCACAATGCTGGGGTGCGCCTTACCACAATGCTGGGGTGCGCCTTACCACAATGCTGGGGTGCGCCTACCGGGGGGTTACCAAATGCTGGGGTGCGCCTTCACTGGGGTGCGCCTTACCACAATGCTGGGGTGCGCCTTACCACAATGCTGGGGTGCGCCTTACCACAATGTTGGGGTGCGCCTTACCACAATGTTGGGGTGCGCCTTACCACAATGCTGGGGTGCGCCTTACCACAATGTTGGGGTGCGCCTTACCACAATGTTGGGGTGCGCCTTACCACAATGTTGGGGTGTGCCTTACCACAATGTTGGGGTGCGCCTTACCACAATGTTGGGGTGCGCCTTACCACAATGTTGGGGTGCGCCTTACCACAATGCTGGGGTGCGCCTTACCACAATGCTGGGGTGCGCCTTACCACAATGCTGGGGTGCGCCTTACCACAATGCTGGGGTGCGCCTTACCACAATGTTGGGGTGCGCCTTACCACAATGTTGGGGTGCGCCTTACCACAATGTTGGGGTGCGCCTTACCACAATGCTGGGGTGCGCCTTACCACAATGCTGGGGTGCGCCTTACCACAATGCTGGGGTGCGCCTTACCACAATGCTGGGGTGCGCCTTACCACAATGTTGGGGTGCGCCTTACCACAATGTTGGGGTGCGCCTTACCACAATGTTGGGGTGCGCCTTACCACAATGTTGGGGTGTGCCTTACCACAATGTTGGGGTGCGCCTTACCACAATGTTGGGGTGCGCCTTACCACAATGTTGGGGTGCGCCTTACCACAATGTTGGGGTGCGCCTTACCACAATGTTGGGGTGCGACAGATTCCTCAGCACTGCCACTTCTGCCTCCAGTCCCTTGATGTACTCCTGGGAGCATCGAAAGCATTGCGCACATGAGGAGAGACGAAGCACAAATCAGCTTTTGAGGCCTCTAACAACCGGTCCCTTGTACTCCGGAAGGCATAGAAAAGATTGCGCACATGAGAAGAGAGGCAGCAGCACGGTGACTCTTGAGTCGACTGGAAAGTAATCTCCAGTCCTTTGATGAGTGCAATGCTTCAGAGAGCATCGAGCACAATCATGCTCATGCACATGCACCTTCCAAGCGCGCCCGCCCCTATCAGCTCACACTTTCAGGCGCCTCAGACCCAGACACTGTTGTGAGTCGACTCAAAGGTCACCCCACTCAAAAGCACCCATACACGCCCCACACAACCCACTCGCCTTATTCCTTCACCTCAACCCCAGGCAACCCTTGTGTCTCTCACCTGCGCCTTCTCATTCTCACGCACCCATGCAAGTCCGCCCGCCCCTATCAGCCCGCCCGCCTCAAACCCACAAACCCCTTCTCCGTCTCACCTGCGCCTTCTCATTGGTGGTGGAGCTGCTGAGAATAAGCACCTGCTTCACGGCCAGCAACTGAGCCCCATGTACACGCACCCATTCACACCCATTCGCACCCATTCACACCCATTCGCACCCATTCGCACCCATTCGCACCCATTCGCACCCATGTGCACCCGCGCCTATCAAACCTTCTCTGTCTCACCTGCGCCTTCTCCTTGGTGGTGGAGCTGCTCGGAATGAGCACCTGCTTCACGGCCAGCAGCTCCCCGGACTCCAGGTTGAGCCCCATGTACACGCACCCGTACGCGCCCGCACCGATCAGCTCGCCCTTGCGCCACCGGATGGGCTTCCCCTCGTCGATGGGCGGCCGGCTCACCCACGCATCCGCGAGGTCGGTGGAATCTGGAAAGAACTCTGGCACTGGGAGCTTCGTCACGGCTACTGGCCCGGGTACTTTTCCTACTGCTAATGCTGCTGCTGCTGCTGCGGCTGCGGTGGCTGATGCTGCCGCTGCTCCTGCGCCTGCTCTTGCTTCTCCTGCTGCAGAGGCCCGTTGCTTCGACGGAGACGTTTCGCCCGCCTCTGCTCTGGCTGTTGCTTCAGCTGCTGCTGCTGCTGCTGCGCCAGCTCCAGCTGCTGCTTCTCGCGCTGCTGCTGCTGCTGCTTCAACTGCTTCCTCTACGCGTCCTCCTTCTTTCTCCAGATCGACCCGCCCTATCCCAGCCTCACTACTACCAACACGGCTGCTGCTAAAGCCCATTTCATTACCCTCCTCCCCATCCAGACCCCTCCCTCCCGACAAGCCCTTACCTCCACCCCCATCCCCCCGTCTCTCTTTGGGAAACGTCCCTACATTCGAGCTCGTCCCTCGCGAAGCAACGTTCGTCTCCCGAGTTTCCTCTCCAGGCACCTCTGAAAGTCGTCTTTCACCCTCTCTCACTGCCGCTCTGGCTGTCACTTTTCCAAAATGTGACTCTAACGGGGGCTCAGGCGGCCATCTCGTGGGTTCAGGCGAGCGTGCTTGGGGACGTGGCGACGTTTGCGGCTGCTGCTGGCGGTGCTGTGGCGACGGTGACTGCTGCTGCTGCTGCTGCTGGCGGTGCTGTGGCGCTGGGGATGTTGGGGTTGTTCCCGATGCAAGCACAGCTCCCTTTACAAGAAGAAATAACGAGGGTGGGGAAGAGGGTTGGGGCAAGAGGGGGGCGGAGTGGGGGCGGATTGGGAGGCGGGGAGAGAGGGTGAAGAAGAAATTGAGAGGAGGAACACTCAATAGCGAAGCTTTGGTAGGTAGGTAACACTCAATGCGTGAAGGAGGATCACACCCTGTGTCAGATTCAAGCGAGCGCAGTGCAGCAGGATCCAGACGATTAGGGTGAAAGCCTCACTGAAAGAGAAAGCCCCACTTAGGGTGAAAGCCTCACTTAGGGTGAAAGCCTCACTTAGGGTGAAAGGCTCGCTTAGGGTGAAAGCCCCACTTAGGGTGAAAGGCTCACCTAGGGTAAAAGGCTCACTTAGGGTGAAAGCCTCACTTAGTATGAAAGCCTCACGTAGGGTGAAAGGCTCGCTTAGGGTGAAAGCCTCACTTAGTATGAAAGCCTCACGTAGGGTGAAAGGCTCGCTTAGGGTGAAAGCCTCACTTAGGGTGAAAGCCTCACTTAGGGTGAAAGCCTCACTTAGGGTAAAAGCCGCACTTAGGGTGAAAGCATCACTTGTGAAAGCCTCACCGCAGCACCATCCCGATCCAAGGGCCTTTTCTCAACAGCGCTCTGCTCTCCGTTCGGCGTGACGTCATTCGACCCATTCTGCCTGCCATGATCGACTCCAGCGGCTGCTGTCGTGACGTCATCCGTTCTCGCCGTGACGTCATTCGTTCTCGCCGTGACGTCATCCGTTTTCCGGTAGTAGTGCTTGGGTGAGCGGGGAGGGAGACACGCGGCAGCTGCTGCTTCCGCCCGACTGCGAGTAGGGCGAGTGGGCCGAGGCCTGGCCGGGGCTTCATCCTCGCTTTTCTGCGAGGAACGGATAACAAAGGAGTACCAAACGGTGTTTTTGTGAATGCTTGAGGGGGGATCCAACCCTGTTTTCAGTCAGAATGCGTGACGAAGGATCTAACCCTGTTTTCAGTCAGAATGCGTGACGGAGGAACCCTGTTTCCAGTCAGAATACGTGACGGAGGATCGGACGTAGACGACAAGGAACGGATCGGACACTTGATCAGTGAATGGGACACGAGATTCGTGGATTCGCGATCTATGCGACAGGGATTTCGCGACTGCTGCTACTGATTCGTAGGATTTCGAGACTGCTGCATAGACGGCGCATGTCTGTCTCGGTCATCCACCATTTACTGACAGACAGACCTGCACCCGTGAGGAGTCTATTTTTGAGGCGCCTCAAAAACAAACCTGCACCCGCTCCTGACCTGCACAAGCGGCGCGAACCTAACCCGAAACTATCGCCAGGAAGAGATCCGAATCGTGCTTGTGCGTGTAAAATATGCCTGGATCTCTTTCTGATTCGCGCGAGGGTTACTGAGGAACAAGGCGAGCCTTTTGAGCCGACTCAAAAGCAGATTCGCGAAAGAGAGAGTGGTGAACAAGGGAAGGCTAAGAGGAGAGGCTAAAAGGCAAGGTCAAACAAACCTGATCTAAAGTCGCTTGCTGTGGCGGGTGCTTCTTGCTGGTTCCCAGACAGCCTCCCATGGACGCAGCTGTAGGGATAGCAGCACTCCAGAATCGCTCAGGATCAAATCTCGAAAGGTCGGTGGCGACACCAAGAACATCCTAGAGAATAAAGCGTTTATTGTTTTGAGATGAAAGGCGAGAATCTGGACTAGCGACTCCGCTCGTTTTCTACGGCCAGGACTCGACTGGAGATGAATGTGTAAGCAGGGTTAGACAGAAGTAATTTGGAAGCTGTAACATTGTCGCTTAGACATCGCAGTGAGAAAGTCGCTGAGGTAGCGTAGGAAACGTAGGACGGAATCGTACGAGCATCACCATTTCGAGAACGGAATCTTGGAAGAGGTCACACACCTCTCACAAAAAATGGTCGAAGCCTAGTTACCACCCTCATCGCTCACTAGACCTACAACTCGAGCAGCAAACCACAAGAACGATTCACAATACCACCGCAGCACAACACAACCCAACGCCGATACCTTGGCTACAGTACCAAACAACGCCTGACAACAACCATGGAGTACAGATTCTGATACAGTAGGTCTACAGAAAGGAAATCCGGAGTAAGGACATAAGTCGTCCTGCAAAACAGATTCTGAGTCTCAAGACGAGTCAATGAAGATGAAGATGGTGGGGTGTGGCGAAGAGAGGGAAGCAAGGGTGATAGTACGGTGAAATAAGTTACAGACAGATATATGACGGTGCTGCTGGAGATGGGGTCACAATCCCTTGTGGTGTTGCGGACCATGGAAAATGCCGATGCGCTTCGGGGAGTTGTTGCCTGACAGCAGGGGACCTGCTTTGCTTGCAGTCGTCCCCTTGCAGTCCATTGCGAGAGCATGCGACCCATAAATGCTACACGACGATGGTTTGCGACTCTGGTCAGGGCGTGTTCGCGCTCGGGGGACGTCCCGAGGCAAAACTTCCAGGCATCAGTTATGCGGGGAAGATCGCCCAAGCCCCAACTTTGATTCATCGTGTCCGGATACAGTAACTGTTGCCCAGAAGTTCTGCCTCGGGCCTTGACCCGAGCGCAGAGCGCGCCCTCAGTCCGCTCTGAGCCACAAATGTGGACGGTAGCTATCCGTATGTTCTAGATAGTGACCCCTAAAACACACTTTGATGGGTAGCTGTTTAGCCGATTTTCCTTTCTACAACGGAATTGTGATCTTTGAAACCCACGGGGTTTACAGGGTTTTGTTTCCGTAAACACGAAAGTGAATCGGTAGGTCTTTAAGGCACACGGGTTTGACTGGGAGGAAATCTCGGTGGATACGGGAACGGGGCCTAGCAGAGCGAAAATAACTCGAACTCTTCAAAATCTGGGTTGCTTTGGATGGGAACCCGGATCTGACGACTGACAAAAAATCCAATTGGCACTGCAAGGGTGTTCTTCTGCGCGCAATGCACTCGCATTGTTTTCCGCCGAATTGATTCTAGCGGAGATTGTTTGTGTCAGAAGCGCACAAGGGATGGGAGGAATTGTACTGAAGAATATGCAAGAGGGCAAGGTCTGACACAAGCAGTGCGATGCGATGCGACGATACACCTTGAGCCTGACAGAGAAACACAGCTTTTCAAGGTGCCGGTAGACAGAAACGCGCAGGGGTTTCGCACGGCATCGTCACGGGCATTTGGGCCTTTTGCACGGGAACGAAGGTTACCGTTTTGATGTTTTGCGGGGTAGGTTTGAGTGGCATATTTTGGCGAGTCGTTTTTCACTTAGTTACCCTGTATTAAATTTCAGCGCTTTCAAGCGAGAGTGATTTTCTCTGGTGTAGCACCAGAGTGGTGGTTGGCGGGTGAGATGTTGAGTGAGTTTCTCTGGTTTGGTTTGCTCCCTTTTATACTCAGGGAAATGTAGTGAGGGTTTGGATTTGTATTTCAGTTCCAAGTGTTAGATGCGTGTTCTTAAGATTTATTACATTACGAATTGAAGGTTCGTGTCGCAAAAAAAACTGCTGCGTGGATTGTGGGAAGTTGTTTTCGAGTTTGTTCCTTGGTTGGTTGTCGGATGTTGAGAACGACCCCTGGCATCAGGACATCGCGACTCCATTTCGCTGCCAAGTCAGCGTTCGGTTTCATGCGGCGATGCTGAAGCCACAAGCAAACCCAACAAGGCGTACGCACCTTTGCGAGCTCAACGAAAGGCTCGCTGAGCTTCGCCGGAGCGCTATTCCGAGTGCGTCTGGAAGTTTGTGGTGAAAACGGTTGCGGCGCACATCTTTCGTCTTGTGCCGCATGTTCGTCACCGCTGTCATGATGACGCTGCACTGCTGGCTCTGTTCATGGCCCACGTTGAGTGGGCCGTTGCTCGTGTGCCAACGCTAATGAGCGATGGTTTCTGATTGGGCTACGTTTTCAGCTGGGTCTTAGGTGTGCTCCAGGTGTACAATCTGGGATTTGCTTGGCATGCGATTCACTTTGCCCGGTAATGGCCCACCGCATCATATCATACACATGAAGTCCTTTTCAAGCCCAGTTTTTTTTTCAAGCGGGTAATCCAGAATCGAGCGCAAACTTTCACGGTCGAAATGGGCCAATATAGGGTAGTCTGGTTACTTAGCTGGCATTTTTCAATCTAAAGCGGGTGACCATTGTTGTTTCTTTTGCGTTCATTGGGCAGCACTGTGAGGCCTCAGGACGTCCCTTCTGCACGTTTGAAGATACCCTATGGATTCATATGCTTTTCGAACTTACAAGCAGTGGTCAACATTGAAAGGGAGAAACGCCAATACTCTCATATAACAATGACTATTAAACAGCCTGCTTGACCTTCCAGTACTGCACAAAGATGTCTGCAACCACAAGTGGCATTGCCACAACACTCAGCCATGTTCAAGACAAGGGACCCCAGAAAATTCATTAAATGGATAAGCTGGAGGGTTGTTGTAAGTAGTGAGATGATGTGGTGGTTAGTGAGCAGGGGGCTGCTGGTATTGGCTGAAGGGACCGCTGGTACTTGCTCCTTCAACACGCAGCAGCAGCAGAAACCGACCTCCGAGTCACCAGCAATGGCAGTTGCAGCCAAGAAGTACAGCAGCAAATCAAATCAACGAGCCGACCTCTCAATGCACCGAATAACCCCCCGAATCCATTGGGTATCTTCCGTTTCGAGCCATATTGCCTCCTGGTCCTGCCACCCCACCTCCCCCAACCCCTCCCCCCATGCCTCCCCCCATCATGTCCATCTGGCCGCCACCCCCGCCATAGTACTCCCCTCCGCCCATGTCTGCTGGCCCATTGCCATACGCATATGCATCCTGCGCGTGGCTTGCTGGGTAGGTCCCCATTCTGGTGGTGGTGGGAGGCAGGGTGAGTTGGAATGGAACAGCGGTGGGTGGAGCTAACACATGGGTACACATGGGTACACATTTTTGAGACGTCTGGAAACTCGTGCATGTTTACATATGCGATATGCACAACATGCACACTGCCACGTATGCTGCATAAGTGGCCCGAGGACACCCATACCTGGAGTAGCCTGCACTGGGGTCGTGGGGCGAGGCGGGTCCTGCTGTTGCCATGGATGCTGCGGCTGACCCTGCTCGTGCTAGCGCTGAGGAGAGGAGGCAGGAGGGAGAGGGGAGGGGGGGGGGGGGGGGAGGTGGAGGGGGCAGATAAACGGGGAGGGAATGAGTGGGGAGAGTTGACATTTGAGTCGACTCAAAAGTGGAGCGAGGGGGGCCCTGCTGCTGCCATGGATGCTGCGGCTGACCCTGCCCATGCTAGGGCTGAGGGGGGGGGAGTTGGGAGGGGGGGGAGGACAGATAAATGGGAAGAGAACGAGTGGAAAGAGTTGAGGAGGGGGGGGGGGGGGATGTGGCGCCTGCTGTTGCCATGGACGCTGCGGCTGACCCTGCTCGTGCTAGGGCTAGGGGGACGAGTTGCGGGGGGCGGTGGGGGGAGAGGGGGGGCAGATAAATGGGAAGAGAGGGTGGAGAGACGATGTGACACCTGATGCTGCCGTGGACGTTGCTGCTGATTCTGCCCGTGCTAGCAGCACACTGTTATGCTGACAAAAGAAATAGTAGCCTAGAAGACCCCTCTTAAGTTGACGGTTGACCCAAGGGGCATGATTAGGGTTGCATGTCTCACCTGCTGCTGATTTGCGAGACGATGGTGCTGCCATGTGAGGCGTTGGGTCCATCTGCATATCCTGATGTGATGATGATGACGTGGCATGGAGATGATGAGGAAAAAAGAGGAAAGAGAAGGAAAAAGAAAGAGGAAACAGAGAGGAAAAGGGAGGAAAAAGAAGGCATGATGATGAAGGTAGGAAACAAGAGAAATCGGGCAGCAGAGGAAACAAAAGAAAAACAAGAAAAGGAACCTGAAGTGGGGGGGAGGGGGAGAACACTTTACCATGGGGGCAGCTCCTGCAGCACTGGACCGAGAGGACGAGAGACAGAGAGAGTAGGCGGATGGAGGGGGGTTGTTTGGGGGGGGAAGGGGGGGGGAGGTGGGATGGGGAGAGGACAGCGTACCATGGGGGGCAGCTCCTGCAGCACTGGACCGAGAGGAAGAGGCAGATGCATTCGAGTGCCGTGATATGCCTGTGAGGAAGCAGCGAGACAGTGGGCAGATGGGGAAAGGGTTGTCCCGTGGGTGGGGGCGGGGTGGAGGAGATTGTTGAGTCAACTCACCAGTGACAATGCTAGGTGCAGTGTGGTACACCAAGCCTTTTCCTTTGACTGAGATATTTTCATTCGTTGAAAAATGCTTGCCTGCCGCGGCGCAACGGAGAGCACTCCAAACGCACACCCGGTAGTACTCCAGGATCCCTTACCACTCACCCAGTAAAAAGCCTAATTTTGAGGAACCTAAAAACAATTACCCACCCAATAATTGGCTGCCATATCTTTGCAACGTCGCCAACCGCCCACCTCCTCCTCCTCCCGCCCCCCCTCCTCCTCCCCCTCCCCCTCCCCCAGCATCCGCAGCCTGCTGTTGACTCCTCATGCTCATACTCTTCGAGCCAATCTTCCTCCCCAAAAACCCCATACCCTGAGACCCCTTCCCATGCCCTCCCCCTCCGCCCCCCCCTCCCCTCCCCCTCCCCCTCCCCCTCCCCCCCCTCCATCCATATGCATTGGGTCCGGTCTGCCCGAAAAATTCTCCGGCAGGCCCGCAGGCCCGGCATACCCTCCATCTTGAAAAGATTGCATGGCGCGCGGTGAGACTATACTGTATTCCTGTCCCTGCCCCTGCCCCACAGACTGCTGCGGCTGTTGCAAGGTGGGAGGGGCACGGGCACGCATACGTGCCTGCTCCTGACCCGCGACTTGCGACTCTAGCTGCTGCTGCTGCTGCTGCATCTGCTGCATCATCTGCTGCTGCTGGAAAAGCTGCTGGGCCTGGGTTCTTGACCGGGGGGTCATGGCCTCCAGGCCTACCCCTGACAGCTGAGACTGCAACCCCCCCAGGTTCCCTGATAGCTGCGACTGCAACCCCGCCAGGTTCCCTGACAGCTGAGACTGCAACCCCGCCAGGTTCCCTGATAGCTGCGACTGTAGGGCCTGCTGCTGCTGGTATTGTGACTGCACTTGCTGCTGCTGCTGCCGGGAGCGCGGGGTTGGCGGGTCGAGACCTACACCTGACAGCTGCGGCTGCAACGGCTGCTGCTGGTAGTACTGGGCACGGGAGCGGGGGGTTAGGGTCTCCAGTGCTGCAGGGTTGACTCCAGAGAGCTGAGTCTGCAGAGTCAGTGGTTTCTTCTGCATTTGCGAGTACGGCTGCTGCTGCTGCTGCTGCTGCTGCTGCTGGTGCATCTGCTGTTGCTGCACCTGGGTTCGTGTTCTTGGTGTTAGGGCCTCTAGACCCACCCCTGACGGCTCTGTATCAAGCGGGTGCGGCTGCTGATACTGCTGCTGAAGCTGCTGCTGCAGCTGCTGCTGCGCGTACTGCCCCTGTGACCGCCCTCCCACCACCCCTCCTAACTGCTTCCCCATGGGCTGCTGAGCCATCTGCTGCTGCGGCTGCGCATACTGGCCCGAGTTTCTCCTTGCTCCCTGCTGCTCCAGCCCAACTCCTGACAGCTGACTCTGCAGCTGCTGCTGCTGCTGCAACTGCTGTTGTTGCTGCAACTGCTGCTGCTGCAGCTGCTGTTGCTGCAACTGCAACTGCTGCTGCTGCAGCAGCTGCTGCTTCTGCGCCAGCATCGTAGCCGCTGCTCTTGCTCCAGAGCCATCCTGGCCCTGATACCCCCCCTGCTGCTGCTGCTGCTGTGGCAGGTGCGGCTGCAGCGGCTGCTTCTGCGGCTGTTGCAGGTACCCCCCTCCCCCTCCCCCTCCCCCTCCTATTCCACTTCCCCCCGACTGCCCCGGCGCCCCTTCCCACTCGTCTAGATGCTCGTCCAGGTGGCTGTAGGGCTTGCTGGCGCCTTGCGGCAGGGAGGGCAGGTGCGGGGATGTGACGGGGTGCGTGCGGCTGGAATTGGTGGCAGCAGGCTTGGGCGACGGCATGACAGGCGGGACCTGAATGCCACTCTGTGTTGGGGGAAAGGAAAAGGGACGGAGGGAAGGCAGAGAGGGTGGGGAAGTGAGTGGCAGGGAGGGCAGGTGCGGGGATGTGACGGGGTGGGTCCGGCTGGAATTGGTGGTAGTAGGCTTGGGCGATGGCATGACTGGCGGGACCTGACTGCCACTCTGAAGAGGGGGGGGAGGGGAAGGGGAAGGGGAAGAGGAGAAGGGGAAAAGGGAAGGGGGTTGGGGAAGGGAGCCGCAGGGAGGGGAGGCAAGAGTGGAAAGGGGAGGTGGAGAAGAACGGAAGGCATGGGGATTGGGGAAGGAAGCGGCAGGGAGGGCAGGTGCGGGGATGTGACGGGATGAGAGCGGCTGGAGCTGGTGGCAGCAGGCTTGGGCGATGGAATGACAGGGGGGACCTGAATGCCGCTCTGTAAGGGTGCGGGGGGGGGGGGGGGAGGGGTGGGGGGCGCGAGAGGGGAAGAGTGATGCGGAAGGGGAAAGGGCAAAAGGTGAGGGGAGGTGCAGGGATGTCACGGGGTGGCTGCAGCTGGTGGCCGCAGGCTTCCGCGACCGACGGCATGACTGGCGGAATTTTGAGAATTCTAAAAAATGACTCCATTGAACGACGGCATGACTGGCGGAACCTGAATGCTGCTCTACAGGGGGGTTGGGAACAGCAGGGGGGTTGGGAACTGCAGGGGGGTTGGGAACAGCAGGGGGGTTGGGAACAGCAGGGGGGTTGGGAAGGCACGGGAAAGGGGAAGAGAGCGAACGAGGGGAGGTGCAGGGACGTGACAGGGTGGGTCCAGCGGCTGGCAGTGCCTACCTGGCAGTTGGTCTCCTGGCAGGGTCCCAGGAGCAGAGAGCAGCATCATGAGTTGCAGCCGGCACACTAACCCCAACACACTCCCCACAGCAGACTTACTACTCAGTTCAAATTCACCAGGAAAAAACGGGTGCTGTAGTGTCAGCGTGGCAGCTGGTCTCCTGGCAGGGTCCCAGGAGCAGAGCAGAGCAGAGCAGCGTCATGTGGCTCACTCACCCCTTTCTCGCCCCATTTGATCCGCCGATCTCCTCTCCCTGCCCTATATACACCAACCCCACCCTCTCACGCACCAGGAGAAAGGTAGCGACTGCGCAGCAGTGGGACGCCTGGCAGGGTCCGAGGAGCAGAGCAGCGTCACCTTACCCACAAACCGCCCCCTGATCTCCCTTCTCGTCACCCACTCAAACCCACCACGAAGTAGCGGTGCTGCAGCGGCTGTCCGGCAGTGGGACTCCTCGCGGGGTCCCAGCAGCACAGCAGCGTCATGAGGTGTCGACAGCACACGCACCCGAGCACACCGACGCCAGTAGACTTACTACTCAGTTCAACCTCACCAGGAAAAACGGGTGCTGCAGCGACTGCGCGGCAGTGGGCCTCCTCGCAGGGTCCCAGGAGCAGAGCAGAGTCACGACCTGTCGCCAGTACAATAACCCCACTTATCTCTCAGGGTCAGCTCCAACCTCACCAGAAAGAAGGGGTGTTGCAGCGACTGCGCGGCCGTGGGCCTCCTGGCAGGGTCCCAGGAGCACAGCAGCGTCATGAGGTCGATGGCTTCGGGGGAGGCTGATGGGATGAGCTTCGACAGTGGGATGGGCGTGTACTGGCGGGGGGGTAGGGGAGGGAAGAGAGAGGAGAGGGGAGGGAAGGGGCGTGTAGGGAGGGGAAGGGAAAGCGGGGGGAGGATCAGGAGCACAGCAGGAGAAAGCGGGGGGTGGCGCGTGTACTGGCGGGGGGTTGGGCTTGTAGGGAGGGGAAGGGGAAGCGGGAGGAGGATCAGGAGCACAGCAGCGTCATGAGGACGATAGCCTCAGGCGAGGCTGATGGGATGAGCTTCGACAGTGGGATGACTGGCGGGGGGAACAAGGGGGGGGTTTGGGAGGGGGAAGTGAGGGCAAGGCAGAAGGAGCAGAGCAGCGTCACGAGTTTGATGGCTTCGGGGGAGGCTGGCGGGATCAACTTGGATAACGGGATGGGCGTTTACTGGCGGGGGGGAGGTTTGCTGGGAAGAGGGCAAGAAGAGGGGGGATATTGGGAAGGAAAACGAGGAGGAGGGCAGAAAAAGAATGGGATTGGGGAAGAAACGGGAAGGTCCCAGGAGCAGAGCAGAGTCATGAGGTTGATGGTCTCGGAGGAAGCGGAAGGGATGAGGCCTGACAGCGGGATGGGCGTGTACTGGTATGGGGGGGGCGAAAGAGGGCAGAACGACTGTGAGATTCGGGATTGGAGGTAGACATGGGCACAAGCCGAGCCACATCCGGCTCGGCTCGCCAAAATGACGAGCCGAGCCTTTCTTTTCGGGATCTGGCTCGACTCGAGCCGAGCCGGCTCGGCTCGGTCGAGCCAGCCGGCTCGACTCGGCTCGTACACAATGTCCTCGTCGAGCCGGGGTCGAGCCGGCTCGTCCCCGGCTTGATTTCGAGCCAGGTGGCTCGCCACTCGATTTCAAGGGTAAATTTCCCCCTCGACAAAACGTGTCTCCCGTTTCTCTCTCCCGCCAACAACTCCTAGTCTATGTTCCCGAAATCGCTCAAGCGGTGCAGCGTTTATCGTTTAAACGCTGCGTTTAAAGGGTAAACGCTAAACGCTCGCCCAAAATGTTTGACGCGGAATTCTTTCCCGCGACATTGCGACCTCGCGAATTCAACCAGTCGCAACCCCAAACTTTGACGACCAGAAACACATCCAACCCTTTTGCCCCGCTCAACCGCACTGCACACTACTGCATCTACAACTTCCAACCTAACCTCTTGCACCCTCCTTCCTCCTCACAATCCACTTCCCGTCAATTTCGCGAACCCTAGAATTCTGTGCGCCTAGGAGTATCTCATTAGGTTAGTTCGCGCGAGAAATCTTAAGCAGCCCGCGCCACTCTTAACAACGCGCACTTGCATAGGCTCCACCCACACTACTGTTGGCTTAAGCGCATGCTAGGCGAGTCGAGCCAGCCCTGGCTCGCCCACAGAAATGCGAGCCGAGCCAGGCATGTTTGGTGCCCGGCTAGACTCGAGCCGAGCCAGGCTCGACGGCGAGCCGGCTCGGCTCATGCCCATGTCTAATTGGAGGGGGAAAAGGGGGGCGAAAGAGGGCAGAACGACCGTGAGATTCGGGATTGGAGGGGGGAAAAGGGGGGGGAGAATCAGGGCAGAGCAGCGTCGCGAGGTTGATGGCTCCGGGGGAGGCTGATTGGATGTCCATAAGGGGAGGGAGGGAGGTGTGCGGGCCAGGCCATACCTCTGGGAATCGGAAGTTCATGGCAGCTGTGAGCTTGAGGCCCTGCGGCACTTTCTCCTAAGGAGTCCCATAGAGAACCAGGCGAGTGGGAAGGTGCGCGAGCCACGCCTCTGAGACTCACCTCTGGGAATACCTCTGCGACTCACCTCTGGGAATACCTCTGAGACTCACCTCTGGGAATACCTCTGCGACTCACCTCTGGGAATACCTCTGAGACTCACCTCTGGGAATACCTCTGCGACTCACCTCTGGGAATACCTCTGAGACTCACCTCTGGGAATACCTCTGCGACTCACCTCTGGGAATACCTCTGCGACTCACCTCTGGGAATACCTCTGCGACTCACCTCTGGGAATACCTCTGCGACTCACCTCTGGGAATACCTCTGCGACTCACCTCTGGGAATACCTCTGCGACTCACCTCTGGGAATACCTCTGCGACTCACCTCTGGGAATACCTCTGCGACTCACCTCTGGGAATACCTCTGCGACTCACCTCTGGGAATACCTCTGCGACTCACCTCTGGGAATACCTCTGCGACTCACCTCTGGGAATACCTCTGCGACTCACCTCTGGGAATACCTCTGCGACTCACCTCTGGGAATACCTCTGCGACTCACCTCTGGGAATACCTCTGCGACTCACCTCTGGGAATAACTCCTCTGCGACTCACCTCTGGAATACCTCTGCGACTCACCTCTGGGATACCTCACCTCTGCGGACTCACCTCTGGGAATACCTCTGCGACTCACCTCTGGGAATACCTCTGCGACTCACCTCTGGGAATACCTCTGCGACTCACCTCTGGGAATACCTCTGCTTGAACTCCACCTCTGGGAATACCTCTGCGACTCACCTCTGGGAATTAACCTCTGCGCTCACCTCTGGGAATACCTCTGCGATCACCTCTGGGAATACCTCTGCGACTCACCTCTGGGAATACCTCTGCGACTCACCTCTGGGGAATACCTCTGCGACTCACCTCTGGGAATACCTCTGCGGACTCAACCTCTGGGAATACCTCTGCGACTCACCTCTGGGAATACCTCTGCGACTCACCTCTGGGAATACCTCTGCGACTCACCTCTGGGAAATACCTCTGCGACTCACCTCTGGGGAATACCTCTGCGACTCACCTCTGGGAATACCTCTGCGACTCACCTCTGGGAATACCTCTGCGACTCACCTCTGGGAATACCCTCATCACCTCTGCCCGACTCACCTCTGGGAATACCTCTGCGACTCACCTCTGGGAATACCTCTGCGACTCACCTCTGGGAATACCTCTGCGACTCACCTCTGGGAATACCTCTGCGACTCACCTCTGGGAATACCTCTGCGACTCACCTTCTGGGAATACCTCTGCGACTCACCTCTGGGAATACCTCTGCGACTCACCTCTGGGAATACCTCTGCGACTCACCTCTGGGAATACCTCTGCGACTCACCTCTGGGAATACCTCTGCGACTCACCTCTGGGAATACCTCTGCGACTCACCTCTGGGAATACCTCTGCGACTCACCTCTGGGAATACCTCTCACCACCTCTGGCGACTCACCTCTGGGAAATACCTCTGCGACTCATCCTCTGGCGAATACCTCTGCGACTCACCTCTGGGAATACCTCTGCGACTCACCTCTGGGAATACCTCTGCGACTCACCTCTGGGAATACCTCTGCGACTCACCTCTGGGAATACCTCTGCGACTCACCTCTGGGAATACCTCTGCGACTCACCTCTGGGAATACCTCTGCGACTCACCTCTGGGAATACCTCTGCGACTCACCTCTGGGAATACCTCTGCGACTCACCTCTGGGAATACCTCTGCGACTCACCTCTGGAATACCTCTGCGACTCACCTCTGGGAATACCTCTGCGACTCACCTCTGGGGATAATACCTCTGCGACTCACCTCTGGAATACCTCTGCGACTCACCTCTGGGAATACCTCTGCGACTCACCTCTGGATACCTCTGCGCTCACCCGGAATACCTCTGCGACTCACCTCTGGGAATACCTCTGCGACTCACCTCTGGGAATACCTCTGCGACTCACCTCTGGGAATACCTCTGCGACTCACCTCTGGGAATACCTCTGCGACTCACCTCTGGGAATACCTCTCCTCTGCGACTCACCTCTGGGAATACCTCTGCGACTCACCTCTGGGAATACCTCTGCGACTCACCTCTGGGAATACCTCTGCGACTCACCTCTGGGAATACCTCTGCGACTCACCTCTGGGAATACCTCTGCGACTCACCTCTGGGAATACCTCTGCGACTCACCTCTGGGAATACCTCTGCGACTCACCTCTGGGAATACCTCTGCGACTCACCTCTGGGAATACCTCTGCGACTCACCTCTGGGAATACCTCTGCGACTCACCTCTGGGAATACCTCTGCGACTCACCTCTGGGAATACCTCTGCACCACCTCTGGAATACCTCTGCGACTCACCTCTGGGAATACCTCTGCGACTCACCTCTGGGAATACCTCTGCGACTCACCTCTGGGAATACCTCTGCGACTCACCTCTGGGAATACCTCTGCGACTCACCTCTGGGAATACCTCTGCGACTCACCTCTGGGAATACCTCTGCGACTCACCTCTGGGAATACCTCTGCGACTCACCTCTGGGAATACCTCTGCGACTCACCTCTGGGAATACCTCTGCGACTCACCTCTGGGAATACCTCTGCGACTCACCTCTGGGAATACCTCTGCGACTCACCTCTGGGAATACCTCTGCGACTCACCTCTGGGAATACCTCTGCGACTCACCTCTGGGAATACCTCTGCGACTCACCTCTGGGAATACCTCTGCGACTCACCTCTGGGAATACCTCTGCGACTCACCTCTGGGAATACCTCTGCGACTCACCTCTGGAATACCTCTGCGACTCACCTCTGGGAATACCTCTGCGACTCACCTCTGGGAATACCTCTGCGACTCACCTCTGGGAATACCTCTGCGACTCACCTCTGGAATACCTCTGCGACTCACCTCTGGGAATACCTCTGCGACTCACCTCTGGGAATACCTCTGCGACTCACCTCTGGGAATACCTCTGCGACTCACCTCTGGGAATACCTCTGCGACTCACCTCTGGGAATACCTCTGCGACTCACCTCTGGGAATACCTCTGCGACTCACCTCTGGGGAATACCTCTGCGACTCACCTCTGGGAATACCTCTGCGACTCACCTCTGGGAATACCTCTGCGACTCACCTCTGGGAATACCTCTGCGACTCACCTCTGGGAATACCTCTGCGACTCACCTCTGGGATACCTCTGCGACTCACCTCTGGGAATACCTCTGCGACTCACCTCTGGGAATACCTCTGCGACTCACCTCTGGGAATACCTCTGCGACTCACCTCTGGGAATACCTCTGCGACTCACCTCTGGGAATACCTCTGCACTCACCTCTGGGAATCCTCTGCGACTCACCTCTGGGAATACCTCTGCGACTCACCTCTGGGGAATACCTCTGCGACTCACCTCTGGGAATACCTCTGCGACTCACCTCTGGGAATACCTCTGCGACTCACCTCTGGGAATACCTCTGCGACTCACCTCTGGGAATACCTCTGCGACTCACCTCTGGGAATACCTCTGCGACTCACCTCTGGGAATACCTCTGCGACTCACCTCTGGGAATACCTCTGCGACTCACCTCTGGGAATACCTCTGCGACTCACCTCTGGGAATACCTCTGCGACTCACCTCTGGGAATACCTCTGCGACTCACCTCTGGGAATACCTCTGCGACTCACCTCTGGGAATACCTCTGCGACTCACCTCTGGGAATACCTCTGCGACTCACCTCTGGGAATACCTCTGCGACTCACCTCTGGGAATACCTCTGCGACTCACCTCTGGGAATACCTCTGCGACTCACCTCTGGGAATACCTCTGCGACTCACCTCTGGGAATACCTCTGCGACTCACCTCTGGGAATACCTCTGCGACTCACCTCTGGGAATACCTCTGCGACTCACCTCTGGGAATACCTCTGCGACTCACCTCTGGGAATACCTCTGCGACTCACCTCTGGGAATACCTCTGCGACTCACCTCTGGGAATACCTCTGCGACTCACCTCTGGGAATACCTCTGCGACTCACCTCTGGGAATACCTCTGCGACTCACCTCTGGGAATACCTCTGCGACTCAACTCTGGGAATACCTCTGCGACTCACCTCTGGGAATACCTCTGCGACTCACCTCTGGGAATACCTCTGCGACTCACCCATCCTCTGCGACTCACCTCTGGGAATACCTCTGCGACTCACCTCTGGGAATACCTCTGCGACTCACCTCTGGGAATACCTCTGCGACTCACCTCTGGGAATACCTCTGCGACTCACCTCTGGGAATACCTCTGCGACTCACCTCTGGGAATACCTCTGCGACTCACCTCTGGGAATACCTCTGCGACTCACCTCTGGGAATACCTCTGCGACTCACCTCTGGAATACCTCTGCGACTCACCTCTGGGAATACCTCTGCGACTCACCTCTGGGAATACCTCTGCGACTCACCTCTGGGAATACCTCTGCGACTCACCTCTGGGAATACCTCTGCGACTCACCTCTGGGAATACCTCTGCGACTCACCTCTGGGAATACCTCTGCGACTCCCTCTGGAACCTCCGACTCACCTCTGGGAATACCTCTGCGACTCTGCGACTCACCTCTGGGAATACCTCTGCGACTCACCTCTGGGAATACCTCTGCGACTCACCTCTGGGAATACCTCTGCGACTCACCTCTGGGAATACCTCTGCGACTCACCTCTGGGAATACCTCTGCGACTCACCTCTGGGAAACCTCTGCGACTCACCTCTGGGAATACCTCTGCGACTCACCTCTGGGAATACCTCTGCGACTCACCTCTGGGAATACCTCTGCGACTCACCTCTGGGAATACCTCTGCGACTCACCTCTGGACCCTGCGACTCACCTCTGGGAATACCTCTGCGACTCACCTCTGGGAATACCTCTGCGACTCACCTCTGGGAATACCTCTGCGACTCACCTCTGGGAATACCTCTGCGACTCACCTCTGGGAATACCTCTGCGACTCACCTCTGGGAATACCTCTGCGACTCACCTCTGGGAATACCTCTGCGACTCACCTCTGGGAATACCTCTGCGACTCACCTCTGGGAATACCTCTGCGACTCACCTCTGGGAATACCTCTGCGACTCACCTCTGGGAATACCTCTGCGACTCACCTCTGGGAATACCTCTGCGACTCACCTCTGGGAATACCTCTGCGACTCACCTCTGGGAATACCTCTGCGACTCACCTCTGGGAATACCTCTGCGACTCACCTCTGGGAATACCTCTGCGACTCACCTCTGGGAATACCTCTGCGACTCACCTCTGGGAATACCTCTGCGACTCACCTCTGGGAATACCTCTGCGACTCACCTCTGGGAATACCTCTGCGACTCACCTCTGGGAATACCTCTGCGACTCACCTCTGGGAATACCTCTGCGACTCACCTCTGGGAATACCTCTGCGACTCACCTCTGGGAATACCTCTGCGACTCACCTCTGGGAATACCTCTGCGACTCACCTCTGGGAATACCTCCTCTGGCCGCGACTCACCTCTGGGAATACCTCTGCGACTCACCTCTGGGAATACCTCTGCGACTCACCTCTGGGAACCGAAAGTTCATGGCAGCTGCGAGCTTGAGGCCCTGCGGCCACGTGTGCACGGTGGGCGTGCCGATTACTGAACAGATCTTCACAATCTCGTCGATCTCACTGCGAGGGGGGAGGGGGGGGGGGGGGGGATGCCGGCATGGGAGGGTGGATGACAAAAGGCGAGGGATGAAAAAAAAAAAAAAAAACGAGGAAAAAACAGAGTAGACCATAAGAAAAGAAAGTTGCAAAATGCACAGGAAAGTACGGAGAGACGCAGCAAGCATAGATGCCGGCTTGAGATGAAACTGCAGACGTGGGGCCTACTTCTCTTCATAGATTTCATTCCCCAACTTCCCTTGCTTCCAAACGCCCCCCCCTCCTTTCATCTGCTGTCGCGCCCTCACCTGGCGCCAGGGAACAGCGGGCGGAGGGAGAAGAGCTCCGCCATGATGCCCCCTATGGCCCACATGTCTGCATGACGTGAGGCGGGGGGGTGGGGTGTAGGGGGGAGGTGGGGGGAACAGGGTGAGACGAGGGGAGGGGTGGTGTGGAGACGAGGGGGCGCAGGGAGAAGAGCTCCGCCATGATGCCCCTGATGGCCCACATGTCTGCATGGGAGAAGGGGAAGGGTGGAGGAAAGGGGAGAGGAAAGGGGGGAGGAGGAGAAGAATGAAACGAGGGGGTTGAGAAGGACTAGAAGCAGGGGGAGAATAGCTCCGCCATTATGCCCCGGATCCCCCACATGTCTGCACGAAATGATGGGAGAGAGGCAAGGGGGGGGATCCGGTGAGCGGCAAGATAACGGAGGGGAAGCGAGACAAGGTGGGATATGGGCTGCTTGCCCAAGGTGATAGGCTTGTTGCGAGTGGACGTGGCATGGGTATGGGGTGGACGCACGCATGGATATGCCAAGGCACGATGAGTGACAGGCAGTTTATGGCTCCGTGATTAGAAGATGCACAGGGTGCATGGTGGCAGTTGCCAGTCAGAAGAACATAAATCGCCGTTGATGGAACAAAGTACGCACCAATGGGGGCGTTGTAAACGGTTGACTGCAGCAGCACCTCTGGCGCTCGGTACCTGCCCATTGGGTGGGTGGAACAGGTGGGAGCACCGGGCGGAACGGAGCGTGAGACAGAGGACACCGGAAGATGCAGAGGCCCCAATGGCACCTGGAATGACATAAACACACCCTGTGCCACTGTGTCTCTGTCATTCTCTGTATCTCTGTCGTTCTCTGTGCCCCTTTGACACAGCAATATCATCTGGATTGCAGCACAGAGACCAGAGCAATCCAACTGCGTGGACTCCACTCTTCAGCGTACCATCTAGTGGAAGCACAGCCCACAGCGTACCGTCTGGTGGACACATAGTCGGTGAAGGGCGGTCTGGAGCGGACTCCCTGGCCATCCCATAGTCAGCACCCTGGATGACGTCCTTCGTCACCAGCAGTCACCTTATTCGCGCTCGTAGCCACTTGGAGTCGCCTTCATGCAGCGGGGGGGATGACAAACGGCCAGGACCCCACCCCCCACAGCGCGTACCATCTGGTCGACACGTAGTCTGTGAAGGGCGGTCTCGACCGCACCTCCCTGGCCAGCCACCTTGATGACTCACACAAGCTAGGTCTCAAGCCCACAGCATATCACCAGCATACCTCTGCCAAGTCCCCCCCCTCTCCCCCCCCCCACAGCATACCATCTGGTAGACACGTAGTCTGTGAAGGGCGGTCTCGACCGCACCTCCCTGGCCAGCCCGAAGTCAGCCACCTTGATGACGTCCTTCGTCACCAGCAGGTTTTCGGGCTTTAAGTCCCGGTGGAAGTACCCATGCTTGTGCATGTACGCCAGACCTTGTAGAACCTGCGGCAGGGGGGGGGGGGAGGGAGGGGGGGAGGGGAAGGGGGAGGGTGGGGGGGTTGGGGGAGAAAGGGAAGTCACAAATGAATGGGAGGAATGACAAGCGCACAGTCACTCTCGCTCCTAGTCACCAGCAGGTTCTCGGGCTTTAAGCCCCGGAGGAAGTGCCCGCGCTTGTCCATGTACGCTCGCCTTGCAAACACCTGGGGGATTGGGGAGGGGGGGAGGGGAAGAGGGGGGGGAAGGGGAAGAGGGGGGTTTAGGGGTGACTGACAGTGAGGGGGTTATCTACCAACGCACAGGAGCTCGTAAAAAGAGGTGTTCTCGAAGGATCAAGAGAAGACAGTATAAAGGGCGTGACAGGAGGAATCTATTTTGCAAAAGTGGTAGGGCGGCGTACCTGGTACATCCAGCTGCGTATTTTCGACTCTGGGAAGAGCGTCTCCCTGTCCTTCATAACTTGGTACAAATTGCAGTCCTGCGCACAGAGGTGGAGGGTTGGCCCAAGGGTGAGGGAAAGAACAGGTCAACGGAGGGACAAGGGGAGGGAAGGGTGGTAAGGACTCGGGGACAAGCGTCTCCCTGTCCTTCATGACTTGGTACAAATTGCAGTCCTGCACACAGTAAGACGGGAAAGGGATTCGGTTCCAGGGCGGGAGAAAAAGGCGGACCGTCAAAGTCTTGATAATGGTTGTAGTCGCGCACACAGAAAGGTTGGTGCAAGGGGAGAGGAAAGAGTGGACCGGGAAGTGAAGGGGAAGGGGGAGAAGACGGGACCGGGGGTGACGGCCAGTGGAAAGGGGAGGGGGAATCAGGAGGAGTTTTTGAGACAGGACCATAAGATGGAGATGAGATGAGATGAAGACAAGCGGTAGGAGGAGGGGGAGGAGTGGGGAGGAGTGGGGAGGAGTGGGGAGGAGTGGGGAGGAGTGGGGGGGAAGTGGAGCAGGCATGGCAGGTGAGCATGACCATGTCCTCGAAGATGAAGAAGAGCTCGTTGTTCTCTCAAAATTGCCATTCCCCATAGGGCGCGGGGGGAAGGGAGGCAGGCTGGCAGGCCAACGGGTCTCTCACCATGTATTCGAAGATGAAGAAGAGCTCGTTGTTCTCGCGGATCACCTCCTTCAGCCGCACGATGTTGCTGTGGTTCAGCTTGCGCAAGGACTGGCGGGGGAGCGCGGAGGGAGTGGGGGGAGAGGGCAGGGACGGAGAGCGAAGAGGTGTTAGCCTCCTTCAGCCACACGATGTTGCTGTGGTTCAGCTTGCGCAAGGACTGGCGGACGGTGAGGGGGAGCGGGGAGGGAGTGGGGGGAGAGGGCAGGGATGGAGAGCGAAGAGGTGTTAGCCTCCTTCAGCCGCACGATGTTGCTATGGTTCAGCTTGCGCAAGGACTGGCGGGGGAGCGGGGAGGGAGTGGAGGGAGAGGGCAGGGACGGAGAGCGAAGAGGTGTTAGCCTCCTTCAGCCGCAAGATGTTGCTGTGGTTCAGCTTGCGCAGCAACTGGCGGGGGGAGGGGGAGGGGGGGGTGGGAACGGGGGGCGCGGGACGGGGAGGGGAGCGGAGAATGTGGTTCAGCTTGCGCAGGGACTGGCGGATGGTGAAGGGGGAAAGCGCGGGGAGGGAATATTGGAGAGGGAATGTGGTTCAGCTTGTGCAGCAACTGGCGGATGGTCAAGGGGGAGAGCAGGGGGGGGGGGGGGGAGAAGGGTGGGGCGGGGGGGGGGTGTGAGTTGGAAAACGCAGACTGCCGGAAAAAAGGTAAACAGGGCGAGATTACGAAGGGAGCGTATAAGTGCAGTAAGACAATCACGACCACGTCGACTGTAGCTCTTGCGAGTGCTCCGCTCGAGCGGCCTAGCTCATGCACCCCTCCTCCGCTTCTCTAACGCCTACCTTGACCTCTCTCAGGCTCATGCATTCTTCCCACGAGTAGAACTTGCGCTTCATCTTCTTCACCGCCACCTGCAATGAGGCATCGAACGGTGTGCGGAAGAGGGAAATGGGGGGTGGGGGGGGAAGGGGGAGTAAGACGAGACGCCTTGACCCCTCTCAGGCTCATGCATTCTTCCCACGAGAAGAACTTGCGCTTCATCTTCTTCACCGCCACCTGCACAGCGACAAGGCATGGTGCGAGGGAGATGACTTTTGAGTCGACTCAAAAATGGTGCGAGGGAGACAGAACGGAGCGGGAGAGGAGTGAGTACGACAAGACACCTTGTCCTCCTCTCTCAGGCTCATGCATTCTTCCCACGAGTAGAACTTGCGCTTCGTCGTCTTCACCGCCACCTGCAATCGAAAAGCAGTGAGGGTGGGCGGGAGGAGGGGACGACAAGGGAGGGGGGAGGAGAAGGTGCAAGGAGGGCACTGAGCACACCTCCCACGAAACGGAGGGAGGGGAGGGAGGAGGTGTAGGGGGACAGAATCGGAGGGGAGGGGTGGAGGTGTAACAGTGACACGAGACTGCTCGTAGGCCCATACAGTGAGGGTTAAGAAATATGCCAATCCCGCAGCTTACGCCGACGCAGTTCACCGAACTAGCGAACAAAAAGGACGGTGCGAGAAGGCAGCTGACCAACCAGAAGGACGCTGCGAGAACGGCAAGCCCCTGAATCGCTCACTTTCTATGGCGTGGAGGGGACACTTTCACTTTCACTCACTTTCACTTTCAGCAATGACATCCGAGTCGACTCAAAAGCCATCTCGAATGCTCACGATTTCATTCGTGTGGAGATTCGAGGCCTTCCAGACAGCGACGACTTCTGAGTCGACTGGAAAGTCAAATCGAGCCAAATCATATCGAGAGCTCACGATTTCATTGGTGTGGAGATTCATGGCCTTCCAGACTGTGCCGTACGTCCCATCGCCCATCTGCTTGATCACCTTGTACCTGCACGCACGCCCACAGCAGCTTCAGTCAGCTTAACGACTTCTCCAATCCGTCGATCACCTACCCGGCTAACGCGAAGGAAATACGAGTCAGTTGGGCTAAAGGACCCCCGGAACCGAATTGAAGGGCATGACGGTCATGACCTAATACCGAGAGACACGGAAAGGAAACCTGAAACGAAATGCTTCTACAGGATGCGACCTAATACCGCAACCTGTGGAGACTAGAGGCCTAAGATTTCTTGAGTTGTTACGTGTCCGCTGGAATCACCGAGCTGAGCAGTTAGGTCTGGTGCTCTCGTCAAAAGTGAGGCTGTAACGCAACGACCTATAATGCGCCTGAAATGGAGAGAACTGGTGCTTAGCGCGACTGTTCAAGGCGCCATCGCTAGCTACAGACGGAGACAGTTGCACACCTGTTCACGGAGACAGTCGCACAACTGCTTCGTGGCGAAACTCGCACCTGTTCATGGCGGCAGCTGGTAACCCTCCCTACGACCGCTTGCGGATGTCTGTCGTTACGTGGCTCGCGAACAGTCATGCGAGAAAGCAAGTGACGAAAGCATCGCGAGTAATGCCGCCTAGCTATGTCGAAGAAGGACGAAGATTTCCCGCCAGAAGCGCCGATGCTGATAGTATGTCTTTGCCCCGCTTGAAGTGCCTTCGTCTAAAGCTGCGTCTCCTTCCAGGAAAAAGAAAGAAAAAAACGTATTTAAGGAGCCTAGACGAGCGTCATATCATGTACGTTCTTCTCTAGAGGGTAAACAGGGTCTACATAATAAGCGCTCCATTGTAAAAGGAAGCTCGATTCCTGATCAGCACAAACGGTACGACCAACTCCTCGCGAGCTATTTCTAAAAAAGGTCGTCTATTCTAGGCAGCTAATTCGCGCATTAAACGAAAGACCTCCAGCTACACCGCTATTATCTCGCGAACAGCTAATCGTTGAGCTCTCGAGCAGAAATGGCTGCGAAGTATCAGCTCGGCGGCGGCACGGAATGAACTTTAGGGTTTGCTGAGCTGGGTGCTAGTTGCCTGATGCGGGTTGCTGTTCAGGAAATCAAAACCAATGGGCCTGCTCTGCTTGCTGACTGACGGTGTTTCGTGAGGGGGAAGAAGGATTACAAACATAACTAACAACGCGGTCGGTAGTACGTACAGTACCAAGCCTTGTTCCTTTTTCTACTCCCTGGTGTGGTTTCGTGTGGTTTCGTGTGTTTTTATATGGCGCGTTGTGGTGTGGTGTGGTGGAGAAAGTAAGGAAACCATGGATTCTGGCCTTTCCGCCCGTCGTTCTGCGCACGCGCAAGGAAGCAAGCAGGGCATTTTTAGGACCAGGCGCAAAGCTCCGCAGGGGCGACGGGAAAATCAAGGCCACGTGGAAAGTCCCGAAATGAAACCGCCGGACCTGGGAGGAGAGGACCCTGGGATGGCCGCGCAACCAGCGAGAGTGCAGGCGCAGGCGTTTCGCGCGCAACTTTGGCGCAAGCGGCTAAAAAGGGCTGGTGCCTGGCGGGTTATCCCTCCACACAGTTCCGACGAGGCGGCTTCAAAGACAGCAGGCGGAAGTTGGGACACGTACGGTTGAGGTGGTTGGGGAAACACCAGGCACGATTGCGACGAGCTACGATGCAGCGACGGATCTCGTTATTCGCAAAGGCTTTTCGCGTAAGAAGGATGCCTTGGCGACATTGTGAGGGGCTCGCAGCGTGCAGCATGACGACGTATGCGACTTGTGCAATCACGTAAGCGTCGCACGAACCGTGAGGACAGCCGTGCTGTAAACGCAGGCGAAAACCAAAGGTGGGTTGCACGACAAGAACCGTCGCAGGACTTCCACCTGGGCATCTCCGATGCAATATAAATCAGAACTGTACTCCGTCCGCTTGTACCGTCTCTAAACTCGCAGGAATGCATAGGTTGACCAAATTAGGTACAAACAACGATGTGAGTAGAACAGAAGTGGCATGGACCAGTAGAGCCTTGGGGCTGCTTTAGGCACATCGACAACGGAAGCCCAGATGCAAGCATTTGCCTTCACAGGAAACCATCCATGGCTCTCTAAAGCCATGGGACGTGGCCAATTGCCTTTATGAATCCTCTTCACCACTAGCTCCATTTTCCTCCATGCCCTCCTCCGGTGCTGTGCTTAGCCAATTAAGGAAATTGCGCACGTCCAAGTATGCCTGAACAAAGGGGACACATGCAAAGGGTAGAAAGGAAAGAGCATGCATTTGAAGGGAACGCCTGGAACTCCCGAGACCTGCTTCTCCATCCCTCTGTAAATTGCACTTCATCCATCCATCTACAAAGCAGCACTGCCACGCACCTTTTGCTTGCCCGGCGTCGGGTCCTTGTTGTCGTCCTGCCACTTGAAGAACATGGGCTCGTCCACTACCTGCTCCAGTGACACAAGGACACCCGGGGGGCGGGAGGGAGGGGGGGGATGAGGGAGATTTTAGGCACATAAAAAATGCAACCTTGGTGTCGTCCTGCCACTTGAAGAACATGGGCTCGTCTACTACCTGCATCCGTCGAGACACCGAAAGACGTGGGATACAGAAGGGGGGGGGAGCAAAGTTCAGGTGATGGTAGAAAACCCAAGGAACCGACAGGCATTAGCTGCATTGGGTTGGGAGAAGGCAAGCAGGATGGGAACACGGAAAGGAGTCTCAGATCGAGACTATAAAGACAAGGAGAAACACACCAATGACAGCTATCAGCAGCATAAAGGCAGCAAGACAGGGAGCAGCATGGAAAAAAGGCTCACATCGAGGTTGCAGAGTGCGAAGACAAGGAAAAGGAAGCAGAACAAGGGCAGCAATAATAACCAGCATGAAGGCAGCAAGACAGGCATGGGAACGAGACCCACATCGAGGTCATAGAGAGCTCTAAAGACTGCAGCAAGCAGGCCCTGTGGGTGCCGACGCGACTCCGCAAACTCCTGAGCTCCGAAGAGATCTGCGGGCGGCAAAGGGCGCAGAGCAGCAAAAGGGAGACATGAATGTGCTCCATGTACGGGTGAGAAGTCAAAGAGGTGGCTATTTTTGAGGCGCCTAAAAAATAGACTCCTCATACATGAATGTGCTCCATGTACGGGTGAGAAGTCAAAGAGGTGGAAAGGAGAGCAACCAGCAGCAACGGCAGCAACAGATGGAAAAGGTAGTCACAAGGGGTAAATGTAAAACACTTACACTGAATCTGGTTGGCCTTTTGCTTCCCTGACGCGTATTGTTGGAACACCTTGGCATACTTCTTCACGGGCCCTTCCAGCAGCTTCTGCTTGCAGCAACATGCCAAGAGCCAGTCACAACACAGCCAGCGATATGCCAAAAAACAGTCAAAACACAGCCAGCGATATGCCAAGAGCCAGTTACACAGGGGCAGCAGGATGGGGAAAGCAGAACAGGGGATGCAGCAAGGGGAGGGAAGCAGCAAAGATGGTGAGCCAACGAAATGGAACACGCGAGCATGCCAGAGGGCAACATATAGAGATGACATGGCAATGATCAGGAGCAGCACAGACATCTGGAACTAGCATTGATTGGGTGAGGAGTCTAATTTTGCGGCGCCTCAAAAACGATAAGGCAACGATCAGGAGCAGCCCAGACATCTGGAACTAGCATTGATTGGGTGAGGATTCTAATTCTGCGGCGCCTCAAAAATGATAAGGCAACGATCAGGAGCAGCACAGACATCTGGAACTAGCATTGATTGGGTGAGGATTCTAATTTTGAGGCGCCTAAAAAATGAGAAGGCAACGATCAGGAGCAGCACAGACATCTGGAACTAGCAATGATTGGGAGTTGCGCAGCGCTAGCTTTTCGTGAGACGTGTGTGTGTACCTTGAAGTCTGCTGTGCTGCTGCCGATGGCGTGTTGCAGCAGAGAGCGCATGAGGAGACGCGGGAAGGCTGGGCTTGATACGGCGTCAGGAGGAGTGTTGGCCTGTTGCAGTCAGGGGGATTGAGGAAATTGGAGAGGGGGACTGCTTTTGGGGCGCCTCAAATGCAGCAGAGCGCAAGAGGAGACGAGGGGAGGCTGGGCCCATTTGAGACATGCAGCAGGAGAGTGTTCGCCTGCAGCTGTCACGGAAACTCAGAAAGGCAAATGGCAAACGTCGGGGGAAGAGAGGACGGTTGTGAAAATACCTGCTGATTGGTGCGGCATTTGAAGCGCGTAAATACGCACATGCATAACAGGAAAATAACAGATGGAAACATTGTTCAAGTAGACAGAAAGAGAAGGGTGCAATTCAAATTCCATGGCCATGCAGCAATAAGTGGCACCTGAAATCTCACCTGAAGCCATTTGAGCACCGCCTCTGCTGGTTCGCCCTTGGCAAGTCCCTCCGTCAGGTGCGCCGCCACTGCTTCTAGCTGCCAGGGGCATGGCACAAAGGGGGGAGGAGCGAGGGGAAGGTGTGGGGGAAGGGGGGGGGGGAGGAGGACCACTGCTTCTAGCTGCCAGGGGCATGGCACAAGGGGGGGAGGAGCGAGGGGAAGGTGTGGGGGAAGGGGGGGGGGGAGGAGGACCACTGCTTCTAGCTGACAACGGATGATCCAAAACGGGGAGAGGAGAAGGGAAAGTGGGAGGAGAGGGGGGGGGGGGGGGGGGGGGATGTCAGCGGTGTACAGACCCTTGAGGACGGATGCCAGCCAGGGATGTGCAACCACATGCCCAGCCAGTCCCAGCGCCTTCCTAGCCTCCTCCACTCTCGCCTTGATCCCATGGACTACCTCATCCATAAAGGGGTTCTTCACACCGCGCCACACAACACTCACAGCACTTACCAGCTCCGCAGCACCAGCCCACCCCAGGACTGTCCTCGCCTCCTCCACCTTCTCCTTCCTCCCCCTCGCTCTCTCGTCCACAAAAAGGTTCTTTACGCAACACAATACACCACTCACAGCACTCACCGGGTCCGCAGCACCAGCCAGCCCCAGTGCCTTGCTCGCCTCCTCCACCTTCTCCTTCCTCCCCCTCGCCCTCTCATCCAAAAAGGGGGCTTCTACACAGCACTGGACAAATACTATCACTCACAGCCCTCACAGCAGCACTCACAGCCCTCACAGCAACACTCACAGCCCTCACAGCAGCACTCACCGGGTCCGCAGCACCTGCCAGCCCCAGCGCCTTCCTGGCCTCCTCCACCTTCTCCTTCCTCCCCCTCGCCCGCTCGTCCATAAACCCCTCCGGACCCTCGATCCCCGCCCCCCGCACCATCTCCCCCGCCTCCTTCTCCCCCTTCTCCTCCCTCACCGCCTCCACCACCGCCACCATCACTTTGATCCCCTCCCCCATCTCCACAAGACTCCCCTCCTCTGCGCCGCCCGCCTTCACCAGCCGCGCCACGTCAGCCAATGGGATCGCGCCAGCTGCCACGAGCCGGCCAATCAGGCGGCCCACGTGCTGCGGGGCTTTGGGGGCGTCGACTGACCAATCCTCGAGGTCCTGGAAGACTCGCACGAGTCTGAGGGGGGGAGTGAGGGAGGGGGGGGGAAGGGGAGGCGAGGGGGGGAAGGGGGGGCATGAAGTGAGTGGGATATGAGACAGGAGGGAGCGGGGAGGATTGGGGCGTTGACTCGAGCTCCTGGAAGGCTCGCACGAGACTGAGAGAGGGAGTGAGGGAGGGAGGGAGCAGGAGGAGGGGGGGCGGGGAGGTGGTGATGAAGTGAGTGGGATTTGGGACGGGAGGGACAGGGAGGATCGGAGCATCGACTGACCCATCCTTCTCAGCTCCTGCAAGACTCGCACCAACCTGCAAGGACCACGATTCAAGGTTTGAGGGAGGAACAGCCCGGCACGTGAAGCGGGGGGAGGGAGTCCAGGTGTCTCACACATCCACATGCCCTCACACAACCCCTCACGCGTGCTTAAGCAGAGGCGAACAACCGGGTCCTCTTTGAGAATTCTAAAAAATGGCTCCACTGCAAGCAGGTCCTCCAGGTGCTAGCCCGCATTGCGCCTCTTGTCCAGCCCCGTGGCCACCCACCCCTTACCATTCACAGAACCCTGTACCCCCTCCAAGCACTCACCCCTGCTCAATCTGTGCTCCCATAAACAGCGCCGGCTTGGGCTCCGAGCAGAGGCGCACGACGAGGTCCTCCACGTGCCTCCGCTGCGCCTCCTTCTGTCCAGCCCGGTGGCCACAAACCCATCACCCCCACCCAGCCCCTTACAACCACTCACCCTTGCTCGATCTGTGCCCGAGTGAAGAGAGCCGGCTTGGGCTCGGAGCAGAGGCACACGACGAGGTCCTCCACATGCTTGCGCTGCGCCGCCTCCTTGTCCAGCCCGGTGGCTACCCACTCTGCACTTTCGCCCCCAAACCCCGCGGAACCGTCTTACCCTTGCTCAATCTGTGCCCAGGTAAACAACGCAGGCTTGGGCTCGGAGCAGAGCCGCACGACCAGGTCCTCCACGACCTTGCGCTGCGCCTCCTTCTTGTCCAGCCCCGTGGCCACCCACTTCGCCAGAATCGCCCCGTGCTGCTGCGGCGACTGCAGCTCCTCCATACACAGACACACCTCCTTGAAGTCGCGCGCGCTGGGGGAGTTCGAACAGGGCAGAATCAGAGGGAAGGAGAGCCAAGAGGGAGGGTGATTGTGAGTGTGCTGCTGCGGGGACTGCAGCTGAGGGTGGCTGGTGAGGGCGGTTGCGGCAACTGCAGCTCCTCCATGCACAGACGCACCTCCTTGAAGTCGCGTGCACTGGGAGGTATGGGGGCAGGGTAGGGGGAGAGAAAGGGCCGGGGTTTCAAGGTGTGGGCTTGCTGCTGCGGCGACTGCAGCTCCTCCATACACAGACACACCTCCTTGAAGTCGCGCGCGCTGGGAGAAAAGGAGGCTGGTGAGAACAGAGCATTAAAGGAGAGCGAGAAGGGGGCTGAGTGTGAGTGTGAGTGTGCTGCTGCGGCGACTGCGGCTCCTCTACGCACAGACAGACCTCCACCTGAACACTTGAAGTCAGGCACACAGCGAGGAGGCCTGTCAGGCACACAGCGAGGAGGCCTGTCAGGCACACAGGGAGGAGGCCTGTCAGGCACACTGTGAGGCGGGAGGGCGAGAGGAGGGGAGAGGGAGGAAATGGTGTCACCATATCTCGGAAAGGGTGAGTAATTCATAAGGGGTTCAGAAAAAAAAAAAAAAAAAAAAAAAAAAAAAAACAGAAACCACCTGGGACCAGTCAAATCACCTGAGCCACCACTTGAACCATCTGCTCTGCCTCACCTGAGGTACTCCTCCAGTGCGCTGTTGGCCTTCGCCACTGCCTTCTCCTCATCCATGCCCCCCTCTGCCTTTGCTCCTCCCCCTGCTGCTCCTCCTGCTCCTCCTGCTCCCCCTGCTCCGCCTGCTCCTTCCGCCCCTCCACCACCCATGCTGGCCCTCGGACCTGCTCCCAAGCCTTCGCCTCTTCCCCCTTCCCTGCCCCCTTCTCGCCCCCCATCCCTCCCCGTTTCTCTCCACACATCCCTACCTCCTTCTCTCCCTCCGTCCCTTCCTCCATCCCGTCCCCCCCCTGGTGGCCCTTCCTCTTCGATTCTCGTTCCTCTTCGCCAAGCATCGACCTCTCTCTCCCTCTCCATCCCCATCCCCCTCCCCCCATACCCCCTCCCCTCCGGCCCTCCTCCTCTCCCCATGATCATACTCCTAGCCCCCGGTCCCCCAATCCCCCTCCCCCCATCTCTCTCCCCCCCTCTCTCCCCATACGGCCCCGGACCTGGCCTCATTGGCATATCCCTATCCCCACCGCCCCTCGGCCCGAACCTCTCGCTCTGGCTCGGCCCGAACCTGCGCATCTCTGGAGGCATGGCACCAGGGGGACCTTCTGGTCCCCCACGCCCCGGCCCCCCCATATGCCCCCCCATGGGTCCGCCCATGGGTCCCCCAGGTCCCCCCCTCATCCCCCCGCCCATGCCTCCCCCTGGCCCTCCCCCCACAGGTCTCCCCAGCCCCCCTTGCGGCCCAAGTTTCAGCTCCCCCTCATCCATGATTCTCTGGGGCAAGGGCATGGGCCGGCCCATATCATCCATCCCGCCCCTCCCCTCAAACCCGCCAGGGCCTCCTCCCCGTCCCCCCATCCCCCCAGGGGGACCATATCCCGGCCCCCGCCCATACATCCCTCCCCCCGGCCCTCCCCCCATCCCCCCTTGCCCCCCAATCAGCCCCGGCCCTCCCCTCATCGGCCCAGACCCAGCCATACCCGGCCGCCCGGGCGGCTCCATGGAGTAATCCGGCCGCCGCCCACTCCCCCCCATGCCCCCCGGCCCCCTGCTCCCCCCGCCCCCGCGCTCCAAGATCTGCCTGCCAGCTGTCGCGACGGCATTGGACCGCTCGTCCCTCGCGTCCCGATGCACCTGGTCAATCTTCTTAGGCCCTTCCACTTTCCTTCTAGCCTGCCACCTGTTGCCCCTCAACTCAATGATGTCTTTCAGACCGAAGCGGATGCGAGAGGAGAGCTTGGGGGAGGCAGAGAGGATGTCGATCCGCGCCATGTATGCGTCGATGTGGCTCTTGGCCTTCTCGTGGTCGATGATGGCGCCGATGGTGGTGAGCAGCTTGCACAGAGCCTCGATGTCCTCCTCGTCCGGGTCCTGCATTGAGGGGCGGTGGGGGGAGGAGAAGGGCGGGCTACTTGAGTGAATTGGCAGGGGATGTGGCTCTTGGCCTTCTCATGGCGCCGATGGTGGTGAGCAGCTTGCACAGAGCCTCGATGTCCTCCTCGTCAGGGTCCTAAATGGGGAAGGGATCGCGGGGGAGCAGGGCAGACACAGGGGTGAGGCAGAGAGGATGGCGACCCGGGCCAGGCACGCATCGATGGTGGTGAGCAGCTTGCACAATGCCTCGATATCCTCCTCGTCCGGATCCTGTGTAGGGAAGGCAAGCGGGAGAGGCAGGGGGAGAACATGGGTTGAGGCAGGAACGAGGAAGCATGCCCATGTAGTACGCGTTTATGTGGCTCCTGGCCTTCTCGTGACCAATGATGGCGGCAATGGTGTTGAGCGGCTTGCAGAGAGCCTGGATGTCCTCCTCGTCAGGGTCGTGGGGGAAGGACAGGGTAGAGGGCACAAGGAGCGAGGAGCAGCGAACGTGAAGGAGCGAGAAACGCACACACCGGTCCACAACAAAAGCAACGGTCGATCGGAATGCACAACAGACAGAAGACCCACCTCTGTGTTTCCGAGAAGCTTCACAATGCACCCGTGCATGATGCGCTCGGTGAGCATGCTCATCTTATACAGCTCTCCTATAAAGCGGATATTCCCCAGCATTCGCCTCCTGGCCTTCTGCCTCCTGCTCTGCCTCTCCGCCTCTGTCAATTTCACCATCTTCTTAACCATCACCTTCCCTCCCTTCTTCCCTTCCTTTTCTCCTTCCTTTTCTCCTTCCTTCTCCCCTTCCTTCCCTTCCTTACTACCCTCCTCCTTCTCTCCCTCCTCCCCTTCCTTCTTCCCTTCCTTCTCCTCCTCCCCTTCCTCCCCCTCCCCTTTCTTCCCCTCCCCTTCCTCCTCCTCCACCTCCACCTCCTCCTCCTCCTTCTCCGCATCCAGCTGCTCCTGATCCCCTCTCTCAAACTCCTCCTGGCACTTATTTAAAAGCGTGCGCTTAAACGTCACCCTCTCATCGCCCTCCCCAAACTGAGGCAGTTCCACGGCCAACTCCTGACAAAACTTAGCATACAGCTCGCAAAACGTCGGCTCCAGCAAAGCCTTGTCAAAAATCTGCGCAATCACCCCTGTGAGAGTCTCCGGGGAATCGATCTTCACCTCCTTGACCTGATTAAACAACTTCTCAAAATTCTGCGGCGTCAGCTTATTCAAGATGCCCTTGATCTGCCGCTGCTTCTTCTCCTCTTCGTCTGAAACCAGCCCAGCCTTGTACCTGTTCTCGGTCTTATGAATCGCGGGAAGCGGGGGACCAGCAGGGGCAGCCGGCCGGTTCTGAAGCGGGTTTCTCGCCCATCTATCTGCATCCACTCCTCCCCGTGGCCCACCCATCGGCATCCCCCCAGGCCCCCCCATACCAGGCGCACCGTGCGGCAGCACCCCCCGATCCCCCCTACCCAGCAACGGCCCCCCTGGCCCGCCCATTCCTCCCCGCATGCCCGGACCTCCCATGCCCATAGGCGGGCCTCCTCCCGGGCCTCTGAACCCCGGACCTCCCCCCGGACCTGGCATGCCCAGAACCCCGCCGTCCATGCCTCCGCCCGGACCTCTCGGGCCCATACCCGGGCCTCTACCCCACCGGTCCTCCTCCATTCCTGGCCGGGGAAAGCCTCCCCCGGGTGCGCCTCCCTGGTCCATGGGGCGGTCGAACCCCTGATTCGCCATCTGCTGGGCTTTGTGATACGCGGGCTGTTTTAGAGCATGCATCCCGACCTCTCTAAGGAACCCCTGGAAATCCATGTCTCCTGGGAGGTCGTGTTGGGCGTCTCGCAGAGTGAGGAGGAAGTCGCGGGTGTACTTGAGCAAGCCCTCTGTATCGCTGGTAGACTCGCCACTCTTTGGCGCCTTTTGTGTCGACACTGCCGCTGCTGCGCCTCCTGCTGCTGCTGCTGGTGGTGCTGCTGGTGGGGGTGTTGCTCCTCTACCTGAGCCACTAGTCGATGCTGCTCCCATTGCTGCTGCAGCAGCAGCAACAGCAGCAGCGGCCGCTGCAGCGGCGGCAGCAGCAGCAGGGGTGGTTGGAGCTGCTCCACCCTTCCCAACACGGCCCTTCCCACCGTCAGTATCCACTGCCTCCTCCCAATCATCCACTTCCTCCTCTTTCTTCTCCTCCTCCTTCTCTGATGCCTTGGAAGCTTCGTCCTTCTTTCCACCCTCAGCAGGCTCTCCCTCAGCCCTCCCTGCTTGCTCCTGCGCCTGCCCCCCGCCCTTCTTCCCCTCACTCTCCTTGTCTTTAGCAGCGGGGGTCTTGTACGCGTTATAGAGGTCAGAAGGGACCTCAGCATCCTTTTCAGCCAAGATGTCCTTCAGTTTCTTTTTCTTGGCAGGAGCAGTGGCAGCTGTAGCACCGGCGGCGGCAGCTGTAGCAGCAGCAACGGCTGAAGCAGCAGCGGCGGTGGCAGCTGCAGCAGCTGCAGCAGCAGCTGTTGCAGCAGCACTAGTTGACTTCTCCCCACCACTCTCGCCCTTACCCCTTGCCTGTTTCTCGTCCGCTTTCCCCTCCTCCTTCCCAACCTCTTTCACCTCCTTACTCTTTTCTGCCTCTGCAGAAACAGCCTCTGCACTCTCCGCCCCCTTCGTCCCTTTCTCCACCTTCTTCCCGTTCCCCTGCTTATCCGTCTCTCCCTTCCCCTCCGTCTCTTCCTTCACCTCACCCTTCATCACCTCACCCTTCAGCACCTCACCCTTCAGCACCTCACCCTTCAGCACCTCACCCTTCATCACCTCACCCTTCATCACCTCACCCTTACCTCCCTCTTCTCTCTTCTCCTCCTCTCTCCCCTCCTCAACAACTTCACCCTTCACCTCTTCCTCCTTCACTCCCTCTTTCGGCTCAACTGCCTTAGGGGCTTCAGCCTTAGCAGCAGCACTGCCTTCACCACCCGAAGTTACCCTAACCTCCTTCTTGCTTTCCGCCTCAGCAGCTGCAGCAGTAGCAACTGAAGCTTCAGGAGTTGGTGCAGCATTAGCCGTGGCATCTGTAGCCAAAGGAACAGGCCCTTGAGCCTCCTTCACCTGCTCCTTCGCCCCTTCAGCAGTTCTAATTTCAGCCTCCTTCGCTGCTTCTCCCTCATCTCTCTTGCCGGCCCCCTTATCCTCTTCCTTCTCCTTCCCTTCCTTCTTCCCCTCTCCTTTCTTCTTCTTTTCCTTCTCCTTCCCATCTCTCTTCTTCCCTCCCTTCTTCTCCCCCTTCTCCTCTACCTTCTTCTCTTCGCCTTCCCTAACCTTCGCTGCAGCCGCCTCCCCGTTTACCTCCACCCCCTCCCTCCCTGCCTCCACTTGCTTTGCAACCATAGGAGCCACTGCCGCGGCTGTAACAGCGACAGCAACAGCAGCACCAGCGGCAGCAGCAACAGAGGCAATAGCAGCAGCAACAGGGGCAGCAGCAACAGCAGCAGTAGCAACAGGAGCAGCAGCTGAAGAGCTTGACATAGCCTCTGTCTTGCTTTCATCCTTCCCAACCACTGTTCCCTCTCCTCCCACCTCCTTCCCTCCCTCCATTCCCACACCTCCCACACTGGCCGCCTTCACATCACCACCACCCACCTCCTTCACTTCCTTCCCTTCAGCCGTTTTTGCTGCAACCGCTTCGCCTGTGCCATGCGCTCCGCCTTCGTCTTTGCTCTTCCCCTCTGCACTCTTCCCTGCACCTTCCACGCTCTGCTTCTCCCCCTCTCCTTCACTCTCTTTCGCAGCTTCATCCTTCTCCTTCTCCCTATTCTCTTCTCCCTCCTTACCTTCCTCGCTCTTTCCCTCAACCGTCTTCCCCACACACTCCTCCCCCTCCTTCCCTCCCTTCTCCTCTGTCCCCTGCTGCCCCCCAGCAGCAGCAGACGGGCTCCGAACCACTGGCCCTCCCTTCTTACCACTCCCAGACCTACTCAGTCCGTCCGGACCTGCCCCGGACCTGTCTCGAATTCCCGTACCTGGCGAAGGCATACCGGTAGTAACATGGCCAGAGGATGACACCACAATTACATTTGAAGCCATGATCTGCGCACTTGCCCCACTCCCCCTACCCGCCCCAGGCCCTGCTGCTGCTGTCCCTCTCCCTTGCATTCCCCGTGCCCGTCCGCCTCCCCCTACTCCCCCCACTCCCCCCACTCCCCCTACTCCCCGCCCATGCCCCGGAATCAAAAACCCTGTCCCCGCGCCCATCATATACCCTCCCACGGGTTGCCCTGCCGAGCCTACCGGAGCCATCATCGGCAGGTTCGGGATCGCCATACCTGCTCCCGGGCCTACCGGTGACGACACAGCCATGTTCACCATGCCATCCATCCCAGGCATGGTCATTTCCTCCCCTGCCCCCGAACCAGTTCCCCCAGCGCCCGAACCACCCGCCCCCGAACCTGAACTTCCAGGCCCGGCGCCAGGAATGGCGCCAGTAGCATAGTGCACCATACCTGCACCAGGAAGCCCCTGCATACCACCAGGCCCACCCCCTGGCATCTGCTGGTGCGGCAAGATATGCCCCATATGGGGCCTAACCCCTGGCCCATGCCCTGCCGGCTGCGGGTAAGAGGGGCTAAACCTAGCCTGCCCCGCTGCCCCTGGCCCACCCATCCCCCCTCCCGCCCCGCCAGGCATCCCTCCCCCTGCTGGCATAGCCCCAGGCTGTTGAGGAGGGAAGAAGCGCTGCTGCGGGTAAGCACCCGGCACTCCCGGCACACCAGGCACCCCTGCAACGCCAGGAACACCCGGGTAGTACATAGACGGGAGCATGTGGCCGGGTTGTGGAAACCCCATGGGGGGTCGCACGCCTGCTGCTGCTGCTGCCACGCCTATCGGCATTCCCCTGCCGGCCACTCCTGCTGCTGCCGCCCCAGCAGCAGAGGGGGAGACCAATCCGCCTTGGGGGGTGGTGGGGGTGGAGCCTGGCGTGGGTGGCTGGCCCTGCATGTCAAACCCTGACCCCCCCGCAGGGGCGGTGGTAAACCCATGAGGAGCGGGGGAACCAGTTGAGGGTGTTGTTCCCCCACCAATTGCCGCCCCTGCACCCGTGCCCTCCCCTGCCCCTCCTGCTGCGCCTGCCCCTGCTCCTGCTCCCCCCTTCGCCCCACCTCCTGCCGCCCCTGCTCCCGCTGCTCCCGCTGCTCCCACTGCTCCAGGCTTGCCTTTCGCCGCGGCCACTTTTTCCACCTTCACCTCCTTCTGGGTCGTGGGGTCCATGATTTTAAGTGCCCGGCTTGCCCTGGGTTGCAGCAGGGTAGAGGATTTAGGGTTTTGCATGCCCGCGAATTGAGTGCCTGCGGGTACAGTACCGTACTGGACTGTCATTCCTGAGGGGCCGTGCTGCTGGTAAGCCACAACTATGTGCTGCTGGGGCTGGTGCTGCAGCAAATGTGAAGGCTGCTGGTGTGGCATCTGCTGCTGCTGCTGTTGCTGTTGCTGTTGTTGCTGATGCTGCTGCTGTTGGAGTTGCTGCTGGGGCGGGGGAGGGGAAGGCTGGGGTCCCTGAACTTGCTGCTGCTGCAGCTGCTGCTGCTGCTGCATATGCTGCTGCTGCTGCTGCTGCGACTGCAACTGGTGCTGTTGCTGTTGCTGCTGCAGCTGCAGCTGGTGTTGGTGCTGCTGCTGCGCCTGCTGCTGCTGCTGCTGTTGCTGCTGACCCACCCCCATACCCGGCTGAGGCGACAGCCCCGCTTGGTGCAGTCCCGGATGCTGCAAGTGCGGCGGAATTCCATGGCCGTGCTGCTGTAGCGCCATGGCAGCGTGCTGCAGGTGGGGCGGCAGCTGCTGTAGCGGCCCCTGTAGCTGACCTTGTAACGGGCCTTGCTGTAGCGGGTTCGGTAACTGACCTTGTAACGGGCCTTGCTGTAGCGGATTCGGTAGCTGACCTTGTAGTGGGCCCGGCTGTAGCTGGCCCTGTAGCTGGGCCTGTAGGTGAGCCTGGGGCCCGCCAGGCATCATCAGGGGTGGGCGTATGTGGGCCGCGGGGAGGGGTTGCAAGGGCGGTTGAACGAGCGGGGGAGGAGGGGAGGGCTGTGGAGGTTGCTGGGGCCTGTGCTGCTGCTGCTGCTGCTGCTGCTGTTGTTGCTGTTGTTGCTGCTGCTGTTGATGTTGCTGTTGCTGTTGTTGCTGCAGGGAGGGTTGAATTGGTGCGTGCTGATGTGCCTGGTGCTGTTGGTGCAGCTGCTGCTGCTGCTGCTGGTGCAGCTGCTGCTGTTGTTGGAAGGGAGATGGTTGGAAACCATGCGTGCGGGCCTGCTGCTGCTGTTGCTGTTGCTGTTGTTGTTGCTGTTGCTGTTGCTGTTGCTGCTGCTGCTGCTGCTGAAGCTGAAACTGGTGCTGCCTCTGCTGCTGTTGCTGTTGCTGTTGCTGTTGCTGCCTCTGCTGCTGTTGCTGTTGCTGTTGTCTTTGCTGCTGCTGTTCTTGCTGCTGCTTTTGCTGCTGCCATGCCGTCGCTACTCCAGCCTCCCCCTTGGCCACCTGACCTTCACTTCCCACTGCTACAGCTCCACCTACGCCAGATGCGCCTGCCCCAGCTGCACCTACACCACCTGTACCAGCTGCGCCTGCGCCCCATGCGCTGATCCCAGCAGACGACAAGATCCCCGCACCCGCTCTAGGCCCACCCTGCGCCTGCTGCCCCCCTCTTCCCATCCCCCTCCCCGCCCCCCCTCCTCCCCCTGCCGCCCCTCCGCCAATCCGCCCCACAGCCGCTGCAGCCCCTGCACCCGCCGGTACCCCTACTGGTGCCCCTCCCGCTGCCCCTACTACCCCTGCTGCTGCTGCTGCTGCTGCTGCTGCTGCCACTGCTCCTGCCCCTGCGGCAACTGGAGCAGTGATGCTACCGCTACTGGTGGCGGCAGCAGGGGCGGGAGCAGGCAAAACCTGCTGAGATTCTTCTGGAATGCTGCCGCTTATAGGGCCTCTAGGCCCCGCGGCTGCTGCTGCTCCTGCTTCGCCAGACTTAGCCGCTTGCTGCTGGCGTAGCATGGCCTCGTGCCGCGCCTGATAGGGGGTTTAGAGAGACATGCGGCAGGCAGGAAGAAAGAGTACGGTTAAGGAAGAACGAGTACGGTTAGGGAAGAAAGAGTACGGTTAGGGAAGAACGAGTACGGTAAGGGAAGAAACTGTAAGTTAACGGGAAAAAGAGCCCCAATAGAGGGGAGTGGGAGTGTGCGGAGCTGGCTGGGAGGAGAGAATAAGTAGAGAAATGGAGTGAGAGAGAGAAGTAAAGCGAGAGCGAAGAAAAGAAGGCGGCGATGCTGGAGGGAAGGGGGAGGAGAGAGCGAAGGCGGAGACGGTAGCAGGGTGGGCCCAACAGTGTACCTGCTCCTTCTTCTGCTCGTCCAAACTAGGCGGTGCAGACGTGGTGCGCGGGGGAACCTGCAGCAGCAGCAGCAGCAGCAGCAGCAGAAGCAGCAGCAGCAGCAGAAGCAGCAGCAGCAGCAGAGGCAGGAGGGAGGAAAGCACAGGTGGTGAATAGACGGAGGAGCAAAGAGGAAACCGTTGAACGGGCACAGGAGCCGGAGAGAGCGAAAGGCGAACAGGTGAAAGGGCAGATCAGGGGCGTAAGGCAAGAGGGCGCAAGAGGACGCAAGAGGAGGAAAGAGGAAGCAAGAAAGGAAAGCGGAGGAAAAAAAACCGAGGGCAGGGGGAAGCGGCAGAAGAGAAGCGGAAGCAAGTGAGGGGGAGCGATAGGAGACAGAGATCACGCGATCACTGGCATGAAAGATTTGAGGCGCCTCAAAGGGAGAGGGGAGGGGGGGGGGGAGCATACAATGACAGGGCCGCTAGCGCCCATGAAGCTAGGGTTAAACGTGCCGAACTGGAGAGCCACAGGAGACACGCCGGGGGGAAGAGCAGGCGGCCCCGCTACAGCCCCAGGAGGCCCTGCTACAGCCGCAGCAGGACCAGGGGCTTTAACTGGTGGCTTCGCCCCACCCTTAGCCCCACCCTTCGCCCCACTCGCTGCCCCCTGAGCCCCCTCCTGCCCCGCGCCACCAGCTGCGCCTGTGCCTGCGCCCTCCCCTAGCCCCGCGCGTGCAGCTGACAAGAACCCTGTAAGGGACCCAGCCGGTGCTGCTGCCGAGCCTGCAGTGGAGGTTTGGGGAACAGGCGCGGAGGCCTGGACTGGCTTGGTAGTTACTGTAGTAGGTACCTTGGAGGAAGCAGCCGCGGCACCAGCAGCAGCCGCCGCTGCGAAGGACTGAGAAGGGGCAGAAACGCCCGGCGCAGACACAGCAGCAGTTGCTGCTGCAACGGCCGCCGCCGCCGCAGCCGCAGCAGCAGGAGCTGACGCAGTTGTGGCGGGAGGAGCTGCAAGCTTGGCGGCAGTTGTTGTAACTGTAGGGATTGCAGTCGACACAATGGTTGTTGCAGGGGCGGTGCTTCTACCGTCCGCCCTCCCCTGTGGCGCGGCTTCCCCTGCTTGACCTGCCGCTTGCTGCGCCCCGCTTCCGCCCACCCGCGCCTGTTGCGCCTGCGCCTGCGCCTGCGCCTGTTGCGCCTGGGAAGGTGGTGCAGCCGCGCGATTCAACGCCTGTGCGGCTCTTTGCGCGTATGACATCCCCCCAGAAGCTGCAGCCGCAAACGATATTCTCGGCGCAGGCGCAGCGGGGGGGCCTGCGCCAGGTGCGCCCGCTGCCCCTGCTACTGGCGCAGGCGCGCCTACACCCCCCCCAGCTCCGCCCGGAGCCCCAGGCCGAACTGCTGCTCCGCCTGCTGACGTGGAACGGGAGAGACCGGGGAAGGCGGAATCCGCAGGGGGAGGCGCGGATTCGAACCCTGGGATCCCCGGGCCAGACGATACATTCACCGCTGGCTGCTGCTGCCGCTGCTGCTGCTGGGTGGCGGAAGTGGCGGGGGCGTGAGGGGCGCTGGCGGAGTGGGAAAGCGGGCCTGCGCGTGCAGGCCCCGCGCCCCAGGCGGAAGGCGCGGGCGCTGCTGCTGGTGTGGGGCCGTTGCCCGCGACTGGCGCTGATCCATACCGCTGCTGGGACTGGGGTCCTGCAGAGGGCGGGAGAGGGTGAGAATAGAGCACTTACATTCGGTGGTTCCAGGAATTTGCTACCAGTCCAACTTGTTTATCTTGTGCTAAGCACACGGAAAACACTGGCTGAACATGCAGTTACTGCATCGAGCAACCCTCGCACCACCTAACAAACCAGATCCTCTGCAAACCAGATCCTCTGCAAAGTAGATCCTCTGCAAAGCAGATCCCATGGAAAACTAAAGCAACTCGGCAACGGGAGTCTAAATCCGAAGGCTATACACGGCTCTGTGGGAATATCTCCCAAGTCGAATCGAGCCTTAAGCATCCAGCCCTCAACCAAAAAAACTGTCGCAAGGGAGAAAAAAATGATGTAACTGCTGCGCGTGTACTTCCTTTCCAGTGGTGGCACGTATATCGGATAGCCAACTGTCTCTGACGCGCCGATCTGCGAGCACCTATCGTCTGGTAATGTACACGCTCTCTCTATTCACGCTAGCTATTCACGCTAGCTATTCACGCTCTCTATTCACGCTCTCTATTCACGCTCGCTATTCACGCTCTCTATTCACGCTCTCTATTCACGCTCTCTATTCTCGTTCTCTACTCACGCTCTCTCTTTAAGTTCTCTATTCATGTTCTCTCGAATCCTACCTGCTGCTCCGCGATACCCGCCGGGTCCTCCGCCCGGCCCGCCGGCAGCGCCGCCTACTCCCACTGCGCCTGCCACTCCCGCCACCCCCTGCCCGCTTCCCCGACCGATGCCGCCTCCGCCGGCGCTAGGTGTGACTGTAGCGGGGCCATTCGGGGTTCGACGGAAACTGGGGGTGGGGGGAAGCGGGATTACAGAGAGCGAACATGATTCGAGGGGAATGTAAAAAGATAAGGACATCTGTAGAGCGGCCAAGGGAACCTGTGAATAAAGGGGATTTGGGATAAGCTCGGAAAGAGCGAACAAAAGCATGAGCGATCCCTCCGCACGCGGTGGCTGAGAGATCCCTCTAGATTCCAGCAGCACGCGGTTTCGACCGTAACTAGAACGAACAACCGGCCGATCCTTTAAGTTCAACCGATTCCGTCCTGCGCGGCTGCATTCACGCGTAGCTATTGAGTTGAAAACGATTCCGGCAACGAATCACGAGGATGCGTGGACGAGCCGATCACACTCCGTGAGAGTAAGGCACACCGTTGGCAGATCACGAGGATGCGTCGACGAGAGCAAGGTACGCCGTTGTCAGATCACGAGGATGCGTAAACGAGCGTAAGGTGCACCGTTGGCAGATCACGCCCGATGACATCGTACGAGGTGACTTGTGAATCGACTCAGAACTCTACTCATTCCATACGAATAAGGTACGCCAATCGACAGATCACGAACGGTCGTCAGATCACAGACAGTTGTCAGATCAAGTCAAGTCGATGTGTCTGGCGTTATTCGTTAGATCAATGATGGATCAGACAGACTAATTGCCTTGAAGAGGTCACGGATTACTCATGCAACGAATTTCCCACTAAAGCGGGAATACTATCTAATCTCCCTGTACGCTCCACGAACAAGCAGCTGCTAGCTAAGCCGTGATAACCTGCAATAACCTACTATCTACAATCGGCTACGCTTTACGATACCCTACTACCTATGATCTGCTACTATCTGCAATAAGCTACTATTTACGATTAAGGCACTGCTCACGATGTGCCACTACCTACGATCAGCCTAGAGCTAAGCTACACTACACTGCGCTAAACATCGGATCACATACCCTCGTCCGACTCCTTGCGGTTGACCGCGTCCGGCTGTCGGACCGGCAGCTGAGCCGGCAGCTGAGCTCTGACCGCTACCTACGGGGCTGGGCCCCTTTCCTCCGGACGGACCCCCCTGCTGGCGAGGACCGCTCGTCCCGCCGCCTCTCCCTTTCCGGCTCGCCTGATCCGGTCTATCGGTCCTACCCGGTTGCTGGGACATCAATCTACTCGAGATTTCCCCACGAACCACCGACAGGCGGCGTGACGCCGAGCTGACAACGCCTTAGGTCGCGTATGAAGCGCAGCGACCATGAAGAACAGGAATGGTAATTGAAGATAGGATCGAGGGATTAGAAAAAGATATGAAAAGTACGATCAGGGAATAGGCTGAGGTATTTGAACCAGGCAGCAAATCCCGAGGTTTGCAGGACAAGGAAAGCAGGGCTGGGTGGGAGGTGGGGTGGTGGCGGAGGTTTGGAGCAGGGGGAGACTGTGGCGGGAGACGGAGGGACTTCGGCGCAGGAGTTTCTGCGCTGGGCGTCTTGTATCGAACAAAACCAGGGCTGGGCAGGCAGAGCGATGGAAAAGTGACGCCTGCCCGTTTTAAGAACACCAGGTGGCTGATGATCCGATGGATCAGTTCCTGGTTCTGTGGGTGCTGTCAGCAGACAGCGAAACCCGCATTTGTCCGCACCACGCTCGAGCTGGCGAAGCGGCGAATGGCGAAACTTTTTGGAGGCGCAGGGGCTGGCGAAACTTGGAACGCCAAAAGTTTCTCGAGGCAGGTCATTGGTGTGCTGACCTGCGGGCATATTCGCTCAAGGCGTGGGAGCATGCAGGAAGGAAAAGTTTGGCGATGCTTGTGCCTGGTGGTATACCCTCGCCCACGCAAACACCCGTGGCACTGCAAAAACCCTCGAGCACAGGGACCGAGCCATTCACCCTACAGGCTGATTACATAAAGCCAGTTGTTAAATGCGGATTACATAAAGTTTCTAGGCAGACCTGACGTTTCAAAACAATTTCCGAGTTATTAATTTTTAATCTACTGCTAGCATACGGGAGAATATATAAGAAAACGAGAGCTGTTTTCTATTGTATTGCAAGGCCTTACCCTTTCTAGGCAGTACGCGTTAACCCAATACGCGCTATTCATTATAATATAGCTATGTTATTGAGCGTTCACAAACGGAGCTCCGAGATGCTGGGCTGTCCGCCTAGATTGTTAGCTCCACGCTGGAATTCCGCTGCACTAGAAAGCCCTCTCTTGTCCGCCTGGCCTAGATTTCATACTGCGCCCACGTTGGGGGAGACGGAACGGGAGGGGGGAAAGGAGGCCAACCTAGATTTCATGCATGCCACTTCGGGCAGCATGGGAGTTGGTGGTTGGTTGGTTGGCCCTTGGGGTTGACAAACAAGCCACCAGCCCCCAATGCCAGTCCAGTCCAGTGCCAGAATAAGGGCGTACACCTGCGCGTACGTTTCTCGCTCAATACCCTACCCAATCGTTTCGGAACCTTCTGGCCCGAAGAGCATCTCACTCAACCACAATCAAACGTACGCGCGGAACATGCCCTAATCGCGTTTATCATTGGAGTTGTTGACAAAAGAACAGAGCAGCAAGCAGGTTATCAGATTCACCTGGACAGGCTTCCCCTGTCTACGTGTTCCTGGCATGGTCAGTAGGGCTCTGCCTGACATGAACAACGTATAATGTCGAGTTCATTCTCCCCTGAATCTTATTGAACCACCTATTCTGGATGCCATTTCCCACCTTGGAAAATGCTCCATTCTGACTAGGATGTGATAATGCCCAGGTAGCCTCACACCTCGTCCTAGCATCAAGCTGGCCTCTCGAACGTTGCAATGTCGTGAAGACAGTTCTCAAGCACATTTGTCAGAAATCGCGAATCCGCGTTTTCGCGAGTTTATTGTTGTAAGAATCCCATTTTCCCACTGCGCGTCATCGGAGCCATTTTTAAGGTTGGCTTGGTCCTACCTCATCAACATTCTGACGCCGACGTTTGCTCCTGTTCAGCATTCCAACGCTTTCGTTTGGTCCCTTTCAGCGCATACTATATCCGAGCGACCTCGCAGCAGACCCGTGCATTTGCATTCCAAATTTAACAGTCGTCTTTATTCTCTGCTCATTCTTCGTCTCAGCGTAGCCTCATTTATCATTGCTGCACCATCGGCCTGCTGTTTTACTTGATTCATCTGGCATCGCTAACCTGGAGCTTGCCTGGAAGGGACTCCTGAAAAATACAGGATCATAGGATGATAGGATGATAAGATGATAGGATAAGGCAACGGAAGGCCTGTCTAACGGATATAAGCCAGCGTCGGCAGACTGCCAGCTTAAATTCCACACATGGAGCAGCAGCGAGTGGTAGCCGCCGGCTCTCACCATCCCAGGCTGAACGGACATCCGGAGAGCGGAAAAGCAGAGAGCGGGCGAGTAGCAGGAGGGAGACGGGAGAGCAGGGCCGCTGGACCACGGAGGAGCGCCAGCGGGCTGTCTCTTCATTCTGCCGCGTCCGCTGCTGCTTCTTCCGCTGTTGTTGCTTCTACCGCTGCTGCTGCTTCCGCTGCTTCTTCCGCTGCTGCTGCTTCCGCAGCTGCTGCCGCTTCGGTTGCTGCTGCTTCCTCTGGTGTTGCTGCAGCTGGCAGGATGAATGGAGAGCGGGGCGTAGGAGAGTCGGGGGGGCCTGGCAACGGAATGGCTGGCGGCGAGGGGACAGCGGAGGGGGGGGGATCGGGTCACGGGAGGAAGCATAGCAGGGTCTCGACCATGACGCACTTGCTGGACTCTGAGGTACGGGATGGTTGCGTTTGAGTCGAATCAAAAGCGAGGCGACAGGGGAAGGGGAAGGGGATGGGGGGGGGGGGGGTCGGGTCATGGGAGGAGGCATAGCCGAGTCTCGACCATGATGCACCTGCTGGACTCTGAGGTAAGGGATGGTTGCGTGGTTGATCACAAGGGATGGTTGCGTGGTGACTTTTGAGTCGACTCAAAAACTCAAAAGTCATCTCGGGTCAAATGGGAGGAAGCACAGCAGAGTCTCGACTGTGACGCGCTTGCTAGGGATGGTTGCACGGTTGATCCCATGGGATGGTTGCGTGGAAGGTTCTGAAAAGGTGGTCGAACGCGGAAAATAGTAGTGGTACTTGAGCTCCAGGTGTAGTTTGACCCGCCATCCCCCTCTCCTCTCCACCTCCTGCAGATAGAGGCGGATATGGCTGGCAGTAGGCTCGGACGGCGACTCAGAAGTTACCTGCACTGCGCCCTCTTCTTCTGCCCTTTTCCTGTCACCACCACCCTCGTCCATCCAGACTCCCTCCAGACCAGCGGCTTCAGCTAGAGGCGTACATACACGGCTCGGGAGTTGGCTCGGCAGGAGAACTCTGGGTCGGCTCGAAAGCCATCTGCTCGTTTTTCCTTCCCTTGGTTGTTGACCCGCCACCCCCCCCTCATCCCTTCAGCTGCTGCAGCTAGAGGCGGACATGGCCCACGAGTCAGCTGGGCAGGAAATGTGACTCGACTAAAACTCACTCCCGCCCTTCCTTTGCCTTAGTTCCTATCCTCTCATGCCACTCCTTTCACCAGCTGCTGCAGCTAGAGGCGGACATGGCCCACGAGTCAGCAGGGCAGGAAATGTGACTCGACTAAAACTCACTCCCGCCCTTCCTTCGCCTTAGTTCCTATCCTCTCATGCCACTCCTTTCACCAGCTGCTGCAGCTAGAGGCGGACATGGCCCACGAGTCAGCTGGGCAGGAAATGTGACTCGACTAAAACTCACTCCCGCCCTTCCTTTCGCCTTAGTTCCTATCCTCTCATGCCACTCCTTTCACCAGCTGCTGCAGCTAGAGGCGGACATGGCCCACGAGTCAGCTGGGCAGGAAATGTGACTCGACTAAAACTCACTCCCGCCCTTCCTTTCGCCTTAGTTCCTATCCTCTCATGCCACTCCTTTCACCAGCTGCTGCAGCTAGAGGCGGACATGGCCCACGAGTCAGCTGGGCAGGAAATGTGACTCGACTAAAACTCACTCCCGCCCTTCCTTTCGCCTTAGTTCCTATCCTCTCATGCCACTCCTTTCACCAGCTGCTGCAGCTAGAGGCGGACATGGCCCACGAGTCAGCTGGGCAGGAAATGTGACTCGACTAAAACTCACTCCCGCCCTTCCTTTCGCCTTAGTTCCTATCCTCTCATGCCACTCCTTTCACCAGCTGCTGCAGCTAGAGGCGGACATGGCCCGGGAGCTGGCTCGGCAGGAGAAGCTGGCAGACGTCATCGCCATTGCTGGGGGCGACATGCCGCAGCTGCCAGTGCAGGTGGGTGGGACTTTGCGTCAGTGGTTTGAGAGGTGCGTCAGAACACATAGGAGAAGCTGGCAGACGTCGTTGCCATTGCTGGGGGCGACATGCCGCAGCTGCCAGTGCAGTGCAGGTGGGTGGGACTTTGCGTCAGTGGTTTGAGAGGTGCGTCAGAACACATAGGAGAAGCTGGCAGACGTCGTTGCCATTGCTGGGGGCGACATGCCGCAGCTGCCAGTGCAGGTTGGTGGGACCTGACTGAAATCTATAGCCATGACGAAACTGGCAGAAGCCACTGTACAGGGAGACATGCTGCAGCTGCCAGTGCAGGACAGTGAACCATGTTGGTGCGTGTAACTCTTTTCCGCAGGTACAGGCATGCAGGCAGACGGCAATGGCAAGCCTGGGGACGACATGCCGCAGCAGCTGCCAGTGCCGGTGGGTGAGCTGTGGTGGGGGAATCACGCTCATTGCTGCTAGAGGGGGCTTTGCCTAAGCTCTGTTGGAATGCTGACGCATGTAACCTCGTCACCCCCGCACCTCCTCCCCCCCCCACTCCCCCCTCCTCCTCCCCAGGAGCTAGGGGACAAGGAGGAGCGGCAGCTGCACCAGGGGGTGAACGTGTGACCTTCTCACAACTCCCCTATCCTACACTTTCTCCCTCCCCCGCCTTCCTCACTCTCCCTCCACCCCCTTCCCTCGCCCCCCAACCCAGGAGCTAGAGGACAAGGAGGAGCGGCAGCTGCACCGGGAAGTTACCCATTTGGGCGGCGAGCTGCAGTCGATGCGCCGGGTGCTGCTGGACCTGAACGTGGAGAGCTACAACGCAGAGATGGCTCTGGAGCACGTGCACTGGCAGGTGGACTCGTTTGACGCCGTCAAAGCCATGCACAGCACGCAGTTCCACCTGTGAGTCGCCTTGGGTTGGGATGTACACTGCACAGCACACAGTGTAAGGAAAAGGCAGAGAACTTTTGAGATTTATGAAAAATCTCTCGGCAGAGAATGAGCGCGTGGAAAGCTTCGACCTGTTTGGCCTTCCCATTACTCTCATGCGCACAAGCCGCACCCCTGTTTTCTCCCGTCCTTGCTGCCCTCCCCTACTGCAGCCTGCAGCTCATGGCACAGGTGGTGAAGGACCTGCTGCCGGTGGAGAGGGCTGAGAGCGAGCACGTTGACAAACTCCCTCCTGTCTGGCCTTCTGCTCTCTATTGCTCACAAACCTCACACGTGTGTCTCCCCATGCCGATTCTCTCCCTCCCCTGCTGCAGCCTGCAGCTGATGGCACAGACTGAGGTGCTCAAGGACCTGCTGCAGACGGAGAAGGCGGAGAACGAGCACGTCGACAGCTTCGTCCGCCTCGCCCTAGCCGACCTCGAAGCCAGCGGGCCCAACAGCTTCCTCCTGGAAGCTTCTTCGGTGGACCTGTTGGAAACCCTGACTGCCTGCTACATCAACCAGGGGTCCGGCTACACCCCCCTGGCTCGGATTAGTGGCATGGGGTTTGGTGCTGCTACAGCCGGTGGGGAGGGGGGATTGTGGGGGAGTGGCAGAAGGAGCCGGCGGGAGCAAGGGGGACAGTCAGGGGAGGGGGGAGTGGGGCAGGAGTAGGGGGTGGGGGGGGAAGTCGAGAGGAGGAGGGAGGGGTGTGGAGCGGTGAGGGAGGTGGGGGATTATGGAAGGGTCTCCCCACGGGCCCTCCAGGGCATGGGGATGAGGAAGAGGAGGAGGAGAATGAGGAGGAGGGGGAGAGGGGCCGTTATGGACATGGGCATGGGGGGAGGTATCATGGGGATGACAGCGTAGCTGCAGGGTCTCGGGGGGGTGGCAGCGGCAGGCGGAGCAGCAGCAACGCCAGCAGCAGGAGAGTTGCTCGCTCGCACAGCACCAATTCAGCTGGCCTTCTAGGTGGAGCCAGCAGGAGCGGGCACACAGACCTGGGGTCAGGGTTTGAAGGCGAGGGGGAGGGCTCATCTGGGGGAGGCAGTCCTGCTGCAGGGATTGGGGGCCAGGGGGCAAGAGCGGGTCTCGCTTTGGTGTCTGAGAGGGTTAAGTCTCGAAGTCTGCGCCGCCACCGCAGCAGACACTCAGACGATGGGTTCGATCCGAGCCGTCTGGGCGGCAGCCCGGGCCGCTACAGTCCAGGGCATGCCGCCCTTGAGCTTGTTGGTAGTGGGTCGCCGCCCCTGGGGTCTAACTCTCCGCCCCTCGCTTCTCGCTCGTTCACCCACCATGGGGGTGCGGCTAGCAAGCTGTCTCAGGAAGGACCAGGGGGGACGGGAGGGGGGTACGCTGATGATGACGATGATGGATCAGTAGGCAGTGAGGATGAGGAGGAGTATCAGCGTCTACTGGGACTGGAAGGCTCAGAAATGCAGCAGCAGCTCCTTGGTCAGCAGCAGCAGCAGCAGCAGTCGTTGGTTCGCCGCTCAGCCACGGCACCGATCAAGACTCTCAGGTCCGGAGCCTCCCCGGGCCTGACGGGAGGCTTGGGAAGCACGAAGGAGCGGGAGGTGCGGAAGAGTGGGTCGGACGAGGCGGAGGAAGGGGGGAGGGGGAGGAGGAGGACAGGGGGGGGAGGTACCGTTCTGCCTGTGATGTCAAGGCTGTTGGACCCGGATGGAATACTGCAGCCTCACGAGAGCCACCTGGGAGAGTCTTCTCTGAATGCTTCTCCTGCCCGTTCAGGCGATCCGTCCTTGGATCCGATGGCCCAGGTCAGTCGTTGCTTCTTGCACCCTCCCTCTGTATTTGCTGTTTCTTCGCATTTTCGCTGTTTCTTTTCTTTTTTTCGCTTCTGCTGTGTCTCTCATTCTTCCCTTGTCCTCCACTGTGGTTATTCCTTAACCCCCCTCCCCTCCCCCAGCTCCCTGGTCTCACTCCCAGCATGCTGCTCTCTGCCAGCCGCAGCCCCGACCGGCCCCGCCCTGCCCCCCGCCCGCGCCCCCCTATAAGCAAGTTCGCCTCGTCCCCCACCTCGGCCCTCAATAGCAGCGCTTCCCCATTCAGTAGCAGCATTGCTGGCGTGGGGGCTGATAGGCCCTCCGCTGCAGCTTTAGGGGGAGCAGGAGCGCCAGCACCAGGAGCAGGGGGAGCAGGGGGAGCAGCAGGGCCCTACCCCTCACATGAACCCATGCCCAGTGCTATTCCCAGAACCCGCTCCGCCGGACCTGACTTCCTGGAACAATGCTCGGCCGGGGCTGGAGGTCCGGTAGCCGGGCTTGCAAAGGCAGAGAGGTCTAGAGAGAGACCGCGGAGCGGCAGTGGGGGGAAGGGGGAAGGGGGGGGGGCTAGAGGGGGCAGCAGCAGGGCGGGCTCGTGGGGGTCTGCAGGGTCGCTGGGGGAGCTCATGGGGGAGGAGGACTTAGAAGCGTTCATGGATTATGAAAGCCAGGGGGGGTCAGGTACGGATGTGAGGAGACGCACCAGGGCAGGCAGAGGGGGGGTGCTGGGGGGAGAGAGAGCGGGCGGAGGAGGAGGAGGGGAGGGTGGAGGTGGAGGGAGGGAGGGGGCAGTGCGAAGGGAGAGATCGTTAGGGGAGATTTTTGACTCGGTGGTGTCGTCGAGTGAAGCTGAGATGGCGGATAAGCGGAGGGACAGGTGGCGCCGATCCAAGGACAAGATCCTACGGTCGAAAGGCCGCAGGAGTGACAAGGCTGGAGCTGCTGCTGCTTCTGCTGCTGGTGGTGCGTCTGGTGCTGCTGGTGGTTTTGGAGGGAAGCATGACAAGGCGCACGGCACAGAAGCCGATTTCTATGATGAGTTTGATGAGGTTGACACAGGGGCGGAGGAGGGCAGGCGCCGGCCATCTATGGCGTCAGTTGACTCCCTCAGTCGCTGGAACTCTGTCCCCGATGACTGGATCGACTTGAGCGCTCCTGCTGCTACTGCTCCCGCTGCTGCTGCTGCCGAGCAGGCAGATCAGCAGTGGGATGGGGAGAGGGAGAAGGCTGGCACGGCCATTACTGCAGCAGCAGTGGCTGCAGCAGCAGAGGGCAGTCCTGGGGAAGAGCTGTTAACAGTGGAGTCGGCCCCGGCCCTATTTGTGGGGTTCCAGGCCGGGGCAGAGGATGGTGGGCTGGATAGTAGCAGCAGGAAACCCGTGCCCGTGACAGGGGTGGGTCTGACAGGTCTGGGGCCGGAGGACGGGCGGCGTACTGCGTCTTCTTCACCACCATCAGCAGCAGCAGCTGCAGCAGGGGCTGGCCCAACATCAAGCTCTGCAGCAGCTGTAGCATCAGCATCAGCATCAGCAGCAGGAGGGGGAGCAGGAGGAGGGGCAGCAGCAGCAGCAGCAGCAGTTGGAGGGGGGCCAGGGCTGTCCTTATCAGTGAGTCGAACGCGGTCGGCGGAGGGGGCTCGAGCGCCAGTGGTGGGGCACAGGAGCGCACGGAGCATCTCCGATATGCCGCCCCGCATCCCCCGCACCGTCTCCCTTGCCGATGAGACTTCTGGGACCTACGGTGGTGGTGCTGGGTCTGTGCCTGCCGGGGGTTCTGCTGCTGCTGCTGCAGGTGGTAGTGGCGCCGGTGCTGGTGCTGGTGCTGCTTCGGCTGCGTATATCCGATCGAGTGGATTGAGAAAGGCACTGGCCAAGTCCATCTCGCAGAAGCTCGCTCGCAACAAGGTGGGTGAGGAGAAGCAGGATAACTCTTTCCTTGGATTTTTTTTTGATTTTTTTTTTTCATAACCTGTTATTATTGCTTTTGTTTTCCTGATCATCTCCCATGATCCCGACTTCCCATGCATCCCCATGCCAACAAATACCACCTCTCTCCCTCCCACAGACCTAGACACCCTCCCGTACCACCACCTCCAATACCACCCCCTCCGCCACATCCACCAACACCCCGCTCACGCTCGAGCTGGAGGACCTCCGGGTCCGCCCCTGCGAGCTTTCAGAGGAGATGCTGCAATCCATTGGACCCTTCCACCTCTCCCACTGTTCTTGTTTCTCTTCATTTCCCTCTAAGTTCTAACCCCCATTGTCCTTTCTTCCCATGCCAACAACCACCACCCCTCTATCTCCCCCCACAGACCCGCACACCCTCTCGCACCACCTCCAATGCCACCACTGCCACTACCTCCGCCTCCACCCCTCTCACTCTCGAGCTAGAGGACCTCCGAGTCCGCCCCTGCGAGCTGTCAGAGGAGATGCTGCGATCCATCGGCGCCATCTACCTCTCCCACGCTTACCCCGCCCTCTGGGGTGCAGGGGAAGGCCGCAGGGCCGCGGCTCTGCTAGCTTCCGAGCAGAAGCGGGTGGCGACTGACGAGAAGATCGAGAAGATCCTCGATCCGACGGCTCTCGAGGTGCTCGCGGTTTCGTCTCGTAGTAGCCCGGGCGGGAAGAAGGTGGGCGGCGGGGTGCGGACGAGGAAGAAGTCGGAGGATCCGTGGGATGTGGTGGCGGCTGCGCTGGGCAGTGTGGGGCCGGGGGGGGCAGGGGGAGGCGAATCTGGTGCAGGTGGTATCTGTTTGTCGCCGCAGCCTATCACTGGGTCTGGGTCGGGGTCAAGCCAGGGGGAGACGGGAGGGAGCGGTAGCCCTCAGTATTACTCTCAGTCCCACTCCCAGCACCAGCAGTACCAGCAGCATAGCCCTCTGTCGCCTGGCAGCAACGCCACAACACCCTCAGCAGCAGCAGCAGCAGCAGCTGCAGGTTCACCAGTCACGGCATCTCCCTCTGTCACCTCCTCGCCCTCCTCCTTCTCCTCCCTCGCCTCTGCCTCCTCCCTCCCCTCCTCGTCCTCCTCTCTCCCCTCCTCGTCATACTCCAGTATCAGGAAGGGCGAGGCAGGCTCCCGCTCCCGAAGGGCGTCAGGGGCAGCAGCAGTCCCAGCCACCCCCCGCACCGCCTGGCTCCGTGCCTCCCTTGCTGTCTTCCAGAACGCAGAAAAGTGCGGGGGGGCAGGAGGGGTAGGGGGTGGAGGAGGAGGGGGAGAGGTGGGGGGGTATGGGGATGGGCTGGGGGGGGAGCTCGGGGGGATAGCAGGGAGTGGGGCGGTGGCAGCAGGGCTGCAGTATTCGGCAACGAGGAGTAACAGCTATGGCAGTGGGAGTGGGTACGGCAGTAGTGGCAGCTTTAGAGGCAGTACTGGCGCTGGTGGTTCCGGTGGTGGTGCTGGTGGTGCTGCTGGTGGTGCCGGTGGTGGAGGTGGTGGTGCTACTGCTGCTGGCGCTGGGGCAGCAGGGGCGTTGTTCAGCTCAGCAGCAGACCCTTCTTCCATCACTCATGCCAGCACCGACCACCACTCGTCTCACACCATCACTCGAACCTCCTCCACCCCTGCCTTCCATACAAGCGGCCCCTTTACAACCCCAGCATCATCATCCGCAGGGGCAGCAGCAGCCTTCCCCGCATCCTCCTCCCCTTTCCTTGCCACGCCCGCTGCGCCCATGGGGGGGGGAATAGCAGTGGGGAGTGCGGCGAACACTGTGGAGGGGTTCGTGGACCCCTATGGGGTGCTGGAATTCCACCCCTGCCCGCCCGTGGGGGCGTATGGAGCCGCCATGGAGGTCACTGCGGTGCCGAGTGATGACAAGTACAGCAACGTGGACATCTTCTCGCTCTGCAGATACCGGTGGGTGCTTGCTTCCTGCTCGCTCTAGAGAGCGCAGGTTTGCCTGGGAAGGAACTGCCATGCCGTGGCAGTGACTGACTGCTGTGCCGAGTGACGGCAAGTACGGCAATGTGGACATCTTCTCGCTCTGCAGATACCAGTGGGTGCCTCCGTCTCATTCCAGAGGACCCGTGCTCACCCGTAGGGGCATGTGGTGCAGCTCTCTAACTTGTTCTCCTCGTATCTCTCTGAGCACGAGAAGCCTGCCTTCTGCCTCGCACGCCCCTGCTGCTGCATCCACTTCCCCGTGCTTCTCGCCCCTTTCCCCCCTCCCTTCCTCCTCTCCCTCCTCCCACTGCCTCTCTGCACTAGGATGTTAGCAGCACAGCTCTCTGACAAACTTACTCGCTCCCCCTCTCGCCCTGCTCCCCCTGCCCCCCCTGCTCCCCCGCTCCCCCTCTCCCCCTGCCCTCCCTCCTCTCCCTCCTCCCACTGCCTCTCTAAACCAGGATGCTAGCAGTGCAGCTCCCTGACAGATTTACTCCTTCCCCCTCTTCCCCTGCTCCCAACGCTCCCTTTACCAGAATGGTGGCAGAGCGGCTGTCTGACTTGGACCCCGCCTACCTCTCTGTACCCATTTTTTTCCGTCCCCCCCCCCCCTGCTCCCACCGCTTCCTTTACCAGAATGCTAGCAGAGCAGCTCTCTGACCAATTTACTCCTTCCCCCTCTCCCCCTGCTCCCACCGCTCCCTTAACCAGGATGCTAGCAGAGCAGCTGTCTGACTTGGACCCCTCGTACCTCTCTGAGGACGAGAAGCTCCCCCTGTGGCTGAACCTCTCCCCCTGGCCCCTATGACTCCCTGCTACCCCCTCTCTCTGCACCAGGATGCTGGCAGAGCAGCTGTCTGACTTGGACCCCTCGTATCTCTCAGAGGATGAGAAGCTCGCATTCTGGCTCAACCTCTACAACGCCCTGCTGCTGCATGTGAGTTTGGCTCTGACACCCCTGCTACACGTGAGTTAAACCCCAACCCTTTACCCCTGCTGCTCTTGAGTTAAACCCCGAGCCTCAACCCCTGCTGTGCGTGGGTGAACCCAAACCTTAACCCCTGCATTTCCCCCCTCTGCTTTACCCTGCCTCTTCCAAACCCTACCTCCCTCCCACCCCCCATTCCAGTCGTTCCTCATCAACGGGTATCCCACAACACACAAATGCTTCCCCCCCCTGCCTGCTTGAGTCTTTCTGCGCACCTAACACTGCTCTTCCATGGCCCTACCTCACCCCCCCCCCCCTCATGGCCCTACCTCACCTCCCCCCCCTCATGGCCCTACCTCACCGCCCCCCCCTCATGGCCCTACCTCACCCCCCCCCCCCTCATGGCCCTACCTCACCTCCCCCCCCCTCATGGCCCTACCTCACCTCCTCCCCCTTCATGGCCCTACCTCACCTCCCCCCCCCTCATGGCCCTACCTCACCTCCCCCCTCCTCATGGCCCTACCTCACCTCCCCCCCCCACCATGCCAGTCGTTCCTCATCAACGGCTATCCAACAACGCACGCCAAGCGCATCTCCATGCTCAGTCAGGTAGTGCCTACTCTTGGCCAGTGCAGATTGGCACAACCATGTCCTCATCTGCTCTGCCCAAGCGTGAAGGGCCCTTATTTCGTTCTCTTGCACGTCGTTCTCTTGCACGTCGTTCTCTTGCACGTCGTTCTCTTGCATGTCGTTCTCTTGCATGTGGTTCTCTTGCATGTCGTTCTCTTGCATGTCGTTCTCTTGCATGTCGTTCTCTTGCATGTCGTTCTCTTGCACGTCGTTCTCTTGCACGTCGTTCTCTTGCACGTCGTTCTCTTGCATGTCGTTCTCTTGCATGTCGTTCTCTTGCATGTCGTTCTCTTGCAGGTCGTTCTCTTGCATGTCGTTCTCTTGCATGTCGTTCTCTTGCATGTCGTTCTCTTGCATGTCGTTCTCTTGCATGTCGTTCTCTTGCATGTCGTTCTCTTGCATGTCGTTCTCTTGCATGTCGTTCTCTTGCATGTCGTTCTCTTGCATGTCGTTCTCTTGCATGTCGTTCTCTTGCATGTCGTTCTCTTGCACGTCGTTCTCTTGCATGTCGTTCTCTTGCACGTCGTTCTCTTGCACGTCGTTCTCTTGCATACACTCACCCTTATTTTCCTCATCACCCTCGTCGCACATGTTCCGCAGTTCGTGTTCTGCGTCTCCATCTGCTCTCGTTCTCATGCCTTCCTTCCTTCCTTCCTTTTGAGGCCGAGTTTCCTTTAAGGCGTCTCAAATGCAGACACACTTCAACTGCAGACACCCTCGCCAACTCTTTCCTCCCTCTATTGCCTTGTCTTTGCTTGCTCAGGCCACGTTCATAATTGGCAACCTTCCCATCAACGCCCTTGAGATTGAGTTTGCTGTGCTTAGGGCACCCACCTACCGATCCTCTCTGGTACGCCCTCATTCCCATGCTCCAGTCGCCCTTTTCCCTACGATGGCCCTGAGGTGGGTTGATCGCTCACAGTGGGGTTCTGAATGCGTCAATTCAACCTTGTCTGTCCCATCCACCCCTTATCTGCAGGCCAAGGCACTCAAGAGCCGCCCCTTTGCCTATGACGACCCCAGGGTGGCATGGGCGCTCACAGTGGGGGAGCCGAATGTGTCCTTCGGCCTCTGCCCCGGCAGCTTCTGCGCTCCTGCGGTGAGTTGTTGTCTGCACCATCCTGTCCCAGATTCCCAGTGCATATGTTGTTGTCTGCACCATCCTCTCCTGCGGTGAGTTGTTGTCTGCCCCTTGTTGTCTGCACTTGTTTCTCCGTAGGTACTACTTGACCTGCTTCCCCTTAGCCTTCCCAGTTGTGGGTGCACCGCCCTTATTCCCACTTGGCATGTTTCCTCTTCCCCTTATACCCATTCCGCTTGATTCCTCTACCCCGCATAACCACTTGCCTTGCTCGCCCTATCCTTCCCAGCTGCGGGTGTACTCTGCCCGCAGCGTCCATGCCGAGCTGGAGGAGGCAAAGGATAACTTCCTGGAAGTTGCCATCGGCATGAGCCGCGATGACCGGATTATCCTCCCCAAAATTCTCGATTGGTGGGTGCCTCCTGTCTAGCACACACAACCCCGGTGTGGTGACACGTTTGTGCATAAATCAGTCACTCAGATTCTCCACATTCCCCCAGTTACCCCCATTGTGTGAAAAAGATTCCACATTTGGTGCCCCCTCGCTTGTTTTTTTTCATTCCCCCAGTTACCTCATTCGTCTCACTTCGTTATTCTCCATGTCCGTTTTCAGGTACTGCCCTGATTTCTGAGATGACTTTTGAGTCGACTCAAATCAAAAGTCATTCGTCTCACTTTGTCATTCTCCATGTCCCTTTTCAGGTACTGCCCTGATTTCACGGATTCTCTGCCTGCTCTGCTGGAGTGGGCCCTCAACCAGTTGCCGCCCGCCCCGCGTGTTGCCATTGCCAAGCGCATGGCTCAGAAGCGCAACCCGACAATAGAGCAGTGTGTCGAAGTGGCTTCCTATGACTGGTCCTTCCGATATTTATTGGACCCAAGGTCACTCACGATTGGCTCCGATTCGTTCTAGCTTCACAAGAAGCTACATTGTTTTATCACATATTTGCCTCCTGTCTTATGGGGAACTTTTACCAGAATATATATACAGGGATGCTATTTATAGCTGTTGTGACGGATTAGTGTACACATTAATCCGCGTTATACGAGCTCATTGCCTCGATTCACGGCTGCTTGTCAGGAAAGACGGCTCGTTTAGGTCAAGCAAAACTGTTCACAGTTCTGGCGGGAATCAGGAATTGGTATTTTCGGAAGGTAGCCAAATTCTATCTTTATTCATTAATTTATTGCGTCAAATCAGTCATTCCTTCTTCTCGCTTTCTCCTCAGACTTGATCCTAAAGCGGGTAGGTCGACCAAGCAGCGCATTTCATTCCGCCGATTTTCAATACTCGGCTTCGTGGCTCATCATGCGCTTTGGTAGACATTGCCGTTCCGCGGCTGCTAGGAGTGCCGATTCACGGCGTCCCTGAACCCCCAGCCCGTCGCACGTTTGTTAGCACGAGTGTTGACCCGGTCCGTCGCCTAACATCCTCGAAGTATAAAGTCCCTTCACATCCCTTCAGTCGACTCTAGATTGGGCCCTTTCTCCACTTATGGAACCGACTCACATGTTGCAGATTCCCATGCGCAATCATCTCAAATGCTCACCGCACGTCGTCTCGCTCCCTCCCTGCTGGTGACAAACCCTCGCTCCGTACTCTGGGGCGACGTCATTCGGAATGACCCTCCGAGCCAGCGGTACACGGCTCGTCTCTCTTCTCCGCATCCTCGTCCTCCTTCAGCTATCGGCCCATTCGTCTCCTGTCGCTCTTTCAAGCGATCATGCGACTCCCTCTGCATCTGACGAAGGTTCCTTCCGCGCATCTTCCTCACCCGCCAGCCACGATGGCAGCAGAATCATTCCCAGCAGCAGCAGCGATTGGACAGGCGACGATAGCAGCGGTAGCAGGAGGAAGCTGATTGGTCGAGCTGGTCGCGGCCGAGGAGCTCTGGGAGCGTCAGGATCGGAGGTGGTACTCTGGGAAGGTTCATCTGGGGAGCAGTCCAACCGTCTGCAGAGGCCCGTGAGCGCTGATCAATCCACGACTGCTCGAATCAACGGTGCAGATCTCTCCGTTGTCTCCCTGGGGTTCCATGCAGGCAGTGAGAATGGGGGGGGGGAAAGAGGGGGAGGATGTGCAGGAGGGGGTTGCCCGGATTTTTCACCCTGTTCAGGTGCCTTGGGGCAGATTGAAGCATGCTGGAACAAAGATTTTGAGGATTTGCTGGAGCAGACGCCGCCCGGGCAGCAGATAAAGTTTCCTGCATTCTGCCCGGAGATTCCGGAGGAGCTCGAGATGACCAGGATCGTCCCTGCCCAGTGCGCAGATGCGGTTTTGGAAATGAAAAAATATAAACAGGAGCAGGGAGAGTGGCCTGACTCGCTATTGGTGGAGATTCCAGATACGGCCAGCCCGAAGGAATGGTCCGGGCAGCTTTTCCGGCTGCAGAACGTGTTTGTGAACTCAAGGGGCCAGGCGTTCAACCAGACGCACCTGTTTAACGCTGGCAGGTGCAGCGATGGCCTGGCGGATGTGGGTAACTCGCTTTTCCCCCTGCTTTGCCTTTCATTCCTCATCCCTCCGTCCTTTGGCATCCCACCCACTTCGTCCCTGGCCCCCCTCTGTCTCTCATTCTTGATGCTGTTCCTTCACTAGCACGTCTCCCACTTGACTTTTGAGCAACTCTTTCGCTCTTAAACCCCCTCCCCCCCTCCCCTCCCCCCCTCCCCTCCCCCGCTCCCCTCCCCCCCTCCCCTCCCCCGCTCCCCTCCCCCCCTCCCCCTTCCCCCCAAATCGCCCCCCCTCTCAGTTCGACTACCCCCCCGGCACACGCTTTGCCTCCCTCCCCTCCCTCCTTAACCTGCTCTCCGCGGCCCGCTCGCCCTCTGACGTGGTCTTCTCGGAAATGGCGGAGAAGCTTCCTCTCTTCCTGTCGCTGGCGCCTGCCATGCGGCTGCTGAGAAACACACCTGTGGCCGTGCAGAACAGGAAGGTGAGTAGTTTTGAGGCGCCTCAAAACTAGACACCTGCAGCCGTGCAGAACAGGAAGGTGAGGGAGCGGAGTGGGGCTTGCTGCGCTTGCCTTGCTTGTTTCTGCAGAAACAGATGCGCACATAGAGTGTTGACCGCAGCAACAGATGTGCACACTTGTTGCTGCTGCGAAACACACCTGCTGCCGTGCAGAACAGGAAGGTGAGTAGTTTTGAGGCGCCTCAAAACTAGACACCTGCAGCCGTGCAGAACAGGAAGGTGAGGGAGCGGAGTGGGGCTTGCTGCGCTTGCCTTGCTTGTTTCTGCAGAAACAGATGCGCACATAGAGTGTTGACCGCAGCAACAGATGTGCACACTTGTTGCTGCTGCGAAACACACCTGCTGCCGTGCAGAACAGGAAGGTGAGGGCGAGAGGGGGACTAGTTTTGAGTCAACTCATCAGCACAGAAACAGTGAGAGGCTTTCCGCTCTTCCTCTCTTCCTGTCGCAGGCGCATGCCTTGGCCCTCTGTTGAGAAACACACCTGCTGCCGTGCAGAACAGGAAGGTGAATAGGGAGAGTAACTTGCTTTGAGGCGCTTTAAAATGAAACACACATGCACCCATGCACCCATGCAACCATGCAACCATGCACCCATGCAACCATGCACCCGTGCACCCATGCAACCATGCACCCGTGCACCCATGCACCCATGCACCCATGCACCCATGCACCCGTGCACCCGTGCACCTGCTGAGACACAGCTGTTTCTGTGCAGAACAGCAAGGTAAGAGAGTCTTTCACTCGTTCCTCTCCCACCTTTTTCTCCTCCCATCTCCCATCTCCATCTCCCCTCTCCCATCTCCCATCTCCCATCTGCCATCTGCCATCTGCCATCTTCCATCTGCCATCTGCCATCTGCCATCTGCCATCTGCCATCTTCCATCTTCCATCTCCCACCTCCCATCTCCCACCTGCCATCTCCCATCTCCCATCTCCCATCTCCCATCTCCACCTGCCACTGGTTACAAGCCCACATAACGGGAGTCTTTCCGCAGCCAGAGCTTCTCTGTCTCCCCTCGCCACTCCCGGGCTTCCTCTATCCCTGCACGCAAGCCCAACTAGTGAGGGGCATCTGCCGCTGGCAGTCAGTGATGCGGCGGGAACTTTTTTTGAGGCGCCTAAAAAAAAAACTTCCACCACATACCTTTTCATCCTCCTCTGCTTGCCCCGTTTCTTCACTCTCCCCTCCGTGCTTTTGGTGTCTCTCCCCTCAAGCCCGGCTGGTGCGGGGCATCTGGGAGTCGGTTGCGGGGCTGAAGCTCGCAGCTCATGCCTTTCATGTTTCTTTGTCTTCACCGTAAACGCCCCCCCCCCCCCCCCCTGTGCTTTTGGGGTTTCCCCCCTTGATTTTCAGCTGGTGCGGGGCATCTGGCAGTCCGTGGTGGGGCTGAGGCTTGCAGGGAGCGCCATTCACACCATGGCGTATGATTCGCTGCTCTTTGCTCGCACGCTCTACATGGTATTGAATCTGGCGTGATGCTAGGGTATGCTCAGCACTCTACATAGTATGCTCTACACTCGATAGAGTATGCTCTAAGCTCTACATAGTTTGCTCTACACTCGATAGAGTATGTTCTACGCTCTACATAGTATGCTCTACCCTCTACATAGTATGCTCTACACTCTACATAGTATGCTCTACACTCTAGATAGTGTGCTCGGCACTCTACATAGTATGCTCCACCCTCTACATAGTATGCTCCACCCTCTACATAGTATGCTCCACCCTCTACATAGTATGCTCCACCCTCTACATAGTATGCTCTACACTCTAGATAATATGCTCGGCACTCTACATAGTATGCTCCACCCTCTACATAGTGAACGTCGAAGGGGATTTCCCTCCCTAGTAAGACCGTCCTTGGGATCTCACTTACGTGTTTATGGACTGGCTCCGACTCACCCGAGCAGGGCCGGGTGCTGCCCATGCAAAAAAGACTCCAGACAAGGGGGGGCCAGCCCAAGTCGTGCCACTCCAGATGGCAGACGGTAGACGGAAGACGGTAGACGGTAGACGGAAGACGGTAGACGGTAGATGGTAGGTGGAAGGCAGTAGATGGACGACGGTAGGCGGTAGACTGACGACGGTGGCCGGTGGGTGGTGGGCGGTGGGGGGGGAGAGGGGAGGGGACGGAGGGCGGAGGGCCGTAGAGGGCAGACCCGAAACCCTATCTCCTCCAACCATATCCCCTCTGACTTCTCCCTCCCCCGTGCCCTCCCCCTCCATCTATCACTCCCCCTCTATCTGCCGCGCCCCTCCCCCAGCCGCTATTCCAGCCCTGCGGCCAGCCCAGCCCGTCTCTCCTCCGAGCCTTCCGCTCCCGCCACCTCTTCCTGCCCTCCGGCCTGCCCCTCGTCTCCCAAGAGGGTGCCTACCAGTCGCATGGCACAAGAGAAACAGGAGAAGACGGCCCGGGAGGTGAAGGAAGGGGAGAAGGAGGAGGAGAAGGAAGGGGAGGAGGAGATATAGCTGAGGAAGGAGCTGCAGGGAGGGTGGGGGTTGGGCGTTTGAGGCATGATTGGGTGGTGGTGGTGGCGGCGCCCCCGGCCCGTTTGCCCACAGTGCAAGCCGCTGCACTGGCAGCAGCGCTGCGCGCTGTGAAGTGGATACTGAAGCAGCTCTATACGGAGGAAAGAGTTGCCGTGTACAGACGAAACATGCCGTTCCATGAGGGTGAGTGGCAGGCTGTCTTTCCAGCCCTTTATTCTTAACTTTTCTCTGGGGTTTTTTTTCTTCTTCTTCTTCTTTTGGTCTCATTGTTACTGCGTTGTTTCACTGCTGCACTCGCTCCCCCTACTGTCCTCCCTCATCCGTCCAGGTTGCAACTCACCTGTTGTTGTCCCACCCCCCCACCCGTCCTGCTCCCTACACCCAGCCAGGTTGCTGACTTTTGAGACGACTTAAAAGTCACCTAGGTTGCAACTCACCTGATGTTGTCCCACCCCACCACCCGTCCTGCCCCCTACACCCAGCCAGGGCGCTGTTTCAGCGCGCTCTAGTCTTTGTTGCGTACGATAACGCCCTCGTGAACACCCTCTTCATGCCTCCCCACTCCTCCGTCATCGAAATCCGCACCAGCAGCAGCAGCAGCAGCAGCAGCGCCAGTGCAGATTCAGTGTATCCGGACGGGGGAAGGCACCTGTACCGCAACCTGGCTGTGGCCACAGGCGTGAGGCACTACCTGGTGGAGTGCCCAGAGGAGCCAGTGCAGGAGAAAACTGAGGCAGGCGCAGGGGGGAGTGCAGCAGACGATGGGACGGCCAGGTGGGGAGAGGTTGGAAGCGGTGCTGATGGTGGTGGTGATGGTGGTGCTGTTTTGGGGGTGGCTTCTTGGGAGGAGGAGGAGGAGGAGGACGGGGAGAGAGGTGGTGGTGGCTCGTCAGTGACTTTACCTCGGGGGTCCTTGGCTTGCGGTGTTGAGCGGTTGAGAACGGTTCTGGAAAGTGTTTTGCACGATGCATTTGCGTCGGGGAACTTTGACCCTAACCTCCTCGACAGGTCCGGGGAAGGATTCCGGGCCAAGATCCCAGGCAGCAGGGTCAGCCGGGCAGATATGAAAGAAAAGTTTCTGAGATGGCAGGAATGCGTGGCAGCAGAGGGCAGCTGGAAATTTGACCCGAGGCCAAGGCGGTTACCCTGGGAATACAAGGGTTTCTCGAATTACTGCGACAAGAGACACATGGCGGCTTCCCCCACTGCGGTTGTGGTCTCCAAAGCGGATCAAATCGCGGATTCTCTAATGATGCTTCCTCCTGAAGAGAGGAAGGTGCATCAGGAGGAGTGGGACGTGCGGCCCCAGCTGAAATACGTGTGGGACACGGAGGGAAAGTGTGGGTCATGGGAGGCGTTTGATGGCCGGGTGTTGTGTGATTGGGCTAGAGGGAGACGGTGGAATGGGACGGGGATGCCGTTGACTGAAGAGGAGGAGGAGGAGAGAGAAGAGGCTGCGTTTAAAGGGGAGGTGGTGCGGGAGAAAGGGGATGGGAGCGGCGGTTTCGTACTCATTATAGGCGACTCGTTACAGGAGCAATTCGTGCGCACGCTGATCAACAACATGCTTACGCACGTCAAGAAACCGGCCACTTGGGCGGTGGAAGAAACCATTCCCAAGGAATGTAGTGAGTTGATTGAGCCCGGGCATTCGAGGCACACCTACTGCCGAGACTACAGGCTCCACAGCAACGTGTGCGCCAATCTGACCGTCCGATTCATCCGTCACGACTACCTACAAATCTCCAACACCCAGATCAAATTCGATCGCGTCCCCTTCGCCCGCCTCTCGTTACTGGCCGGCGCGCGCGTGCTTATAGTGAATCGCGGTGCACACTACCGCCCGGACCGGCATTTCATCTCAGCCGTCCGTTCGGCGCTGCGATTCCTGCGAAACAAACTCCCAGACACACTTATCATCTACCGAACGACCGTGCAAGGCCACGCGAACTGCACAGAGCACGACAAACCCCTCCTCCTGCCCGGCCCCACCGATAACCTCCCTTTCTTCTGGGGGAAGTTTCACGGGCAGAATGAGCTGGCGCGGCGGGCAGTTGAGGAGGTGGGGGGCGTGTTCATGGATGTGGAAAGTATGACAGTGTTGAGGCCGGACTCGCACCAGGGGTTTATCCCGGAGCTCAACCACGAGGACTGCTTGCACTACTGCATCCCCGGACCCGAGGACCTGTGGGCACAGATGCTGCAGAACACTCTGCTGCACCTGCTGCCACAGCCTGCTGCTGCTGCTGGGTCGTCTAGATGACGATGTGCTGGTGTTGCTGCACTGCACGGCCAGAGGATCTGTGGCTCCACTGCACATGCTGCATAATGTTCTGCTGCAGCTGCTCCCACGAGGGCTGCTTAGCCGTTAGGGGTGCTGCTATCCCTGGCTCGCTCAGATGCTGCTCTATAGTACTTAGCTGTTCTAGCATGTGCTTTCTTGTAAATGGCTCGTGCACTTTGCTGTAGTACTTTGCTGTTTTAGCATGTGCTTTCTTGTAAATGGCTCGTGCACTTTGCTGTAGTACTTTGCTGTTTTAGCATGTGCTTTCTTGTAAATGGCTCGTGCGCTTTGCTGTAGTACTTTGCTGTTTTAGCATGTGCTTTCTTGCAAATGGCTCGTGCACTACTCAAGCATGCGGGACAAACAATCAACCAATCAATGAACAAATGAGGAAAGAGTCTCCTCCTGCAGGTGTGTGCCTGTCTACCACATTGCCTCGTTCCTGCATCTGCTGTGGGACGTTTGCCCAACATTTATCCTATAAGGACCATGCAGGGCTCAGTCAGCCGAGTTTGGTATGCTGGTTCCTGATCTTGCAGGGTGTTTTTTATGATTCTGAAATGTTGCTATCCAAACTCGTCTTGCAGTTCGGGGAACAGCTCTTGTAGAGAGAGTCCCCCAGCCTCTATTCTATTACCTATCTGGAGCCAGGCTATGAATCAGGCTATGGTGGGGTAGAGGGTCATTTGACCCTAGGGTGGACTCGAGAATGATCCTGTGGTTGAAGCTATGATGCTGGGGTGGAGGGTCAGTGGCTGCAACTGTTGACTTGAGAACGACTGCTTGGGTCCGGCTCGGGTGGGGAGGGCCAGTAGGAGGATGGGGAAGTGGAGGCCCGGTGGCACTTGCCACATGGGTGACTGGTACTGGAATGTTTGCAAGGCTGGATAGTTGGTGTTGGAAGGGCGGCGGGTAAACTTGGCTGGAAGGATTATTGCTGGTGTATGCATCGGGTTCTGATGGCCTGTGCTGGAAGTGCTGCTGGAAAAGCTGTTGCCGCTGCTGCACCTGATGCTGCTGCGCCTGATACTGCTGTGCCTGATAATGTGGCACTGAATGGTGGTACTGTGTTTGACCCTGCCATTCCTTCTGCTCATGGGACCCCTCTTGCAGCTGCCGTTCCTGCTGCTGCTGCAGAGATTGCTGCTGCTGTTGCTGCTGCTGCTGCTGCTGCTGCTGCTGTTGCCGCTGAACCCGCTGCAGTTGCTGCCCCTGCTGGTGCTGCTGGTTATGCTGCCCCTGATGGTGCTGCTGCTGCTGGTGTCGCTGTTCCTGCTGCTGCCGCTGCTGATGCTGTTGCTGCTGAAATTGCTGCTGCTGCGGTTGTGGCTGCAGCCATTGGAATGGTGCGTGCGGTTGTGGCTGCAGCCATTGGTGCGTCCTCCCAGGTCGCTGCAGCTTGCTCGTGTCGGTCTCTCACTCACCCGTCCCTGCTGTGGCACCACCGCTTAGGTCACTCTGCTCTCCCTCGTCTGCGTCACATGTCTCAGCACGGTCTTGTCTTAGGCCTCCCCGCGTCGCTCCCTGCCCTTCCCCCCTCGACTGCGCCACCGTGCACGCCCTGCGTCGAGGGCCGGCTCCGCCGTGCTCCTCACTCCTCCTCGCTGCACCTTGCTACTGCCCCCTTCAGACCCTGCACCTGGACGTCTGGGGCCCTGCCCCTGTCCCCGGACCACGTGGTGAGCACTACTTCCTTGTGCTCGTCGACGACTACACGCGCTACACCACGGTGTTTCCCCTCGAGCGGAAGGGCGACATGCCCGACGTTCTTCTCCCGTGGGTTGTGGTTGCGCGTCTTCACCGCGGTCTCCCCGTGTTGTGTCTCCACTCTCACCGTGGCGGCGAGTTCGCCTCTGGTCGGCTTGGACAGTTCTGTCGTGCGGAGGGCATCACCCAGTCGTACACCTTGCCGGACTCGCCACAGCAGAATGGGGTTGCTGAGCGCCGCATCGACTTGGTCATGGAGGTCGCTCGTACCTCCATGATTCATGCTGATGCTCCCCATTTTCTGTGGCCGTTCGCTGTTCGCTACACTGCTCACCAGCTTAACTTGTGCCCGCGCTCCCAGCGGCCGCAGGTTTCGCCGACCCTCCTATGGACCGGGTCCCCCGGTGACGCGTCTGCGTTCCACGTCTGGGGCTGCCTGGCTCACGTTCGTGCCTTTGGCATGGACAAGCTCACTGCCCGCACTGTCCCCTGTGTCTTCCTCGGTTTCCCTCTGGACTCATCTGATTGGCTTTTCTACCACCCGCCGTCCCACCGTTTCCTCCACTCTCGTGACGTCACCTTTGACGAGTCTGTCTCCTTCTACCATCGCTTCCCTCACCGAGGTCTCCCGGTTGCCCCCCCCCTGTTCCTTGCTCCCTCTCCCCCGGTAGCCCCTGCTCCTCTCCCGCCTCGTCCTGCCCCGTCCGGTGTCTCTCACGTCACTCCCCTCCCGTCGGTTGTCCCCGTTGAGGATTCTGCTGACTCTGGTGGTCCCCCCGGCCCGTCCTTGCCGCGTCCCCCTTCCCCGGTGTCTCCGCCTCCCCTGTCGCAGTAGCCGACTCCGCCGCAGCCGCCGCCGCTGCCGCCACCACCGCTGTCGTCGTCGTCGCTGCTGCCGCCGCTCTTGGCCTCTGGGGGTGCTGGCGTTGAGGAGGGTGTTCGTCCTGCGGCTCCTAGGGGTGCCGCTGGTGTTGGAGGGGGTTCTCGCTCTGTGGGTGTTGGTTCTGGGGGTGCTGCTGCTGAGTGTTCTGCCGGCGGTCGTCCTGCCCCTACCGGTCCGAGGGTTGCGGCCCAGCCGTCGCAGCAGCAGCAGCAGCCGTCGCCGCCGGTCTCCGCTCTCCGCCTTCTCGGCCTTCCCTCCCCTGACCGCTTGCCGGTGTCTCTCCCACCGCCTTCTGACTTTCCAGTCTACGGTCCTGTGTTCCCGCCCCCGGACTCGTCTCCGGCCCGTCTTCCTCCTCGTTCCCCTCCTGTGTCCCCTCCGCTATCTCCTGACCCTACACCTCCGTCCCACGTTTGGTCTCGCCGTCCCTCTCGTGCTCATCCCGTCTCTCCTGCCCTGCGCTCCCACCCTATGTTGCTCCGTTCCCACTCGTCTCGTCCTCCCCTCCTCCCGTCCCCTCCTCCCTCGTCGCTTGCTGTTGCACCTCCTCTGTTGTCTGACTACCTCCGTGCCGCTCGTCCCCTTGTCCCTCGGGTTCTTGCCTCTCTTGTTACAGACCCGTCTGTTCCTGTCTCGCGCCTTGACGCGCTTTTCGCTGCTGTCGCTGACTTTGCCTCTACCCGCCGCCTTGACTACGCCACCGCTCTGGTCTCTGACCCTGCCCGTCCTCCGTCCGTCCGGGGTGCTCCTGCTCTTGGCAGTGACGTTCTAGAGGACAAGCAGTACGAGCTTGCTTTCCTTTCCGAGGCCGCTCCCCATCTCTGCTCCATGCTGTTAGTCCCTGAGGGTGACCCAGACGCCTTCGACATCCTGACCCCTCGCACTTACGCTGAGGCCACCTCGGGACATTGGGCCTCTCAGTGGATAGCTTCCATGGAGCAGGAGATGGCATCTTGGAGGTCCACCGGCACTTACGTCGACGCAGTTCCCCCGCCTGGGGTGAACGTAGTCGATGGTCGGTGGCTCTTCAAGGTGAAGCGCCCCTCTGGAGAGCCGCCTATCTTCAAGGCGCGCTACGTGGCCAGAGGCTTCAGTCAGCGCGAGGGGGTTGACTTCTTCCAGACCTTCGCCCCGACCCCGAAGATGACCACTCTTCGGGCGCTGCTACACGTAGCAGCACAGCGCGACTACGAGCTTCACTCCCTCGACTTCTCTACTGCCTTTCTTCAGGGCAGCCTACACGAGCAGGTCTACCTGCGCCGACCACAGGGCTTCACTGGTACCTTCCCCCTTAGGACCCTGTGGCTTCTCAGGCGCCCGGTCTATGGCCTGCGTCAGGCTCCCCGTGAGTGGCACGACACGCTGCGTGCCACGCTAGCAGACGTGCAATTCTTTCCGTCCTCTGCTGACCCCTCGCTGTTTGTGCGTTCCGGCCAGACTCCGTTCTACATCCTTGTTTACGTAGACGACCTGGTCTTTGCTACTGCTGACAGGGACGCACTGGCCTCTGTGAAGGCCGAGCTGCTGAAGAGACACACCTGCACTGACCTTGGAGAGCTGCGTCGCTATCTTGGCCTCCAGATCTGTAGGGACAGAGCAGCACGCACCATCACTCTTACACAGTCACACTTGGTGCGTCAGGTCCTTCAGAGGTTCGGTCTTCAGTTCTCCTCCGCACAGCCCACACCTCTACCTGTAGACCATGGGCTCTTCGCTCCCGTTCCTGAGGTGCCAGTAGAGCCTAGTGGCCCCTACGCAGAGCTGGTGGGTTGCCTCATGTACCTGATGACTTGCACTCGCCCAGATCTTGCATACCCTGTCAGCATCCTTGCTTGCTTTGTGGCTACAAGCAGACACCGACCTCAGCACTGGTCTGCCGCTAAGAGGGTTTGGCGTTATCTTGCAAGTACCTCGGGCATGGGGTTAGTGCTAGGAGGACGCAGGCCAGTGGTCCTCACTGGGCACACATACGCTTCTTGAGCAGACGACTCTGAGACTCTCAGGTTGTCTCAGGGCTACTGTTTTGGCCTTGGTTCGGGTGCTATCTCTTGGAGATCCACTCGCTTGTCGTCTGTTGCTCAGTCCAGCCGTGAGGCTGAGATCTACGCTGGTGCCATGGCGGCACAGGAGCTCCGCTGGCTTACCTTCTTGCTCACAGACTTAGGTGAGCGGCGTAGCTTTGCCCCGTTCCTGTACGCTGACAACAGGGCCATGATTCTCCTGTGTCAGGAGCCTCGGCTGGAGGGCAGAGCGAAGCATATCCAGCTGCGGTACTTCCTCATGCGCGAGCGACAGCAGCGTCGCCAGGCCCGCGTAGTTCACTTGGCCTCCGGTGCCAACACAACTGATATCTTTACTCAGGCGCTTGCGCCTAAAGATCATCAGCGGCACTATGTCCAGCTTGGTCTTGTGCCTGTCGCTTCTCACTTGTTAGGACCCTGATTGTGTACTCTCTACTATTTATATCTGTCTGACTGGCCTTGTGGCCTTACCTCCAGTGGCTGGACTAGTAGTGCCGCCCTGGCTTACTTTAGTCTTGTTTGTACTCTTGCTGACTGGTCTCCGGACCCCTGCCTCAGTGGTTGGACTAGTAGTGCCACCCTGAGCTGTGTGCTTCTTGCTTAGCTCCACCCCTTATCTAGCCTAGGGGGTGTGTCAACTTATACATATGTTCTATGTAGAAGTTATAGGCTAGACTAGGTGTGTGCTTCTAGTGAGTACAACCCAACAGGTACATGTACTGGTAGGTTTCTCTTCCTAGTACATCATTCTCGCATTCTAACAGTTAGGTGTCCTACAATGGATCCTACTGTAGGGGGTACAACACCCTTCAGTATCCCTCTCTCTTCTAGTCCAAACCTCTTTTCTCTCCTCACTTTTCTCCCTAGCTAAAACCTCTCGCCATTCCCATGCCTAGCTAGCTTCTTAGCTCTTTCAACACTCTCGTGCTGTGGGTGTGGGGAGCCATTGTTTATCTGGCCGGAGCCCGCCACTGCAGCTGCTGTTGGCTTGACTACATAGTGTGCCGGAATTGCTGTGCTGCCAGGTGGAAGAAACGACGGAGGAGAGGACTGCCAGCCAGCTCAGATTATTCTCATGGTCTGCTGCAGCTGCTGCAAGATCCGGCAGCTGCTGTTGAGCCAGCGAGATGACTTTGACGGTGTGCTTGTGCGTCCTGGCTCCAGCCAGAAGCACCACTTGACCCAGTGGGAATCCGAACTGGGCTGGTTCATTGGTATATGAGTATGACTGCACTGACTGCTCTAAGCTCGACCAGGGTACATTCCTCCTTGGAGCATGCTCGTGCTTCCTGGTTCTAGCCTGAGGCACCATTGACCTGTGGGACTCCAGAAACATTGCCTTGGAAAGTGATTGAATTGCCTATTTTGCTTTGAGGCGCCTCAAAACAGGTACAATATAGGACTCAGCTGGTTGTTCTGGGTTCCATCAGGGTTAAGGCGATCTTGGAGTGCTCTTGTGAGTGGGGCAAACAGGCGTCTGACTCAAAAGGGCTCGAGCATACTTCAGGCCATCTTGAATTGTGCTTGTAATGGGGGCCAGTCAGCCCTTCATTCAAAGAATGAACGAATGGGTGCACGCCCTGGCGTGCCCTGCTCTTTCCCTAAGAGGTTCTCTCGCCTAACTGACAGGTCTTCCTAAGTTTCAAAAAGTTGCTGAAAGTTTCTGAAAGTCTGCCCGATACCAACGAGTGCCCGATGCCACCTGCCCTGTGTCAAAGGGACTGTGAAGAGTGTCAGAAGCTGTCTCTCAGCTCAGGGAAAAGGTCCTCCAAAGATAACCCTCCGGCATCGGGCAAAGCAATCCCCCCGGCTGCAACACAAGCATCAGCATCAGTATCTATGAGCACTCCGTGAGTCAAGCCGTGCTGCTGGGGAGCTGGGGCTGTTGACGCTGCCCAGCTGCTATTCAAGCTATGGTGGTGCGGTGGAGGGGCAGTCAGTGGTATATCCGACTCGAGAACACGGTTATCTGGAGCCACGCGATGAGTCGCGCTGTGCTGCTGGGGAGCGGGGGCTGCTGACGCCTCCCAGCTGTTATTCAACCTTTGCTGGTGCGGTGGAAGGTCCGTCACCGCCTGATTTGACTCGAGAACCACTCCTTGCATCACACTGTGCTGGTGGGGTGCAGAGGCGGATGCTGCTGCTGCTGCTGCAGAGCTGTCAATCAAGCTACGGTGGTGGGGTGGAGGGTCAGTCAGTGGTAGACTTGACTCGAGAACGCTGGTATCTGGAAGCGGGCCGTGAGTCAGGCTATGGCGGTGGGGAGCCGGGTCAGTGGGTCCAAGATCCGAGTCGAAAACTACCCCTCGGCTCAAAGCATGTTGGTGGGGTGGAGGGTTGGCTGATGCCAGACCAGAGTGGAGAACCCCCCCTTGGGTCAAACTGTGGTGGTGAGGTGGAAGGAGAACGGAAGTTGCCAAAGGGGTGCTGGGCAGTGGGGGGTCGGCTGTGGTGTATGGTTGGTGGTGGGAGGATGGTGGGTAAAGGTTGGAGGGTGGATCGTTACTTGGATATGGAGTGTGATTGCTGGTGTGTGCTTCTGATATTGGCTGCTCGGAGTGCTGCTGCTGGGAATGCTGCTGGGGGTAGTGCAGCTGGTGCAGCTGTTGTGGCTGCAGCGCTTGCTGCTGCTGGGAGTTGTGCAGCTGGTGCAGCTGTTGTGGCTGCGGTGCTTGCTTCTGCACTTGTAGCGAGTAAAGAATTGGACCTTGCTCATGCAGCCGCTGCTGAAGCTCTAGGTGCTGTTGCTGCGATTCTGGATGCTGCACATGATGCTGGTACTGCAATGGACCTTGCGGTTTGTTCTGCTCATGCGGCATCTGTTGCAGCTCTAAGTGCTGCTGTTGCTGCTGGTGTTGCCTATAATGCTGCTTGTGCTGCTGCACTTCCTTTCGCTGTTGGTGGCGCTGCTGCTGCCTTTGCTGCTGCTCCTGGAATTGCTCCTGATGCTGTTGGTAATGCTGCTGCTCCTGCTGCTGCTGTTGCTGCTGATGCTGCTGCTGCTGCACTTGCTGTTGCTGTTGGTGGTGTGGCTGCCATTGCTGTTGATCCTGAACTTGCTGCTTATGTTGCTGCTGCTGCTGCCATTGCTGCTGCTGCCATTCCTGATGCCCCTGGGATTGCTCCTGATGCTGCTTCTGCTGAAACTGCTTCTGCGGAGACTGCTGTTGCTGAAACTGCCTTTGCTCGGACTGCTGTTGCGTGACCTGCCGCTGCTGCTGCTGCTGCTGGAGAGCCATGCGAATGAGCCTTCCGAGCGCCTCTTCCTGGTCCGCATCTAGAGCCACGCGGCAAGACGCCGCCAGAGCCGAAACGCCAGCTGCAGGATCAGGCAGGGCTGGGTCGGCCGCACAATCCGGCTCAGCTGGGTCAGCCGCACCATCCGGCTGGGCTGGGTGGGCTGCAGGGTGGACAGGACGCGCCTGTGCTTGCGGCTGTGGGTGCCCGATGGGCGGGAATGAGGAGAGAGGGGGGTATACGGCTGGGGAAGGCTGTGTATGGGGTATGTATATGTCTGCCTGCCCTGCCTGCACTGTTTGAACTGGGATGGGCTGAGCCGGCTGCAGTGGCTGCGTTGTCTGCATGGAATGCACTGCCGGCACTGGCTGCACTGACTGCACTGGCTGCACTAGCTGCATTGGCTGCACTGACTGCACTGGGACGGGCTGGCTTGTTGGGAAGGGCTGAGCTGACTGCATTGACTGCATTGGCTGCATTGACTGTGCCACCGGTGCAGCACGCTGCATGGGCAACCTAGCTGGCAGGGATGGAGACACATGGCGGTGCCGCACTGGCAGGCTTGGCACTGGCACTGCTGCTGGTTGCTGCAACATGGAGCCCTCACTTTCGCCTGGCAGGAGTGGAGTGCCTTGAGTTGACTCGAAAGCTGATGTCCGAGTCGGCTCGGAGATTATTTGAGGAGCGCCTTGAGCCGGCTCCAAGGCTTCTTGCAGCAATGAAGCATACCCACTTGAGGCGTTCTGGCCCTCGGAATCACAGGCAGTAAGAGGGTCTTGCTGGGGCCAGGGAACCAGTGCCTTTTGCCCCGCCATTTCCTTTCTAGGGGCGGATGATGAGCCTCTTGGAAGAGGGGCGGCGATGGGTTGACGTGGTACCGCCACTGGCCGGCTGGATTTGTCCGCGAACGTGTCAAGGTGGTTGGCACCGTGAGATGCCTCAAGCTGTTGCTTCTGACTCACCGCCTCAACCTGCTTCTTCTGTTGCGGTTTCTGCTTCGGCTGAATGGGAATATCAACTGGCTGCAGGTTGAAGAGAGCGGAGTGATCTGTGAACGTGTTGAGATGGTTGGCGAGTTTGTCCTTTCTGCTGAACGAGTTGCCGCACGAGCAGTGCCACCGCTTCACACCGCACTGCTTCTCGTGTGCTCTGAGGTCTGAGAGTAGTCCGAAGGATTTCACCTGAGAGTGGGAAGGGGAGGGCGCAAACTGACTTGGAATGAACAGCTGCTTCTGGCTGCATGAGCAGTGCCACCGCTTCACACCGCACTGCTTCTCTTGAGCCCAGAGGTCTGAGAGCAGTCGCAAGGATTTCACCTGTAAAGGAGCAGGTGAGAGAAACAGACATGAGATGAGCTTCGTGCATTGATGGATGTGGTTGCATAATTCAATCTCGTTTGGTGTGCGGAGTTAGCAAGATTGGAGAGACAGAGCACCTTGTTATTGCGTGAATTTGCTAATAGAGTGACAGTGGAACAAGGATACAAGAGCAGAGGGTAGGAGAGAAGAATGCGTTCCTACCTGGAAGCAGAGCATGTGAAAGGCTTGTTGCTGTGCATGCAGCGAAAGTGGGTTTCAATGCAGGCTGGGGACTTGAGAGGGGAGAGGAGAGGAGAGGAGAGGAGAGGAGAGGAGAGGAGAGGAGAGGAGAGGAGAGGATAGGAGAGGAGAGAGGAGTGGAGAAGGGAGGGGGGGAGAGGAGGAGAGAGGAGTGGAGAGGAGAGGAGAGGAGAGGAGAGAGGAGTGGACAGGAGAGGAGTGCTGTTTTACCTGACAGAGGGGCCATGTGAAGGGCATGTTCGTGCGGTGAAAGTGCGTTTGAACAGACGCCAGGGACTTGAGAGCAGGGAGGGAAGGGGAGAGAAGTGTGTTTGTGCCGGTACCTGACATCTGGAGCAAGTGAAAGGCTTGCTGCTGTGCACGCGGCGGTAGTGCGTTTGAACGGAGGCCAGGGACTTGAGCGGGCGGAAGCGAGGGTGCTGCTCGTTGTGCTGGCAGCCGGGCTCTGGGCAGGTGAAGGCAGTGGGGGAGGAACTGGTCAAGGAGGGGGAGAGGAGGGGAGGGGGGAAATGGCCAGAGGATAGGAATTGGGGAAGAGGAAACATTGAGACATTGAGAGTAGAGTAAGAAGAGAGAAATTGAGCGAGGGTGCTTCTGGTTGTGCAGGCAGACTGGCCTGGGGCAGGTGAAGGCATTGGGGGAGGAACCGGTGGAGGTGGGGCGGAGGGGAACGGGAAGAGGAAGGGAAATGGAGGTGAGGGGACAGGGTGAGAGTGGAGTCTGAGGACTTTTGAGGCGCCTCAAGAGTATGAGGAGAAGCAGTGAGTTGGGTGCTGCTGTGCTGGCAGCCGGGCTTGGGGCAGGTGAATGGCAGAGGGGGTGACGGGGAGGGGGGGAAAGGGCCCCGAGAGAGGAAACGGAGGAGAGGGGACAGGGTGGAAAGACAGGGGGGGGGGGGAGGGGGGGAGGGGCAGGGAAGGAATAAGGGAATGAAGGTATAAGGGAATGAAGGAATAAGGGAATGAAGGAATAAGGGAATGAAGGAATAAGGGAATGAAGGTATAAGGGAATGAAGGAATAAGGGAATGAAGGAATAAGGGAATGAAGGTATAAGGGAATGAAGGAATAAGGGAATGAAGGAATAAGGGAATGAAGGAATAAGGGAATGAAGGTATAAGGGAATGAAGGAATAAGGGAATGAAGGAATAAGGGAATGAAGGAAATATATTTTAGACGCCTCAAACGTGGGTGGGGGCAGGGAGTTGGTGTGAGGAGCAGCCGCTTTTTATAATAGCAAATACCTTGACACACAGAGGGTGTCTGGTATGTCCTCTTCATAGAGAAAATACCTTGACACACAGAAAGTGTCTGGTATGTCCTCTTTATAGAGCAAATACCTTGAGACACAGAAAGTGTCGGGAAGGGCAGTGAAGCCAGAGGAGGGACCAGACCCCTCTGACGTCTCCTGCTTTACTCGTGCTCCTGGAAGCAGCACTTGGTCCGCCTCCGCAGCCTCCTGCGTCAGAGCCTCCTGCTTCACAGCTTTCTGCGTCAGAGCCTCCTGCGTCAGTGCAACCCCCACAAGAGAAGGTTGTGGGTCGCCTTCTGCTTCTGCTGCTTCTGCTGCTGTCTGTGGCCCATGGGGGATTCTTCTGCAACCTGCAGCATCCCTTGCTGGCTCTGCTGTTGCCGTCACTGCTGCCACATCTTTCCTCCGGTGACGTGTGTCAGGCCGACTTGAAGGGTAGGGCGTGTTCAGCGACCCGGGATCATTCAGAGGTTCAGGTTTCAAGTTGCTGGGAGGGCAGGCGCCGCAAGAAGGGCGAGCGCCGCTAGAAGGGCGAGCACTGCTCCAAGGCCCGAACCTGTTTGGTAGGTTGGGGTCTGCAGAGGCGCGTGTTTCGGCCAGAGTTGCCGCCACCAGAATGGCACCCGCTACCTCAGCTGGCTTACACTCTCCGTCGTGCCTCACTGCCTCTTGACTCCTTCCTCTGCATGCAGCTTGATGCACAGTCGAACCGAGCCGAGCTGAGACTTCTTCCTCTCTCGATGCTTCTCCCCACTGCTCCTCCCCCTCCCGCCTCTCTCCCCTTCCTCTCTTCCTTTTCTCTCTCAGTCCCCCCAAAGACTCTCCCTGCTGCCCTCCCCCCCCCCTTCCTCCCCGCCCTTCCCCCTGCGCCCCCCCTTCTCTCACCCTTTCCCCCTGTGCTCTCCCTGGCGTCCCCGTCTCGTCCAGCGCCGCCTGTATCTTCAGAAGCAGCTCCTTCAGCTTCTGCCGCCTGCGAGGTGTCACCTCCCCCAGCACTTCCCCCACGTGCCTCCTGCGATTCTGTTGGGATCTCCTGGAAATTCTCCTGGCGTGGGGGGGGCTGGGACTGTTACCCTGACGGTCATGGCGCCTACTTTTCTTAGCACGGGGCTGCAAGCACGGTTTCAAATCTGCCCGTCGCTTCTGCTTCTGTAGCTGCCCCCCCCTTTCTCCTGCTCCGTCCTCATTTGGTCTATCATTCTCCTCCTCTTCATCCCCCTCCTCCTCCTCATTATCCTCGTCCTCCTCCTCCTCCTCGCCCCCTTCCTCCAATTCCTCTTCCTCCACCTCCTCCTCCTCATCCTCCTCCTCCTCCTCCTCTTGTTCCTCCTCTTGCTCCTCCTCTTGCTCCTCTTCCTCCTCCCGCTCCTCCTCTTCCTCCTCCTCCTCCTCCTCCTCCTCCTCCTCCTCCTCCTCCTCCTCCTCCTCCTCCTCCTCCTCCTCCTCCTCCTCCTCCTCCTCCTCCTGTTGCTCCTTCCTGCTGATTCTGTCATCTTCCCCCCCCTCACCCCTCCCCTCCTGCTCCCTGCCTGCTTCCTGGCCCCAACCCACCAGCCTCGGACCGTCCTTATTCCCTTGGTTTGCCAGAGCCTGGTTGGGAAGATTCTGGCTCGGCAGAGCCTGGCTCGGTGGCGCAGCCTGCAGGTTCGGCAGCAGAGGCAGCAGGGGTAGGAGTGCGGTGTGCTGCTCCTGAGCCGGCAGCAAGCTAGCAGCAGCCATGGCGATGTTCTTGATCATAGCTGTTATTCCCACTGCCACCGCGTCCCGCTGCTGCTTCCGCTGCTGCTCCTGCTGCTCGTTCCGCCGCTTTTCCGGAACTTGGTTCTGTTGCCGTTCCTGCTGCCCCTGCTGCCCCTGCTGCCCCTGCTGCTCCTTCTGCTCCTTCTGTTGCTCCTTCTCCTCCTTTTCTTCCTGCTGCTGCTGCTGCTGCTGCTGCTGCTGCTGCTGCTGCTGCTGCTGCTGTTGCTCCTGTTGCTCCTTCTCCTCCTTCTCTTCCTGCTCCTCCTGCTCCTCCCTCTGTTGCTCCTGTTGCTCCTTCTCCTCCTTCTCTTCCTGCTCCTCCTGCTCCTCCCTCTGTTGCTTATGCTGTTCCGTCTCCTCCTCCACCTGCTGCTGCGGATGGCAGGTGTTGGAGACAGGGTGTTGGAAACTGGGTCTTGAAAGTTTTTGTGGAAACAGGGTGTTGACAAGAGGATGGTGAAACTGGGTGATTGAAACCTGGCTGATACGATAGAGTCAGCACAAGAACACTGGGAACCGGTTCCATAGTAATTTTGGGTTAATAGCAGTGCGCAGCTAGTAATACGATGGGTCCTCCACACGACAGCAAGCAAGAGAGAAAGAGAGCAAGAGAGCGAGAGAGCAAGGGAGCAAGGGAGCAAGAGACCAAGGGAAGCAAGAAAGCAAGAGAGCAAGGGAGCAAGGGAGAAAGAGTGCAAGGGAGCAAGAGAGCAAGGGAGCAAGGGGGAAAGAGTGCAAGGGAGCAAGAGAGCAACGGAGCAAGGGAGAAAGAGTGCAAGGGAGCAAGGGAGCAAGGGAGAAAGAGTGCAAGGGAGCAAGGGAGCAAGGGAGCAAGAGAACGGGATCATGGGGAGCAAGGGAATGTTTGAGCAATCTACCTGTGCTAGAATCCGAACGAGTGCTTGTAACGCGGATACTCTGGCTTGGAGGCTGGAGAGCGAGGAGAGCAGGGCTGCATGCTGGCTGGGAAGATCTCCAAGCGGCATGCAAGTGGAGGAATTGCTGCCTGGCGGATTGCTTAGCGCGCTGCTGCTAGTAGTAGAAAAAATAGTGCTGCCCTTTCCTACTCTTGAGGGTGCTCCACTCACTCCAGGCTGGGGCCTCGGATGCTCCCCAACCTGGAGTGAGGGTTTAGGGAGCTCCAACCTAGAAAGGGAAGCTGCTGTACCTAGTGTCGCCACTGTAGCAGGAGGAAAGGGGCTGGCGGCTGTAGCACGGGACAGGAGGTCCCCCCCTGCTACAACAGCCTGCTTGCCATCACCAGCAAGATCCGCAGCGTGGGCTAGATGGTTTGGTGCGGCCTCTGCCGCCCCGGGGGGAGGTTCGGAACCCGAACCGGCCCGGGCGGTTCGCAGCAGCGCTTCGACGAGCTTGACGGTGTCTGACAGCCCTCGTCCTGACGTGGCAGTCAATGTCATTGCAACCGGCGGGTCTTCAAATATCGGCCGTGAACCGTGCTTAGTAGTTACGGTGGTGGCCAGGTGGGCTGGCGGGCGTGGTTGTGGCGAGAATGGCGATGATGGCTGCGGGACTCCGACTCGGAGCCGCTGAGCTTGGAGCTGCACGCCGGCTGTTGCCGGCTGTGGAGGCGGAGAGTATCTTTTAGAATTCGCAAAATCTCCCGGCTTGGGAGGCGGAGAGCCATGATCATTGCGGTGGGTGGGACGCGGCGGGGTGTGAGGGGAGGCCTGGCGTGCAGGTTCAAGGCCAGCCTGCTGCTTTCCAAGTCCAACTTGCCGCCCTTGCACTTGGAGTTGGGCGGGTGCTGGGCAGCCACCGTTCGGAGTCGCCGCGAGGCCCCCGTGGCCGGCTTGGTGACGTGGCTGGCTGTTTGGTGGGCCTTGGGGCCCCAACATTGTCCCGGGCGGCAGTGCTAGGGACCGGGGCTCGTCGTTCCCACCTGTACTACTAGCAATGCTACAACCAGCAGTTGTAGGGGTCGTAACGCCGGTTGTAGCACGTCTGCCAGCAGTGGCACCGCCTTGTGTTGCGAGGACATGACGTTGCCGCCATGGGTTTTTGAGGCGCCTCAAAACATGACGTTGCCGCCATGGGTCGCCAGGGGGCTCATTCTCTAGAATGATGCTTTCTTCGCTTCTTTCGCCAGCAGCAGCGGCGGCGGCGGCGGCAGGGGCCCCGGAGGCAGAGGAATTGCGTCGTGAAGCGTCTCTTCGGTGAGGCGGCCACATTGCCGGCGGCCGGCTGCTCGAGCTGATAGTTTTAGTGCTAATTGGAGGGAGAAGATCAGTGATGTGACACATTTGGCTGCTCCCAGCATTCCTACTAGGTCCTAATGTGTTGTCCGTGTTACTGCTGCTTGAGAGTCAAAATTGGCAATTTTTGGCGCGACTTCAGTGAGAAATACTACTAACACACATCATGGAGTGCGTCAGACCTACTCTAGTCCGAAATACCCTGCACTGACTCTGACCTACTAGTACTAGTGCTAGTACTGTTTCTGCTTCGGATGTGAGCCTTCTTTGGGGGATGAAACGAGCTGAGACTCTCGCTGCAGAGCACAGGTGATGGAGGGAGCACTCTCTGGCAGAGCAGAGGCTTCCACCACTCCCAAGCGGACTCCAACGCTGGAGATACTACCAGTGGTAGGGTGCAACCGGAAAGGCGTTGGCAGGGCTGGTTGAAACTTGGGATGGAGTGGTGGGATCGGAGGGGAGGGGAGCACCAATTTCGTCCCTGGGTCAGGCTGTGGCTGGACAGGTCGCAGGGATTGCTCAGAGCAGAGCAGACTCGCCAGGTGCAGCAGATGCTGCAGCTCCGCAGGAGTGAACTTCTGGCTCAACTACGTCAGCTTCTCGCGAGACCTGCCTCTGTCTGTGCGTACGCCAGTTGAGAGTGTTTTGCTAGGCGCCAGACACTCTCCTCCACTATCGCCGCAGTTCCTGTCCTCATGGTGCCGCAAATCCTGCACGCCATAGACAAATTTGAGGGGAACTGTACAGTTTAGGTGTACGTATTCCTCTTGCGTGACTCCACTTATACGCGCTAAAAGCAGATGAAATCGTGATCCCCGAGATGTTTTACTGTACTGCCAGGCACGATGCCAAGCGAGGTCCCAAATTTGTCGCATTTGCGACGTGACCAATCCCAGTGCGCCGACCAAATAGAAGCCAGCCTGGCTATTTCTGGTCGGAGGGGGAGGGTCATGTGAGAGGAGGGGAGGAGTTGTTGGGATGTCAGCGCACGAGTGGCTTCATGGTTCGTCAAGAAAAATCCGTAGCTGCGTTACAGACTATGGCGACGTATTTGGGTCAGGCACAGGCCGTCACGAAATCTTCGTCAAACATTTACGAGGCTCGCAAGGGTAGCAGCGAAAGGAGCAGTTGCACTTTTGGCATTGAAGGGCAGAAGGTGTCGCGTGCGGTGAGCCGCTTTCCGCGTGATTTGTTGATGAGCCTGCTGCTGAAAATGCTTCTGTACTGGTTGCTTCAGGGAGGATTGGTGCGTTTCCAGTTTCTGCTTCAATCTGTTCCCGTGTGTCTGCCTCGATTGTACCACATGGCGAAAATAAATCGACTTTTTGTGAGCCCGAGTTCACTTTCGCTTGCTAATCCGGGCCTTGCTCGCAGGACGGTCTGGGAATCCAATGTGAGCGACTAACGAACGGTCCGGGACGGTCCGGGCCTTGTTCCCGTGAGCTGGAAACGAATGCACCTTCAACACCTCTGTCAACCTCAATCACACAAAGCGGGGACTAACCAGATCTGGCCCGGAAGGAGCGGACGGAATCGTGCAACTGTAGTGTTGACAGCTAAAATGTGATCCAATTGGCCGGTCGCGCTTCCATCCTGGAAGTGTCGGCGCAGAGAAGAGTGTACAGTTGAGTGAGTGGTTTCGCATGTCCTCGACTGTTGCTGGGCGACAATGTCGGCGCGTGCTTCTTGGCTCCTTTGACCAGCCTGATGGTAGAAGAATAAGAGGTGTATACGTGTGCATAAACCCCTATTGATGAGGATAACAACTCAAAACATCGTACGCTGCTAATTCCATCAACAAAATATCATTAGCAAACATCAGCAAGACAGCTCAGGAAAGAGCTCAACGATAGAAAATGTGCTCTCCACTGCGTGGGGTTGCTCCATTTCCTCTCTAAAATGCAAGGAATCTTTCTCCCTAATGCTCGCATAATCTAAGTAATCTTTGCTACTGTGCCTGAAAGACTCTGCCAGTGCTTCAGCGGCATTCACAGCATCCCTATACAACGGTCCAGTGGATGGCACATGGATTGAATCCACGCTGGCTGGAGTCGGATGTAGATTAGCACATGCTGCTGTATCGTAACCATCCTGTCCCTGTACCATACTGTTACGGTGATGATAATATGGTAACCGATCTGTGGGGCCTGGATCAACGGCAGGTGTATCGCCTGCGACGGGGATTGCATTGGACGGACCGGATTCCTCTACTTGGGGTGCTTGTTGCACATTCGATGGAGCTGGGAGAAGCGTGCTCTGGGTGGCAAGCTCGTGGTGACTGGGGAACGCCTTGAAGTGGTTGGTTAGCTTGTCCTTCCGGCTGAAGAGAGATGGCAGAACAGGGAGTCGAGGTGAGCAGAGAGAGGTGCTCAAGAAAAGGATTGGGCATGGGAATAAGAAAGCTGAAGAACAATACAGAGTGCAGTGCAACATGGAAATCGAGTATGGAAAACCGAGAACGGAAAAGGGTTAAGTTACTGCGCTAGAAGCACTACCTGAACGAGTTGCCACAGGAGCAGTGCCATCTCCTCGGCCCGCATCGCCTCTTGTGCGCCTCCAGATCGGCCGGCAGACAGAACGACTTGCTGCCGCACTGCGAGCACAGCAGCGGGTGCGGCGAGTGCGCCCGCCGGTAGTGGTTCCGCAGCGAGGCTTTTGACTTGAGCGGCCGGAAACTGGGGTGCTGCTCGTTGAATGGGCAGCCGTTAGCCGGGCAGCTGAAAACCTCCGACGCACTGCCGTTAGAACTTCCCCAGGGGTTCGCTCTCGCAGGTGCCATGCAATCCTCCTCCACCGCTTTCTCCTCCTCGTCTCCAGCTTCCATCGCACCCTCCAGGTGGGATTGCTCAGCAATGGTCATAACTCCAACGCCTGGAGGCGGCAGCTGATTGGACGGATTGCCGCGTCGACCGGACTCCACATTGTAACAGGCTCCCCCGGCGCAGCTCCCCTCGACAGGTTTCTCATCCCACGCATCGTCACGCCCCCTCTTCCTCCCGACCACGGCCGTGACAGTCTGCGTTTCGACTGCTGGGCCGCCTGTCGTCACTGGTGCTGCCTGGGATGCCCGCGCCTCCTCTCCAACAGGCTCATGCCGAGGCTCCCCAGGCTCGGCAGCTGTCTCCCGAGATGCATCGGCCTTTGATTCCGGAGAGACGGATGAGATTGCCGTTCCTGGAGCTGTAGCACCATTTGCGGCGGCAACGATTCCCGCCGCGTCGGCTGCGTTGGCGGCTCCCGCCGGCTGTAGCAGGGGCTCAGTCTGCAGCATGGTGGCCTGGTGGGCAGGTGGCAGCAGCGAAACGGCGGCTACAGCCAGCTGCTGGATCATGGTGCCCACCGCTACAGCCGCCTGCTCGTACGGCGCGTCCTGGACCTTCAGCACGCACGACGGCTGGGAGGCGGGGAGGGGAAGGGAGGAGGGGGGAAGGGGAGGGGGAGGAGGGGGTTTAGGGGGACTGCGAAACCCTAAGCGGGGGTGCTGAGTAGGCCATCATTTCCCGTGTTAGACGGAGAATATCTGCACGAGAAAAGAGACCTAAAATTTTAGATGGGCCAAAATTTTGGTGGGAGAGGGGGAAAGGGGGGAGAGGAGGAAAGGGGGGAGAGGAGGAAAGGGGGGAGAGGGGGAAAGGGGGGAGAGGGGGAAAAGGGGGAGAGGGGGAAAGGGGGGAGAGGGGGAAAGGGGGGAGAGGGTACTAGGGCATACATGGCACGGAGTGAACGAGGGAAGAGGACAGCTCAAGGTGAGCTCCGAGAGGTTGAGCCGTCTTGACATAGACGTAGACGTAGACGTAGACGATGACGATGACGTCGGAGCCGAGCGAGCATCCCTGAGGCGAATGACCAAACTACTGAGGCATTACCCGAGCCAGGAGCAATGAGCTAAATTCCAGATCTCTCACCTGAGCGAGCATCCCCAGCAGGGCCTGCAGATGCGACACGCGCGACTGGAGCACGGAGAGCGACAGGAGCAGCGCGTGCGGCTCGATCACTGTCACGGCCGCACGCGGCGGCGGCTCGACGGCCGCAATCACGTGGGGATTATCAGTCGACGGCGGGACGACGGCCGCATGATGCGGGTCGTTACGGGCTGCGCGGTCGACGGCGACACCGCCTCCGTCGTGGCATTCGAGCGAGGATCCGGAGTCCTGATTACTAACGGTCGGCTTGTCCTCAATAGTAGCGTCCATCGCGTCGCGGGTGATTCGTTTAGAAGCGCGATCAGTCACGGTCACGACACGCCAGTAGTAGTTCTATCTGGTACCATGAAATCGCGCGAGGCGGCGGCGGTTTCGGAGATGCGGTTGAGAAACGCACCAGAAATTGTGGTCCAGAATGGATGAGGACTGGAGCTCTGTGATAGAACATGCAGGCCAGAGGTGTCGCTTCGGGGTCACTGTGCCGCTCTGAACCGTTCACCACCTTCCCTCTGTTACGCGCGGATGGACGATGAGTGATGCGGCGTTTCAAGAAGACAATGATATGGTGATAAGCGGTCAGCTCCCTGTCTTGCTGGCCGCTTATCACGTGAGATTCCATTCTGGCTGATCTTTCCAATCAGCAGGCTGTCGCCCTCGCCGCGATTGGCTGCTACTTGCGGCCCGAAGCTGGCGTGTGGTGCGGAACTGGCGTGTTCACGCACGACGACGTGCAAGTTCTCGGAAGTGTAGACGGTCGGTGCTCCCGGAATTTCTGCACATGCCGAGCCTACTTCCTTCGAACCAATACCGCAAGATGTGGGAAGCAGGCCTGAAGAGCAAGAGCCATGTGCATGGGGAGAAAAGATTCCAGATGATGGGCTTGCTGGATTTCGGAAAGAAAGACGTGGTTAAAGTCGGTTGAGTCAGGTTGGGATTTTGTCAGAGGATGGTTCTGGCGTGCACCGCTTTGCATCCCGACGAATCGAACGAAAACGAACACAATGAACTGAAGCAGAGAGCGAGGAAGAGAGGAGGGGGGAGGGAAGGAGAGAACAAGTAGATGCGGTCAGGTGGGAAAATATGGTTGGATGGTCCATGAATGGCAGGTGTGGCGCCGCGCCAGAGCCAGACGTTAGGCATGTGGGTCATTGGTTGGTGGGTGGGTGCGTGGCTTGGGGAAGTTGTCTTGTTCTGTCCTGCCCGCGCCACCGCCAGTTGCAGGTTCTACACTGCAGCATTGCATTCTGACGCTGGGGCAGACGAGTCGCGAAGGCAGCAACGGGCAATCAAAGTGCCGCGGGAAAACTAGGAAGGGATGGATTTCTAGACGCAACTATTTCTACGCAGTTGAAAACCACGAATCACAACTCTACGCAGTGTAACATACGTTGCAGGCTGATAGGCTATCGACAGAAGCCTCAACAGGTTATCATCTGCGGTCGGTGGGATGGTTCCTGACCGAGGGGATTTTCGACGCGTCTCATTTCGGAACCTCGGGTCTTCCAGAATGAGGCAAATGATGACCAGAAGATGGGATGACACGATCCCAGAATGCACCCCCAGTATGCCTGGTTAGGAATCATGGATGTGCTTGGCAAGAAAGGAAATGGTTGGGCAACAGACTGTTGTCTGCCCACCATGATTGCCCACCGTGATTGCAACGATTGCTTTATCTGCAATGTGACTGTAACGCTATAGAATCGCTTGCCTGAGAAACCCACATTCGACGGGACTCGCTCTCCGTGCGACTATACAAACCTGAGGTAAGTGTAACAATACGTGCTATTTTGTTATGATTTAGAAGATGTCAATGTACTATAATGAGAATACGACGTCACTATTGCCATGAGAGCACAAGGTTATATAGGAGTGGACGTAATAGGGCGATAACCTCGGGACGTGGATAGGTTCGGCAAATGTGGCGACGCTGTCGGGCGCGACTCGAGAAAGGGTTGGGCCGAAAATGTAGGCCGAACGTGATGAGTTGAAGTGTTCGGGTGTACGCGGTAGCGGGCGACTCAGTAAGGAATGGAAATTCCTTTTACTACCCCCCCCCCCCCCCCCCCTCCTAAACGAGACCGCGGGCATCGGAGACATTCCGACGCTGGTAATATGCCGTTAGAATCGGATGTGATTCTAGATCAGCGAGGGGCACCCAACTGTCGTCTTCGGACGTGCGATCGCGCCAGAGGATGAGGAAATCAACCATCCGACGGTTCAGCTGCGTGGTGATGCGATGGCCGAGAATTTTCAAGGGCTCGGTCGTCGGTTCCTGCAAAGGCGTCAGTTGTGGTACACCACGGTGGCGTGCCAAGGCCGACGAACTCGGGACGTAAGGTCGGAGGAGACTGACGTGGAAAACCGGGTGATGGCGCCAATCAGCCGGTAGCCGAAGGTGGACAGTGACAGGTGTCACGAGGTTGGTCACTTGAAAAGGTCCGCAGAATCTGGGTCGGAGTTTGCTTAGGATCGGCAGTCGCAAATTGCGAGTGTCGAGGATGACAAGATCTCCCACTTTGTAAATGACGTCGCGTCGATGTCGATCGGCTTGTCGGCTTGCGACCAGGTTAGCTTTCCGAATGGCCTCAGCTGATTGTCGCGAGTGGCGAGAATGTCTTCAGCAAATTTCTGGGACCGGGGCACTGGTGACTCGATGTTCGGTGTAGAGGGTACTACCGGGTCTTGTCCGTAGTTGAGGAAAAATGGGGATTGATTGGTTGTGGCTGAGGTCGCGTTATTATACGCGAATTCTAGTAGCGGAAGAGATTTCTCCCATGTCGATGGGTCAGTACAGGTGGTGCGAATGAGCTGCTCCATGGTTTGGTTAACGCGTTCGGTCTGCCCGTCGGTTTGTGGGTGGTAGGTGGATGAAAATTGGAGTTTGGTGCCGAATTGGTCCCACAGGTGGCGCCAGAAATTCGATGTGAATTTTGGGTCTCGGTCTGAAATGATGGCGGAGGGCAGTCCGTGCAGGCGGATGACGTTCGTGATCAACAGCTGCGCAGTTTCGGCGGTGATTGTCTGTTGGCAGGCGATGAAGTGCGCCATTTTTGTGAGTCGGTCAACGACCACGAGGATGGCGTCGTTTCCGCTGGGGCCGGCCGGCAGTCCTGTCACGTAGTCCATCGTGACGTGTTGCCAGGGTCGCTCAGGCGGATCCAACGGCTGTAGTAGTCCGGCTGCTCGCTGATGCGACGATTTCATGATCTGGCAGGCAGTGCAGGAGGACACGTACTTGCGCACGTCATCAGCCATTTTCGGCCAATAGTAATTCCGCTACAACATCTTCGTGGTTTTATCGACGCCGAAATGTCTTGAGATAGGGTTCTCGTGGGATTCCTGTGTTAGGAGGGTACGAAGTAAATCGTAGCCTGGCACCCAAATGCGAGAAGTACCACGCTTATAAAAATATGGCCCGGTGGCTGTGGTATGCTGTTGATGGATGGCTGAGCGGAAAAAGGGATCGATCTTGTAGGCGTGGGTGAATAGTCCCATAAGTAATGGGTTGGTCTAGGCGATTAGTATCGCGGCGGTATGGACAGTAGGGCGGGTCAAGGCATCGGCGATATTATTGGCACCCAGTTTGTAGGTGATGGCGTAATGGAAGTTGGACTCGAGGAAATCGAGCCATCGGATCTGTCGTGGGTTGAGATTCGGTTGGGCGCGCAGGTACTGTAAGGATTTGTGGTCCGTCCACACCGTGACATCAGCTCCGGTCAGGTAGCACCGCCAGGTCTTGAACGCGTGGACGATCGCCAGCATTTCCGTGTCGTGGACTGTATAGTTTTTTTCCGCGCCCTGCAGCTTCCGTGATTCGTAGGCGACTGGTTGTAACCCGTCGCCGAAGTCCTGGAGGAGAACTGCACCGATGGCGATGTCGCTGGCGTCGGTGACGACTTCGTATGGACGGTTGGGATCGGAGATGCGAAGGATGGGTGGCGACGTGAGGGCGATTTTGAGTTGATCGAATGCAGCTTGCTGCTTCTCACCCCACCAAAAACAATCGTGATCCTTCAATCGGTCGGTTAGCGGTGCAGATAACCCAGCCATATTGGGAATAAAGCGGCGGACGTAGTTGACAAAACCCAGAAAACTTTTGAGTTCCTTGAGGTTGGTCGGCGGCTTCCATTCCTGTATGGTCTTGATTTTCCTGGGGTCGATTTTCATGCCTTCGGTAGAGACGACGTGGCCCAAAAACTCCAACTCCTGTTTAAGAAAGTCGCATTTAGACCCTTTCGTGATGAGGCGATTCTTGTGCAGCAGCGTGAAGACTGCATCAAGATCCTTTAAGTGCTGCTCCCTGCTGCGGCTGTATATTAGGATGTCGTCGATGTAGATAATGACGCATTTATCCAGGAGTTCGCGAAAAACACCGTTCATGGTCATCTGGAAGGTTGAGGGCGCGTTCGTGAGTCCAAAGGGCATCACCAGGTATTTGTAACTACCGTAGCGGGTTCGGAAGGCGGTCTTGTGGCAATCCTTGGCGGCGACGCGAATTTGGTGGTAACCATCGAGTTTCGAGAAGAACTTGGCTCCGCGAAGTTGGTCGAGTAGGTCGTCGGCTCGCGGGATCGGGTAACGTGACTTGATGGTGATGCGGTTCAGTATGCGGTAGTCGATGCACATACGCAATCCGCCATCTTTTTTCGGTGTGAACAGTATGGGGGCGGCGTATGGGGATGTGCTTGGGCGGATAAAACCTTTCGTCAGGAGGTAATCCAACTGCTGCTGCAATTCCTCGAGTTCCAGTTGGCTGAGCCAAAATTGTCGCTGTACTGTCGGTTGTGCGCCGGGTTCCAGTTCGATGCGGTGGTCTTCGGGTCGGCTTGGCGGGAGTTTGGCGGGTAGGTCGTCCGGGAAAATCTCGGGGTATTTTCGAATGAGTTCCGCTAAATCCAGAGGAACGGCTTCACACAGCTTCGTGATATCTTCCGCTGTTATCGGCGACGTTACTTCGCGAAGATCGACGGCGTATGCTGCTGCTCCCGCTTTTATCGCGCGCTTGAAGGTGATCGCGTGGACTTGGGTACTTTGCATGCGGGGTCCCGTCCACTTCGGTAACTCGTGATAGTGCCCATCGATCTTGATGCTGCAGCTGCCCGTCGTCCAGTCGATTCTCGGGTTGTACTGTCGCAGCCAATCCCGTCCCAGCAGCACGTCGCACCCGTCGAGTGTAGTCGCCAGTAGCCCCATCCGAAATTTTACGTGCTCGCCGCAGTGGAAACTGACGTGCTCCACCCGCTCCCGTATAGCCAACGGTGTACCATCCACCAGTCTTGCGTCGATTTCGGGTAGACACTTTAATAAAGGGATACCCATTTTTTTAGCCCTGTCTAACTGTATGAGACTGTGACTCGCGCCTCCATCCACGAATATTTTCAGCAACACCCCGTTGATTTTACCCTCCACCAACACAGGGTGATTAACAGTTTCGTCCCCCTTATTCGTCCGGGTCCGGTCGATTGCAGCAATCGGGATCACGACCCGGCGGGGAATGTGTGGTTCGGGGGAAGAAGCCTGCCCGTCAGTAAGGGGCCCGGTACTTACTGACGCGACCCATTTCCCGGTCGCTCCTCCGGCTTCTTCCCCATAGAATTCTGGATGGCTATGAACTCTTGGCATTTGCGTTTGATGTGACCCGGTCGGCCACAGTGGTAGCATAGCCCCGTATTTCGCGGAGCAACTGCGTAAATATCCACTGCGTCTATCCCTTTTATCGTGGCGCTCTGGTACTGTTCTCGAGGGCGACCTCCATCGTAGAAGTTCGTCCTCGGCTTCGTGAGCGAGTCAGCGGCTTCGGCGAGTTGGATGAAGTCTTGTAACCGCTTCGCAGGTCGTTGTAATTTTATCTGGTACTGTATTTCAGGCTTCAGCCCGCCCATGTACCTGTCGACCTTCTCCAACTCGTGCATGTAGCCACATCGATCCACCAACGTCAAGAATGACGCGGTGTAGTCAGACACAGATCCCAGCTGCTTCCACATGCGTAGAGTCTCGCGCGCTTTGTCTGAGTCAGGAGCATGCTCAAACCGCTTGCGAAGCTCTGTGCACCACGTTGCCCACGTGCGAATGTGAGTTGCACCAAACAGCAAATCTGCCTCGTCTTCGTCGCCGAATTCTTCGGACCACTCATGCTGTCCTTCTGTGCGAGTTGCCGCTGAGTCGACGATGACCTTCCACCACTGTAGGGCGGCCCCTTGCAGCAGTGTCAACGCGTGGCTGATCCGCTTCTGGTCGTCTCGGAAGCCCGCCGCGTTAAAGTAGATATTTTCATGGCGAATATCCACTGCCGCACCGTCACGCCTTTATTAGCTGGGTCGAAAGGAGCGGGTTGCTGATATCTCACGCCGCCACTTGTCGAGCGTGGGGCTGTCGCCGCTAGCCGTGCCAGCTCCACTGGTGTCGGTTGCTGCTCACCCGCCTCGCTTCGTGCATCGTCTCCCGGCTCCTCTGAACGCCTTTCCTGCGCCTGGCAAAGTCGTTGGTTTTCGTCACGGAGGTTGTTGACGACGCTTGTCAAATTATTCAACTGCTCCATTAATGCTTGCAGGTCTACTGTTTCCCGGACAGAGTTCGCAGCAGTCGAGGTTGTCTGTTCCTCAACCGTCGAGTCTACCGGGGCCATGGCGGTCTGGACGGGGCAGAAACTAGCGCACACGCTGTAGTTGTTGATGTAAAAATATTTACGATCAAAGGCAACTGCTGTGCAGCCGTGTTAATCCCCTCTGACCACCCTTAACTAACTAACGGGGAAAACGGAAGGTTCCGAGAAAGGTCGGGCTCTGATACCAGCTGTTATGATTTAGAAGATGTCAATGTACTATAATGAGAATACAACGTCACTATTGCCATGAGAGCACAAGGTTATATAGGAGTGGACGTAATAGGGCGATAACCTCGGGACGTGGATAGGTTCGGCAAATGTGGCGACGCTGTCGGGCGTGACTCGAGAAAGGGTTGGGCCGAAAATGTAGGCCGAACGTGATGAGTCGAAGTGTTCGGGTGTACGTGGTAGCGGGCGACTCAGTAAGGAATGGAAATTCCTTACATATTTGATTGAATATTTGGGTTACTGCTGTTTTCCATACAGTGTAGTACAAATAACATGACAGCTGAGAGTTTTCCGAATTCTAACCACATAGACCAGGAAATATTGTGACACATTATCCGGTGCACTTCTAATTTCCGCCGGCGTATCGAGGTTGAGTGATTCGAGTACGGTATATCTGTACTTACCTGACGCGGATTGCATGCCACGTAGAAGATCTCATGTGGCACTCCCTAGTTGCCTTCGCCGCTATAGGTTGGCAATCCTCGCTAGCCTCATGCTTTTTCTGAAAGCCGGTTCCCTGCACATGCCTTCACTCAATCTCCCAGATGGCCTCGCAGCAAGTCACCCAGTAACAGCGCCTCTCTTGACCTCCAGATATTTCCCCCACCCAGCCTCCCCGCATATCTTCTTTTCTTCTGGCCATATTGACGAACCTCGTCGTCTTTACCAGTCAGATCCAACCGGCGCGTCTCGCGCACTAGCCCAAGCCCGCGTCTGCTCGCCGTTTAGTCGCGCGCCTGCTCGCCGTTTCTCACCACTCCCATCCCCACTTTCCGCCCGTTCTCGCGCCACGCTCACTCCGCTTCCTATGGAGGCTGCCGTCGGCGCAACGTTCTTCCGCGGCCACCCTGTGCGCCTGAACAGGGCGGGCTTTCGGGGGGGACATTCCGCGCTCGCGGGGCTTCGGCGGAAATCCGTTAGGGTAACATCGTCGTCGGAACAGCCAACGTGGCGCGCGAAGGCGGCGACGACCACGACGCAGACCGTTGCGACGGATAGCGTGAGTCACGCCCGCAACAGTCACACCCCCTTCAGTCACGCACGCCCGCTTCAGTCTCGCTTGATACGCAACAGGTGTAGTAACGAAGAACAGGCGGCGATAGATATTGGCACGGTCATCCAAGCATCTGCATTTGGTGGGATTGATTGGCGGTTACCCCTTGCGTTCCCGGCTAAAGCGCGCGTCTTGTTCCCCCCCCTCTATCACTCGACTTTCTAGTTCGGTTTGACCTTCTCCTACCCCTCTTCCGCATTCCGCCTCCGCCTCTCCCCGTTCCCCATCTACCATTCCCCTCACCCATCTTCCCCTGCCCCCGTTTTACTACCCCGTTTCCCCTTCCCCCCCATCCCCCCCTCCCCCATTTCCCCGTTTCCCCATCCCCCGCACCCCCGCCTCTCCCCTTCCGCAGCCCGCTTCCGCGTTCTCCGCGTCCGCCTCCCTCCCCGCGGACCCGTCACGCGCTGCACCCTTATTTAACAGCGCAGCACCCGCTGCAGCCAATGAGAGCGCGCCAGCTGGCTCCGGTACAGTGGCAGCGGGGCGCGCCGTGGCGATATACGACACCACACTCAGGGACGGTTCGCAGGTGGGGTGAGGGTGGGGGGGGGGGGGGGGGGGGGGGGGGGGGCTGGTTGGGGATGGCTGGGGATGGCTTGGGATGGCTTGGGATGGCTGGGGATGGCTGGGGATGGATGGGGATGGGTGGGGATGGGTGGGGAGGAAGGAATGGGTGGAAGGGAGGAGTGGGTAGCAGCAGGTCCCTCTTTCGTCCCTTATCTCTCGCTCCTCGCCTCTGCGTCCCCCTTCCACCCTCGCTCACACGCACATCCAATTCCATGTCCCCCCTCCTTACTGTCACAATCCGTCCGCCCGCCCTGCTCCTCCCGGCCAATCAGATGGTGGGGATTTCTCTCTCAGTGGCGGACAAGATGCGCATAGCGGAGCTCTTAGAGGATCTCGGGGTTGACTATATCGAAGCGGGCTGGCCAGGCTCCAACCCCAAAGACGCTGAGTTCTTCCAGCGGTGGAAGGCCAGAGAGGCGGCGAGGGAGGGGATAGAGAGGTTGACTGCAGCAGGGGGTGATAGTAATGGGGGGAGTGGGATGGGGGAGGTGAGGAGGGCGAGGCTGGCCGCGTTTGGAGCGACTCGTTATAAGAACACGACATGTGAAAGGGACGCGAATGTGCAGGCACTGGTGGAGAGTGGGGCGCCCGTGATCACCCTAGTGGCCAAGGTACAGCAGTGGTGTGACAATAACGAGTGGTGGAGGTATGGTTTGAGTGTAAAGAAGGTGGATTCTGGACTGGACCAGGAAAGTGTGCCGTCGTGGCGTGGCCCAACGCCTGCTGTCCTCTCGTCCTCTTTCTTCCCATTCGCGTCCCACGCTCAGGCAGTGTGCCCCGTATAGGCGATGCACACAATGTGGGGCGATGCACACAATGTGGGGCGATGCACACAATGTGGGGCGATGCACACAATGTGGGGCGATGCACACAATGTGGGGCGATGCACACAATGTGGGGCGATGCACACAATGTGGGGCGATGCACACAATGTGGGGCGATGCACACAATGTGGGGCGATGCACTGTGCTGTGTTGTTGCCCTCTCTTCACGCGTGGGACGCACAGGCCGCGCGAGTGCTGGAGGCGACTCTGGACATCCGGCGACCCATGACCGGCGACACTGTGGGGGGGGGTACTTCGTTGCTCTGCCTTCTCACTCTCTCCTCCCGCCCCCCCCCCCCCCCCCCACCGGTCTCCCCCTGCTGTCACCACCAGGCTTGGGACGCCCAGGTGGAACGCGTGCTGGAGGCGACTCTAGAGGAGAATCTGGCAATGATCGGCGACACGGTGGGGTACTTCGTTGCTCTGGGGCGCCATGTCATGCTGGACGCCGAGCATTTCTTCGATGGCTTCACCGCCAACCCGTGAGTCCCCCCAACGCTCCCCCATCCCCCCCACCCGCCACCTCTCCCCCCCATCCCCCCCGTCCCGTCCTTCACGTCCCTTTCACCGTCCCCTTGTCTCATTTAAGCCCATCCCCCCTTTCAACCGCGCCCCCCATCCCGACCCCCCTCCCGTGATTCCCCCCCTGCAAGGAGTACACCATGGAGTGTGTGTGCGCGACTCATACCACTTCCCCCTCTCCCCCTCTTCCCTATCCCCCTCTTCCCTATCCTCCTCTTCCCTATCCTCCTCTTCCCTATCCTCCTCTTCCCTATCCCCCTCTTCCCCCCCCCCCCCCCCCCCCCCCCCCCCTATCCCCTCTTCCCTATCCTCCTCTTCCCCTATCCCCCTCCCCTTCCCCCCCTTCCCTATCCCCTCTTCCCTACCTCCTCTTCCCTATCCTCCTCTTCCCTATCCCCTCTTCCCTATCCTCCTCTTCCCTATCCTCCTCTTCCCTATCCTCCTCTTCCCTATCCTCCTCTTCCCTATCCCCCTCTTCCCTATCCTCCTCTTCCCTATCCTCCTCTTCCCTATCCTCCTCTTCCCTATCCTCCTCTTCCCTATCCTCCTCTTCCCTATCCCCCTCTTCCCTATCCTCCTCTTCCCTATCCTCCCTCTTCCCTATCCTCCTCTTCCCTATCCTCCTCTTCCCTATCCTCCTCTTCCCTATCCTCCTCTTCCCTATCCCCCCCCTCCCCCTCTTCCCTATCCTCCTCTTCCCTATCCTCCTCTTCCCTATCCTCCTCTTCCCTATCCTCCTCTTCCCTATCCTCCTCTTCCCTATCCCCCTCTTCCCTATCCTCCTCTTCCCTATCCTCCTCTTCCCTATCCTCCTCTTCCCTATCCTCCTCTTCCCTATCCTCCCTCTTCCCTATCCTCCTCTTCCCTATCCCCTCTTCCCTATCCTCCTCTTCCCTATCCTCCTCTTCCCTATCCTCCTCTTCCCTATCCCTCCTTCTTCCCTATCCTCCTCTTCCCTATCCCTCCTCTTCCCCTATCCTCCTCTTCCCTATCCTCCTCTTCCCTATCCTCCTCTTCCCCTATCCTCCTCTTCCCTATCCTCCTCTTCCCTATCCTCCTCTTCCCTATCCTCCTCTTCCCTATCCTCCTCTTCCCTATCCTCCTCTTCCCTATCCTCCTCTTCCCTATCCTCCTCTTCCCTATCCTCCTCTTCCCTATCCTCCTCTTCCCTATCCTCCTCTTCCCTATCCTCCTCTTCCCTATCCTCCTCTTCCCTATCCTCCTCTTCCCTATCCTCCTCCCTATCCCCTCTCCCTATCCTCCTCTTCCCTATCCTCCTCTTCCCTATCCTCCTCTTCCCTATCCTCCTCTTCCCTATCCTCCTCTTCCCTATCCTCCTCTTCCCTATCCTCCTCTTCCCTATCCTCCTCTTCCCTATCCCCCTTCCCTCTTCCCTATCCTCCTCTTCCCTATCCTCCTCTTCCCTATCCTCCTCTTCCCTATCCTCCTCTTCCCTATCCCCTCTTCCCTATCCTCCTCTTCCCTATCCTCCTCTTCCCTATCCTCCTCTTCCCTATCCTCCTCTTCCCTATCCTCCTCTTCCCTATCCTCCTCTTCCCTATCCTCCTCTTCCCTATCCTCCTCTTCCCTATCCTCTTCCCTATCCTCCTCTTCCCTATCCTCCTCTTCCCTATCCTCCTCTTCCCTATCCTCCTCTTCCCTATCCTCCTCTTCCCTATCCTCCTCTTCCCTATCCTCCTCTTCCCTATCCTCCTCTTCCCTATCCTCCTCTTCCCTATCCTCCTCTTCCCTATCCTCCTCTTCCCTATCCTCCTCTTCCCTATCCTCCTCTTCCCTATCCTCCTCTTCCCTATCCTCCTCTTCCCTATCCTCCTCTTCCCTATCCTCCTCTTCCCTATCCCCCTCTTCCCTATCCTCCTCTTCCCTATCCTCCTCTTCCCTATCCTCCTCTTCCCTATCCTCCTCTTCCCTATCCTCCCTCTTCCCTATCCTCCTCTTCCCTATCCTCCTCTTCCCTATCCTCCTCTTCCCTATCCTCCTCTTCCCTATCCTCCTCTTCCCTATCCTCCTCTTCCCTATCCTCCTCTTCCCTATCCTCCTCTTCCCTATCCTCCTCTTCCCTATCCTCCTCTTCCCTATCCTCCTCTTCCCTATCCTCCTCTTCCCTATCCTCCTCTTCCCTATCCTCCTCTTCCCTATCCTCCTCTTCCCTATCCTCCTCTTCCCTATCCCCTCTTCCCTATCCTCCTCTTCCCTATCCTCCTCTTCCCTATCCTCCTCTTCCCTATCCTCCTCTTCCCTATCCTCCTCTTCCCTATCCTCCTCTTCCCTATCCTCCTCTTCCCTATCCTCCTCTTCCCTATCCTCCTCTTCCCTATCCTCCTCTTCCCTATCCCCCTCTTCCCTATCCTCCTCTTCCCTATCCTCCTCTTCCCTATCCTCCTCTTCCCTATCCTCCTCTTCCCTATCCTCCTCTTCCCTATCCTCCCTCTTCCCTATCCTCCTCTTCCCTATCCTCCTCTTCCCTATCCTCCTCTTCCCTATCCTCCTCTTCCCTATCCTCCTCTTCCCTATCCTCCTCTTCCCTATCCTCCTCTTCCCTATCCTCCTCTTCCCTATCCTCCTCTTCCCTATCCCCCTCTTCCCTATCCTCCTCTTCCCTATCCTCCTCTTCCCTATCCTCCTCTTCCCTATCCTCCTCTTCCCTATCCTCCTCTTCCCTATCCTCCTCTTCCCTATCCTCCTCTTCCCTATCCCCCTCTTCCCTATCCTCCTCTTCCCTATCCTCCTCTTCCCTATCCTCCTCTTCCCTATCCTCCTCTTCCCTATCCTCCTCTTCCCTATCCTCCTCTTCCCTATCCTCCTCTTCCCTATCCTCCTCTTCCCTATCCCCCCTCCCTCCTCTTCCCTATCCTCCTCTTCCCTATCCTCCTCTTCCCTATCCTCCTCTTCCCTATCCTCCTCTTCCCTATCCTCCTCTTCCCTATCCCCCTCTTCCCTATCCTCCTCTTCCCTATCCTCCTCTTCCCTATCCTCCTCTTCCCTATCCTCCTCTTCCCTATCCTCCTCTTCCCTATCCCCCTCTTCCCTATCCTCCTCTTCCCTATCCTCCTCTTCCCTATCCTCCTCTTCCCTATCCTCCTCTTCCCTATCCTCCTCTTCCCTATCCTCCTCTTCCCTATCCCCTCTTCCCTATCCTCCTCTTCCCTATCCTCCTCTTCCCTATCCTCCTCTTCCCTATCCCCCTCTTCCCTATCCTCCTCTTCCCTATCCTCCTCTTCCCTATCCTCCTCTTCCCTATCCTCCTCTTCCCTATCCTCCTCTTCCCTATCCTCCTCTTCCCTATCCTCCTCTTCCCTATCCTCCTCTTCCCTATCCTCCTCTTCCGTATCCCCCTCTTCCCTATCCTCCTCTTCCCTATCCTCCTCTTCCCTATCCTCCTCTTCCCTATCCTCCTCTTCCCTATCCCCCTCTTCCCTATCCTCCTCTTCCCTATCCTCCTCTTCCCTATCCTCCTCTTCCCTATCCTCCTCTTCCCTATCCTCCTCTTCCCTATCCTCCTCTTCCCTATCCTCCTCTTCCCTATCCTCCTCTTCCCTATCCCCCTCTTCCCTATCCTCCTCTTCCCTATCCTCCTCTTCCCTATCCTCCTCTTCCCTATCCTCCTCTTCCCTATCCTCCTCTTCCCTATCCTCCTCTTCCCTATCCTCCTCTTCCCTATCCCCCTCTTCCCTATCCTCCTCTTCCCTATCCTCCTCTTCCCTATCCTCCTCTTCCCTATCCCCCTCTTCCCTATCCTCCTCTTCCCTATCCTCCTCTTCCCTATCCTCCTCTTCCCTATCCTCCTCTTCCCTATCCCCCTCTTCCCTATCCTCCTCTTCCCTATCCTCCTCTTCCCTATCCTCCTCTTCCCTATCCTCCTCTTCCCTATCCTCCTCTTCCCTATCCTCCTCTTCCCTATCCTCCTCTTCCCTATCCCCCTCTTCCCTATCCTCCTCTTCCCTATCCTCCTCTTCCCTATCCTCCTCTTCCCTATCCTCCTCTTCCCTATCCTCCTCTTCCCTATCCTCCTCTTCCCTATCCTCCTCTTCTCCCCTATCCCCTCCTCTTCCCTATCCTCCTCTTCCCTATCCCCCTCTTCCCTATCCTCCTCTTCCCTATCCTCCTCTTCCCTATCCTCCTCTTCCCTATCCTCCTCTTCCCTATCCTCCTCTTCCCTATCCTCCTCTTCCCTATCCTCCTCTTCCCTATCCCCCTCTTCCCTATCCTCCTCTTCCCTATCCTCCTCTTCCCTATCCTCCTCTTCCCTATCCTCCTCTTCCCTATCCTCCTCTTCCCTATCCTCCTCTTCCCTATCCTCCTCTTCCCTATCCCCCTCTTCCCTATCCTCCTCTTCCCTATCCTCCTCTTCCCTATCCTCCTCTTCCCTATCCTCCTCTTCCCTATCCTCCTCTTCCCTATCCTCCTCTTCCCTATCCTCCTCTTCCCTATCCTCCTCTTCCCTATCCCCCTCTTCCCTATCCTCCTCTTCCCTATCCTCCTCTTCCCTATCCTCCTCTTCCCTATCCTCCTCTTCCCTATCCTCCTCTTCCCTATCCTCCTCTTCCCTATCCTCCTCTTCCCTATCCTCCTCTTCCCTATCCCCCTCTTCCCTATCCTCCTCTTCCCTATCCTCCTCTTCCCTATCCTCCTCTTCCCTATCCTCCTCTTCCCTATCCTCCTCTTCCCTATCCTCCTCTTCCCTATCCTCCTCTTCCCTATCCTCCTCTTCCCTATCCCCCTCTTCCCTATCCTCCTCTTCCCTATCCTCCTCTTCCCTATCCTCCTCTTCCCTATCCTCCTCTTCCCTATCCTCCTCTTCCCTATCCTCCTCTTCCCTATCCTCCTCTTCCCTATCCTCCTCTTCCCTATCCTCCTCTTCCGTACCCCCCTTCCCCTCGTCCCCCGTGCAGCGAGTACGCCATGGAGTGTGTGCGGGCAGCAGCAAGGGCGGGGGCAAATGAGGTTGTACTGTGTGACACTAACGGGGGCTCCATGCCGTGGCGCGTGCATGTGAGTAAGCCATGTGTGCATGCCGTGGCGCGTGCATGTGAGTGTGCCATCCGTGCACGCCGTGGCGCATGGGTGCCACGGCACGTGCATGTTCACGTGCTTCTTGCTTCTTATGCTCATCCGTCCTTCCCTGGGTCCGGCACTTCCCCTAATGCCCTTATGCCTTCTCTATCCACCTCCTTACTATGCCCCTCTCTCTCTGCTCCCTTGTTATCCCCTCTAGGAAGTGACTCGTTTGGTGGCAGAGGAGCTAGCCCGGGGAGCAGCAGAGGGGGAGTGGGGATTCAGCACGGGCGTAGGCGTACACTGCCACAACGACTGTGGTATGGCGGTGGCCAACAGCGTTGAGGCCGTGCGCGCTGGAGCACGGGTGGTGCAGGGCTGTGTGAACGGCTACGGGGAGAGAACAGGCAATGCGGATATCGTGAGTCCAAGGGGTTTCGGGTTCTGGGTTTTAGGGTTGAAACGTTAGCATGGGGGTGGGCGTGCACTGCCACAAGGACTGTGGCATGGCGGTGGCTAACAGCATTGAAGCTGTGCGCGCTGCATGGGGGATGCATAGGGGGGTTTGCACGGGGATGCATAGGGGGGGATGCATGGGGGGGGGGCGCATTGGGGGGGGGGATGCATGGGGGGGGATGCAGCATGGAGGGGGATGCATGGGGTGGGGATGCTTGAGGGGTGATGCAAGAAGGTAGGGGGATGCATAGGGTAGGGATTGATGCATATTGGGGGATGGATGGGGTAAATGCGAAACCAGTCAAAGAAGTTTCCGAGTCCGTGGGCCACTATCGCACGAGTTGGTGTGCGGTCGGAGCACCAATGATTCGGATTTCACTCGGTTTTTTAGTCATCCAGCACCTCAAGCCCTCAGCACCTCAAGCCCTCAGCACCTCAAGCCCTCAGCACCTCAAGCCCTCAGCACCTCAAGCCCTCAGCACCTCAAGCCCTCTGGTTTGCTAGTCTGGGCACCTCTTACAAAACAGGCCCCATCGCATATCCCTCACTCCCCTCGCCCACCCATGACACGTCATCGCCAGGTCGCCCCCATAGGCATCGGTCAAGGTGGGCTGTGAGTGCCCCCCTCGCGATGACTCTGGACTTGTCTCAAACCTCTCTCGCATGCTCTTTCCGTTACAACCCCACCCTCAGCCCCACCCCCATCCCCACTCCCATCCCCACTCCCATCCCCACCCCCACCCCCACCCCCATCCCCATCCCCATCCCTGCCCCCACCCCCATCCCCCCCCCCACACCACATCACATCGCTAGGTTACCACCATCGGCATTCTCCAGGTCAAGCTGGGCTGCGACTGCTTGCCTGAGGATTCGCTCGCCAGGTTGGCGGAGATCTCCGCTGAGATTGCGCGGGTGGCGGGCCAGCCGCCTAACCCCGCGCAGCCATTTGTGGGGGCCAATGCGTTTGCCCACAAGGGGGGCATCCACGTTGCTGCTTTGAGGAAGGTGTGTTAACTTTGATCTTAGAAAGCATCAGGTAGGACCCCACGCAGCCGTTTCTTTTGGACCAGTGCGTTTGCTCACAAGAGCGGCATGATGGTATGCTTGGTATTCCTCCTGGTATGCCTGGTATTCCTCCTGGTATGCCTGGTATTCCTCCTGGTATGCTTGGTATTCCTCCTGGTATGCCTGGTATTCCTCCTGGTATGCTTGGTATTCCTCCTGCTATGCTTGGTATTCCTCCTGCTATGCTTGGTGTTCCTCCTGCTATGCCTGGTGTTCCTCCTGGTGTGCTTGGTATTCCTCCTGGTATGCTTTGTATTCCTCCTGGTATGCTTGGTATTCCTCCTGGTATGCTTGGCATTCCTCCTGCTATGCTTGGTATTCCTCCTGGTATGCTTGGAATTCCTCCTGGTATGCTTGGTGTTCCTCCTGGTGTGCTTGGTATTCCTCCTGGTATGCTTGCTATTCCTCCTGGTATGCCTGGTATTCCTCCTGCTATGCTTGATATTCCTCCTGCCATGCTTGGTATTCCTCCTCCTGGCATCCTTGGTATTCCTCCTGGTATGCTTGGTGTTCCTCCTGGTACACTTGGTATTCCTCCTGGTATGCTTGGTATTCCTCCTGCTATGCCTGGTATTCCTCCTGGTATGCTTGGGATTCCTCCTGGTATGCTTGGTTTTCCTCCTGCTATGCTTAGTATTCCTCCTGCTATTCTTGGCAGAGAGGGGGGACCCCGATTTGGACAAGGACGAGATGGGGGGGGAATGCTGCAACCACTGCTTCCGACCCCTTCCAAAGGCACTCTCCTCTGACCCCTTCCAAAGGCACTCTCCTCTCATCCCTTCCAAAGGCACTCTCCTCTGATGCTGGAGACCCCTTTCTCCTTACTCCGTTCGTCTCCTTCCACCCCTCCCCCTTGCGTCAGATGCCTGAGAGCTACAACCACTGCGACCCCACTTTGGTGGGCAACGCCATGCGCTCTGTGGTCTCGGACCTGTCGGGCCGCGGCAACATCCTCGAGAAGGCCGAGAGGGCGGGGCTGGACTTGGACAAGGACGAGGCGGGGCGGGTGCTGGCGCGGATCAAGCAGATGGAGGCGCGGGGGTTTGCGTTTGAGAACGCAGCAGCATCTGTGGATATGCTGATAGTCAGACGGGGGGCGCGGTATCGAATCCCGTGAGTTTGTGGGGGGGGGGTTGGCTTCGGGGTGGGCCTTGGGTGTGTGCCTTGGGGGGTACCTCTGGGGGGTGCTGCTACGACTTGGACAAGGACGAGGCGGAGCGTGTGCTGGCGCGGATCAAGCAGATGGAGGCGAGAGGGTTCGCATTGAGAATGCTGCTGCGTCGGTGGATATGCTGATTGTCAGATGGGGGGCGCGGTATCAAATCCCGTGATTTCTAGAGGGAATTTGCTTTGGGGGGGCGTGTTGCTTGGATCTGGACACGGTTGAGGGCGCCCCCTTCGAGCCCCCCTTTTCCTCTCCCCCCTCCTTCCTTCCCGACCTCTTCCCTTTGCGCGTGCAGCTGCAGGTAGATATGGTTAAAGTGCGATGCGATATAATCTCGCATCGCTGCGATATAAAGTTTGGAAACCCGATATCGCATATTGCATTTCAGGTGCGATATATGACTGTATCGCATTTGAAATGCGGTATATTCCGCGATGTGATATAATATCGCATCACGTTTCATCCAGGGCTCCAAAACCCGGATTGCCACCTAAAAAGAGCATGCGATATTAAAATATCGCACGGATATCGCATAGATATCGCACGGATATAGCATATATATCGCACGGATATCGCATAGATATTGCACAGATATCGCACGTGATATTAAATATCGCATGCGATATAATAAACATATCGCATATCGCAATATATCGCAGGGGAAAACCCGCGATATAAACGCGATATAAAATATCGCGCGATTTACATTGCATCGCATCGCGCGATGTTTTTTTTTCTGGAAAATATAATATCGCTATCGCATTGTTGCGATACATGCGATATTATATCGCGCGATGCGATGGGATATAACCATCTCTAACTGCAGGCACCCTTGAGCACGGGTGCTCCTGAGCGGGGGTGCTCTTGAGCATGGGTGCTCTTGAGCGCGGGTGCTCTTGAGCGCGGGTGCTCTTGAGCGTGGGCGCTCTTAAACGTGGGCGCTCTTGAGCGTGGGTGCTCTTGAGCGTGGGTGCTCTTGGACGTGGGTGCTCTTGGACGTGGGTGCCCTTGAGCTTGGGTGCTCTTGAGCGTGGGTGCTCTTGAGCTTGGGTGCTCTTGAGCGTGAGTGCTCTTAGGCGTGGGTGCTCTTGGGCGTGGGTGCTCTTGGACGTGGGTGCTCTTGGGCGTGGGTGCTCTTGGGTGTGGGTGCTCTTGGGCGTGGGTGCTCTTGAGCGCGGGTGCTCTTGAGCTTGGGTGCTCTTGAGCGTGGGTGCTCTTGGGCGTGGGTGCTCTTGGGCGTGGGTGCTCTTGGGCGTGGGTGCTCTTGGACGTGGGTGCTCTTGAGCATGGGTGCCTCTTGAGCATGGGTGCTCTTGAGCATGGGTGCTCTTGAGCTTGGGTGCTCTTGAGCGTGGGTGCTCTTGAGCGCGGGTGTTCTTGGACGTGGGTTCTCTTGAGCTTGGGTGCTCTTGAGCTTGGGTGCTCTTGAGCTTGGGTGCTCTTGAGCGTGAGTGCTCTTGGGCGTGGGTGCTCTTGGGCGTGGGTGCTCTTGGACGTGGGTGCTCTTGAGCGTGGGTGCTCTTGGGCGTTGGCAGTCTTAGCTCTTGGCCATCTTGAGGGTCGGCAATCTTTCTACGACTCTCCATGTACCGTGCTCCCTCTCGTCTTCCAACCAATCACCAGCTTCCACGAGTTGGAGTTCTCTGTCATCTCACCAACCATGTCTTGACCACCTCTGAGCTGTCTCTCCTCTGTACCTGTCCCCTTCCAACCAATCAACAGCTTCCACGTGTTGGAGTTCTCTGTCATCTCAACCAACCGCCTCGGCGTCCCCCAGCCCGTGAGGGGCAGCAGCAGCAGCAGTGAGAGCAGCGGTGATTGGAGCGACACCAGTGATGAGGAGTTGGGAGCGGAGGCAGGAGAGCAGGGGGAGAGAAGGGAGAGGAGGGAAAGGGAGAGGAGGGAGAGGAAGGAGGAGAGGGAGGAGGCGGCGCTGGTGGCGGAGAGTGAGTGGATGGAGGGCGCCAGCTGCAATAGCCAGGCCATTGTCAAGGTCCAAGTGGGCGGCATCAGCCAGGTATGGGCGGTATGCTTTGTCCCATTGTCCATGCTAGTGAGGAGATGGAGAGCTGGAACTGCCAGGCCATCGTGGAGGTCCAAGTGGGCGGCATCAGCCAGGTACGGGCGGCATCAGCCAGGTACGGGCGGCATCAGCCAGGTACGGGCGGCGTGGATTGTCCTCGTGCGCGTGCAGTGTGCAGCATGCTTGCTTCACTAACAGTCCCTAGATCATTTAACTCAACCTAGTCCCTCCCAGGCGCGCCCATTGTGCTCTGCTCAGCTGAGGCCTGCCACCTTGGTCCGCTTTCCCCCCCTTTTTCCTCCCTCTCCTTGTGTCGTCCACCCTCCACCTGTTCTCCCTCCGTTCTGCTGCTTCTCTCGTTCATCGGATGAGTGCAGCAGAGGGCAACGACCTGTGGACGCCTGCAACCACACGCTGCTGCCCCCCTTACCCATCCTCACTTGCTTTTCTGAGTCCCCTCGATTCTTGCTGTTGTCTCTGCCTCTCTAACCCCTCTGCTGCTTCCCGTGTCCCTCATCCGTTCTCCCTCCTCTGCGTGAGGAGTCTATTTGTGAGGCGCCTCAAAAATAGCTTCCCGTGTCCCTCATCCGTTCTCCTTCCTCTCTGCCGTGCCCTGCTTCGCCCTCCATTCCTCAGATGAGTGCAGCGGAGGGCAACGGACCCGTGGACGCCCTCAACCATGCTCTGCGGTGGGTGTGATTATATATAAGGATGTGTGACTGTAAGGGTGTGACAAAAACCGTGGGATTATTAGGGTGTGGCTGAGAGGGTGTGACTCTAAAAGGTGAGTATAAGGGTTGATGGTAAGGGTGTGATTGAGAGGGCATGATTGCATGGAGTGCTGCAGTGAAATATGTCATCGACTGCAAAGATGTCGACTGCAGTGGTATGGAGCATCAAAGACTGTCTACGCTCTTTGCCTTTTTCCTTCCCAATTGCCATCCAAAACCATCGAAAAGCCCGACCAGACGCCCAAATTTTTATCTCTCCTAATGTGGCATCCGTCCCGTCCAAGCATGGCATCCGCCCTGGGCCTGATATCCTGAACTCTTAAGCCCTTGAAACCCGATCTTGCAGGGCGTCACTGGACTGCCACTTCCCGCAGCTGTCCCAAGTGGAGCTGGTGGACTACCGCGTGCGCCTGCTGGAGCCCACTGAGCGCCGCAGCGGCACCATGTCCACCACACGGGTCACCATCGACTTCTGTGACAAGAGCTCTGGGGTTACCTGGACCACGGTAAGCGGGGGTTGTGTGTGGTGCAATGCGGTGCAGTGGCGTGGGTTGTTAAGTGGGTGGGGTGCAGCAGCACCATGTCGATCACGCGGGTCACCCATGACTTGTGCAAATGGACGTCCAGATGACCTGGACCACGGTATGTGGGTTTGGGGGTGTGGTGCACTGCAGTGCCGCACGGTTTTCCCTCCGGCTCCCCCCCTTTTCTTCCCTTCATCCATCATGAAAACCAGCCTTCCTTAGATGCGCCTCAAGCCTCTTCTCCCATCCCCTCCTCCCCTCCTCCCCTCCTCCCCTCCTCCCCTCCTCCCCTCCTCCCTGCCCCACTACTCCCCCCCCCCATACCCCCTCCCAGGTGGGCGCGTACTCATCCATCGTGGAGGCCAGCTTCTGCGCGCTCATAGACGGGCTTCAATCAGCCCCCCTTCTCCCCCTCTCTCCCCCAACCCCTTCTTCTCCCCCATTCTCCCCCACCCCCTTCTTCTCCCCCCCTGGTTTCTTCCCCCTCTGTGCCCTTGTTATCGCTCCCAGGTGGGTGCGCACTCTTTCATCGTGGAGGCCAGCTTTCGCGCGCTCATAGACGGGCTTCAGTCAGCCCCCCCTTTCCCTCCCCCCCTCTCTCCCCCCGCCCCCACCTTCTTCCCCCCGTTTCCTTCCCCTTGTGTGCCCTTGTTATCGCTCCCAGGTGGGCGCGCACTCGTCCATTGTGGAGGCCAGCTTCCGCGCGCTCATAGACGGGCTTGAGTTTGGCATTGTCAACTGCAACGAGGTATGTAGGGCAGGGGGGTTGTGGTGGGAGGGGAGGGAGTGGGGAAGGGGTGGTTGCGGTGGGAGAGGCGGAGGGAGTGGTGAAGGGTGGTTGTGGTGGGAGGGTGGGTGAAGGGGGGTTGTGGTGGGGGGGGGTGTGAAGGGGTGTTGTGGTGGGAGGGGGGGTGAAGGGGGGTTGTGGTGCAGGGGGGGGTGAAGGGGGGTTGTGGTGGATGATGGGTTTGTTTGGGGCGAGGGAGCAGGGTAGGAGGATGATTCCGCGGTGGGGTGTGCAGTTTGCTTCTCCAATCCTTCGGTCATGCTTATCACTGCCTTTCCCTGCCCTGCCTTGTCACTGCCTTGCCCTGCCCTTCCTGCTGCCCTTCCTCTTCACATTTTCCCTTTTCCCCCTTTCCTCTCTCCCCTTTCCCTTGTTATCCCCCCTGTGCCTCTGCCCACCAGTCCGGATGCAAAATATGACCGGCACCCACCCACCCACCCACCTACCCACCCACCCACCCACCCACCCACTGCTCAACGTCCCTCCCAACCCGAATGAGTATTGGAAGGGAAGTGATTGGTGCAAGGGACACAAGACAAGTGGTTGCCTTGCCCCGCCTCCTCGCAGAGTCGCCTCAGTTGAGAGGCACATGTAGGATGTTGCAGTTGCGCGTGCGTTGTGTCGTGTGTTTGCGCCTGTGCATGCTGCAAGGGCATACACGACAATAGAGACTCATGTTCATGTATGCTTTCTTCCTTTCTACAATCTAGATGGGGGGAGGGGGAGGGTTGCAGTAAACGCAACCCCACAAGTGTAGGAAATTATCAGGTGTTGCCAAGGTTGCCTCTATGCACATGCACACACCACTGTATATGCTGTACTTGGAGTGTGCAGTGTACACCAACTTGCTACAGTGCAGTGCACCAACTTGCTTGTTGTTGACCCTTAATTTGTATGTGGAGTGGGTTTAATGTTAAGACGAACGATTGATTAGAAGGTAGGACAGGGGAGATATAGCATTTGGGTTGTACCCACTAAGAACATACTGTTAACGTAGAAACGAATGATTACTAGAGGTGGAAACCTAGAACAAATACTAGTTGGTTGTACTCACTAGAAGCATACCTCAGTCTAGCCTATAACTTCTACATAGATAATATGTATAAGTTGACACACCCCCTAGGCTAGACAAGGGGTGAAACTAAACAAGAAGCAAACAGCTCAGGGCGGCACTACTAGTCCAACCACTGAGGCAGGGGTCTGGAGACCAGTCAGCAAGAATACAACCAAAACTGAAGCAAGCCAGGGTGGCACTACTAGTCCAGCCACTGGAGGTAAGGCCACAAGGCCAGTCTGACAAGCATATATAATAGAGAGTACACAATCAGGATCCTAACAGGGGAGCAGCTATAGGAACAAGACCAAGCTGTACACAGTGCCGCTGATGATCTTTAGGCGCAAGCGCCTTAGTAAAGATATCAGCTGTGTTGGCACCTGAGGCCAAGTGAACTACGCGGGCCTGGCGGCGCTGCTGTAGCTCGCGCAGGAGGAAGTACCGCAGCTGGATATGCTTCGCTCTGCCCTCAAGCCGAGGCTCCTGACACAGGAGTATCATGGCCCTGTTGTCAGCGTACAGGACCGGGGCAGAGCTAGGCCGCTCACCTAAGTCTGTGAGCAAGAAGGTCAGCCAGCGGAGCTCCTGTGCCGCCATGGCACCAGCGTAGATCTCAGCCTCACAGCTAGACTGAGCCACAGACGACGAGCGAGTGGATCTCCAAGAGATAGCACCCGAACCAAGGCTGAAACAGTAGCCCTGCGACGACCTGAGCGTCTCAGCGTCGTCTGCCCAAGAAGCGTCTGTGTGCCCAGTAAGGACCACTGGCCTGCGTCCTCCTAGCACTAACCCCATGCCTGATGTACTAGCAAGATAACGCAAAACCCTCTTAGCGGCAGACCAGTGCTGAGGTCGGTGTCTGCCTGTAGCCACAAAGCGAGCCAGGATGCTGAGAGGGTATGCGAGATCTGGGCGAGTGCAAGTCATCAGGTACATGAGGCAACCCACCAGCTCTGCGTAGGGGCCACTGGGCTCTACTGGCTCCTCAGGAACGGGAGCAGAGAGCCCATGGTCTACGGGTAGAGGTGTGGGCTGTGCGGAGGAGAACTGAAGACCGAACCTTTGAAGGACCTGACGCACCAAGTGTGACTGGGTCAGAGTGATGGTGCGTGCTGCTCTGTCCCTAGAGATCTGCAGGCCAAGATAGCGACGCAGCTCTCCAAGGTCAGTGCAGGTGTGTCTCTTCAGCAGCTCAGCCTTCACAGAGGCCAGTGCGTCCCTGTCAGGAGTAGCGAAGACCAGGTCGTCTACGTAGACAAAGATGTAGAACGGAGTCTGGCCGGAACGCACAAACAGTGAAGGGTCAGCAGAGGACGGAAAGAACTGCAGGTCTGCTAACGTGGCACGTAGCGTGTCGTGCCACTCGCGGGGAGCCTGACGCAGGCCGTAGACCGGGCGCCTGAGAAGCCACTGGGTCCCAGGAGGGAAGGTACCAGTGAAGCCCTGTGGTCGGCGCAGGTAGACCTGCTCGTGTAGGCTGCCCTGAAGAAAGGCAGTAGAGAAGTCGAGAGAGTGAAGCTCGTAGTCACGCTGTGCTGCTACGTGTAGCAGCGCCCGAAGAGTGGTCATCTTCGGGGTCGGGGCGAAGGTCTGGAAGAAGTCAACCCCCTCGCGCTGACTGAAACCTCTGGCCACGTAGCGCGCCTTGAAGACAGGCGGCTCTCCAGGGGGGCGCTTCACCTTGAAGAGCCACCGACCATCGACTACGTTCACCCCAGGCGGGGGAACTGCGTCGACGTAAGTGCCGGTGGATCTCCAAGATGCCATCTCCTGCTCCATGGCAGCTATCCACTGAGAGGCCCAAGGTCCCGAGGTGGCCTCAGCGTAGGTGCGAGGGGTCGGGATGTCGAAGGCGTCTGGGTCACCCTCAGGGACTAACAGCATGGAGCAGAGATGGGGAGCAGCCTCGGAAAGGAAAGCCAGCTCGTACTGCCTGTCCTCTAGGACGTCACTGCCAAGGGCAGGAGCACCCCCGACGGACAGAGGACGGGCAGGGTCAGAGACCAGAGCGGTAGCGTAGTCAAGGCGGCGGGTAGAAGCGAAGTCAGCGACAGCAGCGACAAGCGCGTCAAGGCGCGAGACAGGAACAGCAGGGTCGGTAACAAGAGAGGCAAGGACCCGAGGGACAAGGGGACGAGCAGCACGGAGGTAGTCAGAGAACGGAGGAGGTGCAACAGCAAGGGACGAGGGAGGAGGGGACGGGAGGAGGGGAGGACGAGACGAGTGGGAACGGAGCAACATAGGGTGGGTGGGCAGGACAGGAGAGACGGGACGGGCACGGGAGGGACGGCGAGCCCAAACGTGAGACGGAGGGGTAGGGTCAGGGGACAGCGGAGGAGACACAGGAGGGGAACGAGGAGGAAGACGGGCCGGAGACGAGTCTGGCGGCGGGAACACAGGACCGTAGACAGGGAGGTCAGGAGGCGGTGGGGGAGACACCGGCGCGCGGTCCGGGGAGGGAAGGCCGAGCAGGCGGAGAGCGGAAACCGGCGGCGACGGCTGCTGTGGCGGCGACGACGGCTGGGCCGGAACTCTCGGACCAGCAGAGGCAGAACGACCGTCGGCAGAACACTCAACAGCAGCACCCCCAGAACCAACACCCCAAGAGCGAGAACCCCCTCCAACACCAGCGGCACCCCCAGAAGCCGCAGGACGAACACCCTCCTCCACACCAGCACCCCGAGGGGCCGAGAGCAGCGGCGGCAGTGGCGGCGACAGCGGCGACGGCTGCGGCGGCGACGGCGACGGCTGCGGCGGCGACGGCGACGGCGGCGGCAGCGGGGTCGGCGACTGCGACAGTGGGGGCGGAGGCACTGGGGAAGGGGGACGTGGCAAGGACGGACCGGGGGTACCACCAGAGTCAGCAGACTCCTCAACGGGGACAACCGACGGGAGGGGAGTGACGTGGGAGACACCAGACGGGGCAGGACGAGGCGGGAGAGGGGCAGGGGCTACCGGGGGAGAGGGAGCAAGGAAAAGGGGGGGGGCAACTGGGAGACCTCGGTGAGGGAAGCGGCGGTAGAAGGAGACGGACTCGTCAAAGGTGACGTCACGAGAGTGGAGGAAGCGGTGAGACGGCGGGTGGTAGAAAAGCCAGTCAGACGAGTCCAGGGGGAAACCGAGGAAGACACAGGGGACAGTGCGGGCAGTGAGCTTGTCCGTGCCAGAGGCACGAACGTGAGCAAGGCAGCCCCAGACGTGGAACGCAGACGCGTCACCGGGGGACCCGGTCCAAAGGAGGGTCGGCGAAACCTGCGGCCGCTGGGAGCGTGGCCACAGGTTAAGCTGGTGAGCCGCGTAGCGAACAGCGAACGGCCACAGAAAATGGGGGGCATCGGCATGGATCATGGAGGTACGGGCGACCTCCATGACCAAGCCGATGCGGCGCTCAGCAACCCCATTCTGCTGTGGCGAGTCCGGCAAGGTGTACGACTGGGTGATGCCCTCCGCACGACAGAACTGTCCAAGCCGACCAGAGGCGAACTCGCCGCCACGGTCGGAGTGGAGACACAACACGGGGAGGCCGCGGTGGAGACGCGCAGCTACAACCCACGGGAGAAGAACGTCGGGCACGTCGGCCTTCCGCTCCAAGGGAAACACCGTGGTGTAGCGCGTGTAGTCGTCAACGAGCACAAGGAAGTAGCGCTCACCGCGCGGTCCGGGGACGGGGGCAGGGCCCCAAACGTCCAAGTGCAGGGTCTGAAGGGGGGCAGTAGCAGGACGCAGCGAGGAGGAGTGAGGAGCACGGCGGAGCCGACCCTCGACGCAAGGCGTGCACGGTGGCGCAGTCGAGGGAGGAAGGGCAGGGAGCGACGCGGGGAGACCTAAGACAAGACCGTGCTGGGACATGTGACGCAGACGCGGGAGAGCAGGGTGACCTAAGCGGTGGTGCCAGAGAAGGGACGGGTGAGTGAGGGACCGACACGAGCAAGCTGCAGCGACCTGGGAGGACGCACCAACCGGGGGGAAGCGGTGTGTAGGGTAAACAGACCGGACACCGGGTCCCGGGGGAACGTCGCAAGGGGGGAACCTGAGACAGCCTCAGAACAGACAGCGAACCGCTCGTGCCCGGGGAACGTGGTGGTGACGCCGAGGTCCTGGAGACAGCCGACACCAACCAGGTTCCTGGAGAACGAGGGAACGTGGAGGCCAGTAAGGGAGCCCGAGGGAACTGCCGGACAGGGAAGGGACGTAGAACTGCGCGCGACGACCGGACCCGCAGAGGGGTCAGCGAGAGAGACAACAGCAGGTGCAGCAAGCGGCGTGAGCGTGGAACGGTCGCGGAAGAAGCAGGCAGAAGCACCAGAGTCGAGAGTGAAGGACAGCGACGCAGTGGCGGAGGCCGCGGACGGAGCCGGTGCAGCGACTAGACTAGGCAACCTAGGCAGTCCTACGCCTGTCGCAGCAGGGGAAGCTAAGCTACACAAGGGTGAAACACCTAAACTAGAGTACACATGGTAGTAAGATCCATCAACACTAGAAGCGTCAGCATACAAAGCATGCAAAGCAGCACCTATCTGATCCATGTCTAACTCAAAGATCGGCACGCCCTGGCGGAGCAGGCTGTGCCAGTCAGGGAGGTCCGGGGCCGGGCCAAAGCGACGACGAAAAAGATCGTCGAGGCGGCGGAAACAGTGGGCGGTCGGGTGCGGGCGGCGGCACAGAGTGCCGCGGAGAGGCCCGGTCTGAAGCTGGTACTGGCAGGTCACAGCACTGGAGCCGCTGGTAGACGCCAAGCTGCGCGGGCCGCCACCACGGCCACCGCCTCCGGAGGTGCCGGGCCAACCAGGCGGGAGACGAGCCCACGGCTGCGGCGGGTGCTGCTGGGACGGCGGCTGCGGCTGGGGCTGGTCCTGCTGCTGCTGGGACTGCTGCTCC